TTGAACCGAATCCAGAAGCTCCCCGTTTCCGCATTTTTCGCCATTATTTGCGAGCGCAGGGGCTGAGAAAAATCAACAAGAACCTTGACTTTAATAAACTTTGTGCCACTTCATCACAAGAAAAGACTCCCGCCTCCAACACTCGGCCAAGAGTTGATGTTGCTATTTTCCGGCCGAACTGGTGGGTGCAGCAGTCTTCCTGAATATCCCAAAGCTGGATCTTGAACGGGACAATGGCCATTTCCTCAAACGTGCCACGAGAGATGGTCGGAGTCCACGCCCTAAAATGCAGAATTTTATCCGCGATGATCCAGGGGGTCCGCTGTAGGACCCAAGTTTTGGCCGCCTCAGTTGGTAGAGTAATTTCGAAGAGCTCGTGCGCCACTTGACGCACCATTATCCGCCCTTGCCCTTGCCATGGTCGATTGACCGCGTCCCGCAGCTCCGTGGGTGATAAGAGGTCCTCAGAGAAAAGGCGACCTATCAACATCCTTGACTTGCGGAGACGAGTAGCTTGGATTTCCTCCAAGGAGAACTCCACCACCTGGTCATCAGTCACACGAGCCATGAAGTTAACCTGCAAAGATAGCGGATTAGCCAGGCAGTTCGCAGCACAAGAGCTAGGTGACCCTATCGACCAGGGAAAGCTCGAGAAGGTGAGGATAATGGTAATTATGGGTGAGGATCCCACCCAGAGTTGGAAAACAATTTCAGAAGAGAGAGAGACCCACGAACCAGATCGCTGCCGCTGCCCTCGCCTCTTCGCACACCTTTGCCTTCCCGGACGTTCCTTTGCAATTTGATTTTGCGTGGAACTCCCAAGGCAGAAGGGGCGGTTTAAATAGCCAGCCGAGGGCCTGCCAACCATCTGGCAATTCCATCCTAATTGAATTGGGACTCTCGGGGTATTTTCTAAAAACGAGATATGGCCGAACATTATCCCGCTTTGCGGGATATGCTGGCTTCGAGATATTTGCTGACCGTTAGCTGATTTCCGGAGGAACCGCATCGCAAGGGCCCCGTTGGGTTGGTTAGAAGTCCTTCTCCAACTGGGACTCCGCACCCAACTCCTCTGCCAGTCCGCTTCCCGTCGATGGCGCTTCATCGGCGGCATTCTATTTGCATCGACGGTCGCAAAACCGCCGTGAGTTAACAGTCCGGGCCTCGCCCCAGTTTGGGGTCTGAGTTTTAACGGAACTAGGCCGGAGCACGCCTCAGATGCGAAGCTTATACAGGTAAAGTCATCAAACAGATCGCCACACTCTTCGCCATCGTTTTCCAATGGCAATGGGATCTGGAACCGCCATGCATGTTTACTAGGCGACCTCGCCCCAGCACAGGGTCTGAGTTCTGCCGTTGCAGGGGTGTCTTGATGACAATTTTGGCCACTCGGGCTAGATTTGTTACTCGGAGGTAGGGCGAGACCTTCCCAGTCATCATCCTCTATCTCCTCTGGGGACGGGAGACGGAATCGCCATCCCTTACTTTTGGAATCATTGTAACGTTTTGCCGGCTGATCTGGTTGTACAGATGCCCCGCCGCCCTGATTACTCCTCCTCTGCCGCCTAGAAACTTCACCGGGCATCTCCGCAAAACTGTACAGACGAGCCCATCCGTCCCGCTTCCAACCAGCTTGTAATCCTTGATTAGAAATCGCCGTCTCTAGAACTAGGGTTACCGAGCGGTCAAGAGCCTTGCTGGCCTCCAGGAGGAGGCCTAACACCGCCGACCACCACCGTCTGAAGAAAGAGGAGAGAGCTCCTCTCAACAAATTTTTTTTTTTTTTGATAGTTCGATTTACCCGTGTAGCTACTACTTTAGGATAACTTCTTGATGCCTTTTTGACGAAGTTTGGACTCTCACAAAAATGGCATCCACGGTGTCGTTTTACTTCATTGGCCGCCAATTTGGGCACCAGTTTTGTCCCTTGATTTTCTCTTTGAATCTTGATCTCAACAATGAAGCCACGATGTCCCTTTATCCTCCCAAGTGGGCCTTTAGCCTATTTTGACCAGTAAATACACAAAACGCTATAAAAAGCATATCATAGTAATAAAGTAGTCCTCAAACACACTTTGAGCATCACATAGAAAATCTTAAGGTAATAAAGCAGTTCTCAAACACACTTTTAGTATCTACAAAATACTATAAGGCAATGTCAAAAAATTGCATTGGCCACGTCAGCCCTTCCTCAACATACCGCACACTTCGGAAGGGCTTCCCCGTCTTTTGGCAATCCATCTGTTCCTCGCTTTCTATTCTACCTTCCAGCCCGAAAATCCCACCGCCTCTCTCTCTCTGTTTCTCTCCCAACCGATCCATACACCAATTACTCAATCCTTTTAGTCTTCTCGGAGCCTTAATCCGCCTCTATTCACCCCAGCTCAGAACATGTATGCCTCCACTCTCAATCTGATCCCGAAATTCCCCATCGTCGCCCTCTGTACTTCTTCGATTTTCTTATTGTTTTTTTTTTGTTACCATCTATGTCGGTCTTCCACACCCCCAAAAACTTTTCCAGACTCCTCTCGCTTTTTGCAGTCTGTCTCGCATCGCCGGGGGCGACAAGTCGTTCCCCACCGCCCTCCCAAAAGAGATTCCATTCGCCTCCCTCCCGCTCTCGCTGTATATTTCCCCTCGCAGGTCTACAGATCGCTGCCTGAAATCTATGTATTCTCCTCTGTAGATTCCCTTAGGTAAGCTTTCTATTTTGCTTTGAGGGTCTGTATGTGCAATGTCCCCTCTCTTTTTCCTTTTGGGCAATCTATCCAAATGTTAACTGTTCAGTTCGAATAATGTGTGCTTTACTCCAGTTTCATACCGTATTAATTCCTATCATCAATTTAGTCCGGCAATTCCAGCAATGCCAATGAAACGTCGCTGCGTTGACACTTCTTCTAGACCAAAAAATCCTCCATTAGATTATAACTCTGCTACTGCTCGATCTAATATATTCATTCTGTTCTTAGTTTGATGTTTTTCTGAGATTGTATGTCATAAATGCACTGAAATTGTAACTTATTTGATTTGGGTGCTCCATTGTGTCTTTGTTACGGAAAGGAAGGGCAATATGTCTCGCTTGAAGGTCAACACTAGCTGAATTCAACACGGAGAGGGCGTGTCTTGAGGGTGGTAAGTGAATGTCAATTTTGTCTACCATTGATTTTATGTACATAAGAGCTGTTCTTAGTTGCGATGCTTCTTATTTTGAGTTATTGACAAGTTGAATGCCCCCCTCAATAGCGTGAATGGTCATCTTGCTACTTTAACTAGGATGAGAAGGAAGTTTGTATTGGTGACATGAAGGATTTATGGAATACGTGTTGTTTCAGTCCCAACTGTGTCTCTCTCTGCCTTTCACTTACCTTATACTGATAGGAAGTTTATGTTTGCTAGCTTGAGAACTTTTAAGATTGTAGCTTAAAATGGGCATACTTTTAAGTTTTGTTCGACTTAGCAGACTTATTTCGTGAGGTAAATCACGATGAACCTGATGAACCCGTGCACTTTGTTGTCAATTTTCAATTGTTTGTTTTGTGATGAGGTCAATACTAATTTTAGATCATAAATAGTTATCTTTATGTTAAGGTCAATTGAGAGCTGATTAGTTTGTCTCAAGCCAATTTTTGCTATGAAGATAAGAACAGGTGTTCAAAGTATGAAGATTCTTTTTTTTTCTATTAGCTTAACTGCCATACTAACATGGGTCTTTCCCTTTGCTTATCCCTGCTATTGAGTCATTCTACAATGCTTTAGTTGATGCAATTTAACAATCCAGATAAACATCTCAGGTCACTATGTGATTCTTAACCTTTTCCTAACTTCTCAGTCGTTTTCTTTTGGATCCTTTACCCTGTCTCTTCCATTTGGTACTTCTCATCACTAACCACCAATAATCTAAAAACACTTAATTACTAATGACAATAATGGGAGAACTTAAACGGTTAATTGTGATTGAATTACAAGATTCCAGAACAGAGTGGCCGATGGGAAATCCTGCTCGCAATAAGTGCAGAAGATTCATATATTTTTCCTTCACAATTATGCATAAAGTTAGGCTTATTTGGTGTTATGAGATGAGACTCTCAAAGGAACTCTTAATAATTACCTTCCAACACAATGCATCTTACCAATGGATTATATTACAGATGCATACTTGACAAATTATAGAGTTAATATTTCAAGTTTCTTGAGCATGAGTAGTATTATATGAGTGATGTCTCTGATCATAATGCGTGGAACTTATGTTAAAGTGGCATTTTTTACACTATCTGCACTGAGTGGTTAATTACATCAATTTCATATTTATGAATCATGTCTTTATATCCAGCTTCTCTAATATGCTTTGTTTACTACATAATGGTTGTTTTTATTATTGTACATATGATGAATTCCATGTTGTGAACATGAAACTTAAATTGATTAGTGTGAACAAACTAATCGGTTTAGCTTATTCTCGCAAACCCAGCAAGTTGTGAACCTGAGACTTAAATTACCTTTTAAACTTACTCAGATTAACTTCTTGAACCCTCAAGATATGTGATTAGTGTGGAGCATGATACACTTGGGGTGAGTGGTAAATATATCCGTGGAACTTACATTTCATATAGCAAAAAGATGGTATCAGCTTAATTTCATCATTTCAATTTATCTTATCGCTCTAATTTGATTGTGACAATTGAGCTAGATTACAAGTTATCTCTACATAAGTACAACTCCTATCTTGAGGAAACTAGCAAGACTACGCCCAGTCCCGAGGTTCTTTGAGGAAAAACCTTAACCAGGCACAAAAGGAAGCATGGGGACAACTATGACCCTAAGGAAGTGAATATTGGTGGAGCCTGGAAGCTTTGTGTAGTTAAGGGCCACGTTGTGAACTGTATTTTAAGTAATGTGATTTCCAATCTATGGGATGTTTGTGAATGGTTTGGTTTTTACAGTATTTGAACTTTTAGATTGTATATGGTTGCTTTGTCATTTTCCAAAGAGAATCGTTATTCGAGTTAAAATAGCATGTATTTGTGTGAGTTTATTATATCACCAGTTTATGGCTCATCTGTTTGTCACTGTTACAAGTTTGATTTTCTGTGTTTTTCTTGGCAGCATGTATAATTTGTGTTACTTTTGGATAGGGGCATACTGCATTTGTTGTTTGTGGCAGCAGGAACCTCAATTTTTTACAAATATGATGCTGCAACCTGAAGCCTCATTCTTAGCCAGAGGTTATTTAGTATTGTCTTCACTTTTGCTTCTTATTTCTATGTTCCCTTCCTAATTTTTGTCTTACATTGATCCACTGAACTTGCCTTTGTGTTGGGACTCCATCTGGTCAAATTGCAAATGACACCAAAACTGCTTCATGTTTATGAGATGGAGACAACCATGATGGTGCTTAATAGAATGGTGCAGGCTGTTCACTTGGAGGCTTGGATATTATGAGCAGTTGTGTTCTCCAAACTATGGGGTGTTTGTGAATGGCTTGGTTCTTATCAGTTTTGAAATTTATATTATACATAGTTTTATTTATCACTGCGACAAATTTGATTTTCTGTGTTTTTCTTGGGAGCATGTAGTAGTTGTGCCATCTTTGGATAGGAGCATATTGCGTTTGTGAATGGTTTGGTAATTATCAAATTCAGACTTTGAAATTGTACTATAGTTTTGGCTGTCACTGAACTATGAAAATGGGATTTGAAGTTCAAAATAGAAGGCTTTATGTGTTTATGGTGGCAAGTGGCAAAAACTTATTGCCAGTATTTTTATTACCACTGCACCTTGCATCTGTCCGTGTTCTTTATGCCAACAACTTGCATTTGTGTTACTTGACACCAACTGCCAACTTCTGCATGTTCATGGTAGAAAGCGAGAAATATCTCGGAATTGATTGTGGTAATGCTATAGCAGCCAAAAGGTTGCTTCCTTCCCAGGGGTTATCAAGTGGTAGTGTCTTCATTTTATGGTGTTTATGTATAAATAACAGAACATTATAACAGCAATAGCAGCTAATATGAATTGACTTAAAAAGCTAATCCGGCCAACGGCCGGGCCCAATGCTAGTATAAATAAGAAGCAGAGGCAGAGACGCAAAGTGTTGAACTGTACATTAACGGCTAACAAACCGTAAAACAATTAAACGACCAATAGCTGCTAGACAAGTGGGAGTCATTAACTACTAATCTAACTAGATATTTAGCCAACGCGACACCGTCTTGCTTGTGGAGTTAGAATACCACTTAGCCAAACGACCTCGCAGACCCTGTTGCTGGATACCGGATTGAGTGAAAGGAAGCTCAGCCCAGCTGGTTCTTCTTTTCTATCTGCAGAGTTCTTCATCTTCTTTCACGTTCATTTCCTCTGCAGCAGCTTGTTCATCATCAATCCCATTCACAGCTGGTGACGACAGGCTTCCCTGCCTCCGCAAACTTCCTCACCAGACCCACCACCTTGTGGTCGGCGCTCAGAAGCTCCATGAACATCCAGCCGGGAATCAGGATGCAATCGTACCAGTTGGCCTTCACTTGTTCGAAGTTGGCGTTCACCGTGAAGAAATGCCCCTTAAGCTCTGTTTGAGCCAGGGAACCCATTGCCTACTTTCCCAATTTGTTTCTAACCAAGGCTAAGCTGCTAGCTTTATATATAGGAATAGGAGAGAGGATAGAGTGCAGAAACAGATGGGTTATTGCATTATTGGTATTAAGTTACCTCTTAGAGGCTAGCACTGGCAGTGGGCAATGAGATTACAAAGTGTGAATTGAATTCCCATTTGTAGGTTTCATATAACAGAAAACACCCATAACGTTCACGTTTCAGAGGTTGGGTGAAGAACGACAGAAAAGCTGGAGCCAGGAATGGCCTCAGCTTATGTAAAGTAAGCTGCTTCTGCAAAAGCTACCGCAGGGCCAAACTAAGCTAAGGTAAAGTACATGAAATAACGGTTTGTATATTACGCAACTGATCTACAGGTGCAAGTGATACAATTGCTGCTAAAAGCAAAGAATCCAGCAGCCCCAACCCAACCCCACTGCTCCCTCTATCTCCCTCTCTATCTCTCCATCTTTCTCTGTAATCTTGTTATAACATTCGGGAACACCCCCACAAAAACAAAAGAATGGCGAGCTCCATATGTTTACAGAAAAGAACCACAACAACGGCAAGAGATTACCCAAATTTTTTTGATTAAACAACAAAAAAAAGGGCAAGGTATCATGCCATGGTATAAACTAATATGTTTCAGACTTTCAGGCCACATACCTACAACATGTCTCCATTGCCTTAGTCTGTTCTTGGTCTGTTGGAGCCATTTCTCGTGGTGTTGTAAAGCGGCAACAGCCATCTTGAACCGTGTTTCCTTCGGCCATAACACCGCCAATATAGCACCAGAATCACAACTATGAAAACCACGGGAATTGCCCATCTGTGGGGGGAAAGATTTGAGAATCAATAGAGTTCAATGAAAGAACTAACAGTGATGTGCAGATTTTATAAGGGTAGGAGACAGATGAGGGGGAGAGAGAGAGATTGACTTTACCTATCTAAATCAAGGACAGGGCTGTAAACGACAGTCTCCCAGGTTGCTACTATGAAATGCCAAACCGGGTTATAATATAGTGACTCGGCCGACCAAAACATTCTAGTGTATGTCTCTAGGAAGATGAATAGTATCCACGCGCTCATCTCAATCAAAATAAACTTTATAACGAACCGGCCTACTACCACCATCACAAGGGAGAAAGTCACCAACCAGTTGAACAGCCTGTGGTTATATTCCTTTATAAATTGGGATTTGGATTTCCCCATCATCTGAAACAATCAACAAAACACCACCAAAGGTTCCAAGGGTTATTATGTTATCCATAATCGAAGCAACAATTAAACGAATTAAGTGAACATGGATGTCTGACCTTCATCATGCGGTTCTCGTATACTGCTTTTGAAGGTCCAACACACTCCTTCTCAAAACTCCGGTTGCATTGCAAGAACCCAGCATTGAATTTTGCCATGGAAGGAAGTCTTAGAACTTGAAGCTGGTCCATTTTGTCCTCGCACCTAGAGTATAGCGCCTCACAGAGTTTTGCAGATTGATACTCATTTGCCATAATGATGTGCTTGAAAACCTAAAAAATAACTTGAGGCAATTAGGTGCGAAAAATAGTTCCAGAATTTGCAGATACGTGTATGGCCCTACCCTCAAATTTAACACCAAGTAGGCAGAAATGAAACAAAGGGATCAACTCTTAAGGCTGCAAGCAATTCCACAGTTTCATCCATCACCATACGGCACAGAACATTGCAAAATGTGCACCACAACAGAAATCAACAGGCCACCCACATTTCGATAATTAAAGACGGAAAAGAAAATGAGATTTGACATGCATTGAAAATCCGATCAACCAGTAGTGACAGAAAGTGAATTCAGAGAGTGCGACCTCTTATCTCAAGATTCAGATATTGTATGTTTAAGAGAGAAGATGAGAGAGTTTCAGCCACTGGGACAATGCTGAGTTCAACATCTTAACCAGTTCCACAAAAGATAAGTGAATCGCAGACAAGCACATAGAGTTTCACGTTCTTTCACCTGCACCCAATTAGTGCACAGGCACAAACAGACCAAAACCTTTTTTAGCAAATAGAGACCTAAACTTCTATTAATTAGTGGAAAACAAACATAACAGCAGGGTTTCTGATTGGATCAGTACTACCTTATCAATTTCTTCATCCAGTTGCATGACAGATCTCTTTGCATGATGACGGCCAAAATGTTGCTCATCAAATACTTTCATAGATCTTTCCCTTGACCTTCCATGGGCATCTTGAACAGCTTCCTCTGTCAGTGGCAAATTTATTTTAGCCATGCCCTCACTGTATATTTTCAAACATCTTTCAAGGATAGCCTTGTTGAAAACCTCCACAAGAGATCCAGTTGATGGTATTTCTCCTTTATTCAAGGCTTCAAGAATCTGAATTTTGCAAGTGACAGGTGAGTACAATCAACGTGCAACAAGCAAAGCACGACATTTTAGAAACAAGCATGCTCTCTTTAGGTTACCTGCTCAAGGAATGCTACAAACTCCTCCCCATTCATGGATTTACCCTGCACAATCTTTGGACGAATGATGCTGGAAACAAGATCTTTCAACCTTTCCCTTCTTGAGACATACAATTGCTCAAGCTCGCCGTCTTTCATTTCACAAAGCTTTGTCCGGTGGAGGTGAGGCTGTATATTTTCATTGTGCAGGGTGTTAAGAGAGGCACTTGAAAGATAAAAACTAGCATACTGTCAATCTCCTTCATGCCCCTCCCCAAATACAGTGAAGGAAAAAAGTCAACTGCAATAAGTATTGAGTGACACATACTTGTGGCAAGCTAAACGCTGTGCTGTTATCACCCATTATAGCCAGTGATTCTCGGATCTGATTAACCTGGTGTCATCCAAAAGCAAAATCCTATTATCATCCAGGAAGGCAGGCAGTTCTTTGAAATCAACAAAGATTAAATTTGAAAAAGAACAGAATGAGTACCTGATCAATATTTCTGTCTCCTGCAAGTAGAATAACATCCAATTTCCACCATCAGAACTTCTCCAAACTGAAGTGAATGCACTTACAAAAAAATTCTACTCACTGGAGTAAACTAACCATCTTGATTGGGCACACGTTGAAGGGCTTCATTCACCATCTCCTGCACTGATTTCCCCTCTGAAAGCACATGATATTACAGCGGTGTATAATTCACAATATCTACCAATACTCATGCTCGTCTATAAAGATGCATCAAAGCTTGATATTGCTAGAAAGAAACCACACAGTAACCGTGAAAGCTACTCCAACATGATATTTAATGAACTTACGTAGAAAATCTCGTTGAATAAGCCAGAGAAGTTTTGAAGGTTCAAAAGCAACATCTTCACCCTGTTAGGAAAATGGAGAGTGAGTGTCATCAACTACAGATCAGCATAAACAGAAATAAACAGATGTGTCATGGTCATCAACCAAAAGACCAAGAAAGTTACCTTCACTCTGTTCTCCATGAAGATAAGCCAGCCAACCAATTAAAAAACCTCGTGTTAGTGATACATAAATAACAACCGCATTTAGATTGGTAGGTAACATATTACTTCACCATGTGAGTATAAAAGTGCAAACCTTCCGTAGAATTCTTCAGCAAGTTCAACAGCAAATGACAGGCGAGAAATATCAGCCTCTCGGATCTGGCACAAAGACCCATAATGATTCATCAGAATTGGTAGAAGTAATAGGATGAGAAAGGTCAAAACAAGAATAATATTAAACACAAATTCTACCCTTTCTGTTTTAAGGCGCCCAAGGGTTCCCACTAAAGGATAGTCCTGTGTCTGGGAAAGAAAATGAAGGGAGTGCAGAGCAGATAACTATCACTAACTTCTTTGCATTCCCTTGGTTTGGAAAAATGAAAACAGGAACAAGGGGGTTGATTATGAGCGGAATTTCTACTGTTTAAGCTTAACCACTGATTAGGAAGCTTCTGAGCATTTCCTTGGTTTGGGAAAATCAGAACAGGGACAAGGGGATTAATTATATTGGGGATTCCTACTGTTTAAGCTTAACCATTTACAAAGTTAACATCCGATGTTTGACAATTGAGCATAATTGTAAAACTCTTACTAGTAGATCCAAGGATTATACAATACTGCAACAGTATCTGACAATTGATCCTCATGAAAGACAATACATAACTGATTTTGCATGACCCAGACTTATGCTACCACACTGATGGTAGTTGGTACCATGTTTATTTTTTTTTTTTTAATTCAGACTTCCATCCACCGCCGATCCAGTGAACCATAAGTCCCCCATATGATATCAAACTTCAAATTTCAATCATTAACAGCTTAGACTCTGCAAGAAGTAAAATAATATATGCCATAACGAGATCCTAAGACAACATATTTGTATAGCCAACAAACCAGACTTCCCTTAACAAAAATCTGATTCATACTAATATCCAAAGCAGCAAAAGGCACTAACCGTTTCTGGAAGATTATAAATAAGCACAGAACTCAATACAGTTGCAAGAGCAAATATCCTGCAAAATTAAATGTCAGTTGGCCAGGCACAAGCTGGGCTCAAAATCACCATGGAAAGTCGCAAACGTCGCAGCAATTCAATTTACCTATCATCATAGACATTGGACTTGCCAACACTTTCAAACCCTTCAGTATCTAGGTAAAAGACCGATGTTTTTACTCCGTTGATGTCTAACTCTACCGGAGTTCCCCATACCCAAATTCCTGATGAAAAATAAATGTAGACAAATTACATAAAACAGTTAAAGAATAATTGAAGTTTCTCAATACCTCATTTCAGAATACCTTTTGTTTTCGTATCACGCATATGTCCGACACCAAATCCTGGAGGTAAAATATAACTGTAGTGTCAACTGAATGAATCTCTCTATTTCCCTACTTCTAAATACAAGAATTCCAACATATATGAAAAATATAATGTAATAATCTCACCTTCATCACAAGAAAGGGAAAGGAGTTGATTAAGCAAAAATGATTTTCCAGAACGATATGGACCAATAACCTGAATAGCCAATGATTAAGCTACTAGTCAGAAAAAAAAAAACCAAGCAAGCACATTTTCTACAAAATACTGCAGGCTGTAAATTTTTACGTGATATTAGAAAATAGTAACCAAGCCGAAATGAAATATTCTCATATACTATTCTATAAAACTGTGACTCTAAGGAGTTCTATTTTCTATGAACGCTTTTAGAAGGGTGAGACGGCTGGTAATGAGTTAGCCCATTAGAATTGTTGACGAATTAAAAACTGAAATCAGAAGAAAGAACCCACAGTGACACTCGGATATTAGTTCAATAACCTAGAACTGAAATCAAGTCATGAAATTTCCTTTCTGAAAGAATTGTATCCTGATACACCAAATAGTCTAATTAATGTTCACAAGCTACAAAAAAACACACAATTTATAGACTTGCAAGCAGCAGCGCCAAGTAAAGAGTTACCAAAATTAGTTACTCAATTTAAAAAGACTATTCAATCCATCTGAGCCATGTTGATATAATGTTATATAATATCTTCAGCAGCAGTACTCAGAAGTCTCATGATACTACATGGAGAATTAATAGGTAAGGAAGGGGAATTCTCAGCCATACAGCAACAGCGGCAATTGGGTTTTTTATTCTTCTAATAGCTTCCAAGCCTTCACGTGAAAGACGAAGTTTTGTATGTCCTGGATCAGGTTCAACAATGGGAAACCTGCATATGCAAAGAGAACAATCAAAGCACACATATTACTAGCTTCTCCAGCCTATCCTGACCTCACAAATGAAACTCTAAATTATCAAGCAAGAATCACATTTCAATAATCTTGCAAGAGAAATGGATACTATTGAATGGCACTTATCTCAATAATCTTGCAAGAGAACTGGAGGCTAGAACATAAAAGCATGGAGCAAATAATATCAGAAATTAAAATCTTAGAAAGGGATGGACTTGAAGTACATTCTTAGCATAATATTGTACAAATGAGGTAGGTGTGCTTCAAGCTCGCGCTTTTTTCCTTCATAATGGCTAAATCATGTGTACGTCCTAAGAAGTCTAACTCCCCGAGAGACTATTATTGCACCCCACGAGTCAAATTGAAGGTGAAGCAACCAGAAATCCTCCATGACAACGTGCAAGATTTTATCCAATGATTCAACACCTAACTTAAATAGAAATTTCAAGGAACCCTCGGTGACTGGCCAACTAACATGGGTACAAACAACCAACACAATGCAACTTAAGTTCTATGTAGACGAAGAACTCTTATTCACTTTCTCAAACCAGGTTGGTCTCTTTATGTCCACCAGGTAACACAAAAAATTACTCCAAAACACACCGAACTAAAAGCATCGGGTACCAAGTACCAAACACACTGGCCAAAGGCACAAAAGGTCACAACTTCTTATTCCTTTTCCTCGCTAATTTAACAACTTATGGTTCTGACAGCAACCTAGTTGCGAGAACACAGCTAGAACCTGTAAAATATTCACACTTTTTCAACTAATTCTTACAATCACAACTAACAACTTCCCTAACAAACACCAGATCAAGCTTCATATGTATATGCTTTGCAATAATCCAGCGCAACAAGTCGGTGAATGCCCAGCGCCCCACAATAAAACACAAACGCAATAGAGAAGGAAGTAAGCATTCAGGGAAAGAAAAATTGCACTCTCCACATTCTGCAGAGACGCGAGATTTTCGAAATAGAAAACAAATTCAAACAGCTAACAGGCAGTTGGCGCGATTCAACGTACGCTTGGTGGAAATCGTCGATCGAGCTAGACGGAGATGCGAAGAGGCATAGGAGAAGTAGGGGAAGCGAAGCAATCAAGTTCCGGCAAGAAGTCGTCATTGCGATTTAGAATGAGGAGTGGCGCCGGCCGGAGATCGTGGCGGAGAATGCAGCGGCGGGTTTTACTACACAAGGAAGCGGAGGGCGGTGCATGAGCCAGGGATGGAAGGATTCTTGAACCCAATGGGGAAAGAAGGGAATGACACCGGGATCTGGTGTTGGGGAGACGGAAGGGTGTACGTTAAGAATCGTGCATCCACATGGAGGAAAGGAATGAAGAGGGAGATGGTTTTCGCATCTACGAAAGAGGAGCGCAGGGGAAGCTGTTTTGTTCCTAGTAGCAGAGGATTGAAGCGCCACGCCCACGCATTGGGAAGTAGGGGTACACAAACCCGCAAACCGATCCGCCCCTCCAATTAGCGATGGCAACAAAACTCGAATCCACAGGTACCCACTCGACCCAACTCGGTTAATGTGGGTAAAACTCGTGTTGATATATTTTGAGCCGAGTTCGGGTTTAAACTCGTTCACTATTCACCGGATTGGGTTGAGTTTGGGTTTAGATAAACCCGCCTCATAGGTACCCACCCGCCTATACTAATATAATTAATTTTCTCGGTATATTTAATATTCTAAACAACTAATCTTATTTATGTTTGTGGAGACATGTCTAATTTTTTCTTTCTAATTGTGTAGAATGAAGTTGATGTTATCGAGTGGAGAGTGAAGAAATTTAATTAACAAGGAGGAAAAAGCTTTCAATTAATCATGTTATTTATGGATAATTTGTGATTTGATTTTCTTGAGTTTTCTAGATTGGTGTTGAACAATTTGTATAGTTAATTTGTGATTTGCTTGAATTTTCTAGAATGGTGTTTTATATATGAATAATTTGTATTGAGAAATTGATAATTGACTTTAATTTTGATAGGAACTTGTTATTGTAAATTTTTTACAACAAAAACCTGTGGGTACGCATGAACCCGCGGATACCTAGCGAGTTGGGTTAGGTTTGAGTTTTTCAAACCCTGTGGGTTTTACCCCGTTTTTTTCACGGATAAACCCATGGGTTTGGGTTTGGCAGAACCCGACCCATTGCCATCCCTATCTCCAACCGGCTCCAGATACTAGATACTGATCAATGAATAACAAAATCTCAACCATAAGATTTAAAGGTGGAGAATTAAATACATTTTTATTTTTTCTTGTTTTCTTAATCAACTCATATGTAACATCCCGAACCTTTTTCCAACAAAGATATTATTCGCTTTGGGGCTTGGATCTCTACCCTCACAGTTTTTTCGACTTGGGGTGCAATTTAAGGTGACTTATCATAAAGTCACACATGAATGCAGCTCACGCATCCTGTTGCAGACCACCAATTAATTCCATCAGTTAAAAAATGTCTTTCAAGCTTCAACAATATATATGCTAGTCAGTACAGCAACAACAATATTGGTGATAATTAAGTTTTGTCACTAGATGAATTGTTATTATTTTTTTTATTGATAATTAGTACTTTAAAAGAATAAGTAAGAATTTTACTATTTTATAGTGTCACATCAAATTAATTTTTTAATTAAAATCAGCCAATAGGATTGACTTTTATTAATTAATCAATCTATTTTTTTATGCTTTCTTTCTCTCTCTTCCTTTTTTTTGTTATGTAAAAAAAAGGGTAAATACAATATATTAGCCACAACTATTATGAAGCGGGAAATTTTTGCCACAACTATGGAAATTCAAATTATTAGCCAAACGTTAACTATTTGTTAACAATTTTGTTAGTAATACTGACTTTAACTTTTATGTTTTAAAGTTATAAATTAAAAGGATTCCGCCGTGGCGGATGACATGACCTTCTCCATCAAAAATTCAATAACAATAACAGACAGTTAGCCATATCTTGACCCGCAACAATAGTTATAGCTAATAATTTGAATTTTCATAATTGTGGCTATAATTCCCCGCTTCATTATAGTTGTGGCTAATATATTGTATTTACCCTAAAAAAAAGCAAATGGGAATGTGATTTTTGTTTCTCTTTCATCTTTCTTCTTTGTCATTGTCTTTTTTCTTTCCTATTTATTGTTCTACAGTGTCACATCAAAATTAATTTTTTTATTAATTAAAATCAGCCAATAGGATTAACTTTTATTAATTAATCAATCTATATTTCTGTATGCTTTTTTTTGTAAGTTCCCATGCTTTTAATTAGGGGTGGCTATACGGTCCGGACCGGTTAAATTGGCCCAAATTGATCCGGTCCAGTCCGGTCTTTTTGAAAATATAAGGACCGAAGATTGGATTGGATACAGTCCGGCCTTGATCCGGTCCGGTCCCAATTCGGTCTTGATTTTACATTGAGATTGTGGGATTTGAGTGGCCTAAGGCCTTAAAGGGTGAGGAGTTGGTTAAGTTTTGTGCAAAGGTTTGTGACCGTTTATGCAAATTACCCTTAAGTTTTGGGTGTTGAGCTCTCTTATCCGGTCTTTATCCGGTTTTTTACCTCAAATCTAAGCCCAAAGATTGGATTGTTTACTATCCCGTACCCGGTCCAATCTCGGTCCGGGTTATACGGCCCGGTTTTCGGTTTTTAATCCGGTCTCGGTCCAAATAGCCACCCCTACTTTTAATTGGAAGAAGAATGGTAACGGAAACAACGGAGAGAAATAGGAGTATATCCAGAAAGTGGTCAGAGCAGAACAATTATAGAAGGAAAAAGATGCGAGTGGGCAATGCATTTATTCCGCTAAACAACGATAAATTGGAATCTGTAATACAATCACAAACATCATTATCCAACTAAAACGACAATAGGGAAAAATGACCTGCACATACGACTATAATCAAGTTTCATTCATCCGCAATTTCTAAGAAAAAAGAAAAGTTATCATAAAGCTCCTACTGGATGGTTTGTGGATGACTATTCTTTTCTTTTTCTAGAAACTACTTCATTTCTTCGTGTCAAAATGAGGATGTGGGATAAAAAAAATTAAATAGAGAATCGAATTTCTTTTTGTTTTCAACCAAAAACTTGGAGATTGTGTAATGCAGTGCCCCTCCAATCCATCCTACCCTTCCTCATGTGTGGTCAAATGATTTATGGCTTATTATTATAATGGTTTCCATTCCTTATACTTGGGTATGTTTTCATTCCTTCCTTGTTGTGATTTTGAGTTCATTGATAACCATTTCCAGCATTATTGATGTTGCTGCCATTAGATGCCTTTCATGTCTTAAATATTCATTTTAGTGAGCTAGGAAATGTTTGGATTGTTTTGGATTTGTGGGGTATGGTTGAATGAATCCGAGCTTTGAGGATCATGATTCAAAAGTTGTAGCCACTCTATGATGCACAAGTACTTGAGTAGATCTTGGAAATGCAGTTGTGAGTGAGTTTACAGAAGAATCCCTCCTTACTGAACTTTCCAAATGATTGTCATTTATAGTTCGAATTTTCAATCGTTCGATTCTTAACTTATGTACTCCGTTTTATTTGTTTTTCCCTTTCGAATGTGATTCTGCTACTTTCTTCTGTGTAGGTTTTCACTTCTAATTTGCCATTCTATGCCAGTTACCTACTTCCATTCTTTACGGATATGTTCATAATATAAAAAGATCACTTTGCAGGTGAGGGAGAATTTTGTTGCAATGCTTCTTCTCGCTTATTTGTTGCCAATCACTACAGCTTCCCTATATCTTATCTAGGGAACTTACAATTTCATCATCAAAATTTGATTTTTTTTAGGAGCAGTTAGTTAGAGACAACCATTACACTTCTTTTTTTCTTCTCGACCAGTATAAGCTATGGCAAGACTCTTAGGATATTATTGGATGCGTTCCTTTAGTGATATAACAGCTCAAATTCTGCTATGTCATCGCTTTGTTGTATAGCTGAATGCATTTCAACTACATTCGGTATTTTATTGTTGTCCTTTCATTTGTTGGTCTTTAACTATATGAAGTTTCAGTGTTGATGTTGCTTAGTGTTTTTAGTCTGTAATTCTATATAGTGTTATGCTCTTTAAGAATCAACTTATTTTTCAGTTATGTAACTTGAGTTACTTTACAAATAAGACAAGTTTTTTCTTATGCTACCAAGTACTCCTAATATTGAACAACGATATATGTACCTTTCAAAACACTCTTGCTAAGTTAAGAATCTATATTGACTCTCTTACAAGATCAATTTTCGAAAAGTGCATTGCGGGCTTAAATTCACTCATCGCGAAGTGCAAGCGAGCAGGTCTTGCTAGTCTCAATCACAGATGAAGTACCCATCACTTTATCCTCTTCTCCTTCCACTGCGTCGTCAGGGAGAGGACTGTGGGCGGCCTCTGAGTGGAGGTGGCAGAGAACAGAGGAGACAGCAGGGGAAGCAGGGGAGTTGTTGTTCACCTCCAAATCCACGTCATCATCACCGTCATCTTCATTCCCGGAACCTCTGGTCGTGCTCCAGTATGATGTGTTGGGCTCCGCCGTCGTCGTCGTCGTCTTCGGAGAATAATTATTAAACAGCTGCTGCTGCTGCGCTTTGAAATACTTCTCTACGCAGGCTTTCAGATTCTCGTGGAGTTGTTGCTTCTCCACGTAGGAGTAGTCGTAGATTTCGCCCTCGATGGCGGCGTAGGAAGGGCGGGTGTACGGAGATGACGGTGCCTCTGTAAACTGAAAATGTCGATCAAACTTCATCATGTTTTATTGGAATGAAAAACAGGTCTTAAGTACAATCAATGACCCAACAACTTGCACCAAATCCGGCCACTCATCTAACTCACTAACCCACTAGTCCTAGAATGCAGCAACGACTAATCAGCAGCCCAGAAGTACTTCTACTGGACAACAGACTCTATCAATAAATACGACACAGTTCAGACTTAAAAGAGCTCATGTGACAAACCACGTGGGTTGCACACTAACAAGCTCTAACAAATTCTCCCCTAAACTGAAAACGTTTCAAATGTTTCAGTTTAAAAGGAACTTCCACAACAAACATAAACGCAGCGGGCAACCATGTTCTGAAAAAATCACACCAGCAAACAGCAGCATAATTCAGCAGTAGCATCTTCACACTTCAGACTTGGTTCCACCAAATAAGCTTCTCAAATATCTCCAACTTCACTGCTTTTGTCACGATGTCTGCAACTTCGTCTTTACCGCCACAATAGTCGAGCTTCACCACTTCTTAACCAAGCCATCTGCTATCGGTATAACTGAAACTAGACCCTCGATGTATGCATCAGCACCCTGTGAAAACATAGCCTCACCCATGTAGACATGAAACCAGTTGCAACTTTCCCCGGTTTACTTAAACACAACAGCAACTTCACTCTAAAATAGCAGCAACAAGGTCCGGTTGAGCAGTGAGGACCCCTTTCCAGCCAACTGATAATATTCTAACACTAAGCCTCTCCTAAACTGAGTTTACTCCAAAGCAGCAGCAGCTCTGCAATCCACAGCAAACTCAAATGCTTGCAGCAACAACTTTTGAAACTTCACACACTCCATGTATTCCACTCATTTAAACAAACATCATCATCTTCATAACTTTACGCAATTGATCTTTTATCTCATGACACTCCAACACCATAACCTCTTCATTGATAACAAACTAGAGCTGTGAACATCTTGATGCTTGAACTGCTGTCACCTTCAAGCCCATTTCCTTTCCAACCCACTTGCTTTTAAAAAAAAGGAACTCATCTCTACCACTTTCATGAGCTTTAACTTTTTGCAGCATCACCATTCGACACACATAAACAAGTAAAACAACAACTTCACACCTTTAATCAATTGCAACCGCAGAACTTTCAGCAACTTGAGAGTTTGTGGCATTCCTTCAATCAACTCAATCATTTTATGCTAGCCTCCAACGAGATTGGCTTCAGTTCAACTTCACTTTCTTCTATCTTCTTCCTGGCAAGGCATGCTCAACTGTTTTCATTTCCGGTTTCTTCACTGTACTCTCTAGACCTGTCCTTTCAGATCTCTCCTTCTCTGTCATCTGCCAACAAGCGAGAACTGCAACTCAAAGAGTAATTTGCAGGCTCTCAAATTGTTACTTGTTGCATGACATAACAACCGAGTACTTTTAAACCAGTCATTCGCCCACCAAATAAGGACCAGCCACTCTGCTGCCTAATCGTCGAATGACATTGAAACTAAACTGATAACGATGTAATTGCACGTATTTGCACCCCTAGTTCTTATCCGTTTGAGGGGCATAGTCGTGTATTTTTGGCCTATTTTACGACGGCTTGTGCTATTTTGTCATGTTTCAGGTCCCAGGTGTCAAAGGAAAGGCTAAGCACGAGTTTCGGGGCATTCGGAAGTCATTTCGTCAAGCTGGAGCCAAAACACGGGCACACCTAAACCATTACATGGCCGTGTTCTGTGGCCGTGCTTTTACTGCCGAGAGCTAATTGAGTTTGGCAAATTCAGGTTGCAAACACGGGCAGGGCTGAGATAGAACACGGGCGTGCTTCACCAAAGCACGGTCGTGTCCTCCCAAAAGCACGGCCGTGTTTCTCTTAGTGTAATTAACACTAGCCAAAGCACGGGCGGGCTGAGACATTACAAGGCCGTGCCCTCGACCGTGCTTTGGCCACTGATGCCCTTTTAAGCAGATTTTCAGCCAAACAGAAGGGGATTCGAGTTTTAGAGAGAGAGATCAGTTCCTAGAGAGAGAAAGAGACGAACAAGAATCTCCAAGTGCCCTAGCTTGATCTTCAACACCATTGGAGGCCAGTTTGAGCTTGGAGAAGTGCCGATCAACGTCCAGGAGCAGGAATCCATCCTTCACAGTATGAATTCCGCGTCTGATTCTGCTTTTGCTTCTTTCTCCATGGAGTAGTTCTCCCATTCATCTGGGTATGGAGAACCCTAGATTTGTATGTTAGGTTTGATTGTATGAACCCAAATACTGATTCTATGATTTGATTATATTCGATTGAGGGTTGAATGATTGAATGACTTGAATCCTGATCAAATTCCTGTTGTTTCTGCTTTAACCTAGAATGAGAATATCTGCCTAGGTTGATAGAGCATCCTTGATTGAAGATAGGGAGTTGGTGACTTTAGTCGAGGAGCCAACTCACTATTCTGTACCGGATTTACTCCGGTAGTGGAGGTTTTGTTTGTTAAGGCCTCAATCTGTTTACTCCGGTGGAGGTTAGTCGCCCGCTAGAGACTCAGATTGAGAGGGTCTGAAGACCTTTAGTCGAGACTTCAGGCTGTTTAAGAACCTTCCGCAGTATAACTATCATAGAAACTGAACTTGGTAATTACAATCCGGCTTAACTGCAGTCTAGGGGGAACCATATCCGGGTGACCTCTCTTAACCCGAATACAACAGTTTACTTGCTTTGTTAGTTTGTTAGTTTAGACTTGCATTCCAGTTTCATTGTTAGATAACAAGAATTCACTGAGTAGTCATCAGATCTAGGACCCGGGTTGACATATAAACCTAACCCGCTATACTACGCTTTAGGAAGTGGTTTCACTTGGCCAATTCCTAGGGTGACAGTAGAAGTGAGTCAAGTTTTTGGCGCCGTTGCCGAGGACGGCTAGGTTGTTGAAGAAAAGTGATTTCTGTTAATTTAGCTTTTCTTTTTGCTTTGTTTGCTTTGTCCCACTTGTGCCTTCACGGGTTTGCTTGCTTGAGTGTGTGCAGGTAGTGCATGACCCGTAGGCCGTAGCCAGTCAGGAGGTTTACTGTCGTTGAATCCAGAGATTGATCGCACCTGTCGCCAGCTCCGGAGACAACAGCGAGCTAGACTGGCTACGGAAGAGTGCATAGACGGCCACCTGAGTAGCGATTCTGAAGAAGTGTACGGGATGGACGGAGACTACAATCAACACCAGGGGAATCCTCAGCAGGCTCCCCCGGTGAATCAGGTCCTGGGGAACAACCCTATACCCCAGGATCATGGAGTTCATCATCATCACCCGCCGTCGGGTCCCACATTGGAGTACTACTACACTCCTCGGATTGCTGACATCCGCCCGGTCATCCTCTACCCGCCTACTCCAGCAAATAACTTCGAGATCAAGCCATGCTGGATTCAGCTCATTACATCCTCTATCCAGTTCCATGGCTTGAAGGATGAGGAGGCCAGGGTACATCTTTCCCGTTTTCTGCAGCTGACGAACGGGTTCAAGCTGAATGGTGTCCATGATGATGCAATCCGCCTTCATCTCTTCCCCCATTCTCTGGCGGGGAATGCTAAGAGGTGGTTGGAGACCCAGCCCCCATTGTCCATCACCTCTTGGGATGATCTGGCTGACAAATTCGTGCACAGGTACTATCCGGCATCGAAGACTACAGAGATCCAGTGGGAGATCACCCACTTCCGCCAAGAGTCAGATGAGTCACTCCGTGATGCATGGGAGCGGTACATGGGATATTTCTGGCAGTGTCCCCATCATGGCTTTAGTGATGCATTCACAGTGGGGAACTTCTACAGTGCTCTCTCCCCAGATAGCCAGAGGGTGATTGAGTCTTTATGCCCAGGAGGGGATGTTCTCACTAAGACTCCACCCGAGCTGAACCAGATGATTAATACTTTGGCTGCCAGAGATCATTCTTGGGGGCAGAGCAGCCGAGGCAGACATTCCCAGGACCGTGGTGTGCACGCCATGGAGTCCAGATCCGGACTCGAGTAGCAGGTAGCTGAGCTAGTGCAGACATTGAAGCAGCCCAACAGTCTTATTTCGGGCAGAGGTATGGCTACACCTCCAGCTGCTCAGTGTCAATGGTGTGAGAGCTCGAATCACTTAGTGGAAGACTGCCAGGCTATGAGGGAGTCTACTACTCCCCAAGAGCAGTTGGACTTCATCGCCAATGCTCGGCGCCTCGACCCGTACAGCAACACATATAATGAGGGGTGGCGCCAGCATCCCAACCTCTCTTGGGGCAGCAACACCACTAAGCCACCTGGTTTCCCAGCACCAGCTGGTGGCTTTCAGCAGAGGCAGCCCTTCTAGGCTCGACAGGGCCCAGCCCCACAGCAGCAGCTCTACCAGCCTAGGCAGGGGCAACCATTCCAGCAGCCCCAACGTCAGTTTGTCGAGCCAGCAGCAACCTCTGCCCCAGATGACCGGATGACAAAGCTGGAAAATATTCTCGCTTCATTCATGACTAGCACTCAGGCAGCTATCACGTCACTGGAGGCAGGTCAGCGGAACCAGGGTGCCATTTTGCAGGATCTGCAGACCCAGGTGGGCATCTTGGCCCGCCAAAACACTACCAGGGCACCGGGGACTCTGCCTGCCACCACTATCCCGAATCCTCGGGATCCTCACCAGCTCCAGCAGCTGGATGCCATTTTTACCAGGAGCGGTAAGACCATATCTGCTGATCCGGTCCCGGCCAGACAGGAGGAACCACTACCTGCTCAGCACTTCCAGCCGACGATGCAGAAGTGCGGGTGGAGAAGGAAGCCCCTGCTCCCAAGCCACAACCAGTGGTTAAGGAGCATGTACCCCAGCTTCCCTTCCCCACTCGCCTACACAAAGACAAGTTGGAGACTGAGTTTGCCAAGTTTATGGCAATGTTGAAGCAGCTCAACATCAGCATACCGTTCGTGGAGGCACTATCGAAGATGCCCAAGTATGCCAAGTTCATGAAAGATCTCCTCACCAACAAGAAGAAACTTGGGGATCTTTCGACAGTGATGCTCAGTGAGGAGTGTTCTGCTATCCTGCAGAACAAGCTGCCCGAAAAGCGCAAGGATCCAGGGAGTTTTACTATCCCTCTTACTATTGGCAGCATGCATGTAGGCAAGTCCTTGGCGGACCTAGGTGTTAGCATAAACGTCATGCCATATAAGTTGTATAAAAAGCTAGACCTAGGTGAACTTAGCCCTACTAGGATGAGCATTCAGCTAGCTGATCGTTCCATTGTGCATCCTAGGGGGATCATAGAGGATCTGCTAGTTAATGTTGGTGCATTCACATATCCTGTTGATTTTGTTATTCTTGATATACATGAGGATGTGGATGTGCCTTTAATTCTAGGTAGACCATTTCTTGCCACCGCCAAGGCACTTATTGATGTGCATGATGGTAAACTGATCCTGCGTGCTGGGAATGAACAAGCTACTTTTTCTGTGACTGAATTTGATCACTGTGCTATGATTGCTGTCACCCCTGTGCATGCTATGTCTGATCAGGTACACGAGCCTGTTGTGTACCCTTCTGCACCTCTTATTTTGCAGGACCCTCCTATTATTCCTTCGCCGCCACTCCATCCAGCCTTACCTCCGAACAAAAAGCTCAAGGAGGAGTGGCGGCCGAAGCAGCAGGTTGCTAAGCCTGCACGGAAGAAGAGTGGAGACCACTATGAGCTGGTCCCACCTCCTGCACCACGACCACCCTGGCCGTCCGGGTACTCACTCGCATGCATCTTTCCAGATGGCCAGGTCGAGCTGACCGATGATGGTGGTCGCATCCGTCGGGTGCATGGCCATAACCTGAAGCTGTACCTCAAGAGCGACGTGGATCCCCTCTTGGAGGCACCTGTTCCTGCACCTCCCTGAGTATCCACCATGGGCGTCCAGCTAAAAGACGGTAAAGAAGCGCTTGTGGGGAGGCAACCCCATCACGGTTTGACTTTCTTTCTTGTGTTTTGAGTCGGATTGTAAACCAGTTTGGTTTTGGTTTGTTTTCTTTTGTTTTGGATGATGTCTTATTGGGCTGACATTGGACCTAACATATTGTGTTTGAGCTCTTCTGTTCCCCTTTAGCTGTGCTTTGTTCCAGACTGGTCTCTCTCCAGTCCGCTTCACTCTGACTGGTCCGCTTCCAGTCCCCTGCAGTCCGTGCATACCGGTAACATCGTTCCCCTTATCCTTCCCTCTTCTCCATTGAGGGCAATGTCGATCTTAAGTGTGGGGGGATGTTTATCTTGTGACTGAATTAGATCTGTTTGTGTGCTTGGAGCCTAGTCCACTGTCCAAATTTTTAAATTTGAGGGCTCCAAGTACGTGTTCCTTGCCTGCTCAGTATGCTTTGAATTGACAGTCTTTATAGTAATATGCAACCTAGGGAGGTAGTGTAGCACTATGGAGGATGTTGATGCATTTAAGAAGTCTCATTCCTTCTTCATATTGTGTTGGTTGATGGAGTGAATTAGTGATCTTAGGACCCTTGAATTGTGTGGTGTTGTGGATTCTCTACCTGTCATGGACTCTTGTATCATGTTTTAAGTTTAACAGGTGCTCGAAAATGTGCTTCAAAATAACGTCTCCCGTGCGAATAGGGCGAAAGTGTGTAAGGGGAGACGGGAATCCGTTCCCAATTTCCACCTACTACCTCCAGCCCCCTTACATGTCTTTCCCCCGCACGAGGCTCGAGACATCCGCTCCTTGCATGGCCGGTAAGAGCAGGTTGGGACCCTTGAAAAAAAAAGAGAAGAAAAAATAACAGAAAACAAGCAAAACAGAAAGATAAAGGGGTTCCAACCATCTTCAAGAAGAAAATAGAGCACCTTGAAAAATGTGAGTCCATGATCTTTTGTTTTTGAGAATCTCTTCATCCACAATTCATTTGTCCTCTGTTCACTATTTGCCATGATGCCGACTCGATACTAGTGCTCTCGCCGAAGAAGCTATGAGATGACTTGTGCGTCGGTTGACCTCGTAAGCCGCTAAATGATCTAGGAAGTCCTCTACCTACGATCTGGGTTGTTTGTTGCTATAGAGGTCTGGAGAGTTGCATTGGTTTGAGTTAGGTTTGCTTGGGGACAAGCAAACGGTTAAGTGTGGGGGAATTTGATAACGATGTAATTGCACGTATTTACACCCCTAGTTCTTATCCGTTTGAGGGGCATAGTCGTGTATTTTTGGCCTATTTTACGCCGGGTTGTGCTATTTTGTCATGTTTCAGGTCCCAGGTGTCAAAGGAAAGGCTAAGCACGAGTTTCGGGGCATTCGGAAGTCATTTCGTCAAGCTGGAGCCAAAACACGGGCACACCTAAACCATTACACGGCCGTGTTCTGTGGCCGTGCTTTTACTGCCGAGAGCTAATTGAGTTTGGCAAATTCAGGTTGCAAACACGGGCAGGGCTGAGATAGAACACGGGCGTGCTTCACCAAAGCACGGCCGTGTCCTCCCAAAAGCACGGCCGTGTTTCTCCTAGTGTAATTAACACTAGCCAAAGCACGGGCGGGCTGAGGCATTACACGGCCGTGCCCTCAACCGTGCTTTGGCCACTGATGCCCTTTTAAGCAGATTTTCAGCCAAACAGAAGGGGATTCGAGTTTTAGAGAGAGAGATCAGTTCCTAGAGAGAGAAAGCGACGAACAAGAGTCTCCAAGTGCCCTAGCTTGATCTTCAACACCATTGGAGGCCAGTTTGAGCTTGGAGAAGTGCCGATCAACGTCTAGGAGCAGGAATCCATCCTTCACAGTATGAATTCCGCGTCTGATTCTGCTTTTGCTTCTTTCTCCATGGAGTAGTTCTCCCATTCATCTGGGTATGGAGAACCCTAGATTTGTATGTTAGGTTTGATTGTATGAACCCAAGTACTGATTCTATGATTTGATTATATTCGATTGAGGGTTGAATGATTGAATGACTTGAATCCTGATCAAATTCCTGTTGTTTCTGCTTTAACCTAGAATGAGAATATCTGCCTAGGTTGATAGAGCATCCTTGATTGAAGATAGGGAGTTGGTGACTTTAGTCGAGGAGCCAACTCACTATTCTGTACCGGATTTACTCCGGTAGTGGAGGTTTTGTTTGTTAAGGCCTCAATCTGTTTACTCCGGTGGAGGTTAGTCGCCCGCTAGAGACTCAGATTGAGAGGGTCTGAAGACCTTTAGTCGAGACTTCAGGCTGTTTAAGAACCTTCCGCAGTATAACTATCATAGAAACTGAACTTGGTAATTACAATCCGGCTTAACTGCAGTCTAGGGGGAACCATATCCGGGTGACCTCTCTTAACCTGAATACAACAGTTTACTTGCTTTGTTAGTTTGTTAGTTTAGATTTGCATTCCAGTTTCATTGCTAGATAACAAGAATTCACTGAGTAGTCATCAGATCTAGGACCCGGGTTGACATATAAACCCAACCCGCTATACTACGCTTTAGGAAGTGGTTTCACTTGGCCAATTCCTAGGGTGACAGTAGAAGTGAGTCACAAACCTGCTTCACTCACAGGTTACACCACCTACTTCACTCGTAGGTACGTCTAGCTTACACTTACACCCAACCTGCTTCACTCACAGGTTATACCACCTACTGCACTTGTAGGTATGTCTAGCTGACATTTCCTTAAACAATTCCCCAAACAGCCTGCACAACCATGGATTCACTTAATCCAATCATCATTCCTCATCATATACTTCTTTGAAAGCCTCCAATTGAACCAATGCTACAATCCCACTCACAACTTTCATAGCAGCATAAAAGAATATACACTACCCATCCTGCAACCACAAGCTGCTGCCCATTATCTCATTGCTTCCTTCGTTGATGTGCTGTCGAATTCAACGCGCCACTACTTTCCATCCATGGCTTAGTTTAGCTCTCTCTCCTGTAATCACAAAGCTATCATATCCAGGATAACTGCTCTTGAGTTGCTGACCATGCACAGAAAGAGCAATTTCCTCCCCTGAACTGAGGCCTACTCAAACAAACTTCAGTTCACTGCATCAGCTCAATCTTACAGTTCTGCAACTCCACCATCTTCATTTCCATTTCCCTAGTCATGCTCTTTGAAAAACAGAAACATAAGAACAAAAGTTACCTCACAGACTTGTCAGATGTTGCAATTCTGACTTCACCAAATCCATCTTCCTCCAATCATTCATTAGTTCATGCCATCAATTAGCCCTTCCAATTCTCTCCTCCCAAACCTTCTTCCTTCAAAGTGAGCCTTTTGCACCTCGCCCGACTAAGACCACAAAGTATAGCTTCCACGGATTTCAACCGTATAACTGCTTCAACTGGGGTGGTTTGATCGCAATCGAGCTCAAATCGATAACAGTCTCTGCTATGTGGACTAGCAGCTTCCCTTGTTAGACCAAAGCTTCGGTGAGCTTGAACTCATCTTCTCCCGACTCAATCTCCACCCAAATCAGGCTTCAATCCTTTGTTAAAAAGCCCTCCAAGCAAACACTGACTCCACCTTGCTCCTTTCCCTTTACCTCCCTTTGTCACGGGTGTCTTCAGAACTACTGGCGGTCACAACCTCAATGTTCTTATCCGTAGTGTCACTGCAACATCCATCTCATAAGATCGAACTTAGGCTCCACTGGCTCCCCAAAAATCTCCGTCCTCCGACATAGACGATGGCAGCGAATGGGACTCAGACTCCGACTGCGATTGTGGTTCTTGATCGCTCGCGTCACGTCAGTTCTCATCTTCGTCTTCTTTCTGTCACTGGCGGAAGCACTCCCTTCGTCATAATAATCATCCCATGAGAATCTCCGCCCAATCAAGAATCTGATTCCTCCATGTCCGGGCTCTGACTGCAGAATCGTGAATTCGGAGGCAGAGTCGTCATCAACGGCAACGCTCATGACCGATCGATTGTCTTCACCTTCTCTATGGACTTCTCTCCATTTCTCTACCTCATTCTCGTTCAAACTCACTTTCTCTGAAACTCAATCCTTCATCCTCGTACAAGTCTACCTGGCCTTGTACTTTATTCTCTCGCTCTCTGCTTGAGCTGCGAGCCGATACGTTTTACCACCGCTAGCATCACTTATTTCTCTCTTTTCCTTCTCACACACATAGGCGGGCGGTGGCCACATGCGACCACCGCCACCGAAGACAGAAATCTCTTTAGGTTTTGTAGAGGCTCTGATACCACAATGTAAACTGAAAATGTCGATCAAACTTCATCATGTTTTATTGGAATGAAAAAAGGTCTTAAGTACAATCAATGACCCAACAACTTGTACCAAATCCGGCCACTAATCTAAATCACTAACCCACTAGTCCTAGAATGCAGCAACGACTAATCAGCAGCCCAGAAGTACTTCTACTGGACAGCAAACTCTATCAACAAATACGACACAGTTCAGACTTAAAAGAGCTCATGTGACAAACCACGTGGGTTGCACACTAACAAGCTCTAACAGCCTCTTGTTGATTTTCTCCCGCTGGCTTCATCGTTGTTGAATTCCACCGCGCTGGCAGGTTGATTGGCCTGCTATTCCACACAAAACCAGCAGCCAGTTGCCCCAAGTGCGCGCAGAAGAAAGGCGTGGATTGGGAATCAGGCAGGAGGGCAGGGTGCGCAGAAGAAAGGCAGTGGGTTGAGAAGGGTATGAAACTGCCAGTTGCCCCAAGTGCTTTGAAGGTGTTGTTTCTTCCCTTCTTTTAGTCATTTTGCAACAATTTTATGTTCCTGGAAAATCTATGGGGCGATGCATTGATGCAGACATCCTCGATTACTTCTTTCATAATGCATATGGCATGCTGTTTGCTCGACTAGATAACAAACCATGGTGAGTGCATTTGCAGATTCTGCCATATGCATATATCACTGCATTTCTTCCCAGGAGTGACAAATATCACACAGTAGTTGCAATTGTTTCAAGCAACTGTGAATGATGAATGCCATGGAAAAGTTTGGTGCATGACTGAACAAAGTCTGTTCGAACTGAGACTTGATTCTCAATTGCAAAGTAGTAAGAAGTGGTACACACAGCTTATTGAGAGCTAATATTTTAGTAACTTTCTTTTTCATCCCTTTTTTCACCTTCTTTTTCATCTTTTTATTTGCTTAGGCTGTAATGTGTCATTAAGATGTCTGATGTTTAATTTAAATATGTTGATGTCAGGTCTCTTCTGCTTGGACCAGTGTTGAACAAAATTCCTCTTTCCTTGAGTTATATATGAAGCACAATGGTGTCTAGATTGCATGTGAGTTTATTATTACTCATTTTCTTGTAATTATATCTGGTTAAAGAGGAGGTGGTCAACCCCAACTAGCAATTATTTGTAAATAGTACACGAGGTTCAATGCAATTATTGTTTGAAGCACCACAGTTGCGACCATAAGTATAGGACAACGATGTTATGTATATATCTTAGCATATGCATCAAGATGAGAAATGTTCAAAATTAAGTAAGAGTTTCATGTTGCAAATTATTGAATATGGATGATATATTGAAGACTTGAACTTCAGTCGGTTAAAGGATTGTTCTTGCAAATTATGTATGAATCTCTTGTAGTTGTATTCAACATCACTTCATTGCATTCTCTTGTGGTAGACTGGTAGTTAGTTATTCTCAATCTTTGTTGTGAGTGTTTACTTGTATCTTTGTATTACACACTCTTTATTCTCTAATTTGTGATTGCACTAGAACTATTGGACAAAAATGTTAGATATCACCATAATTATCAGCTAGTGTCTTTTACTAATTACGATTAATTACATGGCAAGTTTGAAACTCATACCAATTGATTCAACATGTTTCTTAACTTTTATAAGTACATATACGAGGTAGAAATAAATTCGCTTAATAATCCAGCATCGCAGGACCTCTCAATCTCAGAACAGCGTCTCTGTGCCAAAACTGCTCTCTAGACAACGCCCTGACCTGTCTCATATACGCACCAACGCTCACCGGCTCTCCCTCCTCTTCTATCGCCTTCCCTAGCTCACAAACAACATCCTCCACTGCCCGATCCGCCGCCAAATTCTGGATCACCATCTCTGATTCTTCATCCGCCGCCTCAAACCCACCGCCGTCATCGTTACACGTCCCCGGCGAACCGCTTGCTCTCAATCTCATCAACCAACCTTCCAACTCCTCGGCTTGTTTCTTCAGTTCGGTCACATTATCAGTCAGGCTTCGACATTCGTGCTCTAATCCGATGACCAAGCTCGCGATGATGTCTTCCCGATCACGCAATTCTTCCCGCTTAATTTGGAGGCTCTCTGTTTCCGTCTCTGTTTCCGCGGTAAGTGCTGCTAAGTCGTAGTGAAGCATGCCGGCCAGGCGGTCCATAGCCTCGTTCCTCGACGCCATATCAGGCTGCAAGGCTTTGATTTGACCTGCAACTTTGAAAAGCCTTTTATGCTATCTTTTGAAAGAAATACTTATTTGGTAGGGGTGGCAAAAAATATACTATAATCCCACGCGATTAGATTGGGTAAAACTTTTAACTAAATAAATCAATTATGTGTATTGATGAAACTCGAATTTGAATATTACATTATTTTCTTACTATCCAGAACTCTAATACACTTGATTATATATGCATATGTACTTTTTCGTGTTAAGTTTAATTCACTTTCAATATGTTTGCCATTTATAATACATATATAACATCACAATAGATCAATGAAATCATGTTCCTATTTATTATTTCTCTTAAAAGTTGATAATGGTCATTGTATCTTTTTCACTTAGTATATTGTGACTATGCTCACACAAATAGTAACATGATAGAGCGAATGAGGGCCAGCCTAATTGGTGAGTCGCCACACATTTCATTGTAAGGTCATGTGTTCAATTTCCAATGAAGACACTTCCTTTACCCCCCGGCCCGTAATAGTACCTTGTAATAGGTAATAGGTTATTATTATAAATAAATAAAAGTAACACGCTAGATGAAAAATAAAAAGAATACGATTATCCCGGTATATTCATTGGTACCTGAAATTTGAACGATTGTGAGCATGTCCTCCATCCTAGTTTTTTATTTTGTCAAATTTTATTTAACAAAGACTCTTACCTATAATATCAAATATATAATTCTTATTGATGGATATTCTATTTGATACCCGTAGTAGGGATATTATGGATAGATATCGAATTCGTATTTCATATTACTAAATATCGGTATTTTTTGTTTTGTTGAGATAATCGAGACTTTGACGTAACAATATATGTACCCATAAAATATTGACTTCCACCCTACCAACAACAAATAATGACACATCAAAGTTTGGTAAAAATCAGTCTCGTAAAGTTATGAACAACAATAATATGAAAATACTTCCATCTTTGAAAGCCTCCATCCAACCGAAAGTGAAGGCCTAATTTTTAAGTAAGTTAATTAATAGCAAAAAAAAGCGAGAGAGTACCAGAGAAGTTGCAATCCGCGAAAGGATGATCGAGCGCGAAGATGTGGGCCAGGCTGCGGACCAGGCCCGTGAGGTTGCAGCCAGGGAAAGCCCAATTGTGGAGATACGCAGCGGCGGTGAGGCCGGAGGACGGGTCAACGAAAGGGTGGGCCCGATGAATCCGGGGGGAGGTCGGATTTACGGAGACGAAGACCAGAGGAGGGGCGTAAGGGTAATTCTCCGGGAGCCAGATGGCGAGAGGGACGGCGCCGACGGGAAAACGAAGGTCGCCGACGGCTCTGAGGAGGCGGACGGTGGTGCCGTCGTCGTGTGTGAAGGAGTCGGTGGAAGGGGAGAAAGAAGGGTAATCGGCGAGGAGAGAGCGGAGGTGCTTTCTAATGAGCCATCGCTGTTTGGGGTGCGGGTAGGAGAGCGCGTGTTCGGCCGATGAGCAATCCAGTGCCGTTTCGATGAATTGGGCCTTGTATTTTGATTCCTCCGGCGCCATTGTTACTGTTGACACGACAATCTGTGCTTGAAACTCAGTAAAGAAGTGAGTTGGTATATTTCAGAAGATAAAATGATAGAAAGACCAGCCGGGGGGTTTATCAACTTGAGTTAGTCAACAACTAATTCTTATATAATTCAGTTGGTGGTACATATATTTGTATTTAATTTAGAAGAACATGCCGGCGGCCAAGTTCCTTCGCCGTGATGCTCAAGTTATCCGGCTCAACGACAACCAGACGTCAAAGCTTTCTACCATTGAAATTGTAGCGGAAATTTTCGTATAATGATATATAATTTTGAAATTGTAAGTTCAGTTTGAAAAAAAAAACAATTAAAATAAGATAATATATTCAAATCATGTTAAGGAATTATTTTGATCCAAATAACTTATGTATACTCAGATACCAATTACTAAGTTCTTTCTTTTTAAAATTATTTGAAATAACTAAAAAATACAACATTCTTTTTTTGGTGAGAAAAAAAAATATACAACATTCTAAACTAATGTCTCATTTTACTTCTACACGCGCGATATATGCAAAATAACACATTCAAGCCAACTACTAACGTCCTTTCTTCTTCCAACCAAACACTTCTTCGGGGCATCGCCTACCATGTTTTGAAGTTACTATAACTTGACCTTTTTTTACCTGCTATAGCAGGTTTTATAGGTCGCGTTACGTAAAACTAATGTTTATTACGTAACAGTTACGTAATGCTTGTTAGTCTTACGTAACAGTTAAACTAGAAGCGTTACGGAAGGTTTCCGTAACGACTTATCATTTTATGTAACGCTAGGTTAATATTCATTACGTAAAAGCATCGTCTATTACATAAGGCTTATGTAATGACATTTTACAACTGTTACATAAAATACACGCTCATTACGTAATTTTTACGTAACGAATGTTATTCCTTACGTAATAGTTAAACTAGAAGTGTTACATAAGACTTCCGTAATTACTTACCACATTACGTAACTTGATTAATATTCATTACGTAAAAGGACCATCCATTACGTAAGGCTTCCGTAATGCCACTTTACAACTGTTACGTAAAGTATACATCTATTACGTAAAGGTTACGTAACGATAGTTATTTCTTACGTAACAGTTAAATTAGAAGCGTTACGTAAGTTTTTTTCGTAATGGTTTAACAGATTACGCAAAGAAAGGTTGATATTCATTACGTAAAATGAGTGTCTATTACGTAAAGTTTCCGTAATGACATTTTTCAACTATTACGTAAGATAAACACACATTACATAACCATTACGTAATGCCTATTGTATTTTACGTAATGCGACTTGTGAAACCTGTTATAGCAGGTCAAAAACATCAAGTTACAAAAACTTTAAGGTATCAGTAGGAATTTCCCGCTTCTTTTTATGGCAACTCAACTTTCTTTAATTGAGTATTTCTCCCAAGTTTCTGCCAGGATATACATGAACTACTTACCGACTAATCATTATATGTTTCTTAGTGTTAAATATTACAAGGTTAAATAAGGCTCCAATGTTTAGAATATTATTATTTCCTCGATTCTTTTGAGTGAATTATTATTTTATCAATTTGAAATTTGTTTCAATAATTTAGTTTTCACAATTTTATAATTCATAAGAATGCGATAAGATGAAAAAAAATATTATATTCAATTGATACCCATCCAAACTTAATTAAATTGGGTATGGTAAAATCTGAACTAAATATTTGCATAAGACTAACTCCAACCCAAAAGGCTATATTTAGCCTCCCAAACTCTCAAATGTGCATTTTTGCCTCCCCAAAACACTTTTTTGCTCCAACCCTATAGGCTTCCAAATTTAGCTCCCCACATCTTTTTTTGATTTAATTTCCATAATCCATACTTATTTACAATATCATTCTTGTAATTCACTTTAATTTTTTATAGTTTGTTATTACTTGCGAAAACAAAATTTTCGATGTAATTTTTTTTAATTCCGAGATTTTTTTTTTTGCAAAATTAGTCATTTTTTGTAGCCGTTACTTTATGACCGTTTTTTTGGACCAATCCAAATATGACCGTTTTTTTTAGCCGTTACTTTATGACCGTTTTTTGTCGTTTTGTGCATCATATGTGTTTATAAATTACAATTCTTCATTTTTCATCAACTCACTGAAACTTCTTCCCATTTCTAAAACAAACACATTCATCATGAGTATGTCAGATAGCTCATCGTCGAGAGGAGAAGAAGAAATCGAAGAGTACGAGAGGTTTCACCACCTACGGTTGAGTTTAATCGGCCGGAGGCTGGCTGAAGGTTCATCAAGTCGACGTCAAACTACAAGTCGACGTCACATTGATCGTGAAAGGGTCGAATGTAATCACCGTCTTATGAGGGATTACTTCGATCCAAATCCAGTATACAATGCTCGCATATTTAGAAGGCGCTATCGGATGCAACCAAGATTCTTCCATCGCATTATGGGCGACATTGTGAGGTCTGACCCCTCATTTGCTCTAAGGCGTGATAGATTGGGTCAATTATCATTATCTCCAGAGCAGAAGCTTACTGGTGCGATGCGCATGCTAGCATATGGTTCTCCAACTGATCAACTTGACGAGTATGTTCGTATGGGTGAGAGCACTTTGATGGAGGTCTTCAGAAAGTTATGCAACAACATTATCAACATGTATGGGGCCACATATCTTCGCGCACCTACTCCTGCCGATTTAAGGATCTTACTCAGTAAAGCCTCAAGACGTGGCTTTCCTGGAATGATTGGATCAATTGACTGTATGCATTGGGAATGGAGGAATTGTCCAAGTGGCTGGACAGCACGAAAGGCGTAGCTCCCTCGTCTGGTATGTCGTCGAGGCCTTCCACAGGGGAGGATTGAGAACCAATACCTATGGGAGAACTTTGAGAACCTTGACCCATAGGTGGAATTGGACCGACAACCAATTGAGGGTCACAATACCACTTTGGGCAATTTCGAAGGATGACCCAACAATGCTCATGTTCAAAGGCTTTGTCCCCATTCTCTTCCTTATATATCGATCTTGCTACAAATTCCTATCAAAATTATTAATACACAAGTTAGATAAGTAAATATACATAAAAATAAGAAATACAAAAGTTAAAGTTTCCAAAACAATACCACATCAACTTGGTTGGTACCACTCGTTTGACTCCTCTCCACCCTCTGCAAAGCTCCCTTCCAAACTTTACACTTGTTACTGATAAGTCTCAGTCGGGATTCCATTGAATCCGTAGTACGAATTGTTGTAGGATCGCTTCTTCGAAATTCCCTCTCCACCCTTTCCCATAGTCTCGTGCTCTTTTGATTGATGCCAACCGCTCCATCTTCAGATATTGATATCCAAGATTTGCACAAGTTTACATCTTCATGAACTTTCCAATTGGGTCCTCTCTTACTTGACATGTTTTTGTTTTGAGAGATGATAAATAGATGAGAATGAGAGAAATTGATTTGAGAATGAGTGCAAAAAAACCATGAGAAGTTACTCATTATATAGAAAAAAAAAATGACCGTTTTATGTCCGTTAAAATGTGTCCGTTGCAATGTGACCGTTTTATTGTCACTATATTATTTCTATCAAACTAAAACGCAAACACACTCACACAAATAACCACTCAAAAAAATTGGGGAAAAAAAAGACAACAACAGATTAGTGGGGACTCCGCGTGCAGGCGAAGGCCACTCGCGCGCGTGCGGCCCAGGCGCGCCTCCGCGGGTGGCCTTCGCCTGCACGCAGTGTCCCCCCTTCCAGCTGCTATTTTTGCCATTTTCTCCATCTAAGCTGCTACCTATCCACCCCAACCACTCACTTTTCCAAATTTGCAAGCTATATTATTGGTGGGTTGGAGATGAAAAAAGGCAAAAAGTTCACTTTCTCCAAATTTGCAAGCATGGTTGGAGACGGTCTAAACTGAACAAAGCAATCAATCGCTGTATTATTCAAATATTAAAAAAAATAACAATTTTGAAGGTTCGGTTCCTATAGCACCAGGCTGTTTTCATTGTAGCTCTTGACTCAGAATTCCTATTCACATCCCCTATATTGGTTATTCGTTTCATGGTTGTGGCGTTGGTCTCGAAGGAGGGCTGGTGGGATTCGGGTGATAACTATCCGAATTAACAAACAAAAAAGTGAAACTAAAAATTTATCAAAAACATCTGAATTCTGATCATTCCTTCAAGATTGGAGGATAGGTTATAGACAAACTCCCACTATTTTTACTGCTCCCTGCAAAACTACACTAATCCTAATCTACACAACTACGTACTACTACCATACCGCAACACAAGGAACCGGTTGGTTCAAACTAACCCCAACCCAAAATTTCCGTCAATCGCAACTGGAGTGGACACAACCTAGAGTCAATGTCAAAGCCGAACCACCGAAACCGGACTGAAATATTTCAAGATCGTTTGACCTTTGTCCAGCGGCTTCCCACCACCACCTTGTTTGGTAACCTTCTTCTTGGCAGTACAGGGAGCACCTTGATCATTAAACTTCTTCCTACATGTAGCATCATGCTTCCTTAGAGCAGACGTGCCATTCTTTTGAGAGTCTGCAGCAATCAAAGAATTGCAGCGCTTGCATTTGCCCTTTTGAACTCTCTTTTTGGGGCTCCCTTCTTCAACGAACACCACATCATAGTGATCCCAGATATCAGACCTCTTCCTCTTCTTTGCAACCCAAGCGGCTTCGGAAGGAATCGCCTCCGCTCTGCTGTTTATTTCATCGAAATTGTCTGCAATTTCTTCTTGCAGTGAAAAGGGATGAGGCGTCGACTTGCTGGGGCTTTCCATTACCACTACAAAAAGTTAACCAAGAGACAATCCAATCACAGGGTGAGTAATGAAACCGACAGAGAAGCATCTAATGCAATGATAAATGGGAAATATAAATCATATGAAAGTGCCATCATTGCTCTTAGAATCATCAAAGTTGCTTCCATCACACTCAGCGCAGCGGGTGGTTCCGGACACCATATCGATTGTTCTCAAATATGTATTACTTCTTCTGGCAAAACCAGTGGGGAGAAACCCAACTTCCTAGCCAATCAAACATATTTGATAACCTGAAAATCGAATCCTCCTATGGGTTGCTGATTAAGATAGCATAACTACAAGTAGCATAATGTTGATTTCCTTTTCATGGGCCGGGAATGAAGAAGGGGGACTGTTGCTATTGGTGAGGAAATACCATTCATTTAGATACATTCATTTCCCTAAGGACAAGCAACTGCGGCAAGAATTAAGAGAAGGAAACAGAACGCCCCTAACCCGGATCACTAGTAACAGAAGGGAAGGAAGGGAAGGAGCAATTACCAGGATTAGTTTCTTGACAAATAGATGTGATGGTGTGGATTTGGGTGTTGGCAGAAAACGATTGAAAGTGGGCGTGCTGGCAGAGCAAAAAATTAGGGTTAGAATCTGTCCAGGGGCGTTAGAGAAACAGAATTCAGAACTAAACTCAAAAGTTGAACTAGCAACAAGGGAAGGCGGCCTTTCTGCGAACGGACGGAATCAGAGGAGAGGAAAGCCCAAGTTTCGGCTATAGCTTCGTTTGAGCATGGAGCAGTTACCTGAGGTGGAGGCGCTGGGAATGGAATCGAGGGAGGGGAATTGGTTCTTGGCGCTCCGCCTCTCTGTATTCTTCTGTAGCTGCCAATGCCCAATAGGGACACAGTGAATTTGGAGAGGGTAGACTAGACGGTAGAGAATGGAAGAAAAGTTGGATTAAAATAGCAAGGGATGTCATGTGGCGGGAAGGTGATCAGCGCAGCGGGAGGGAAAGAGAGGAGCGAAAGATAAATAATTTGAATTTTTGGGTTAATCATAATTTTGGCGCTTTTACAGTTTTACTTTTACTCCATCACGTTTAATTTTAAGTTTTAACCGGTTAAACCCTCCAACTTATACTTCTACGATACAAGTTACTAGTTTATAACTCGTCCCGTTGGTCGGAATGTTTATATTTGATTATTTATATTTTTGGATAAATATAATTTAATATCCAAACCTTTCATTTTAAACAATATAATAGCCAAACTTTTTTCGAAAACAATCTAATATCCAAATCGTCAACTTTCCGTTCGTTTGACCGTTAGTTGACACTTCAAAAAAGCTTTGTTTAGGGGAAATTGTCACAATACAGCTTTGTTTGCTTGTTTTGGCATTGCAGATGACTGAATATTTAGATATTTTATACCATCATGGTGGAGTCATGGACTTCTCGGGTTTGGAACTACAATATGTTTGTGGTTTTCAGAGAAGATATCCATGGATATTGATGAAGTGCGTACTTCGAACTTTTTTGAAGTGTCAATTAACGGTCAAACAGACAGAAAGTTGACGATTTGGATATTATATTGTTTTTGAAAAGGTTTGGCTATTATATTGTTTAAAATGAAAGGTTTGGATATTAAATTGTATTTACCCTATATTTTTATATTACGTTTAAGTGTATTAACCTGTTTAATTGTATTGACGATCCTTCGATCGAAATGATACATAATGAAAGAATATATAGGTCGAACATTCGGAGAAACATTGCAATCATTTAAGAATATGAAATATGAAAATGTATCATTGATTTCATTTTCATAGTGATAATAAAACCCCGTTAAAATTCTATTGGTTAGTTGATTGTCAAGAAAGATAGAGTATAAAATCTCACACGACCCGTAGAAATCAATCTCACAAGTCACAATCCTACATAAAGAATTTTTTTTAGCAAAAGATAATCGTATATTGATTAAAAAATGCTATCATTTTAGGAAAAATCACTACAAGAAAAAGTGGCTTTTGCAACCAAAATCTTTACAACCAATGTATAATTGGTTGCGCAAAGGCTAAAATTGACAACCAATTACATTTTGATAGAAACAAATAAAAAAATTGGTTGCCTATTGAAATCAAAGTATCGATAACCAAATAAACCTTGAGAAAGACCAAATAATTTGGTAGCAAAATGATTTATACTTTCTCCTACTAAATAATTTTGGTAGCCAAATAATTTTTAGTTTATTCAACCAAATAATTTGGTAACATATTGGTTTTTGCTTTTTCCAACCAAATATTATTGGTATCAATTTATTTTTTAAATCATTGATAGCTAAATAAACAAGTTGTTTGGTTGTATTAAGTTGATGATTAATAAAGTTTAGGCATGACATATGGCTACCTTCAAATTTGGCAGCGATAGTGTTAATTATTTTTATGTAAACAAATAACAACTCCACGTTTACTTATTTTTATGGTAACATATTTGATTGTTGTTGAGTCTAGAATCAGTAGTCTTTGACTGCAATTGCTGACTTCTGATGCATTAATAATGTCAGCTATCTATTTTGAAATTGCTTCTATTTGGTAATTATTGTTTGGATTATCAGAGCTGGAAGGCTGAAGCAAAGGTTTGTTGTTGATTTAGCATACCAATTCACCAAATCTCATGGCTAGGTAAACCTTTCCCTTCTCTTTAAGTTCTGGTGATCGTCCACAGGCTGCGAGTTATTACTCCTATTTGTATTGGTTGAATTGGCAGGCAACTTAATGCCCCCCTCTTTTCTGGAGCGTTGAATGTGTCTATTATGTTTTTAGGCTGAGATGATCCAAGAATCATCTCTTTCTAAGCTCCATGAAGAACTACATAGCATGTTCAAGTTTCAGTTTACCTTGCTGAGCTCTCAGATATCAACCATCTTTGAGTTTTATTCTTGTGATTGTATAATTCTGCGTTGGGGTTTACTTTCTCTGTTTATTCATCCATTGGAATGAATTTGTAGATGCAAACAGTAGACAATAATTGTGTACATCTTCATTAATAATATTGAAAATTTCTCACTTTGCGTGTTTCTTTATAAGTACCTTGTGCCCTAAAGTGCTTCAGAATCTGGTGTCCTTTCTTCCACCTGCCACTCTCAACAAATTAACCTTTTCTTTCATGCTTCCAGGAACTACTCTCCTTATGGCTTCTATGCTGGCTTAATCACAATTTCCTATGCCAGAATGAGCAACTCTGTGTTTCTGCCTCTCAGCTCCAGTTACCAGGTTTGCCTCTTTTCTATATAATTATTTTTGTTTTTCTGCATAATTATTGACAGTATGGTTGGTTGATCATACTCTATTTGGTATTTACGGTTTCTAGTGAGAGTTAATAAAGTTTTTTCTTCATTATCAAGTTGTAGATAATGAATTAAGTTTCAATTTTAGTGATGTTTGGGATAGATTGGACCTCCAATTCTACTGCTCACCTTCTTTTCCCAATTCGATGCAACATCCTGGTGAAACCTGGAGCTTCTGTAGCTTGATGCTCTCTTTGATATATATGGAGAATCTTGAACTCACTTTGAATGAACTTGTTAATCCTATGATGTTGGGGAAGGAAGAGTCAGTATGGGGCTTCTGGTTGCATTAATTTGCATTAATTTGTCTGTTGTACTTGTCTGTGATAGAGGTATAAATATAATGGCCTAGGTGTAAGGGTATGAGAAGTTTTTCCTTCTTACTTCCTGCTTAATTTTTAAGTTCAACTGCTTCTTTTTGCCATTGTCTGGAGAATTTTACCTTGATGGTGAAGAATTGAGTGACGAACTATTGGCAACTATAAGAGAATGGTTATATTTTGTAGAGTTATTGACTTGTGCTCAATCTGGATGTTCTCAATTATGTGAAAATTTATGTTCTGCAGGTGGATCTGTTTTAGTAGAGTTTAAGAGAGCATTGGATGACTACTAGTCTCTTCTCATTGGTCTAACTAAAAAAGGTGATTGGTTGTTCTTTAAGTTTGTTTCTCTCTTTTAGTCTTCTTATTAATCAGTAGCTGATTGCTTTGAATTTTGTTCTCCAGAACATGGAATTGAGGACTTGCTCAAGTTCAAGCTTACCTTTGGTTCTATATTATTGAATTGTTGATTCTTGTACCACTGAAATTAGGTATAAAGTCAGTACCTGAGCTCTTTCGGGATTACTTCGAAACCGCTGGCTCTTTTGGATGACCCATCTTTGCTACACGACAAGTTTTCCTAAGGACAGGTTAGGCATATACTTAAATTCAATCCTTCTTTCTCTTTTCCAAATTGTTGAACAACTGCAACTAGATTGGCAAATTGAACATTCAGGGGACAGTTTAAGCTTTAGAAGGAATTCTCACAGACAGCAAGAGAGTCAGCTTAAGCTTCTGTCTTTCGCCTCCAGTTACCAGGTTTAGGCTCTTTTTTTCTGCATTTCATCTATGAGCCGATTATATCTTTAGTCTTGCAAGCTACCTACTTTACCTCCTATATTTGGTTTATGTTTGACTAAAAGAATGGTGTTCATGTATGCAGTTTTTCCATACCCTTGATGTGGATACAATCCATTACCTTATGATTTGTAATATTCATCTAAGCTATCCTCGCATGACATATATCCGAAATGGTTGGGTACGTGGTTCATTTGCTTATCAAGTTAGGGTTATATACTGGTTTAATGGGATATATCATTGAATAGGTAAGTAGAAGCTCAATGTTGAAGTTAGTTTTTCTTTCCATTTTCTTTTGCACTCTTTTCATATTTCATATATGTGTTAGGTTGGCGTTCATATTTGGTTGGAAGGCAGCAGAGTGACCCATAATGGTCACTGGATTTGAGAGGAGAAAGCAATTTGGATTGCCTAATCGTATTTGCAGATATTAAAGAATAATGAATGCTCTTTAACATTCATATTTGGTAGGCAGGCAGTGCAGTGATCCATCCTGCTCTTGAGCGCCTGACAATGAGCTTGGTTGTCGGATTGGAGGGGCTTGGAAGCTTTATCTCTGTAATTGTGATTTTTGAAATACTGGGTTTATTTTTAGGGATAATATTGTTTAATTGTGATTTTTGTTACTAAATATTTTTTTATATATGAGATATGATATGAAGCAAAATTTTATTATATTGAATTTAATTTTTCAATTTTCTGTTTTAGTGACCAAAATCTCAACAATAAAATTGGCCATATTAAATTATTTATTTGGTTGGCTTAAGTGTTTTCCCCAATCAAAATTTATGGTTGTGATAAACTTGTATAACCAAAAGAATTAGTTGTCAAAAATGATATAATAGGTCGACGTATGTATTTTCACAACCAAAATTCATGGTTGTGATAAACTTTCATGACCAAAAAATATGGTAGTCATTACGATATTATTGTTTGATAATAATCACATAAATTGATTGTCATTTATATTTATGGCGACCAATCATCTACATTTATCAACCAATAAAGTTAACTATGACAACCAATTTAAAATCGTCACAAAAAATCCAGGTTTTTTTACCTTAGCAAAAATTGGTTGCCATAGCTGTCCTATTCGCTAGCAATCATTATTTTGGTCGCGGTATGAATTAGTAACACGGCTATAGCGACCATTTCTGCTACCAAATATGTTTGGTTACGAAACCGTATTAATAACCAATTTTTGACTTTTAGTAACCACTATATTTCGTTGCAAAAACCCTTTTTTGTTGTAGTGAATATGCCACTAATCAAAAAGAAATAGATAGTTGTTTATTCAAGTGAGCTATATACTAACAACTCAGCTAAGAGGGGACTATCAAAACTTGAGAGCAAGCGAAAAATTAGGGTTACCTCCAATATACTAACAGACTCGATCAAAGTAATAAGACACAAAATTAGACACTCCTTATATATTAGTTCCAGTAGGTTGAATCGAGTTGCTTTAGTAAATCAATCAATCAATTATTCCTTGTTTTAAGATAGAAATAGGTTGTGATCTCTGCAAAAACCATAGACTTAAAGATCCAATAGCCACCACTCTTTGTCGTACAACCAAATTTTTATCCACTCTATCGTCAATTTCAAGAGGCACATGTTTTAACCAGAAATTCAATTTCTAATCCTCTTTCTGCAACTCTATTTATTGAACTCGATTCTATTCGGATTGATGTCAAAGTTGACATCTTCTACTTACCTAGTTTAAATCTCCAACAATAAAATCGCAGTGCCAAGACATACCGAAAGATTGATTTTTAATGACGGCCTTGTACTGGGAAGTGAAAAGGGGCGCAAACTATTGCACGATGTAGGAAATTTCGGAGGAAGTTAAAAAGAGACAAGAACAAAGATAAAAAAATACAAAATTTATATTTAAATTGAAAACTACTTATGATAGACTTAGTGAGCTTGCTAATCATAATGGAAAAGTCATCATATTCTGAGAGTTTAACTTCGTGTATGTTTTGTATTAAAAAAGATACAACAAATTTGTTTAGTATAATTGGTAGTGATTGTTGTTTTTATTTTGCAAAAACTCGGATTCAAATCCTGATATTACCATTTTTTATTTGTAATAAATAATTAATTGTAAAGACCAAGTTGTCCTTCCTACTTTCACTCTCGTTGCAGGGAATTTGAAATGGAGAAAAATAGACAAAACTCTACTATATATTATTGGAGTATTCCCGATCTTAAAAATCATATGAAAACCCGGAGATTTACGTTAGATATTATAAAAATAATAAATATTGCCACAAATATAGTTGTAAAAAAATATTTTTAAGGATATTGTGACGAGTGGTGAAAATGCACGATCACACGCATACTAAATGAAAGTAGAGTAGTTTAGCTCAGCTTGTGAGCTGTCGCGTGAGTTTAGCGAAAAATAAATAAATCTAGCTGAGCTCACATGGCGCCGCGCGAGCTGAACTAAATTTATTTACTTTTCGCTCAACACGCACTACACCATACGAGCAGGGCTAGAAATATTCATTTTTTGCTCAGCTAGCGCGCCGCCTCGCAAACTGAGCTAAACAATCCTACTTTTGCTCAGTATGCGTGTGACTGCACATTTTCGCCTCCCCATCACAATATCGTTGTAAATACTTTTTTTATCACTATATATGTTGTAATACTTTTTATTTTTTTACAATATTTTTGTGAAAGACTATGAAAACCCCACCACTCCACGTAAGCTTTTATGCTCTATCCATAATTCATAATTATTTCTAGTTTACTTTTTTGTTTTTATTTTTAACCGGTGGCAAGATAGAGTAGACAAGAATTATGCACCCTTTCGTAATTAAATGCGCCCTTAGTTTTGAGTGGGGTCAGAAGTAGGGATGTCAACAAAATCCAAACTCACGGGCACACTACCCGACCTAATCCGGTCAAGGCGGGTAAAAATCGTGTCGACGGGTTTTGGACCGAGTTCAGATTTAAACCCGCTACACTGTTCACCGGGTTGGATTGGGTTTGGGTTTAGATATACTCATCCCATGGGTACCCGAACACACCCATATAATTATTATTTTTAGTATATTAATATTCTAAGCAATATATCTTCCTTAAACATGTTAATCTTCTTTATGTTTGTGAAGACATGTCTAATTTGTTCTTTCTAATTGTGTAGAATGAAGTTGATATTATGGAGTGGAGAATGAAGAAACTTAGTTGACAAGGAGGAAGAAGATTTCAATTAATCATGTTGTTTATAAATGTTATCTTTAATTTTGAACAATTTGTATTGATAGTTTACGGTTTGCTTGTATGCTCTAGATTGATGTTTTTTGTATGGATAATTTGTATGTGAAAATGGATGTTAGACTTTTCTTTTTAAGAAACTTGTTATTGTGTATTTTTTACATTAACCCATGGATATCTATGAACCCGCAGATATCCAGCTGGTTGGGTTGGGTTTGAGTTTCCCAAACCTGATGGGTTTTACTCTGGGTTTTTTTGTGTGGATATACCCATGGGTTTTGGTTTGGGTTTGGCCAAATCCAACCCAACCCGGCTCATTGCCATCCCTAGTAAGCAGTGTCTAGATCTAAGGGATGAGAATTAATATTTTTTTATTTTCTTTGGTTTTCTTAATCTACTCTTATCTTCTTTGTTTTAACTTGAATTTCAAAAAAAAAATTTCACATATTGAACAGGCTCATTGTGATATACAAAACGAGACCATTTTCAAGGAGCACGCCCTTTTTATACTGCCCAACGTCAAGGATCATGGTTTTGGCGTAGAGATCACGGTCTCACTGTCTCAGACTGTGATCCTAACACAAAAACTGTGATCACCACCAAAAATGGTGAGTTTGAGGCTGATATCACGCCTCACGGTGCATTTAAAATCACGGGCCCTTGCCACCAAAATTTACAAACAGCACGCGATGTCTGTAAATCTTCAGAGATCCATGTCTACATCACGGGTAGGTGGTAATTTTCACGGTTGGAGGCCGTGAACATTACACCTAAACCATGATGTGTACAAAAATAGGGGATTTCCATAATTTTCAAACTCAATCTGCTCAGCCATGCCGCAAACTCAAACTTAACAGATTCATCGATAAAAAACCAACCATGGGCACGGTGATCATCCAAACGACACACTTATTTCTAACACACACAGAAAAAGAGAAAAATAAGGAAAAGAAACACATATGTTTGGTTGTCTCCCAACAAGCGCTTGTCTTACGTCATTAGCTAGATGTTCCGGATTTTCATGCTTTGGAATATAAGGCCACCAAGAGTGGATCCGCCACATTCTCGGGGTGATGCTTGGTGCTTCTGATTACCATTTTCGAAGGATGGTCTTCATGGCCCTTTCTTCCCCTTGCCCTTGTTCTTGTTGCGGGGTAAGCATAGGTTTTTCATCTTTTGGTGCCAGTCATTCTTCTTCACTTCAGGTTTTGCTTCACATCGTCACAAACACGAGGAGAAAAAATGGGGAATGCCTTGGAAGGCTTCCACTAATAATAACACTATTCTATTCAATTTCATCCAGATTCTTAAGCTTATCACTTGGATCAATAAAAAAATGTGATACTCTCCTCACTGTCCCTAAAAATCAACATTATCTCATCCACATCTATGAATTCCTTGGCGGTAGCTAGGACAGGTCATCCTAGTATGAGGGTATGTCGGTATCTTCACTAATATCGAGGATAATAAAATCCATCGGATAGTAAAACTTGCACACTCGAACTAGGACATCCTCCACTATGCCTCTAGGATGAATCATAAAATGGTAAACCAATGTAACACCCAACCTATTGGTTTTCAATTCATATAGGTCTAACTTCTTGTAAAGCTTGTATGACATTGTAACACTCAACCTATTGGTTTTCGAAAGTTCCCATTCTAACTCAATTAAACATGATCACATTGCACCAAGATACAACCTATAATGAATCTTCTAAAGTTGTGAAAGAGGAAGGAGTTGTTGAACTTGTGGATAAAGAAGGGATTACCTTCTAGAGATATTGGAATGGCCTTACTCAACCCCAATCCTCGATCTTAGTAAATCTCACCTACCCCTAAGATTCCCATCAAGCAAAGCTTACATTCTTGCGATTCTCCAATCCTCCTAAAATCCATTGGACCACGAGAGGAAATAATGAAAGTCATTAGTATCCCTACCCACTAGAAAATTTAGTCTTACCCCACAAGAAAACCCATGGCAGCCCAATGATGGTAGTAGCCGCGCTAGGCCAAACTAATCAAGTCATGCTGGATTTCAGAGGAGGATTTACTAACGAGCCAAGCAACTAAATGAAGAAGAGAAACACACGACGGGTCCTATCCCCGTTGGACTGCTGCAAGCCCAAGCTCAGGGGAACATCGGAAATACTAATTTCTTCATCCCCAAGACAAGAAATCTCGGTCCCGTTGGTATCAGGAAGCATTTGACCATGTTTAAAAAAACCTAGTTCTTTCACTAAAAATAGGGAGTCTGGTTACGGATTTTGTAGGTTGCAAACACTCACTAAAAATACTTTTTCGAACTCGAGCAAGGGGCCACTCAGCCTTTAGGAGGCAAAAGTAGCAGTCATAGGAGGGTGCTAAAGAGATGTCTTCATCATGAATTGTGGTATCATCCTTATTTTCTATTTATGGTAGTGAATTCTATTGATGCTTATAGCATCTTCTTCATATAATATTATGATATGCTTTTGTTCATTGTTATCTATGTTATTATATGCTTGTTTCATTAGATGGCTTAGTCATGTGACACTTATACCATTGGATGCATATGTCATGTGATGCTTATGATATTTGAATGCTTTAGTTATATAATACTTTAATAATTTGATGCATATATCATCTATTATGTTCTATAATAGGGTTGCTTATATTATTATTGTATGTTGCATGACAAATCCAACTTATGTGACATGTCATTGTTTTAGGCGTGTAAGGAATGGATTGATCACCCATCTATACACGACTATGTTTAATGGTTGATAACTTATAAAATTAATGTTATAGACCACCACTATTGTTTGTAGAGGCCCTAAATAGTGATGTGTTATCCATACTTCTGTGATTGATTAGTCTAGTGGCATGAAGTAAAAGCACGCATTAGGAAAAATGATTCCTATTGCATGTGGTTAAAACTTGAATAGTATGGCCTTAGTGGACGGGATAGAGAAACATGATAGAAGATGCATTGTAGCTTATCATTATTGAGATTAAAATGCATGATCATCTAGAATTAGTTTTCTTATCAATGCATATCTTTACTTTTATTGTCTTTTATGTTATGATTTACTTTATATGCATCTAAATACCAACTAAACATAGGGAACCTCAAACCATCTATTTTCAATAATATATGATCAATATAGTCTAATTTATTTATGTGTTTCATAATACTAGGACAATTAAATTCCATATGAATGGGGTCCTAAATTCTAAATCTACTCAAATTAAACAAGTATATACATACATTTAACCATTTTAATTTATTCAAGTGGGGTCCTAGGACCCCACTCCCTTCCACCTCCCTCCGCCACTGGGTCAAACACGTTGACTAACAATTAATGCGGTATGTCACTCCAGTCTCCAAGTCAGCACATGCCACTTAAAAATTTTGGTTTTCTTCCACCAATTAGCATTTATCTTTTTTCAAAATAAAAACGGGCTTTCATTTCCCCCCTTTTTTTGTTCAAAATAAAAAAGATAAATGGTAATAGGTGGAAAAAACCAAAAATTTTAAGTGGTTTGTGCTCACTTGGTAGTGACGTGGCACGTTGACCGTTAGTCAACGAGTTGACCATCCAAGATAATGGTCATATCTCGAGTTTGGCCAATTTCTTAACTTTGATGTATAGTTGAAGTAACAATGTTATAGATCGAAAAGATTAACAAAAAATGTTTAATTTGTGAAAAGCTTGGCACATACAAATATATTAATCATTAATTAAATGATAAAAATTAACCTTCAAAAGCATTGCATCCTTAGATCACCTAATTCGCCACCACAACCCCGACGTTCCCGCTCTAAAGCGCCAAAGCGTGATTTTTATGGAGTTCGAAGAAAATTCGTGAATTTCTTTCGGCGAGAGCGCGACTTGAGTTTTTGGGAGTGCGCTTTGGGATCGCACGCAAAAGACTATTGGATTTTATGACAGCTCAGGCCATATCAACCCACCGACTCCACTCCAACCCCGCATTCGCCATTCCATAGGCAGCTCCCATGCCTGCAATCAAAAATTAAAGATGGCAACTGCTAATCCAAGATTAATCCTCCCAAATCTATAATAATTAAATTGAGGATAAAAAATCAAAAGGTCAGAAAATTATAGGATAAGATTAGGCTGGATGCGACTCTGACGAAGCCAAAAGAAGGAGTTTCTCATCGGCGCTAAAGGTTAACGCGATTTCTAATTCTTTGGCTAGATCTGAGTGAGTAGGCAAGTGTCGCGGGAGAGAGTTTTTGCACCGATTGAATGATTGATGTGAGGCTTGTTCTTCTACTTGATCGATTCTCTCACTCTTGAATTAAAGGCCGAGAGCAAGAAAAGAGCTAGATAGGAGACGAATCCACCTAATATCCACAATCAACCAACTAGTATTCAATATGGATACTCTTATGTGTTATCTGGATACTTTTATGTGTTATGTGGATACTAATTATGTTTGTATGGATACTATTCTGTGTTGTCTAGATATTAGTTTGTGAATTTAGGATAATAGTTGATTCGTGATATCAATTAGCAAACCTTGAATACTAGTCTGTGATCTCTAAATAATTTAGTACTTGGATACTAGTTCATGTATTTTGAATATCGGTTAGTATCTACTAACTCTTCAAGTTACCTATCCTCCACCGTATCAATTTATTCACCCTCCATTACCAACCTAATAAACATGAATCCCGGGCTAGGGAGGAGGACGAACAAAAATCTGTACGAGTAATGGCTTCTCTCAACCCGTGCTTGGAGCTCCGACCACTGGGCAATACTGGACTGAAGCTCAGCTGTGTCGGGTTCGGAGCTTCTCCTCTTGGCAATACCTTCGGCCCAGTTTCGGAGCAGGACGCCCTCGCCACCGTCCGCGAGGCCTTCCGCCTCGGCATTAATTTCTTCGACACCTCTCCGTACGCTCTCTCTTTCTGCTTTCCCCTTTCGACTGTTGATTGATTTCATCATTACTCAGTAGCTATGTAGAAAATACGAATAACGGGGTTCATCCCTCTTTGATTTATTGGTTGCTATCTAGAGTTAAAAGTAGGTTGTGAGGGATTGAGATACTTTCAGAAGCCTGGGAACAGCCATTGCTATGCTGTTTCAGGCAGCAAGGCGTGGTGCCTGGACTCTGGAGCCGTAGGACCTAACGCCAATCCGTTGCTGTTAAAGCTCTTTAGCCTAATCAGAACCCTTCTCTGTACAGTTTCTGGGGGAGGAGGGCCCTTGGCTATGCAGAATTGATTTCCGTATTGCTTGTTTACATGTACTTTAGGTATTATGGAGCTACATTGTCAGAGAAGGTGCTTGGTAAGGCACTTAAAGCTCTAGGGGTTCCAAGAAATGAGTATATTGTGTCGACCAAATGTGGAAGGTACAGCGAGGGCTTTGATTTTAGTGCCGAGAGGGTGACAAGGAGCATCGACGAGAGCTTGGCGAGGTTGCAGCTGGATTATGTTGACATACTGCATTGTCATGACATTGAATTCGGGTCTCTTGATCAGGTCAATAGTTCACGTATACTGCTGCTGCCGCTGCTTCTTCGTAACTGAACTAATTAACTTACAAAATGGCAACCCTATATATATTATTCAAATGTTGATGTTGTAGTGGTGACATGATTGTAAATGGCAGGTTGTAAAAGAGACAATCCCTGCTCTTCAAAAACTAAAGGAAGCTGGGAAGATCAGGTTCATTGGGATAACTGGACTTCCACTAGAAATCTTCACGTATGTGCTTGATCGAGTGCCACAAGGCTCAGTTGACGTAATCCTGTCTTATTGTCACTACTCTATTAATGATTCAGCCCTACTAGATCTACTTCCTTATCTGAAGAGCAAAGGTGTAGGCATAATCAGTGCTTCTCCACTTGCAATGGGACTGCTGACAGAAAATGGCCCACCAGAATGGCATCCTGCTTCTCCTGAACTGAAGGTATGCTTTCTCCCCTCATGTAATGTCACAATGACCTTTCATCAATCTGTATTTTTTGAGAACTACCGCGAAGCTGAATGCGAGTGTTGGAAGCACATCTTCTTTAGTTGAACCCAAGATCCCTTTTGCATCTCCCATTTTGTCTTTCAGTCTCCCATTTCGTTTGGATTCAGTGAGCGAATTCGCAAAGGAAACCATGTTTGTGTTCCGAGATGTTTGCCTGAGAAAGTATGCATTTCTTGTTTGATCTCGGTGCAGGCTGCCTGTAAAGCTGCTGCCTCGCACTGTAAGCAGAAAGGGAAGAATCTTCCAAAGCTAGCAATGCAGTACAGCTTCACAAACAAGGATATCTCGACAATATTGGTCGGGATGAACTCAGTACGACAGGTTGGTCGCCTATTCCACGCTCGACTCTGCTTTGTTGTGTCTTCGATGTTCAACATGTCAAGCTAACTAATACAAGTTAAGAAACAGGCTAAACTGAATACAAATTATGCCTTTGTTTGCAGGTCCAGGAAAATGTAGCTGCCGCTACAGAGTTCGCTACATTTGGACAGGATGGAGAAATGCTCGCGGAAGTAGAAGCAATTCTTTTCCCCGTGAAGAACCAGACGTGGCCTAGTGGAATCCAACAGTAAATTCCTGATTTGTGGTTCATGGCCGTCTTTCCAGCAGAAGTCAAGCGTTAAGAATAAATTTGCCGCCGCATGGCACTCGAACTTGTAACTAAAACCTACTTGTGAACTTTGGACCGTAACTAATGGGATCGTGATGGCGCAAAATTGTAATGCATGATGCTATTAAGTAATAAGTTGTGACATGGAGCTGATTTGTGCTGATTTTGCTAAATTATCCCATCTCTATTTCTAAAAACTCGAATCCATTCCTGCTCCATATTCATGCAGGACTTTGCCACTCAATTCCATACTCAACATTTTTGGATACTTGTGGATAATACCCCTAATAAAAATACAATATTATTATATTGTATTAAATTAATAAAAATACCTTCATGTAGGACTTCACTACTATCATAAAGTTTTTATCTTGGATACTTGTGGATAATACCCCTCCGTATATCCAATATTATTATACCTAAAATTAATAAAAATACAATATTATTATACCTAAAATAAATAAAAATACCTTCATGTAGGACTTCACTACTATCATAAAGTTTTTATCTCTGGACGGATGACAATGAGAAGAAGGAATTGAAAGTGGGTATGGCGTTCGGCGGCAACGTGCGGAGGAACTTCGTCAATCGATTGACTTCATGCACGAGAACAAATCTAAAAAAATAAGCATGATTCGGAACTTAACTAGACTTGCCTTTTACCTGACATCTGGTTGAGCACAAGATTTTTGCTCAATCGTTACATTACCGTAATCTCCTTCGTTTGAGGAGAGCAACTGGAATGTGCGATGAAGGATTGGGTGGAAGAGCTCGAGGGAAGGAGAGAGATATGAGTATGACAATGGTCTATTTTGGGAGGTTAACAAGCCTTAATAGTTTAGAATGCGGTTCATTGTTATCTATTTGTGGCTTGATAATTCGAGGGGTAAAACTGGGTCAAACCCAACCCTAACCTTAGAACTACTCTAAGATACCTAGCCCTATAGGGCAAGTTATGAACCCAACCCTATTTTCTCACGACCATGTTTGACCCACATGAGTTGGGCTAGATCAGGTTGGGTCAAGTCTGAGGGTCGGCCCAAATCAACAACACATATTTAGAAAATTACATTTTAGTGTAATGTATTTTTTCTTACAATTTTAGTACCTAATTTTCTATTACAAATAGGTCAAGAAACTTTTATGGTAAAATTACATTTTAGCATCCTTGCATTTTTTTATATAACATTGTAGTACCCAAATATGTCAAATCTTGAGAAATTTCAAATTACTAATTGTTGCTATGGGTCATAGGCTCATATAGGGGTGGTCGCCAATCTCATCTTCCTCTCTGAGACCAACTTCTCATGAAGCTCCTAAGTCTCCAAGTAGTTCACCGTTCCCATCTTCCGCCCACAACTCATTGCGACATTTCGTCGAACAATGACCGGGCAAGTGTCTTCTCCGGGAGCGGGAATCGAAATTGAGGCAAACTAATAACAAATCAGAAAGTTCGACTGATTTTTCATATTCCCGGAATTAGCAGCATCGACAGGGCGGACTGAGCAGAGGAGCAGCCGCCACGAGGACTTTCAGGCAAACGGCGACGACTGACGAGGACTTTCAGGGTGAACGGCGCCGACAGGTGAGGACTTGTTCGCCGGCGATGCGAATCCTAGGGCGACGGCTGACATTTAGGGCGAGTTCTCTATTTTTACTTTTTAGGAATGGTTTTTTTTTTTTTTGGAATTTGGTTTAGAGATTGAGAATATTTTAGGGGTAAAAATGTCAACTTATCTAAGTTATGGCGATAAATTTAAAAACTTAGGGCGTTAATTAGTACCTCTCCTATTTTGACCCTAAAGTCTTATTGATCCTACCCGACCCTCGAGGTTATATCGGGTCAGGCTGGACCAGTGAGTAGTTCGGGCCAATGTTATAGCCCTACCGACTAAGAGATTTTCATCTTCCGTTTATCTACACACATTCTACTTATGGATTAATGATTTAATCGTTAAATGTAGGTTAGCAATGAGGGTAAGGGTAAAATTGGTAGCTGCTTAACATAGCCCTAATAAAACTCCACAAAAGAAAGCATAAATATCGCATTCTTCAAAGACCGCCCATTCCAAACAGATGATTCCACAGACAGAATAAGGTGGTATATTCATCAACCCGACACCAGCACAAGACCAACGACCAACTCTTCTTGTTCAATAGAACTGCAGACAAGAAGCTGACTTTCGATGACTAACGTTGCCGAGGCAAACCGAACCAGTCCAGACAAGACCACTGGAAACACACTGTACCCAACAACCACCATTCGAGACCTCGACTTTTTACCAAAGACAGACTCAAAAGTCAAAACAAACGAGTTTAAATCGCCCTAACTTAACCGTATTATATTGCGATCGCAAAACCTATGACCAACCACACCATCAATCTCACACACCACAGGTTCTTCTTTCTTGCTTCGTACCCCTTTTTGTGCCTACGCATATTACTGACTGCAGCTGGTCAAATGACTTCCACAAACCACAAACATACCCCAAAGGTTTTTCTTCCTCCTGTTGGTTTCAAGCTGATGAAGCTGGTTCAGCATTCTTCTTTTCTGTCTCCGCCGGTTCCTTCTTGTCATCAGCAGTTGCATCACAGCTGGTTCCCTTTGCATTTGCACTGCCCTCGGTCTTACCTTCCTCGACACTCAACTTGTCGAGAAGATTGGCAGTCTCTGAAGCATCTTCACTTTCTTCCTTGCTCTGACTTTCAGCCACCTCCTGAACATTTTCCATGAAAGTTTTGCAGTCTACAAGAACAGAAACACATCAGGTCTGCATATTACGTTACTCTTCCAAAAAGAACAAACGTTTTTTGAAAATCGATTTTCCAATACAGAACGAAAAATGGTAAAGCAAAATTTGGAGATTTCGGGTACACATCTTGCAGTCCTTTTCCACACTTCCACAGTAACCGGGCAACCATTTAACCTCACCACATATTAATACCTAGCAGCAACTAAGAGATGATGATTAAAATTTCCAGAATTTGTTCGATGAAATTGCTTCTATCAGGCAACATCCTGCACTCAGTATTCATCAATAAGGAAGAGAAAAACAATATCATGCAGTGACAACTGACAAGGGATATTCAAAGCATGGACAAACCCACTCTTAGATTGGGTAAAGCTTTTAGGATTACTTATTAGTAAGCAGACTAGCAGCCCTGGCAGAAAACTAACATCTTTACTAGCGCGAAGATGCTAGAAGCACGCACAGTAGCACAACTTCATGAATAACCTAGCGGGATGTAAGCATTTTCCTTCTTTATTGAAATCACAGCATCCTGTATATTTAACTTAAAGATCAACATCTAGGTATCTTATGCTGTACAGTAGAATGAAAATGTAAAAAACTACAACCTAAAAACACCTAACACGAAGCTTTAGAATGTAGAAGAAGCTATAGACATCAGCTCACAGTTTTGAGTTGAGCTAGTAGAAGTGAATGATGCACCCTGTAGCTTGAGCAGACAATAATAAGAAAGGCAAAGACTGCCACAATGTAGTGATAGATACAAGTACAGCAACTCAGGAAATCAAAACAAAACGAGCAGATAACGTTCCTCAATGACCACGAATGAGAAATGCGATACTGAAAGGCTCTCTAAGCACAAATACCACGACATCATACTTCGAATTTTATATTGGCAGAAAGTTGCACATTGCCATGTCTAATTGTAACAGTGTAAGTCTCCAACGAACAGATAGCAAAAGCACGCAGGTAAAAGGACGAAAACCGAGTAGAAACATACTCTCAACAGAGGCAAATCTGATGCAGAAGAGCTCATCCTTCAACTCCTCATCAGCGAAATCAGTAGCATGCCATATGCATGATTTATCATTGCCCGGATGCTCTTGAACTTTCGTTCCCGCAATAACTGTAACACGAGCAAACAGACAGTTCTAACTGAGTCATGATCTTTCGATCCACTTGCACCAATCACAAAATGAAAAATTGTAATCCAGATCACTCTCAACTCGGATTGGAAAGAAAGAATCAGAGATAACGAAAGCAGACCTAAATGGTTAGCACAGATCTTGAGTGTCCTGGATTGGCGAAAGACGAGGCGGACTTTGCCATTGTCCTTATGCTTCAACAGCTTCACCGTTCCAGTTCCTCTCTCTTTCCACTGGTTGCTTTCCTTGTCGAAGCGATAAAGTTTCGATTTCCTATTCGAAAGGATCAGCGATGGCAAAAAAAAAAAAAAAAAAAAACAAACGAGACAAAACCCCAAAGGGAAAGGTTATCAGCAAGCGCCCAACAGGAAAACCATCAAAACCTAGGGAAGAACAAAGGAGAGTAGATGGAACAGAGTGCCGTACAGATCGATGATAGGATCCTCATCCTCCTCGCCGGTGGTCACGGCCACCTCTTCGAGCTTCACGATGGGAGCGACCTGAGCTCCGGTGTCCTCGTCATCAGCCGCCGGCGAATTCTCTTCTTCGTCCTCTCGCTCCTTCTTGTTATGCTCTGGAACGACTGCGGAGGGAGTAGCACTGGCCATGTCTGCTATAAGAGCGGCCGCAGAAAGCAGTCGGAAAAACAAATGGGGGAGAAGCGAAGCGAAGCGAAGGAAAAGGAGAAGAGTGCTAAGCAGGGGAAAGATAGTTTAGGGCTCAGCCTCAGCGTAAGCAAAACGGGACGTGATTGGCTGTTTGGGATCCGTATTTATACCTAGTGGAAAAAGGGGAATTCAGTGTGGGCTGCGTCGTCAAGGATCGGGCTCATCACGGCACGGGGATGGCCTTCGAACAGTGGGCTTTTAGTATTGGGGTTTGCGGCCCAAAAATTACTTTTCTTTCAAGAAGGTGTGGTTTACTTGTTAATTGTCTCATTTTTACAAATTGGGTGAATTTGAATTGTCTACCTCTACCAACATTTTCGAAAGGAAAAAAAAAAAACGAATTGTTTATCCACATTTCAGACATATGTAATTACTTTAAAATGAGTCAATTGAAATTCCTCAGACAGAATTATTTTATCTAAAATTTGTACAACCAAACAGACAAATTTGACCAGATTGTTTCGTTTCTCATCTCAAGGACCCCAAGGATTTTAGTTAAAATGAAGGTTTTGCAAAATTGAGAATTTATGATAAATTTGATTCGTTACAATTTCAAAAAATTTGTTGTTTGTTTGTTGGATTTTTTTTTATGGATTTTACGATTATGGATTTATGATTTTAAAGAGTAATTTACTTGGTATCCTTTTTTTATAGAAATTTACTTGGTATCCTTACTTATCTGTTGGTAACTAATTTTATAAATAAACTATCTAATGTTGTTTTTAAAATTGCTTGTGTTGTATTGTACCAATACAGTTACTTTTGTTCAACGAAAAAAAATACAGTTACTTTTTGTTTATTTTTTTTTATGAATTTCTTGGTATATATTTCATAAAAATTTAATTGAGGTGGAGAGGCCGGCTGACCTCACCTGCTGTGACCCCCTACGAGGCGACGGGTTGTGTGATTGTTGTCGACTGGCTGGTTAATTGAGGTGGAAAATCTAAAAATTAATTTTTTTGTAATTGTCAGGTCACACATTTAACGATCAACTTTTACAGTTGACCGGCACGTAAGCAAAAGTTCACTGAGTTGGACGAAGAGTGGTCAAACTTGAAGTATTTAACTAATTTAAGTGACCACGTATGAAATTAAATACTTTTAGTGACCAAACATGAACGTTTTTTAGTAATCTCAATAACCAACCTTGCAATTAACCCATTAACTAATGGAATGTTTCCCGGTACTATATACTAGTGTACTTCTTAGTAGAGGAAAAGTTCTCTCGACTAGTAGCTGATCATTTTCCCGTAGTGCTAAAATTCATACATCAACATCTCCCAACAATTCGAGTTATTGGGATTAGCTAGTCTATGAGGGTATATATAGCCAGTTTAATCCAAGACGAATGCAAAAGGTTAATCGTCAGTATCTATTAATGGCCAAAATTAAACATTCATATTTCTATCTCAGGGATAAAATAATATGTGATAATGTCTTGAACGTACTATTATAGCAAGCTATGTACGTGTAGGAATTATATATATGCCAACTCATAGTTTGATACATATAATAATGGTTATTAAAATATGTGACTATGTAGATATCTGGTAGGTAGTAATCGCTTAAATAGTAATATTATAAACATTACCACACACACACACAAAAAAAAAACATTATTAGCACCACGTGTGCATATATGTTTATCGTGTGTATTAAAAAAAACGTTGGGACGATTCCAATATCTTCCAAGGCAGAAACAAACTAAATACAAGCAAAAGGTAATTAAAAGTATAAAAAACGCTCATTTCAAAGATGGTAATGGATTTGGTATATGATCAGGATTCAGGATGACTATGGAATGGAATTGATATTCGTATAAAATCAGCCTTGGCTGCATCGGATGATATGAAGGAGTGAGGGGGGGAAATGGCAAGGACAAGCAGAGGTCGGCAGAAAGTTGAGATGGTGAAGATGGTGAAAGATAGCAATCGGCAGGTGACATTCTCCAAGAGAAGGTCGGGTCTGTTCAAGAAGGCGAGTGAGCTGTGCACTCTGTGCGGCGTTGAGATCGCCATCATCGTGTTCTCGCCTGGCCACAAAGTCTTCTCCTTCGGCCATCCCAGCATTCAGGCACTGCTCGACCGCTTCCTTGCTCGAAACCCTACGAAACTAGCCGCCGCCGCCTCTACCTCTTCCTCTTCCTCCATGAGCCCTTTCGAACAGCTCTACGAGGCACATCGCAATGCTCAAGTTCGTGAACTCAACGCCCAGCTCACCCAGGTATACACACATATATAACTCCAGATGAACGTGGCTATAACCAAATCATTACACTTACCCATCTATGATAATTTTACGCAAACTCAAGTAGATTCATTCGTTATGAGTAATGTCATTGCATATGTGTTGGGAGTAGGGCATAGATATTACTTTCATAATTTAAATGAGTATGAGTTATTCGGTTGGGTACGGATACTCATTTTGTTGAGGGTATTGTAACTACACATAAAGAAAATACTGGACCTATTTGTAAAATGTAGAAAGTTTAGGTATCAAAATGTAATAAGAAAAATTTAAGTATTAAAATGTAATTTTTCTTCGATATTTTTACGACATAAATGAAAAAAAAATTAGGTACTAAATCTAAATATCTATTACATACAGTTTGGTATGAATGAATTCCATAAGTTTTGAGCAATTCATTTTGAAATGAAATACTTTTTGTGTTTGGTATTAAAAAGAATTCATTTTCAATTCTAAATTTTGAATTCTACCGAATTGGAACTAGTTATAGCAATTCCTAAGGAATTTAGATAGAATTTCCAAATGAATTCCACAAGTATTTACTAATTATAATAAAATGACATGATTATCCTTTTTATTAACTACATTACTTATACATATGACATATCAAACACATAAATTAATTTGACAATGAATTCTACACGGCACTTCAATGATTTGAATATAACATACCAAACATAGGATTTCATTTGACAATGAATTCTACACGCTAATTCATTTTACAATGAAATGAATTCTCGATTCATTTGTTACCAAACGGTCTGTTAAGTTTAGGTACTCATACTAAATTGGAATTTGCAAACGGGTATATGGGTAGAAACCCAAGTGCATGGATTAAAAATCCAATCCAACCCAATCCAAATAAATAGTTATGCGTACTAACCTATCAAAATCTAGTCATTTACACCATCTATTTGGATTTCATATCCAGATTGGATAGTATAATATCCATGCATATAAACAAAATTGTCATCCCTAAATAAGAGAGATTGATTAATCCATGCACTCGATTGGATGGAACTAGGTGCTACAAGAAGTGGAGATAGAGAAGAAGCACGGGGAGGAGCTAAACCGAATAAGGAAGATAAGCCAAAGCCATTGTTGGTGGGAAGCACCAGCGAGGGAGCTTGGGCTGGATCAGCTCCAGCAGCTCAAGGCAGCATTGCAAGAATTCAGCAAAAACATTTCAAGGCAAAAGCTTTTCCTCCAAAGCTGCTCCGCTACTGCTACTGCTACTCCTACTCCTCCACTGCAGTTTTTTGGCCCAGCTAACCCCGCCATGGCCACACTACCGACTGCAGATAATCATCTTCAATATGACATCAAGAACATTAATAACAACAGTAATAACAATCTTCATCTTCATCATGGATATGGGTCAGGATTCTACTAAGGGCCGTTTTTTTTCTTCTTCATATTTCAACTTCTGGAGGTGTTAGTGTCTCTTTTTTTTTTCTTTCTTTTTTTTCACACTCTCATGTATGCTTTCCAGCGTATTGCAAATTATATATGATACAAATGTCAATATGTGGAATAAAAATTAAGAAACGAGAATAAACTATGCATTCTCTGTTGTAGAGCCAATTTTGGACTCTGCTTAATCTTTTCCTTGCATATATAGCTTGCAAACTCTTTAGGTGTCGTTTGGATTAGAGATTTTGATAACGAGGGATTTTTAATTAAAATCTCTCGTTTAAAATACCTGGAAATTTCATGTCTTCCAGTGATGAAGCCACCCTAAGTTAAGTCTTTCTCAACTTGCAAAATCTTTTAAAACGACATGTAAATTTTGATAATACATTTGAGAAATATAGTAATTGTTAAGGATTTAGTCCCCCACCAGTTTGAATTCTCCGAGCGTAGATTTTCACCCCGTATTTAGAATTCTGGTTTTGCCACTAATGTCGTCTAAAAAGAAGCGGCAACGATATTAACGTCCGTAGGGCACAAAAAATGCATACTCTTTTATTTGGGATTTGGATAAAAATTGGATTGGCATACCCACTTCACCAAGTGATACAGGGCCTAAGTTCAGGTCCTTAAATCATCTTTTTTAAGGAGGATCTTAAAGAGTTGTGATTGGCTGATTTAATTTTAGGTAGTTATTGAATAGTTATTAGTTAAATAGTTGTTAGGGTTATTAAGGGAATTACAATTAAATTAAAACCGTAACCCTACTGGTGTATATATACCCTAGCCGAACTGTTTCTCTCCATAAATTTCATCATTGTCTTCCCGTTTCCGTCATGCAAGTTTCTTCGGCCAGATGTTTGACACCGTCTTTGTCCTGACCGTCGTCTGTCCGTCTTCATTTCGCTGAAAGACAGTCGCTTGCCGTTTCTCTCCACAAATTTCATCATTGTCTTCCCGTTTCCGTCATGCAAGTTTCTTCGGCCCCATGTTTGACACCGTCTTTGTCCTGACCGTCGTCTGTCCGTCTTCATTTCGCTGAAAGACAGTCGCTTGCCGACGTAGATTGGTCTTCTGGCGTCGCACTCTCGTTCCCGCCGTTGTGAAGCAATGCCCGTCCCCTTTGCTCAACAGCTGCCACCTACGTCCATCACTCCCCAGCTTCCGTCGTCGGAGCGATGCGTCTCGCAATATCGACTTCCTGTGTCACTAGCATTGAAGTCGTTCCCATCGGGTGTCCGTTCAGTCCGCGACCACTGCTCCCTGCGCTCCCCTCGACGACGTTCAAGGTAATCTCCATGTCCATATTTTATCAACAAGTTTAACCGGCGTCGTAGCTATTAATAACATTTCTTTACCATGTATTAACGTTACTGATTATTAACGTTTCAGCACAACCTTATTAACGTTTCTTATGCAGTTATTAACGTTTCACTGATACATTATTCATATGTAACACGACGTTATTAGTAATGTGCTCGTCATTAACGTTTCTTTACCAATTGTTAATATTTAACACATGCACTATTAACAAGTCCAAATTGATCCTTTTTCTGGCGCTATTTCCATGAAATTGCTTTTTTCGTTTTGATGATTATGATCCTTTGTTATGGCTGCTTCTTTCTAACATTAGCATAGTGGAAATTGTTTCTTGGTAGTCGAAATTGATTCACTGATAAAGTTTATTAGAAATTTAGGTTGTACTGATTTTTTATTTTTTAGGGCGATGGTCAATGTTTTTTTTTATTTTTAATAATTTTAGCTTATATTTGTACCTTTCTCATCGCACATTATTAACAAACTTGTATGTTATTGAGCAATTTTTTCTTATGACAAGTACACAACCATTATAAAAAAATTACTACATTATCATGTTAGTTTATGTTTGTGATTTTGTGAAATGGCATTATGAATGTTCCGTTTTTGTTATTAACATTTTATGGTTGTATTGCTCTTTGTTCACTCTTGGGTTATCAATATATTTATATGCAATTTGTAATTTTTGAAAGTGTTCCACCCATTATTAATATTTTCAATTTATGTCCATCATTAACGTTTCTTCACCTACTATTAATATTTTGAACATGATTATCAACATTTTTAATTGTGTTCTACTAGTAATCTGCCGGTTGAATTAACGTGTACTTTTATCAATTTGTGTTCATTATCAACTGTTTCTTCACCCATTATTAATATTTTCAATGTCATTGGCAACATTTTGAATCGTGTGCTATTATTAATCTATCGGCTTGATTAACATGGACTATTATCAATCTATGCTCATTATTAATAGTATTTTACGCATTATTAATATTATTCACTGCACTATCAACAATTTTACTGTGCTTCTGGAGGAGAGATTGGAGACACCGAGGTCAACCCTGAAGGATTTGTTGCTGATGAGTGATGAGACATTGGTTCATATTACTCTCATTATCAATTGCAATGTCCACGACTGGTACAAAGCTATCATCATTCGGAAACTCATGTACCCAATTTATACTCTGAACTATGAAGACTCAAAAACACAAAAGATCAAGACACATGAATTTTTTTTTTCTTTTCATATATGCAAAACAAACAACTCAACATGCATCCCCACAATATCCACTGCAATTTCAACTTGACTTCCCGCCAAGTTGTTACCAACATTTTGCCCCCTTGAAGTTTTCATCTCAAGGTATTTCATTCAAATCTGCAGTGTTGAGTATATATCAATATCAACAACGTTATTAACAGTTTATAACATCATCAAACAATATTATTAATCATTATTAACCTACCACTACACTATTATTAACAATATCATCGGAGTCATTAATTGGTAACTAACAAGCTGTGTCAGTATTCATGTTCTTACCCGACCATGAAATTTTATTAATATTTTTATTTGTGTCAATATCCTCGACACCATTATCAACAAACTAACGTTACAATTTTGATAATATTCAACCACGTCGTCAACCAATATTATTATACATTATTAACTGACAATGCTATTATTATTAATAATATTATGATGATTATTAACCGACAACTATATCACTATGACAAGTAGCGGAATCTTCAATGTGAGGTTTTCCAGTAACGTTATTAACAAATTAACGTTATGATTTTAATAATATTCAACCACATTGTCAACCAATATAATTATATATTATTAACCAACACTGTTGCTATTATTAATCATATTATGATAATTATTAATTGGCAAGGCTAGGACAAACAAAGGAGCCTTCAATTTGAGGTTTTTCAGCAACATTATTAATAAATTAATGTCAAAATGTTAATAATATTCAACCACGTCGTCAACCTGTAAAATAATACATTATTAAACAATCACGCTATTATTATTATTATTATCATAATATGGTAATTATTAATGACGAGAACCATTGACGGTGATTGTCGAAGAACTTGATGGCGGTGGGGGTTCCGCCTCCAACTACGAATGAGGGAGACACGGCGAGACGGAGCGAATCAGATCTTCAACGGCGTAGATGATGGAGACGGCGGGCAAGTTTATTCACCGCAGATCCGCGACTATAAGACGGCGGTCGTGGTGGAAGAAGGGGCGCCGCGATTTCAAAGGAGACGGTGAGAAGTTTCACCGGAAGATCCGTGGCCAAAAGACACCGATTGTGGTTGTCGGCAGTATCCTCGTCAGTTGCGGCGTGCGACAATCGATAGAAAAGGACGACAGTGACTAGGCAGTTGATCTTCAACGGCGTACGCAGAGGAAGGAGACCGTAGGAGGAGAATGGTTTTTTCATTTTTATAAATAATGTAATTAATTGTTAATTGTATTTCATTCTTGCCCTTATTGGTAGTTAGCCAATAATTATTAATGATCATCTCTATCCTCCTCCTATTGGTTGACATGGGTTTAAGATCCTTCTTAAGAAATGGGTTTTAAGGACCTGATCTAACCCGACGGGAAATCATGTCATTTTCCGGTGGAAATGGAGCACAAGACATATTTGGAAATTAAACTTCTCAACTTCAATGAAAAATTCGGGGGCGAGGAACGGAAGCTACAGTTAATAGAACTCAAAGAGTGGATGCTTCAGGCTTATGAAAATACTAATATTTACAGTTAATAGAGTTGGACGAAAACTAACAGAAGAATGACTAAATGTGACATGTTTCAGTAATTCGAGTGACCAAAATTGATATTAATTTGTTCTAGTGACTAAACATGACATGATTTAGTAATTTTCAGTGACCAAATGTGCATTTACCCAACAGTATAGTGACATATTATATTTATAACTCTTTTACAATATTATATAGGGGTGGCAGAAAAATTCTGAGGTTCGGATATCCACCCGAACCCAAACCGGTCAACGCGGGCAAAACCCGCATTGAATGGATTCGGGTTGGGGACGGGCAAAACCCGAAAGCTACAGTGTCGGGGATGGGTAGGGTACGGATATCGTGTTATCCGCCCCGAACCCGCCCGGTACCCCATACATGCCCATCCAATACCCCCCGACTTAGCGACTACTCGTTTTCTTAGAGACACAAACTCTAGCAACTAGTCGTTCCTCTCGAACGATTCACTCTTTTCTTCTTCCATTAAATTCATTCATCTCCTTTTAATAGGCCTTCTTTCAGTGGCGGAGGCAGGGCCTTCTGGCCTTGTCCCGGGACAGAGGTAAATTTCGGTGGAACAAAAATACGCCATATATATTACTAGCTTTGTGCCCGGGCGGATGGCCGGGTTCATTACATTTTATCATTTCAAATAATTGTCCCTTTGAGACACATGATCAAATGATTTAAAATAAATAAATTTCATTTTTTACATCTTTTGGCTTTTTTAGGTTTTTGTGATAGTTGATTTGAAGGTTTTGGTCATCGAATTTGGTGTCTCTTTTAACTTGATTTCTATGAGATTATTTGACATAATTGAGTTATGGTTTAATGGGAATATGTTTTTGAATAATATTAATAAGGGGTATTTTTATTTTATTTTATTTCCCTTTTTATCTAACATGTTATTTTTCATTTTATGAAAGGGATTTTAGTAAATAATTATTCTTATTTTCCGGCTTTTATTAGTCTTCCTTTATAATTTTTATAATTAAATAGGTTAGCTTTTTGGGTTAAAATTGGATAAATAAAATATTATTTCATGCTCTACTACCACAATTTTATACAATTATTATTAACATATCTATTTATCACAAAAATAATAACAAATTCAATTTCACAATTAAAATACAAAAATAAGGCGGCTTATTAGGAGTTTTATAGAGGAAGGGGACATGTTGGGAACGGTTTTTAGGAGAGAGAGAGAAAGGTTTAAAATTTAAAGCCTAGTGACGTGGATGGATAAAAATCGTTTATGGCGTATGTGGAGTGGGTTAAAATCTCAAACCCTTTTAATATATTTTAAGACTAGCTTATTACCCGGCCCGTTGGCCGGATTACTGTATGTTACCCACTTGTGGAATGGGAGAGAAAACAAGAGAGAGTGAAGGGATTGGGATTCCACTTGATTAGGACCGGCCCACTAATCCGATTCTTCCCAACCCGCCCCAACCTAAAGGGTCAGAAAGAGCCAATAAGAAAATACGAACGGAGAGAATTAGTAATATATCTTGACTCTTCAGAAGTGGGTCAAACAGGATAAAGGTTGGGTGAGGGCAATTTTTAGCGCTAAGCAGAGTTCTGGGTTGAATAACTTTACTAGGCCTAGAAATTGGTGCTGATGCAGACTGCAGTTTTTATCATACCATCATCAATCATCATTGAATTAGTCCTGGGCATCCCTCCCCGTTGTCGGTCTAAATTTTAATGATGGCTTCATTCCTTGCACCAGCCATATTAGCGAGTTGTCATCTCGAGCATGATTTGCCTATGTACAAATGATACAATTAGAGTATGAAACTGAATTCAAAGAAAAGGAAAAGAGAATTCTATCACATGCCAATAAATACACACATAATAGTTGAAGCTAAGTGAAAGTCATTACTCGCACATCAATTCTAAAAAATTACAGACTAAACAATGGCTAGAATGGCACTGAAACTACCAAGAATCATGGACGAAACAACTTGTCAAATTAAATAATCCTTATACTGAAACTACCTTCTAACTTGAAATAAGACATGATCACAGTTCATAGCACTCTTATCACTATGAATTGGTTGCAGCTCGTCCTTATCACTACCTCTCAAGCTCAATTCAAACAGAATAGACACAGTTATGTAAGATAACCATATCCTTACTGATCATAATTCCTTTCTTCACTCCATTTTTGTCGGAGAAAAGAGTTATCCCCCTCTCATGCATTTCCCTTTCCCCCTCTCTTCTCCCTCTTCTTCACAAACCGATCCCTAAACCAGCAACAACAACACAAAATAGCCTTCGCCTCTGCCATCTCCATCTACTGAACGCGTTGGTGGCAAGACAGGATTGTAGAAGCAAAATTTTCTAAAATCAAACTAAATTTTTTGAAGGAGACTCAACCACGAAAAAAGAGTAAAGCAACAATGCTAATAGTTCAGATGGTTGGTTTTGATGTTATACGTTGCTTTTGTTATGGTCTCTAGTGTATCAACTGCAACAGAGATGTTTCCTCCAATCATCTTTAGTGCACAATTTAGAAGTAAGTCCTCTTGTTTGTGTCAAACGGAAACATTCATGGGTTCTTAACTCCCCTGTTAGTGTAAATGCATCAGCAGCAAAGAAGTTTGACAACACAGCAAGCACCCAGGCAAAATGATACAATGCAGTAGGTGATATGTGTCTCAAAGGTTTTGAGTTACTAAAGTTCATGTTAAAAATAAACATGAATTAAAATGGATTATTCTATTAAGCAAACATCCCCTCTAATCATACAAAGATCAGATATCTAATTCACAAACAATTAAGCCATAAAAAATCATCACACATCCACCACCTTTGATTGCCTATATTTGGTTTTTCGCAAAGTTGTGGACTCTTAAGGGTAAAGTTCATGGGTAGTCTGTTTCATAACTCTAGAGAGCACAGTAAGCAGCCACCAACCAGACACAGTGCGGTAGGCGAATATGATTCTCCATTCACAATTTCTCACCACCGGAAGTAAGAACAGAACATAATAAGCGTAGCGTTCATGGGTGGTCTGTTTCATAGCACTACTACACAATTTGTTAAATAAGAAAGAAAGGTATTTAGCATCACGGCGGAACAACTTTTACAGGCCAACAACGACAACATGCTGCAACCACCAGAACTGGTATCACAACTCATAGGGAAAGTCAAAAGATTTACTCTTAAATTAAGTAGTTACAACATCGAGCAATCGTCAAGCACATACACCATCACAAAAGTCACAGAACCTGATTCACAAAGCATTCAAACATTTGAGGACATTTCTGCAAAGATACAACTTATATGTCTTTTTTCCAAGCCATTTCCATCAACATGCTAATAAATTTGCAATGCATAAAACAAATGGGCCAAAACTTGAAATTCAACCTGTTTGACCGACCCATGCCAAATTCTAATTATTCTTTACTTTTAAACTTTCTATTTGAAAATAAAAAAATAGTGAATGAAAAAAGACGACTACAATTCGCCATTTGCACATCACTTATTCGGGAATAAAACCATATAAATTCAAAAGGAACTAAAAATGTTGAGGATCGTTTTAATGTTTAAAATAACCAAATAGATTTTTATGTTTAGTTTTTTACTAACAAATACCAAACGATTCCCTATAAAATACACTATAATTAGATCATTATGATGTCAAATAATTATAAAATATATATTTGAAATGATAAAAATTGGACTAATTGGGTTGGTCGAGGTTGAACCATTGAATAACTTTAAAATACATTATATTTTAGCCACTAAGATATAAAATAATAGCATAATATATATTATGCCAGAGAAAATAGCTTGTTTTAGAATGACAAACCCATGATGTTCATTTGTTTTACTTGATGACCAAATCCCATGTAGGTCAGGCCCATTCAACTCTTTTATTTTATGGTTAGCGGTTAGCCCATTAGATACCATGCATTAGTCTATTGTTAAATTTTTTATTTTTAACAATAAAAAGGAGTATTATTTTTGCCTTTTCATATATATTTTATCACCACGGATAAATAAAAGGGTATAAAGAAAAAAATTGACACTCCTTGACTCATTTAAATCCGCATGTGTACGGTAAGTTGGCCCATTCCATAGAGGAAAGAGAAAAAATTGACACTCCCTATTTTACCCTTCCTACAAACGCTCATGGAACAGGGAATTTGAAATGGGGGAAGAGTTTTTTCCACCCTGCTATTATATGTTTTTAATTTAAAAGGATACAACAAATGTACTTAGTGTGATTGGTTATGATCCTTGCCTTTTTTTAAAATGGTCATGGTTCGAATCCCAGTACACACCTTTTTAATGAATAAAAAAAAGTAATTGTGAAGACCAAAATGTCCTTCCTACTTTCACTCTCGTTGCAGGAAATTTGAAATGGGGCTCCCGTTTTTCCCTTCGGTGTATTATATTATGTGTAGATTGGTGAGGGAACACAACACGTATAGGTAGTATTAGAGTACTTTGTCACTATAACACAACTCATTACTTGTCCAAAATTGACATAAAATTAATTTATTATACAATAAACGAAATTCCAATTGCAATAAAGAACTAATCGGGTCTCTTTTCTCCTTATGCCTATTTGATCTTTCCCCAACAACCCTGAAATTGTCTAGTGACAATGGCAATTCCATTAGTTTTGATCTACCAATTACTCCTCCAAGTGTAAAAAGAGCATTTTCGGCTTTGAGTTATATTAAGAACAAGTTTTTAAGTCGATTTGGCGACCAGTTTGCTAATACTTGTTTAATAAGATACATTGAAATAGACTTATATAATAGTGTAGACAGCAAATGTTTTTGCGCTTCTTTCACTGTATGAAATTCCTTCGTAGTTGTTTCTGAAAAGTATGATAGTATAATCGACTATTTTTAATTTATGAATGAATTATTTGGATATAATCATTTTTTATTAATAATTATTTTATTAGATACTTATGTATTTAAGTATGAAAAGAGGACATGGATGGTTTAAAATGCTGCCTCCGCCACTGCCTCCTTCCTCGTGCAACACAATCCACTAGGGGTGGGCAACGGCCGGTTGGGTGGGTTTTGGTCTCAAATTGACCCACCCGCTTACTAGTGGGTTGGAATAATTGTGACCCGCAATCCACCCACATACTTCTACGGGTTGAGTTGGGTGGGTGGCAGATGGGTGCGGTTGGGTTGCGGGTCAACCCGCAAAAGCATTTCTCCAACTAGCCATTAAGAAAGTTGACTAACATTTATAATATGTTCATAGCAAATTAGTAAGACTGTATCAATAATTTGTGACTGTATCAATAATTTGTGATTTTGATACAATTAATAATTTATAGTTTGCATCGCAATATTTAATGGTTATTAACAATAATCTGCATACTAATATCCAATATGTAATGGATATTGCACAACACAATGACCAATAATAGTAGTCAAAACTATTATTTATTCTCCAGCTTTTGAAGTATATGGTCAGACTATAGTGCAGTTCGAAAATATGATGAATATTCTATATTATAAGAAACAACATTTTTTCATGTAAAAATAGGATGCGGGTCATATGGGTGACCCGCAATCTACCCACCACCCACCCACAAAGTGTGGGTGGGAGATTTACTAATCCGCAATCCACCCACATCAATCACTCACTCCGTGCGAGTCGAGTTATTTGCGGATGGATTGATATAAATCCGCGGATTAACCACCCACGTGCCCACTCCTACAATCCACCCCATCTTCCATTATAGACTATTACCATTGAGAGGTGTGCATTTCAGCTTTTCAAATGGTTTGGTCATTCTTTCTGTTACGTGGTGGATTTTTTTTTTACAAATAAAACTCAACTTTTATTCCACCATAAGAAACACGCTAAGGCTATTACAATATTAGAGGAGAACAGAAATTATATCAAGAATATTAATCCAGTCTTCTGGTAGAATAGATTTGGCTCTTGATCGTGCAACCCAATCCGCTCTGACGTTCAAAGCCCTTGGAATCTCATTCACCGAAATTGTTGGGTTAGTCCTAAGAATATTGACCATTGATCGAATCTGTGCTGCACATCTCCAGGGCCAACGAGACTGATTGTGATTCATGGCCTTCACCAGTATTTGACAGTAAGATAGAACTGTACACTCCAATCCATATTCTTGTGCTAATTTAATTCCTTCCAACAGAGCCTTTGCTTCCGCTTCCATCGGGGTGGAACAAAGAAGAAGATCAGCTCTCCCATCACACACTTGTCAATGGTGGTTAACGACAACAACACCATAAGCCGCCGACTGGGGATCGCTAAAGAACGACCCATCACATTGAATCACAATCGAGTGATCACTTGGCGGTGAATTCGTATCATGATGGGTTCCCCTGAGCTGAGTGGGACCATCAGAACCTTGAGGTGGGGGCCTCGGGCAAGCAATCCATTCCGTAAGCTCTCTATAGGTTTGCATACACACCTTTGGGGGCCAGGGTACTCGATTCTTGAAAGTGCTCTCGTTCCTTGCTTTTCATATGTTCCAACAAAGGTAGATAACATGAATCAGGGAGTTTTGAGGGATGGTATCTTTTGGTGGATTGGATGTTTGATCTTTGATCTTTTATATTGTGAATTACTGCTTTAGCGTAAGTGATAAGCTCAAAATGACACCGACTAAACTACCTATGGAGCTCCTGGCGGATTGGATACTGGGAACGCTCTAACGCAATCTTTAAACCCTTTCCTTAAACCCTTTCTTCTCTTAAAAAAAAAAAAAAAATTTAAACCCTTTCTATTCCTCTCCCTTCCAATCCAGTCTCCCCAGCCAGCCATCAGCCATGTCCCTTCTTCTCCGATCTCTCCCTCTGATCACCCTCCGCTCTAGACAGTCTCTCCCTCTCCTTCACTCCGTTTTCAAGTCTCAATTCCCAAACCCACTCCTTAAAACCGGACGATACGTTTCTTCTGTTTCTGCCTCCGCTTCTCCCACTCCCCCCTCAGCAGAAACGCTACCAAAGCCTCAAATTCCGTTTGGGGCTCTTGATTGGGTTTCTCGTACTGGCCTCTGCGGAGATTTGTCGATAGACGACGTGGGTAAGCGTGTTCGTCTCTGTGGGTGGGTTGCTTTGCACAGGGTTCATGCAGGCTTCACGTTTCTTAATCTCCGTGACCACACTGGCATTGTTCAGGTAGGCTAACGCTTTTCTGCAGCTCCGCAGTCGTTTCTGTCTCCCATCTGTTTGTTTGCCTTCTTCCCCGGGAGGAAAAGCTTGCCTCTCTTTTAGCATTAGAGTGCTTTAGCCTTTTTCTTAAAGTTCACTGATTTTGGTAATTGGATGATTGGCGGAGGCAAAACTCTAGGTGACGACAAGTCGTGGTGATTTCCCAGATGCCCATTCCGTCGCAAATGACCTCAAGGTGGAGTGCGTAGTTGCTGTGGAAGGTGTTATCCGGTCTAGGCCTAGTGAATCGGTGAATACGAAAATGAAAACTGGCTTGATCAAGGTAACGCTACTTGCTCTTCTCGTTTTGTTATCTGCCGGGCGTTGAAAACAAGATAATCAAGGTCCCATGTTCTTACTCCTCTAGCCGTATTGGTGTGCAGGTGGATGCAGAACATGTTCAACTCCTGAATGCTGTTAGAACCAAGTTGCCTTTCTTAGTTACCACTGGAGATGATTCTAAAGATTCAGTGAAGGAAGATATTCGATTGAGGTGGCTGATTCAACATGACCTCAATCCACTTACTGTGTTATAGATCTCGGCGGCTCTTTGGATTGTTGAATTCTTCTGAACCTGGCATTATGTTCCCTGGAAATATATTTTATACCTGCATTGATTTCTTGATGTGATAATCGCATCCTTGAAGAATTTATCGACAGCTATCGCATGGGTAGATGGGGTGGATATTTTCCATAGCTGTCAACATCATTAGGCCCTTGAAGGTGTTTTTTTTTTCTTCCCGAGAAGAAATGTTGTGTAGAATGTATGAATGAGGTCCTTATGTTTAGTAGTATAACAGATAGATTAGTTTCAGGTGTGCTGCAGTTGTGGTCAATAGTTATATCCTCAGAAGGTATGCAGCATCCTTATGCTGACAATACCTGCCATTTCCCCCAACATTGCCAGGAAACGATAAAGTTCTTCCCTAATCGTGTAACTCTTTCATCCATGGGAATTTTTTTTACTTGTCTTGGCCCTTCAGAAGTATTGTGTCACTTTGGTACCGATTTGCTTCCATGAGCTGTATTGCTGAAACTTATCTAAATTGCATAAGCAGGTATAGATGCCTTGACCTACGGAGGCAACAAATGAGTACCAACATAATGCTCCGGCACAGGGTGGTGAAAGTCATTCGGAGGTTTCTGGAAGACTTGCATGGATTCGTTGAGGTAAACAGGGAAACTTGGGTGCATTAACTTTATTATATATATATAGTTCTTTTAATCTGATCCTGATTCGCATTTACAAGTTAGATTGAGACTCCAGTACTATCGAGATCTACTCCAGAAGGTGCTCGGGACTATTTGGTGCCATCAAGGGTTCAGGTATTGCCTCTTGTTTTGTCCATGGCAGTGTTTAGTGCTGCATTAAGTTTAGTAGAGAACTTTGTGAATTGAACTACATTTGTTTCGCAACTAGTGGATAATTTTCAACCTTTACTTTTTTTTGGGTAGAAATTTTCAACCTTTACTGTCTGTGCCTCCAGACAATATATTTCTCTCACGTGATTCATCTATTGGTTACTGGATGTGATTCTCTAACCTGGTTGATCTATTGGTTACCGGGATTTTGGAGTTCTTTCTCTGCTTGGCTTAAAGCCTTCATTCTGTGTTTGAAGTCAGGAACATTCTACGCTTTGCCACAAAGTCCACAACTTTTTAAGCAGATGTTGATGGTCTCTGGTTTTGACAAATATTATCAAATGGCAAGGTAATGTCTCTACTTGGCTGGGTGGAATCGAGGTTACATGATAGTAATAGCTAACTGCAACCGTTAGACATGGTGCACCAGTCATTTCATTGTAAAGATAGGTGAAAGTTAGCCATTTTTATTTTAGCAGTGAGGACAACAACTCCTCTTTGACCAGTGTTTATGCATTATGCCACTTCTATTTCATTGCAGATGCTTTAGAGATGAAGACTTAAGGGCAGATAGGCAGCCTGAGTTCACGCAGCTGGATTTGGAACTGGCTTTCACTCCATTGGAGGAGATGTTAAGACTCAATGAAGATCTGATTCGGAAGGTTTGATTTCACTAATGCTCTATGAAAAAACTTGTGCTTGATTCTTCAGATTGCCCAAAATGTACTGTTGAAGTCAAAAGTTGCTTGATGTCTGTCCATGGATGTTTCAATTTGTTTTTTTGTGAGAAAAGAATCCAATGAATCTAGTTGTACGACATATCCTAAAATAAGTTTAGTTGTGACAGGTAGCTTATTGCAAGTCTGAAACTTGCTCCAATTGAAAATAGGACTCATTTCGTGTTTATAACAACTTGAGTGAAATGGCTGGTTATTGGTTGTTAGGGTTACATATGTGGGGGTTCCCCACACCTGCTTTTCATGAGGTTACTGGTCAGTCGGGCTTTTGTCTATGCAGGACCGTATAGACACTAATACTGTAGATATTAGTGGGTCTCGTCAAGATGGCTATTTGAACTTTCTGGTTTTAGCTCTTGACTTGTTGACAAAATATCAATTAGTTTCAATGGCGAGCTTTCAATTGCATTTTCAGAACCTTGATATGCCAATGAAAGTTGGATCTACTTGTATATATTTAGTGGATGAGTAACAATGATATTTCCTTGGCAGGTTTTTCTGGAGATTAAAGGTGTTCAACTGCCTAATCCGTTCCCCAGGCTTACATATGTGGAAGCTATGAGTCGATACGGCTCTGACAGACCTGACACTAGATTTGAGCTCGAATTGAAAGATGTAATTGTCTGGTTAAACACTTCATTTTGCATTTTTAAGCTCATAAGTTGTATAATGAAAATGCAACACTAGAGCACATTGGTCCCTAGACAGTAATATGGCTAAGGATCTGATAGGAAGGCACAAGGGTTAATGACAAGGATATTTCCTCTCTATGTCCGTAATGTAAATCTTTATAGGATTCAGTTATCTGTATACTGGTTCCATATATGTTTAATTGCTCTGGTGACTACTTTTACTTCTATGATTCTTTGTACTTGTTTTTGCTGAGTAGGGCATCTGAGCTAGTTAAGTTCATGTGCCATCATAAGCATTCTGAAGCTAATGGTTGTTGAAAATCTGGTTAATTTTGAGCTTAGGTTATCTAGAGTGTCACTGAGTTATTTTAAGCTTTGATGAACTTCAATTGGTACAAGAGGAATGCATGCATTTGATTTAAGTTTATGGTTCTGCATGCACATTATAAAATCGTTGCGGATAATATTTACTCTTCTATGTATAATTTGGCTAATTTAACTGGTTTTCAGGTGTCAGATATATTTGTAGAGACCCCTTTTAGGGTTTTTGCAGATAACTTGAAGAGTGGGGGAATTGTGAAAGTATTGTGTGTTCCTTCAGGTGCTAAAATTTACTCGAAATCAGCTCTGAAGAAAGGTGATATTTACAAGGAGGCAATCAAATCTGGAGCAAATGGGTTGCTTTTCCTCAAGGTCTCGGATAGTGGTGAGGGTAATTTCTACTTTGTTTGCTTCTTTCCGTTATTACATAAAAAAGTTACTGGCTGCAGTACTTACCAGAAATCTTTAATATTTATTTGTAGCTGAATTGGAGGGACTACCTGCTTTAGTATCTGGTTTGGACCCATCAAGAAAAGAGCAGCTACTGAAAAGATGCTCTGCAGGACCAGGGGATCTTTTATTGTTTGTAGTTGGTCATCATGCATCAGTCAATAGAAGCCTAGACCATCTTAGACAATTTTTTGGCAATCAACTGGGCCTAATTGACCATGTATGTTTGGGATTTTACACATTGCAAAATCAGTATGATCATCTTACTTTGTCTTTTTCTGTTGCTGATGATGTTTCCTGATTCGAATATTTAGTCCAGGCATTCAATTCTTTGGATAACTGATTTCCGGATGTTTGAATGGAATGATACGGAGGAAAGACTCGAGGTATGGACTCTATAAAACTATTTATCATGACCTCCCTGTAGTTCTCCTGAGATAAGGAATCTTGAAATTTACTGTTATGCTTTGGGAATGATCATTGTGAGTTCAAGTAGGAAATAGAAGGAACAATGAAATGCAATCTTGCTAATTTATACTTGTATCTGCTGCTTCTGTTGGTCCAAAAAAGTCACAATCAAGTTTAACAAACCTTTGTGTCGCCTAAATGAAATGGGATAGTCCTTTTAATGCCTCCTAAAAAAAGTTGTATCATAGCAAGTATCTGCACAATCATCTACCTCCTAAAAAAAGTTGTATGCATTGGCAGCCGTTGCACCACCCATTTACAGCTCCTAACCCTGAGGATATGAATGATCTAGCTTCTGCACGTGCCCTTGCTTATGACATGGTTTACAATGGCATTGAGGTAATTCAACTTTTTCTATACTTAGCTGCAAGCTTGAAACACTGGTTTCGTCTGAATTTATGGTAATTACATTCTGCAATTGAACTCTTAGATCGGTGGAGGAAGTTTGAGAATCCATAAACGTGAGATACAACAGAAGGTGTTGGAGATCATTGGCATATCCCATGAGGAGGTTAGAAACCACAAACCCATTTTGAATGCATTCTCATGGACAAAATCAGAGAAGCACCAAGAGAGATGGAAATTCCCAGATTACTTGAGGTTATTGCTGGAGAAAGAAGAGCAGATTGTCAGTTTTCACAAACTGTATGTTGCTTTGTCTGCAGGCCGAATCGAAGTTTGGCTATCTCCTGGAAGCTCTAGACATGGGTGCCCCTCCACATGGTATGTGATTCTCCACTCTCTTTCTAGGGTTCCTATTATTATGCTATTACTTGTAAGAGCCTTGATAGCCAAGAAAGAGACTTTTCTGTGTCGAATGGTGGCAGGCGGCATTGCTTATGGGTTGGATAGATTGGTTATGTTGCTGGCTGGTGCGAACTCCATAAGGGATGTGATAGCTTTCCCCAAGACAACAACAGCTCAGTGTGCCCTTACACGAGCACCATCCCAAGTGGATCCTCAGCAGCTCAAAGATCTCTCCCTCCTCCTTGCTCAACATTAACCTCAGCTGAACCATGTGTTCTTTCTTTTGCGCCTGTTTAGAGAGGGACCCAGAATTCTGGCTCGTCCTGCCTCCAGCATAATCTATTTGTAATGTATTTGGTACAATTTGGCAGTAGGCATAGCGAATCGAGGGTAAGGAGGAAGTGTTTGATTTGGTTACAATTTCAAATTAGGACAAATATGTAAATTATCTTATAATTCTAGGACGACAAATAGTAATGATAGGACGACATTTAGCATTTCAGTTAATGAAGGTGTATTTTTATTAACATCCTTACTGGAGCGGAGCGATAAGCCGGAAAAGAAATAAGCAAGGCAACCCAACAGCTATCTGGATAATACAATGTATACTTTGGCAGACAAGCATTGCCAATCATTTGCTTTAGGCTGTTATTAGGCGCAAACTAAGTAGGAAAGAAAAGAGTTCATTCAAACTTGTAGTGCTTGTCTACGGCTACAGAAACATCCCAAGTGCAGCTCATTCCATTAGGGAACTCAACCAAGTCACCAGCAGCGATCTCAACGCCTTCATCCGATCCTTGAGGGTAAACCTTCACCTTTCCCTCCAGAAGGTAGCATGTCTCCTTGGCCGAATATGTCCATGGAAACTTGCTTGGAGGACAACCCCACCTACATAAGAAGAGCACGACAAGAGAAGTCCTGTGTTGGTCAATCTCAACTACTAACGGAAACAAATGTGAATTGTCAGGATGAGGTAAAAGGAAGCTTGCCCACAACTAAGATGAGTTGAGTTCACATTTCTGACATCGTCTTGCTAGCAGAATCAATCAGGGGATTCATGAACATTCTAAGGTTTACAAACAGAAGTAATACATTGTCCAACCTACCTGTAACACTGCATTTCTCAGGAGGATTCATGAGTTGAGTCCTCCTCCTCATCATCATCAATGAACAAGAGAAGGATTCGAAGGCCTACCATCTATTCCAATTATGTCGCGCGGCAGCACTTGTGTGCTGAAGTCTAGGGTTTGCGGGTTAAATCAAGTAAAAGAAAGGATGTATTGCTTCCTTAACTTCATCAAAGGATTCTACTTCACTAATTCGATCGGAGTAGAAAGACAATACATGCATATGCTTACTTGGGCCAAGAGCGGACGCCGAGGTCGGCGAGTTTGGATTCTGGAGGGTTTCTGACGATTTTGATTCCTGATTTCTCAGTTATCGTAGTGGCCGTCCCCTTACCCTCCGCCATAACAGTAATCCGCCGCGGCAGCAGCTGCCCAGACTCAGAGCTTCTCAGTCTTTTTGCGGGGAGCAGAAAAGCAGCAGCAGTAGCTCGAGGAGGAAGATCGAGAGAGGTCGAAGATAAAATTATGGGCTTTGTGGGAATAAATTGTTTACGTTGATTATTATTGTTATCATAGGCTGATGATAAAACTAATCTCCCACTCCATCCACCTGCCATCGCCATTTCTTCCGGTCTTCCTCCTTTTTCTTTTTCTCTTCGCTTTTGTTTTATGCCTACGGCTAATACTCCTATTCCTATATAAGATTTTTTTTTGTACCAAATACAAATTGTGATAGATAAATTATTCATCCCCAAAATTATTTGGACCACCCGACCCTCATCAAGTAAATCTGAGGCAGCCGGTTATAAATAATCTTTTTTTTTTTTACTTCATGCAGCACTTTAATTCGGCTAAACACTACTTTTATTGGGATTTTTAATGATTGGAATGATAATAAAATTGGAAGGAGCCAATAATAGAGAATAGCAATGGGGCGGGTTTGCCAAAAGCCCTAAATTATCCCTATCCCGCTTTCATATATTCAAATCCATACTCGTCCCATATACTCATGTGGAGGAAGGTTTTGCAAACCCATCCCGATACCGAGGGTTTCGGATACCCATCAGTAATACCCGCCTCGTATATCCAACATTATAAAACCTAAAGTTTTATATGTAAATTTTCAATTATAACACTAAACGCACCTACTATATCATGAAGTTGACAAATAGATAATCATTCTTAACACGGTTCAAAGCATCTTATCCTAAAACATCCACTAATCAATACAGATAGAATACAATGTAATCCAAATTATTATTCTATTAATATAGTACATCTACTAAGTAATAACTAACAAACATAACCTTGTTAATATGGGGAAAATGAAATAGTGAAGTGAGAGTCGAGGAAATGGAATTAGGTTTTGATTTGGGTGGCCATCCAATTACATTTCTACTAAATATTTTCTTGAGTTACCTCACTATTATTGATAGGTTACAATTTAATCAATGTTTTTTTATATGCGAAGAAATACACCTGATGGGGCGAGTATCAGTATGGGTATGGGGCGGGGGAAGCTAAAACCATACCCGCCCCATACCCATCAAGCGTTTTGCAAGTTTTACCAATACCCGGTCAAAGCAGGGATTCCCCGCGTTGACTGGGTCGGGGACGGTTGGATACCCGCGGTTATGGGTTTGCCTGTCATCCCTAGCCAAGAGAAGCTTTTGGAATACTGTATTGATTATCTTTGGGAAGGAGACCATGGATTCAGTCAATTGATTTGAGTAAATCTTTTGGTAATTGGTCAAATTAGTTTGTGTAGCCAACCGAACCAAACCGATTTGAACTAGATCGATATGGTCATTGGAGTGAACCAACCGATCCAACTACCATGGGCTGAATCGATGCAATGGTTCATTATTTTAAAGTGAACCAATGTGTTGGTTGAGGTGTAACCACCCACCCGAAGGGTCACATCCCTTCACCCCCCCCCCCCTTCATTTTCTATAAATAACACCAACCCCCTCTGCTTTCAGAAGCGAGTTTTCCTAAAAGGATTTTCGGTCGGAAGAAAGAAAATTAGTTTTCTTTTCATTAAATTTTCCTCTCTACAAATGCATAAAATAGAGTCATGTGACTTCTCGCTGTTTGTTGCGTTCGCTGGCATCTGGGGTTTCAAGTACCGGTACGTCAGAAAAGGTACGTTCGTTCTATCCTGGGAGGAATAGTTCCATAACCTTGGATACCATAGAGGCGAACTAAATTCCTTAATGAGTTTTCACCAAAAAAAAAAATTCCTTAATGAGAAATAGTGAATTCTATTGCCTCGAACGTGTTTATGCATGAGTCTTGATTTCATCTCATTAACCTCTTGTTCAATTTGATTTCTATATGTTATTTGTGTTGTTTTGAAACATGGTATACGTGAAATGTCCATAACAATCTTAAGGAATTTAAGTTTAGAGGAAGAGTCTCCCTTTTGCTCACCCTCCAACATAGACTTGACTCAACCACTCATTCAAAATAGTCACCTCATGCATAAAATTCAAGACATCAGAATCATGACCGAGCAATCTAGTTCCTCACTGGGGTAAATAACATGAAAATTGAATCACTCACTCTCGACGTACCAGTGGGGTCAGGACAAAATTTGATGCAAGATGTGTGCATACTTGTTCCCTCAATCCTAACGTCTCTTCACCATGATGGCAACCTTTAAATGCTAGAGTTCACATGTCGGGTGTCACCACTAACTAGTCAGAGGTCTTAGACACGGGTTCAGATGACGGGCGAGGGTCTTGGACATTGGCAAAAGGCATTTTAGGTGGTGGTAGAATTCATGACACAAGGTTCCACAGTTCCAAATCCAACAAATCGACATTCAACCAAACCTGTTTTATTTCTTTCTCTGCTATTCTGCATTAACAAAAGTGAAAGAGGTAAAAATATAAGTATTTCCAAGTCAGACTGCTAAGAAACACTACTTTGACGGGCACAATTAAACTTTCTGGTGGCAGCTGTCTTTTGGTTATTATAAATTTTTTTGTCACTTTCTCACTCTAGAAATATGAAAAAGAAGTCTCTCTCACTAAGTTCCTCCTCTTCTCTTTCAGCTCAGCCCTCTTTATATACCCAGATCGATGGCGTTTTACGGTCCTAGTTCACGAAAGTGAACATCTGGCCCTGACCGTGATGTCGAACGAAAACGCGTTGTTTCATTAAGGGAGTTCACGGTCTGAAGCTGGTCTTCACGGTCGAGTGATCGTGAACTGGTTCATGCCGCGAGATTGACAAAACCCTTATGGACTCCTCGCTCTTCACGGTCTGGATGACCATGAACATCTGGCTTCCACCGTGATGCTGCTTTTGCTCCATTTTGACCGGTTTACGCCCCTTTACGTCCAATTTTCGTTCCATGGGTTGATTTCACCTACTAGGATCCGAAACATACTAAAAACAATCACAACCTAGCGTAAAACCGAATCTCACTGAGTATAAAAGTATCTCACACGTCTAAAAATAAAGGGGGTAAAAAAATGTACAAATAGACCCGAAATATTAATAAAGAAGTCATTAAACCCAAATATTACTATGGGATGGAATTAGGGTTAGCCTGGTGTAAAAAGACCCTAGCCTCGTTCTCGTATAAGAGCAGTGAATTTTTACTAGCCATACAAAAATAAATTATTATTATTATTATTGTTTTTTCGGAAACGTTGCGTTATATTTCGCCGGGTTTAATTGTTCTCTAATTTCTATTATCATCATGTGGCGGTGGAGTGGCGAAGTGGGAAAATTTCTTGGAAGACAGTTACGTCACTCAAACTTGTAGCCACAAGAACTAGGGAACGGCGCCATCATCCTCCGCGTACGTTAAGCTTCGGTTGTTATTGCCGCTAAAATACACCCGAATCGGTGACGACGGGAAACTAAATCCTTACTCTTTCTTGTCTTTCCCACTTGGAATTGTTTCTTGTTTCTCTTTCATTCTTCCTCTCTCAGAAACCAAATCAGCGGAGCGAAGCGAACCAAAGCCAGAGAAAGCCGTGCTTCTGGAAAAATGATTTGATTTCAAATCCTCTGGAAAAAAAAAAAAAGAAAAAGAAAAATAGCCACCGAGACTGTGAAAATGGCAAATCTCTACGCTCTGAAGTCTACTCTCTGCCCTTCCTCCATTTCCCGCTCCAATTTCCCTCGGACCTCCGCTCCCGCCAAACGGAGCGTCTTCAGTAGCTCTTGTTCAGTCCAGAGACGAAAGTTCAGCGTTTGCTGTGCGGTGAAAGACAGCGAGGATCAAAGCAATGGCGAGTTCTCTGTTTCGCTTTTCCAGATTGCTCCATCTGTGTGATTGGGGGTTTTGCGTTTATTCCGATTGTTTGTTTGTAAAAATTGGGGGTTTTTTTTTCTCTCTCTGTGTGTGTTTCAGGTGAAGAGCCGCCGGAGTCGTTATTTATGAAGGAGTTAAGGAGGAGAGGCATGACACCGACGTCGCTGCTGGAGGAAAGCAAGAAGGGCGGATATGGAGTTGAGGACGATGAAACGAAACTAAGAGAAGGCGACAGAGTCTTCTCCAGGAGGAATGCTGTGTCGACTGAAATTGATAAAGGGCTTTTGAATCAAAGGGAGCGCTCCATGGCCTTGAACAGTGAAGGCCTTGAGGTTAACTTTCAGCCCTCCCTCCCTCTCTCGTATTCTGCTTTCTTATTTGAGCTCCACAGGGAAAACGTGAGCTAATCTGCAAATTGAAGTACCACTTAATTCGTTGCAAGGGGTTCAATTCATTTAGGTGTAGCAACTATGGAGAACCAGTATGCCCATTAGGGAATCTTGTGGTGGTCTTACTGACTCTTACCTATAGCTTCCATGCTCAACTCCCGCTAAATATTGCTCAAAATATGCTCTGTGGTTAATTAGACTTTCTTGAGTACGTTTAATGGGTTTCAGTTTACGTCCTTGTGTTCCTGATTCTTATATGTAAACAACGGATATGGAGTTAGCGTTGGCGGATAGTTTGTCCATGTTAGTTATCTTGCTCTCATCCGCTTATCGAGTGTGTTACCTGGGTCTGTTCATTTGAAAGATTCATGTAGCCATTGATGTATTTCTGAGAGTTGTGAAGCTCCAATGCTCTCCTTCAGCTTGCTTGGAGGAGTAGTCTCTTTAGCAACATGGTATAGCGAGTGCGTCCGTTTTCAGGACAAGATTTATGCTTGGATGATTAGCCTTGCTTGCACTTGTTTTTCTTTCTGCGTTTTTACCCGCAGGCAACTAACGCTTTCTTCCCTAACCAGGGACTGATTCCACGAGCTAGACTATTACTTACAATTGGGGGAACATTCTTCTTGGCCTTTGGTCCGTTGATTCTCGTAACTGTTGGTGCTTTCACTGCTCTCTACTTGGTGAGTTACTTGGTGCCATTGTTCTCTCTCACCTTATGTCCTGTGTTTTTAGTTTTATGGAACTGATTTCAGCTTGCACCAAGGGCCTAGCCAGTGTTTTTGACCAAACTCAATTTTCCTCCCAAGATATGTTTTAACACTACGTACGTAGAATCAAATCTATGACACTCCTGTTGGTTTGAAGGAATCTATCTACTAGAAGTCTTGACGATATTCGGTTTATGTTATGAATGCTCATCTTCGTTACTTAGTCGCTTAATAACTGAAAGTTGCGTACTTCGGTGTGACAGTATTTTGGAGCAAGTTTTGTGCATGATGGGAGCGCAACTCCGGTGTCGCCTCCGCAATACATCGATCCATATGCGCTGCTGGAAGACCAACGAATTTCTGATGTAGCGCCTACCTTGAAGTGATTAGTTGCTAGACCAACAAACCAGCAGCTGATCGTTGAACATGAACGAACCACACGTTCAACGGTTCAAGCCTATACGGACTAGGAATTATTCCTTTCCTTTTGTAAATACCCACCAACTATTCTGTTATCTAAATTTCTCTCCTTACCTATATATTCTTGGCAATCTCCTCATGCTTTTGATTGTTTGTGTATGATATTAAATTATCAACAAGCTAAGACCATCCACAGGTATTTGGGTGATTGCAAAATACTACATGTTCAGGATGTAATTTCAAAGGAATTGCATAAATTTAGTTCACACTTGGCAAGTTGTAAACCTGCTTTTGATGAAATTCAAATGCAAGCACCATAAGAAAATAAATATAACAATTTTTTTTCTCCATTTTTTTGTCAATTAGAAAGTCACTTGGATATATCACATAATGCAATTCTAAGTGAATTGCATTGGCATAGTACAATGGAATTAAGATAAATTGGATTGCATAAATTATGAGGCAATATGGAAAACATATGCAATTAGTTTTGCAATTGCACCAATGTTGATGTTCTAAATACAATAGGTTGAGTATCGAGATTTGTCGAACCACGTTGGAAATACTTTCTAGAAAAGGAAAAAAAGGATAAGGTAACTTGGTAAATTATAAGTGGATACTAATAATAAGCTGTAGTAATTGATTTTACAGTTGTAGTCATTGATTCAATTATAGGTACTTTTTGCAGTTGTAAGACTAACCCCGATGCAATCATATCATAGTTATAGCAATTATTTTCGCAATTGTACGAGCACAACTCCAACGTAGTCAATAATCATTTTTATTGTGGTTGTAAAATCTTTTTTTTTAGGAAATCATTAAAGAGGATTCATTGAAATCAAGAATCAGATGCCTCCAAGGCTACAACATCCGCTACCATCAGTGGTAGTCCATTACATTCAAACCGATTTTCCTCGAACTCAGAAACAAGATGAGCTAACATATGAGCAGCATTATACGCCTCTCTAAAAGCAAAACTCCACTCCCTAATATCCAACTCCTCCGCCTCCTTCAAAATATCCGAGCATATAGTCCCAAGTTCAGTTCTGCAAATTTCCTCCTGTTTCAGCTTCTCGATTACCCTCTTACAGTCTGATTCAACCACAATCGGGCCAATTCCTTTCTCCTTCACAAGTCTGATCCCATAAAGAATAGCCATTCCTTCTGCAATATCCGGAGACCAATTAACATTGAGCCTTCTGCTGGCAGCGAAGACTTCCTTGCCCTCCCAATCCCTGAGAATACATCCCAATCCCACCTTTCTTTCGTTGCTGATCCCTGCATCAGTGTTGAGTTTGAAAACTCCAATTGGTGGTTTCTTCCACTTGCAAGCACTCCTCAGTCTTGTTCTAGGAGATGGCTTGTTTTTGCCCTGCACTTCCAGAAAACAGTGGATAAATTCATCTGCTCGCGGAAAAACCTGCCACTCATCCAAGAATTTCTTATTGAAAAGGAAATTGTTTCTGTCCTTCCAGAAAAACCATAACAGAGAACACAGCTGAGCCACCTCCTTGTCCGGGTAGGAATTTATAATTTGGGCAAGCCACTGTTTGCAAGTGAGGCCCTCAGCTTTGTAAAACATCTCAGCGAGTGGTGTTTTGCTCCAAATCCTGCTGTTCCAGCTACAATCAACCAAGCAGTGTTTCAACGTTTCCTTGAGGCCACAATTCAGACATTCATCTCCCAAGTTCCGGACTTTCCTGCTTATCTTGGCACCTACAGGTAAGATATCATGGGCAGCTTTCCATATGAAAGTTTTTAGTTTCCCTGGCATTCTCACCTTCCACAACTTTTTCCAGCAGAATTCCACTCTGTTACTAATATCGTTACCAGCCTCCTCCTCTTCTCTTTTTTGCTCAAAGAAATACCCAGACTTGACAGTATATTTACCATTTTTTGTATCCATCCAGCACAACACATCCTTATCTCTATTAGAGGAAAGTGGGATTGCCAAAATAGCTTGTCTTTCTTCAGGAGTAAAGATGATTTCCAACAGGTCCTGTCTCCACGTTCTTGAATCTTGATCAATTAGGCTGGACACCCTAGCATCCCATTCCAAGAAAGGGCAGTATGAGAAAACTTCATAATTTTCCAGATTTGGAACCCATCTGTCTCCCCAAATTCTGACTTCCTCCCCTGAACCTATTCTCCATCTGCACCCGGCTTTTAGAAGATCTTGAGCCCACATCAAACTTCTCCAGATATAGCTAGGACGCCAACCCACTTTAGCTTCCAGAATTGTCGTTCTTGGATGGTATTTTGCTTTTATGAGTCTCGCAACAAGTGAATCAGGTCTGGTGTGAAGATTCCACAGCTGCTTTGCCAACATCGCTTTGTTGAAAATTCTTAGATCCCTGAATCCCATTCCTCCCTCTTCCTTCCTTTTACATAGCTTCTCCCATATCTTCCAGTGTATTCTTCTTTCGGATCTTTTCTGCCCCCACCAGTAATTTGCCATCAGTTTATGGAGATCATCAATTATCCCCTCAGGAATTCTAAAGACAGACATTGCATAAGTAGCTTGGGCTTGGGCAGTGCTCTTTATCAGAATCTCTTTCCCTGCATCACTGAAGTATCTACTCTTCCAGTTTGTAAGTTTGCTTCTAACCCTTTCCTGTAGATGCTGGAAAACAACCTTCTTAGACCTCCCTATCATCGTAGGAAGACCAAGATACTTGACAAGCTTATCCACCTCTAATTCCCATATCTGCACACAGGTCTCTTCTCTTATCCTCCTTTACGTTGCTGCTGTAATAAATTTCAGATTTGATGAAGTTCACCATCTGCTGTAAAATCTTAATATCTATTAAAGTTACAATTAGGTTACTGTAGCATAAGAGGTATGCTATAGTGCACCATTGTTTTTTTTTTGCATTTCTCACCAGCCTCTCCTATTGTTCCACGCTTGGTAGTACTATTGTTCCACTCGGTCAATACAGAAGATTGCATAATTTTAGGTTATCTTCTTCCCTCGGGTAGCTAGCTAGCTCTAGCAGGTCTATCTAACCTATCTCTCGATTTCCATAGAGCGCTTTATCTTTCCATTTCTGTTTCGTCGATTCCGCCGCTCTACTAAATCTTTCCTTTTTCCCCCTCCGATCAAGACCCGATGAAACCCACGCTTCTCGGGTGCTTTCCGATTGACGCTTCCTCTTTTTTTTTTTTATGAATAAGATGTTTTATTCATCAAGAAAGGGGGGATTTTGTGAAATTCCCCCTAACTGGAACCCAAGTATCAGACACATTACAGCAGCAAGAAAGCAAATTTACAACAGCAAAACCAAGAACAAAAACAATCCACTAAACTATTGACATAATCCTCTGTAATAGCAAGTTCTGCTGGGGGGAAAGCCACTTCTAAGCGATTGCAATAACCCTTGCAGCTTCCCAAGCAATTGGCTTACTGTTAACTCCTCACCAGACATAACCCTTATGCATCTTTCTCTCCATATCTCAACCACCACCATCACCCATAGGAGCTTGCCACCGTCAGAGGCAGTGCTTTTAATTCAAAAGAGAGATATAGCATTTGCCAATGACCCCTCCCGGTTAGCTCCCACCATGCTCCTCCCTGGAAACACAGCCTGAAGTACATGCTGCGAGTAAATTTGGCGATATCAGTAAAACTTGGATTGCATCTGGATATCTGGCGACTTGGATCGCATCTGAGTAAATTTGGCGATATGGATCGCGTCTGGGTACATCTGACAACTTTGGTTGCGTTTGGTACATCTGGCAACTTTGGTTGCTTCTGGTAAATTTGGTATTTGACAGAGAATTCAAGTCAAGGTGGAGATTGTTAGAATATGACTTGAATTTGATTTGAGTTTGTTTTGTGTTTTGGGCCTATTTGTTTAGGTTTGTGTTTGAGCTTTGTTTGACCTTTTCCTTGTATGTTTGGGAAAATGTGTTTGGTTCTTTGTTTGAGATTATGAGAAAAGTTCTATAAATACTTTTCACCACCATAATCTGTTGTAAGGTCAGTCAGATTAGTTTGTTTGGTTTGTCCGTTTGAAATTTGGTTTGTAACATGTACTCTTCTCAAATTAGTGAAATTTGTTCTTCCCTGCCCGTGGATTAGCTAGCACACATTGTGTTAGTGAACCACGTTAAATTTGTGTTCGTTCGTGTTGGTTTGGATTATCGATTGCACGCTTCTGATGGAGTTTAACGCCTTTTTTACTTACCCAATACCGTCGCCGATTCATAAGTAACTTTTGCTTTCAATCTCCCTTCGAAACCTAGAAGTCCTGTTTTGAATTTTGATTTCCAAATCTATATTTTCCCCCTTGCCGGATTCCTGGATGCATGTCAGAGAGTCGGGAAGCAAGGGAAGGCAAAGAGTATGAGAATCAAGGTGAGGAGAGTGGCGGGTGGCGAGGAAGTGTGAGCCGATGTGAGGTGGGACGAGATTGAGAGTTATGACATGGAAGAGGTCAGAGGAGTGGATAGAGGCGAAGAAGGAAGAGAGGATGGCCATGGATTCGGATGGGAAGCCTGAGCCGACAAGGCAGAGTTTGATCGAAGTTGTCGCTGGAGGCTTGTGGGTCGATGTGAGATTGGTGGCTTAAGAAGGTGTCGACGCCCAATGTTACGGAGAAGATTCTAGAAGGATGTAGGTACATGCATGCATCTTGCAATTCATGCACCAATGTACATACATCCCCCCCTCCCTATCTTTTATTCATGCACCTAGTTATTATGATTCATGTATGAGTGCTTATGCATTCACCTCATTTATTACATTCATGTATGGGGCTGGTTCATGTATGGGGGGATTATCTAGGTTCGTTCATTTATGACGGCCATGTACATTGTACTTAGTGGAGAGGATGCCTATATAAGCAGCCCTCTCCACCACTTTTCATTCATCCAGAAATAAGAGAGCTTTCCATCTCTAGAGAATTTCCCAACTTGTGAGTTTGAGTGAATACGAGCAAGGCTGACTTAGCGCTCTAACGAGACTTGAGTGCTAAGTGCCGCACGGCCAAGAGTTGGTCTGTGACAAGTGGTATCAGAGCCAAGGTCGTAGCTCAGCAAGTGAGAAAGAACCTCGAGGAGATGGCTGGATCCGGAAGCGAAGTTCACAACAATGACGAACAACGCGGTCGTGAGGAGAAGAAGGATCCAAACAGCAAGAAGAATCGTGATGGATCAACTCGAGAGCCTTTGGTGGCAATCGAGGGGAGGCTCAAAAGAGCGGAGACGAAGATTGCCAAGCATAAAACCTTGTTCGAAGACATGGAGTCGAAATTCGATCAAGTCAGCGGAGAGGTGCAGACTTCGAAGGACGACATGCGAGGCATGGGCACTCGAATGTCAGGCTTGGAGGTGGGGTTAGAAGCTTTCAGAAACGAGTTTGTGACCATCATCACCAACGCCATCGACTCCTTGAGGGAGACCGTTCGAGGCCAGGTGGACGAAGTGAGGGAAGAATTTGACGAGCTTCGAGGAGAGCTCAATCTCGTCAAAAGAGTCGTGGCTAACGGACCTGCCGCGACTCAATCTACTCCACGAGTAGATGTTCCAAGGCCAAAGAACTTCGGTGGGTCGAGGAACGCGAGGGAATTAGAGAATTTCCTATGGAGCCTTGAACAGTATTTCAAGGCCTCCGGCATCAACGATAATGAAGTCATGGTGCGAACTGCCTCCCTTTACTTGGTCGACACGGCCATGGTGTGGTGGAGAAGGAGGCAAGGCGATGTAGAGAGAGGCACATGTGTGATCGACACATGGGAGGATTTCCGTCGAGAAATCAAGAAGCAGTTCTACCCGGAGAATGTGGAGATGGAGGCTCGTGCAAAGCTTCGACGACTCACCCACACCGGCGGAATTCGTGAGTATGTCAAGGAGTTCTCGAAATTGCTACTCGAGATCCCCGATCTGCCGGACAAGGAGGCTTTGTTTGGCTTCCTTTTCGGATTGCAACCTTGGGCAAAGTTGGAGCTCGAGAGGCGTGGAGTGCAAGATCTTGCTACTGCCTTAGCAACGGCAGAGGCTCTCACGGAGTACAAGAAGAGTGAGAGGCCGAACGAGTCGAAGAACTCGAGGAGCAAAGGAGGAGGAGATCATCGGCAGCACTCCAAAGAAGGAAGAGGCTCGTACCAACATGGAGGCTCGATCAAGGGAGCAAGATCTGGTAACTTTGACAAACCCATGTCTTGTTTTCTTTGCAACGGTCCACATAAGGTGCGAGATTGCCCAAAGAAAAGCAAGCTAGCAGCCTTGGAGAAACAAGAAGGGGAGACCAAGGAGAATGCTAGGGAAGACGAAGGGAAGATAGGCTCCATGCGGAGGCTAGGCGCGGCGAAGTCCGGCGCCAACGAAGTTAGCAAGGGGAGATTCTTTGTGATCACCCAATTCGAGGGAGGCGAGTCAAAAGCATTGGTTGACACTGGTGCGACCGACAACTTCCTCCGAGTGGAGGAGGCGGAGCGCTTCGGGATCGCTTACGAGAGAAGGCAAGGATCGCTCAAGACCGTCAATTCCGAGGCAATACCCATCCATGGGGTTGCCAAAAACGTGCCTTTGAAGATTGAAGGTTGGGAAGGTGCTGCCGACTTTAACGTCATCACTATGGATGACCATCCGGTCATTCTTGGCGTCAACTTCATGGAGAAAGAAGGTGCGGTGATGGCAATGAAGTCAAACACTCTTTGCCTTGACAAGTGAGACAAATTTTGCGCGGTGAAGATGTTGCGCGAAGAAGGGCCGAAGAGAGCTTTATCGGCCATGCAATTGGTGAAGGGAATGAAGAGAATGGAACCCACGTTCCTTGTCACTTTGCGAGCGAAGGAGGAAGGAGGCTCGGTGGCGCCAACACCACTCATCGAGGGCGTGTTGGAAGAGTTCGTAGATGTGATGCCAAAGGAACTACCAAAGAAGCTCCCGCCAAGAAGAGAAGTCGATCACAAGATCGAGCTTGAGCAAGGAGCGACGCCACCAGCGAGAGCACCTTATCGCATGGCCCCTCCCAAGTTGGAGGAATTGAGGAAGCAACTCAAGGAGTTGATGGATGCTGGTTTCATCCAATCATCAAAATCCCCCTATGGAGCACCCGTTTTGTTCCAGAAGAAGAAGGATGGTTCGTTGCGAATGTGCATCGATTATCGAGCTATTAACAAGCTCACGGTGAAGAACAAGTGGCCCATCCCCAATATTGGTGACTTGTTTGATCAACTCGGAGAAGCAAAGTGGTTCACGAAGCTTGATCTTCGCTCGGGGTACTACCAAGTGAGGATCGCCGAGGGGGACGAGGCAAAGACCGCTTGCGTCACGAGGTATGGCTCATACGAGTTCCTTGTTATGCCTTTTGGTCTAACCAATGCTCCTGCTACTTTTTGCACATTGATGAACCAAGTTTTCGAGCCGTTCTTGGATCGCGTCGTTGTGGTGTACTTGGATGACATCGTGGTGTACAGCAACACACTCGATGAACATGCCGAGCACTTGCGACAAGTGTTCCAAGTCCTTCGAGACAACGAGCTCTACGTCAAGAAGGAGAAGTGCACTTTTGCAGCCGCGGAGGTTCCTTTCCTCGACCACATCATTGGCGGAGGCAAGCTAAAGATGGACGAAGCAAAGGTGGAGGCGATACAAGGATGGGAGCCGCCAACGAAGGTCACCGAGTTGCGATCATTCCTCGGCCTGACCAACTATTATAGGAGATTCATCAAGGGATACTCCGCTCTTGCAGCACCCTTGACGGATCTTCTAAAGAAGAACAAGGCTTGGGAGTGGTCGGATCGGTGCCGCGAAGCATTTGAAGCCTTGAAGGATGCGGTGACGAAGGAGCCAGTGTTAGCACTTCCCGATCCAACGAAGGCGTATGAAGTGCAGACGGATGCTTCCGATTTTGCAATCGGTGGGGTGTTGATGCAAGAAGGGCACCCAATTGCTTTTGAGAGCCGCAAGCTCAACGAGGCGGAGAGGAGATATGCGGTGCAAGAGAAGGAGATGACGGCGGTGGTCCATTGTTTGAGAACGTGGAGGCATTACTTGCTTGGGTCGAAGTTCGTTGTAAAGACGGACAATGTGGCGACGAGTTACTTCCTCACACAGAAGAAGCTCACGCCCAAGCAAGCAAGGTGGCAAGATTTCCTCGCGGAGTTCGACTTTGTGCTAGAGTACAAGCCGGGGAAGGCAAACTTTGTGGCCGATGCTCTTAGCCGAAAGAGCGCACTTGCCGCCATCAGCCAGCCGCAATTCCCCTTGAAGAAGAGGATCGAAGAAGGCCTTAGCCACGACCCCTTCGCCAAAACCGTGGTCGAGTACATCAACCAAGGGAAGACTCGGCGGTTTTGGATGAAAGGGGGGCTCATCGTGACTAAGGGGGAGCGAGTGTTCGTGCCGCGGTGGGACAACCTACGAAGGGAGATCATGAAGGAGTGCCACGACTCCAAGTGGGCTGGTCACCCCGGCATTGAGCGCACACAAGCTCTCATCGAGGAGGCTTACTATTGGCCTCGTATGAAGGATGACGTGGAACTCTACGTCAAGACTTGTCTTGTTTGCCAGCAAGACAAGATGGAGCAGCGGAGTCCGGCGGGATTGTTGGAGCCACTACCTACTCCACAACGGCCTTGGGAAAGCGTGAGCATGGATTTCATAATCGGCCTTCCCAAAGTCGAAGGGTGTGGCTCCATCATGGTCGTCGTCGACCGATTTTCGAAGTATGGCGTCTTCATCGCGGGGCCCAAGGACATGACGGCCGAGGATGCAGCCCGCTTGTTTTTCAAGCATGTTGTGAAGTATTGGGGCATCCCGGTTAGCATCGTCAGCGATAGAGACGGCCGCTTCACCGACAAGTTTTGGAGGGAGTTGTTCAAGATGATGGGCTCCGATCTCAACTTCTCCACGAGCTTTCATCCTCAAACGGATGGGCAAACCGAGCGGGTCAATGCTTTGGTGGAGGTCTACTTGAGGAATTATGTGAGTGCCAACCAGAAGGATTGGGTGAAGCTATTGGATGTAGCCCAATTCTCCTACAACTTACACCGAAGTGAAGCCACGAGCATGAGTCCGTTCGAGTTGGCGACCGGGCAACAGCCGTTAACACCTAATACGGTGACGACGGGGTACAAGGGCAACAGCCCAAGTGCCTACAAGTTTGCACGAGGGTGGCACGAGAAGATGGACTTAGCGAAGTCTTATCTCGCTCGAGCAAAGAAGAAGATGAAGAAGTGGGCGGATAAGAAGCGGCGTCACTTGGAATTCGAGGAGGGAGACTTGGTGATGGTGAAGTTCTTCCCTCACCGATTCAAGCACCTAAAAAATGTGCACAAGGGGCTGCTGCGACGATATGAAGGGCCATTTCCGATCTTGAAGCGGATTGGCACGGTGGCGTACAAAGTCGAGTTGCCATCGCACTTGGAGATTCACCCCGTCTTCCATGTGAGTCAATTGAAGCCATATCATGAAGACAAGGAAGACGGAGCACGGAAGGAGTCGGCGAGGGCACCAACTCTCGTCACCACAACACATGAGCACGAAGTTGAGGAGATCTTGGCTCATCGTGTTGTGCCTAGGCGTAGGGTTCACCCAAGCTACGCGGAATATCTTGTCAAGTGGAAGGGGCGGCCGGAAAGCGAGATCACATGGGAGAAGGAGCTTTCACTATGGCGTCACAAAGACTTGATCGAGGCATTTCATGCGGAGTCCGCGACGAGGGCGTCGCGAGATTGAGTGGGGGAGAATGTTACGGAGAAGATTCTAGAAGGATGTAGGTACATGCATGCATCTTGCAATTCATGCACCAATGTACACACATCCCCCCCTCCCTATCTTTTATTCATGCACCTAGTTATTATGATTCATGTATGAGTGCTTATGCATTCACCTCATTTATTACATTCATGTATGGGGTTGGTTCATGTATGGGGGGACTATCTAGGTTCGTTCATTTGTGACGGCCATGTACATTGTACTTAGTGGAGAGGATGCCTATATAAGCAGCCCTCTCCACCACTTTTCATTCATCCAGAAATAAGAGAGCTTTCCATCTCTAGAGAATTTCCCAACTTGTGAGTTTGAGTGAATACGAGCAAGGCTGACTTAGCGCTCTAACGAGACTTGAGTGCTAAGTGCCGCACGGCCAAGAGTTGGTCCGTGACACCAAGACCAGAGCTTCGAAAGCAGAGAATAGAAATAGGAGAAGGAAGAAGACGGGTGGGCATTGGCGGAGGAGATAAAAGAATTGGTTCTCCGCTAAAGTGAAAGGATAAATTAAAAATAATATCTATAAAATTAATTATTTAATTATTAAAAAATAATTTAAATATTATTTTCCTATGTGGCATCTACGTGTTGCCGCCACTTCATCGATAGTCAGACAATGGTTGACCACCATTAGGTCAATCGTTACCTACAGAAATTCGCGTAACACAAATGACGCAGACCTTTAATCAATTGGAATATTAATGTATTTATTGAAGTTCCGCAACACAAATTGCAAATTCGCAAAAGATTGGGAAACGGCTACGATGCTAATTGTACAATAGTTAGTATCGTTCTAACCAAGAGAAAAACTACTACTAGTTTGAATTAGTAGTGATTTAGCTTAGATGTTGTATTGATTTTATAATAATCCGTAGTGATTTCGTTATTTTTAGTAGCGTTTTTTGCTAGTTATCACGGTGCTAACTCCTATAAGGGTTAGTACCTAATCCTATTGATATTTTTATTGCTATTAGCTCATATTAAAAGTACCACATTCTTAAATAATATATTAATTTTACTCCAAAATATCACAAATGCAAAATAACACATCCACAGAAGCCGGACAAATCCAAATATGAGATATGAGACTACGGTCAAAGGTCTGCCATTTGGATTTCTGACATTTATTTTTTCTTTCTTTTTTAGAAACATTTTTATCGGTGAAGAGAAACGTTAGCACAGTGCTCATTCTCTTTCCTCTCCCCTTTTTCTCCCACAAAAAAGTATAAAATGAAAGTTATGATGCCCACTAACTTGCTTATAGTTTGATTTTCTATTAGCAAACATAGACCAAGATATTGAAAACTAAGTCATCGAACATAATACGGGTTGAGCATCCATAAACACTTATCTCATTTCCCTCCTTTATGCTTCATTTTTCCCTAGCAACTTTAAATGAAAAAAAGGTGACATTTATTCCACAATCCTTGAAAAATCATTTTCCCGTCGCGGAGACTTTCCTTGCACATATAAGACTTTAAGAGAAAAGTCGTAGTTTTTTGTTTCACTGCAAAAACATACAAGTTGTTTTTCAGATAACATATCAAAAGAGGTAAAAGGGGAATATTGAAGAAAGGATGGTTGTGGAATCGCTGAGTCCAATCAAGAATTTCGAAATAGATACATACGACACTGATGATGATGGAAGACCCCGACGAAAAGGTGACATTTCTTTCACTTCTTTTCCTTGTTTTTGTCAAAAGTTTCATCTGCATTCATATATCGATTGTCTTATTGACTTTATCTCATATTGAAGAAAGGCCGACAAGATTGAGTGTTGAAATATTGCGTCTTTGCTATTAATCAACAATTTCATAATGATTTTATCTATTATTTTCATGATAAATGATAGGAAACCGATTAATTTATACTTTAATAGCATTTTGGTTTTCAATTTACTGAAGAATATGTTTATATGCTTAAATGTAAGCATTCGTCAACCAATTCATCAAAGAAAATTGTTCTTTGATAGTTGTTTAATTAAAAATGGGGGCAAAGTAGCACCACCTCATATTGGTACAAATTGATTGGATGTACAGATCTCTAGATTGTCACATCGACTAATAATGAATGCTTTGATCGAAAGGATTAGTAAGATGGGTACAAAAAAAGAAAATCGTTGTGTATGTATTGCCAAGTAACCTACTACTATTAAAAAAGAAACTTATGGGCCGGGAACGGGAAGTGGCCTTCTAGACCCATGTGAAATTTTGAATTTTGGATCTCGAAATAAGTTTAGATATGTAATGAATCTTCTGAGTTTTGCTCTAGTTATGCAACAAATACCGAAGTTGGCTACGAAAGCCCTATCGTCATGGTAGGGTATGTTGAATGCATATCTTAGTGGCACGTGCTTGGCCTTTTATATTATGCTTGTGCATGTTATTATATGATGGATTACTATTTCAAAATTCATATCACTATGTGTATAGTTGCCAACATACCATAACGAAACTGGTCATCCATCAAATTGGTCTATGAACCAATATGATTGGAGATTACGCATATAATTTGTTGATTAAACATAGTTCACTAATGTTTTTTTTTTCCGTTTTGGTTATTGGGGATGATGAAGGAACCATGGTGACAGCAAGTGCACATATAATCACATCAGTGATAGGATCAGGGGTGCTATCATTAGCGTGGGCCACGGCCCAATTAGGATGGGTTGCTGGGCCAATTGTGCTTTTTGGATTCGCTGCAATTACTTGGTACACTGCTTGTCTACTATGCGACTGTTATAGATGCCCTGGCCCCAATTTCGGCACCCGAACTTACAACTACAGTGGCGCTGTCAAGGCCCATTTAGGTACCAAATACAAACTAGGTTTTCAGTCATTATTTAGTTCCATACATCTCTTATTATATGTTAATGATCTCTAAAAATCATGGACCATGAAACCGTACCGGAGAGCGTACCGGGAAAGTCAGCGGTAGGGTATTTTATGGTAAAATCGTGGTTTAACCGTAGTTCAACCGTTATTACCGGTAAATACCGCCTATCGGTTTAGCCTCCAATACTGGTATTTCGTGGTTTAACCGCCGCGGTACGGTACGGTTTCATGGATACTGCTAAAAACGAGCTTCAATTTCGTAATGGGTATAGCTTAAAACTGGATTGTTTGTCAGGAGGAATGCGGTCCAAGTTTTGTGGAGTAGTTCAATTCATATATCTTCTAGGAACTGCCATTGGATACACCATTGCCACACCCATTAGTATGGCGTAAGCTCCCCAATCGCATTACTCTTAATGCCTTCCCTTTTTGTGGACGTACGAATTAGACATCATTAATACTACTATTACTAACAAGATTTTGGTTGTCAAATTCCTGTGCAACAAATGGGGAAAAATGAATTATATACACGATTTCGCCACAGAGCTATAACAAGATCCAACTGCTTCCACAAAGAGGGACACGGAGCAGGGTGCCACACGTCCAACAACAAGTTTGTGATCATATTTGGGATCATTCAGATCTTTCTCAGCCAGCTCCCAGACTTTCACAACCTCGCTTTCATCTCGGTCGTGGCCGCCGTCATGTCCTTCGCCTACTCCACCATTGGTCTCGGCCTCTGCGTAGCCACGATAATAAGTATATCACTCACTTTCTAAACATGACATCGCATGCATGCACGTTCTCTCTTGCTATAGATATGCTTTGTGACGCTATGCATGCATGATCTTTCCTTTTTTTTTTTTTTTGCCTGCCTAGAGAATCACAACATTGAGAACACGGGGCTAATAGGGGTAAAGATTGGCGAAGGAGGCCTCACCAAATCAATGAAGGTGTTCAGCGTGTTACAGGCTATAGGGGATATTGCATTTGCCTATAGCTACGCCCCAATCCTTCTCGAAATTGAGGTATTCACTTTTTAATTATTATTAGTAAATTAAATAATGTATGTATGTATAGTGATGATATTGTTAGTGTTGTGGTATATGATCCACGATTGAATTTCTCCCAACAACTCGAGTTATTGGGAATTTGGGATCAACTGGTTCTTGACATGGTATCAGTCTTCAAACCTGTGCAAACTTCAAGCCCTTGTGAGTGGCTTTCGTTTAAGGGGGCGTGTTAGTGTTGTTGTATATGATCCACGATTGAACTTCTCTCAACAACTCAAGTTATTGGGATCAACTGGTTTTTGACAAATATTGGCATGCGCATGCAGGACACACTGAAATCAAGTCCTCCGGAGAATGAGGTAATGAAGAAAGCATCAATGATGGGGATTGCAGTGACGACTGTGTTTTACGGGCTATGCGGTCTTCTTGGGTACGCAGCATTCGGCAACGAGGCACCGGGAAACTTGCTCACCGGATTCGGCTTCTACGACCCTTTCTGGCTTGTCGACATTGCTAACCTCTTCGTTGTGATCCACCTGATCGGGGCATACCAGGTCTTCATCCAACCAACCTTCCAGATCGTGGAGGAATGGTGCAAAAGGAAATGGCCACAGAATGGATTCATCGGAAATGAGTACCCCGTCAAGCTCTGTGCTGGCATCGGCGACTTCAGGTTGAATGCATTCAGATTGGTGTGGAGAACCACCTACGTCGCCGCAACTTGCGTGGTTGGGATGCTTTTCCCTTTCTTCAACAGCGTGCTCGGGCTGCTTGGTGCCTTGGCATTTTGGCCGCTCACTCTATATTTCCCGACCGAGATGTACAAGAAACAAGCTGGAGTGGAGAGGTTTAGCGCCGCTTGGATGCGCGTCACCGTTCTTAGTGTCGTCTGCTTGGTAGTATCGATTCTTTGTGCTATTGGTTCTTTTGATGGCATCATCACTTCCCTTGAAAAATACAAGCCATTTAAGTTTGAAACTTGAATGTTGTATTTTTTTTTTCTTCTTTTTATTGGATTCATTGTTATATTCCCCATAGTCACTCTCTCTTTTACCTCTTCTTAATTCTCATTTCATCATATAAAAAGTGTTTATTCTATATGAGAATTGTACTCTTAGCATGTAGCTGATCTACACCGAGGAGGTGTTTGGTTATTATGATATCACTATGGAGATTAAAACTTATGCATACCTTGTCAATTAGCAAGTCACTAATAGCAAATTCTGTAAATTTTGTGGCATTGGCTCCTTATTCCAAATTTAGTGGAGGATTGCACAACATTATTTTGGGTAGAATTTGATGATGCGGAAGACGAAACAACACACGAGACAACGATTTACGTGGTATCCTCGATCGATTGATTGATCGAGACTAATCCACGGTGAGCTCAAAGGAGCTCACGGCTGACAATTTTATTATAAGACTACATCTTGACGGCTTGCTTACGACAATCTCCGTAGCTAACCTTATATAGACGTAGGGTTAAAACCCTAATGACAACCAAGTTTCCTTCTTTGACAGGGACAAGGAAAAAAGGAACTTGGAGGACAAAAAATTAATTATTTTTTACTAAATAATTAATATCCTCAACACTCCCCTCAAGCGAAGACAGGAGTGACATGAAGTTTTACTTGTAAAAGCATTCAAAATTCACCAATCAAACTAACGTCAGAACTTTCCAATCATTAACTCAATTGAGTATTTGTCTGGCGATTTAGAAACATCGTCCAAGAGTTGAGATATGGATTGGGTGGGTCCATTGCTACTTTCCTATTACTAGCCTCATCTCTCTCCCTCCCTCTGTTCAATTAGCTTGAGGTTCTACTGAGATTTCCAAATCTAATCTCGTCTAAAATAACACCGGGTTCGGGTCCCAAGCTCTAGAAGCGAACGAATTTGTTCTACTGAAGTCTTATAATAGCCAAAATAAGAAATTGAATCTCTACGAAGGCATAAGAAATTTTAGGATATTTGAATTGAGGGGTGATCATGCATCACATACTGGGATGTTAATGTGTATTGAATGTAATGATGACGATTTGAACCCGCCTCACGGGAATTACCCGACCTGACTCATTCCGTTCTTGACCCATTTTATTTCAATTTCTTACAGTATCTATGCACATTTCTCCTACTTTGACTTTTCATCAACTAGTTAGAGTCGATTTTTCAACTTGTTAGACTCAATTACTCATTTTATTATCACTATTTTTCATTCACAAAAGTGTTTTCCAATTCGTTTTTATCGCAAAATGTTAAAATTGCGTGTATTTTTTTTCAAATAACCGCGCTGGTTTGAACAGCCCCGACCCGCAGTAGCGTGAGGCGGGGCATGGGCATTGAGGTACCCGTCCCGCCTCGCCCCATTGCCATCACTAATTGAAGGGTGCTTGTACAACTTTGCTTCATGTTTTTGGTTTTGTCGCCATCAACCCGTCGTATGTTGGAACAAGTTATTATGCATTGTCATTACCCAAATGAACAAACTTTCTCTTATGTTTTATAGAACTCCAATGTGCTGCGAGCCAATATCGATTTGAATTATGATTGATAATGCGAGATGGAGAAGAAGCGGAAAAGAAAGATAGAAAGGGGTTGGAATGAGATGTCATGTGACCATTCATTTGTCCCGCTTAATTTTCATTTTTTGTTAATGAATATTTTCCCTTCTTTCTATGTCTCTAATTTTTTTATTTAAGTTAAGTAGCATAAAATGCTAAAAATTCTAAGTTGTCAAGTTACCACAAGAAATGCCACTCTTAATTTTCATTTTTTGTTAATGAATATTTTCCCTTCTTTCTATGTCTCTAATTTTTTTATTTAAGTTAAGTAGCATAAAATGCTAAAAATTCTAAGTTGTCAAGTTACCACAAGAAATGCCACGTCATTGTATTATGTTAATATAGTCAGCATAGGTACGCTGGTGTTGTGTAATTCAAAATATTTCATGTATGGAATGACTATATTTGTAGTAAAAAAAACTGACTAATTTGTCACAAATGTAGAAGTTTTGGTTATTCATATGTATTTTGTCTGAACTAAACCACCTGTACAATTCAATATTTAATAATTAAACCAATGTTACTTGATTTTCAATTCAGAATTAGTTTCATTCGATAATCACTAACTACAAATAAAATATAAAGCATTAAATACCGAACATGTCTCTAGCATAGTTAGTAAATACTCCGTTTAATACACGTATATGTATCCGTACGTACTTTATTCATTTAAAACTTCCGTATCCGTATTATTGTCAAACCGTTTCTTTTTTTACCGTTCATTTGATGGCTCCCGTATTAAACACGTTTAAAACCCGTATAACACGTTTAATATCCGTATTTAATGAATCAAATTACGAACTTTACCATTATTTATATATTTATTTATTTTTAAAATAATAAATTTTATATATTTATGACAATTAACGTACTATTAAACGTAACATTAGCATAGAAACGAAGTAAAATACCCGTACGTATTTTATACGTAACTTTCCCGTACCGTATTTTACTAACTATGGTCTCTAGAGTTTAATTAAATACTTCCTTAATTTTTTTTTTTGTTGAAAGACAGACGCAAAGCGTCTAAATCACATTAGTAGTACAACGTTCATGGGAAGTTCCCATTACATCGCGGCGAAGCCATTGGACGAAGTCCAAATAACACACATTGAAAGGATGTGTGCCAAAATCAAAGTCATGTGCCTTGTTAGCCAAGAAATCGGCGACACAGTTAGCTAATTAAAAATACCCAAACTACCCATGTAACTAATTAAAAATCTCTTCCTATTTTTTAACCGTCAGATTGACATGTCCAGATTTAAGAGCTGGGAGGGGCTTAGTCACTTGACTAAACACCACTTAGTCATGGGATTCGGCCTCAATTAATGCTAGTGCCCCCACAAAATATATCAGCTATCCGAAAATTCTGATCAACCCTCTCTCCGAACTCCTATTTTGACCATTAGATCACTTCCTCTACTTACTTTAATTCAAAATATCTACTCTCCCTTCTCTCTACTCCAGCTCCTAATCTCTGCTTTCCAGGGGCTGCCGTCGGCTCCTTTTGGTGACCGGCGGCAGCTCATGCTTCCCATTTTTCGTTTCCTTGCCTTCCTTGTTTGCCCTTGCCTTTCGGCAGTGTTTTTTCCAGTTTTATCAGTTTTCAATCGTCTTCTCCGATCGATGTGGCATTCCAGTTTCCTCTCCAGTTGAGCTTTTGCTCTTTGGTCTTGTTCTGGGCTTGCTCTCATTTGGGATCTGGAGGTTGCATATTGGATGTCTCATTCCTCTCTTGGTGGTGGTTGATTGTACCAATCTGGTGGTCTCACCGGCTTTGGTGAAGCCATTCGCTGCTCTCCCCATCTGACCTCTCGTGGTTGCTTGCTCTGCCTGGCTGTTCGTCGGATTGTTGAGAGTAGGGTCCTCTCCGGCTGTTTGCTGTGGTGGCTTGGTGTCTCTTTGGAGTGGGTGGCCTTTTCTGGCTTTTCTACGCTCCTTCGAACCCGACTGCTCTGCTTCGACTTCCCCTGCCCTTTCAGCTTGGAGCTATCTGCTTCACAGCCTTTTCCACTGTCATGCAATCTCGCTTCGAGATTCACTGTGTTGGGTGTCTTCGAGCAAACCCCAGGAGTCGGCTTATGGCATTGCAGTGTACTTTGCCATGGAATTCGTTGTGAGCGAACAAGCTGATGCTGATCTGTTTGCTACTTGGTTTGATTGGAAACTAGAGGGATTATGATTGTGTTGGATTTGGTTCAAGCGATAGGCATTTGGTGTGTGTTTTCATTCTGTGCCTTGCTTTCTCCTGATGTATTTTCCAGGCATGGTTTGATTTCATCTTGTGTTTCAGTGCTGCCTTGATCTTGTTTTGGATCCAGGGTTTTTAAATCCCTCTTTGTAACCGATCACTCGAAGTGCAATCCAAGATCCCTTTGTCAAAAAAAAAAAAAAAAAAAGATCACTTCCCTCTCAATCTTTGTCATCCATTATGGTTTTGTAGTAATACAAGCTATAGGATTTTGTACCCTAACCCAAACTTATTGCAGGAATTAACTTTTATGGCAATGTTTAATTTTCATGAATATATTCCAAACAGCCCAATCAAAAGAAAAAAGGAAAAGAAATTTCATGTTGACTCCGATATTACTAGTAGAATTGCAAAATTAGCAACATCTGCTTCCATTTCAGATCATATGAGCAACATCTACTTGTATATCATATGACCAAATAGACATTAGCAACTGGAATTCGTCTTTCCTTCTGACATGACAAGGGTGAAGATGGACAAATGTTCTTCCATGCACTATCCTGTTTTCATACACTACTCTCTGTATTCCATATCAGATGCTATAACAGCGGGCAAAAGAAAGAATTTTTCAGGAAGAGTAATTATTTGTTACTAGCAAGACCATAAACCCCTACTGCAACCATCATACCTCTTTTTGGAATAATGGCACTATGGCAGTGTCTTCAGTTGACGCCTTTCCATCTATAAGATCTGATGTCTCGCTGAGCAAAAGAATCGATGTAGTTCAACAATGAAAGGTATCAAACAAGTCAGAAGCCCCTCAAGTTGCCGACCTTGACCCAGTCCAAGCACGCGGATCATCATCTTGCCCATTCATCCCAAGTACATGGCTTTCTTGTAAATAGGTCACGCCGGTCCATACAACACGAGTCAGTAGAATACTTACGAAGACCACAGTTCCAAGCGTACAAACCACCTGCTCTCAGACCGGCCTAATCAGAAACCACAAATGGGATCTGTGCAGCACAAGATTTAAAGGAACATAACGAGGATGGACAACACTTTCATTCTAAGAAAAAGGAAACATGTCATTCCACTGCAGAACGCTCCTGAAACTTGATCATGCATGAGTTTCATTATTCCAGGTTCAACTCAAAGAAAAAGGAAAGCACTCTCAAAGATCAAATTAGGTAGCAAAAAGTTCAAGAAACTAAACGGTAGATTTCATATCACCACAGCCTCCTGAATTTGGCAATGGAATCCAATAGCAATATGCTATTTGAGGACACAGAAGCCAGACCACAAAATCTTGTCTCAAATAAATATATTGATTAGAGGACTGGCCAAGGGATTTCCTCGTACCAATAAGAATCTACTGTTATCATCATCGTCTGAAAATTTTCATGCACTAGTCCAACGATTTCCCTGAGTCCAAATGGAGATCCAACCTCGCACAAGGTGCTTTTAAGCTTAATGTTAGCTCTCGTCCATGTTGCAACCATATAGGTGTTTGAAAGTAACAATACCTTTCACTAAAATCCAATATAAGATGACACTGTTCTCGAAATTGAGACACGCAGCTAAATTCTAGCTCATAACTGCTGGTATCAACTAACTACGGACGCCAGAACAGTCCATCCAACCCAGTCTCATCAGCTGTTTAAACAACAAAACTGCTGGTATCAACTATCTAATGAAAAGATCAAAGCTTAATCTTTTTCTAGTTGCCCCACAAAACCACCGACGAGGGACGGATTTACATGCTAAATGATAAAGCCACCAGCAGCGCTCCAGGAAAGTAGTGAAAGAGCTCCCTCACAGTTGTTAGACAAAGTTACAGCATAAACAAGGTGACGAATTCAAACCCTATTTGAAAGCATCTACTGATCATGTACAATGAGAGACGGATATCTGACAATCTTACGGATATTCGAACGCAGATAGAGGTCAGATTGATTGCAATGGCAACAGAAGCAATTCACTTACCTCAAGAAACGCTTTCAGAACCCACAAGAACGCAAGCACTATCACCCCATCGACCGAAAACCCTACCTAGCAATTTCCAAGAACGAGAAAACGGGGAAGCCCAAATTACGATAAGGATCTCAAAGTAGCTACATTAGGGGAAGCAAAACTAGCAATTAAAAAGCAGTGAGTTTTCGCTGCAGAATTCCGGGAAGCAATCAGATATTACCAGTTTAGAAGAAATGATGGCTGGCAAAATTGACCGGAGGGCCTTCCTCGCTCGTTTAGCAATCTTTCGGTATACGTTTTGAACGAATTTCACGAACAGATCGAGACTTCGATCCTCCTCCTCTTCCTCTTCGTAATCAACATCATCGCCGTAACTGTCTTCTACCAACGCTGACCTACCAATCGAACGGCTCCAATCCCTAGAGTCGCCGAGGAAACCATCGTCCCCAGCCGGACTGAAATCGGGACCCCGTCTCGAACTTGGTCGAGCCAACAAACGACGAGAAGGCAGGAATTTTGTGGAATCCTTCAGTTTGAGGGCGTAATTTACTTTAGATGCAAAGAAGCTACTTGGAAAAACAGGAGGCGAGTCGGAGGTGAAAATTTTCATCGCCGAGAGCCTGGAGTGCCGACGAATGACTTTGTGGTGACCCGCGGCCGCGATGAGCGAAGACATGTGATTATGAACAGGGACAGGGGTGGAAGTCGGCAGGAAGCTGAGCTCCAGAGAGATCAGTTGGAATTTGGAAGCAGAGCAGAAGTAGAGGCATGAAAAATTGTTGGGGCGGTGGGTCTACAAATGGGAATAGTATTTAATGAATAGAATATTACAAAACTACTCAAGTTCTACTTGATTTGATGTCCTAAATTTGTCGTCCTAAATTATACTGAAATGATTATTCTCGATTAAAGGGAAAAATCTCAAGATATACTCGTTTTAAAAAAAATTACCAAAATACATACATTTTATGAAAATTCTCAATTTACACGTGTTTGGGCATCACCGCGGTCAGTGCAGTCAAAATCGCGCTTTAATGCATAAAAACGTATGATTTTACGTTTCTAGGGTAGGAAAACGTTTCAAATCACTAATAAAATCATTTTTCACTTAAAATCGGTCAAAAGCGTTAGCAGAATCGTTAAAATCGTTGAAATCGGATAAAAACGCATTTTCAAACCGATTTTACCCGATTCCAAGCAAATGAGAAAACTGTCTCCACCAAACCAAAATGACGTTGTTTCGATCACTTTGGACAAAAAAAAAAGGGAATGGGGTGGATATCGGGCTGAGGTCTTCCACAATCCCTAATTGTTCGTCTCATGTCTCCAGCACTCCAACGAGGTAGGCCCCGCCATCCGCACTCGTCATCGCCTGTTGCCGGCGTCGCGAGGCAGACCTTCCAGACTCTAGCGAAGATTCTAAAGCTGCTACAAGGCTCCGCAGCCGTCGCCACCAGTCCGCCAGCAAAGCTCTAGCCGTCGCACTCGATAGCTCCTCCAAGCCTCCAACGCGGCAGTGCCCGTCGCACTCGTCATCGCCTGTCGCAACTCGCCGGCACCACAACAGGTTAGTTTCCTTCTCTTCCTTGTCCTATCTCGTCGCCACTTCACCAATGCCGGATTGTACAGATCGTATAGCAGTTTCAATGTTGCTCCACCATGTATGTTCAGATCCATTCCTTGCTTTTTCATACTTTTTTTATTGGAGCTTTGGTTCTTTGTGTTTTCGAATTTGTATAAGTAAATGAAATGGGGTTTCTTTTCGTTTCCAGCTTGGATCCTACATCGATCTAACTTTCTCAAATCAATGGTCAAGTTTTCATAATATGAAAAATGATGACAACTTTTCATGATGGGAGATTATATAATCGATGAATTGATGTAGTTTTCCTTCTATCCATTATAACATTTGTGTGCTTTGATTTCGAGAACTTGGATTATTAAACTCGTATGTTATCATGTAAACTTAAACCAGCTTGTGAGAATTTGGAATTTTAACTCGTATGTGGGTTATGATTTATGTTTATAAAGTTATTGTTAAGATGTTATGAGTTTGTTCTAATTTAGACATGAATTGCAAGTATTTATTCTTTTATCTAAACTCTGTGCACTTATTTTTTACATAGTTTATGTCGTACTTAACAGATTTTTAACTATTATACAGGATGCATAAAAAACTTTTGCATTTACGCTTTGATTCACCGCTTTTCGATTTTACCCCTTTTCCGCTTTTAGGTAGAATCGCGTTTTTGACTGCATTGACCGCGGTGAATGCATTCCACCGCTGCATACTAAAGAGGTGAATGCATCACCGCTGTTGACGGTCGCGGTGAAAGCTTCACCGCGTTTGTCGGTCGCGATGAAGGCCTAACCTAAGGCTGAAACTTCAAACCAACGTAACTTTGCGCTCGGTTATTTGATCGTAGCGAAATTTTTTCGATTCTGCATAACTTTTCAAGATCTTTCAATCTGCAACCGGCCTTCATCCCAAAAAATATCGTTTGCTACCCTGAACGAGCAATTTTTCAATTTTCCAAACTTTAGAAGGTCATTACTTTGTGCTCCTCAATCCAAAAGTCATGAAGTTTTCTTTTTATTGCGCATAACTTTTTAATAACTACAACTTTTACTAGGAAAGAATTTTCCAAACAAAAAATAGTTTTGGGTATACGGGATTTTGGGAATAACTTTGCCTTTACTTTTTACAAATTCACATACATTCCAAAATTATAATTATGGTCAAAGTTGTAGTCCTTAAAAAGTTATGAGAAATCAAAATAAGTTTCATGACATTCGGATTGCGAAGCACAAAGTTATGGTCTTCCAAAGTTTGTCGAAATGGAAAAATATCTCAGGAGCATGATTTACCACTCCCCCAGCTGTGGTTTTCCTGGTTGTCTCTTTCAAAATGGTGGTACAACACGAATTTCCACAGCAGGCTGACGCTGACACTCTTTGAGGCCTTGTATGGCTACTCACCATCTCACTTTGCTCTCCAAAACCCGTTGTCAACTACTGTGGCAGTTGTGGCTGATCGACTGACTCAACAACAAAGGGTGGTGGGACTCCTGCGAAATAATTTGGCCAAAGTTCAAAATAGTTGTGGCTGGCCGAAGCTTAAGGAGCCACCATCTAGCTTATGACATAAAAGTAGCGCTTGTTGGGAGGCAACCTAACATAGGTTTATGTTTGTTTTTATTTTATTTGGATGTTAAGTACTATTATTGTGTAATAATCTCGTCTTGCGCGAGTATTTGTGTGGAGGGGTGGCACGACTCTAACTACACATCCCAACCGACGGCCAAATATAACCGAAGACCGGGTGTAGCATAGGGTAAGCAAGCAATAAAATTTATCGTACCACGGAGATCTAAACTTACCTTACTTCAGGTTTAGGGTTCGTTATCTAGACAACCTCGGATATTGATTAGAAAAACTAAACTAATTAACCTATCACTATTTACAAGGTTGCAACTCTCATGGGTTTGAATCCCCCTAGTTACGTCAATTTGAACGATGTTGAGTACTATCCTAGCTCGAGTGTCTCAATTACTCTACTGTTAAGAGATAGACTCCCTCGGGATCGATCTGGAATGGCGAATCGGTGGATGGGTAGGTGCTCTATTCAACCTTGGGTTTCATATATTGATAGGAGGTAGATCTAATCAACTCCCTTAGAGATTACCTGGACAATATACGATAGGAGTGACCCGAAGACGATAATAATGGGCTCTAAGGGGATGTCACCCTCCTAGGTCAAAAGCTCAAAACATGAAAATGGAAACTCAACTCATGTCATTCATGAAAACATCCATCAATTAAGAAAATCATCAATCAAACATGTAATATGTCACATATATCAACACCCAATCAAAATCTAGAACTAGGGTTATTCTTAAGAGAAGAGGGTGAATTTCTAGAGAGAGTACAAATTGGAGCACATGATCTTCTTCTTATATGTTGATTCCTTGCTTCCAAGCTTGATCAATGCCTTCAATTAAGCTCCAAGATCACTCAAGAAATCTCTCCTTTGGTGTTTTGGGTCGAAACCCTAGAGAGAGAATCAATTTCTCCTCCAAAAACCAACTCCCCTTTCTCTCTCCTAGCTGCTATCTTTATATTTGCCAGACAGTGCCGACTTCACGATCACTTCTCACGCCCATGATATTAGCAAGTCGAGGCTGATCTTGGCAAAAAATGCACCATTTTGGGCCGTTTTTCACGGTCTCGGGACCGTGATATCTTTTAGGCCCGCAAGATGTACAATGGCTGCTGAAATTTGGCAACTTCATGGTATGGGGGTGATTATCATGGTCTTAGGACCGTGATAAATGAGTGATGCCCTTGAAGTCTTGCACTTCACTCCCTGGGGGTGATTTCACCCTCTCGGGGCGTGACAAATGCCTTCAGCCGGTGAACATTGCACAACCTCCACTTTATGGCTCGTGTTGTCTGTTGACCTCCGAATTATCCGAAACACGTCCAAGACCTTCCCACACGTACTAGGACCTGAAATATGACAAAAGAAGCACAGTTGAACCCGAATGTGTACAATTGAGTGGTAAAATGTGTACAATCGAACCCGAATCACACCCCCACACTTGAATGTTTGCTTGCCCCAAGCAAACCAAGTACAAAACAAAGTAAGCTTACAACTTCTTTTTCAACAAATTTTTTGGGGCATGTCATAAAGCACAAAACGAATGAATCACAATAGTTACTTGATACCGACCTATGGACAGAAACAAAGTATACTTGGCAACCACCACAAACGACATTCAACTATGGCAAAATAATGCATCACCACCGTAGGTATCCAATCAAATTGATTGGGAAAAATCCAACTAATATTACTTTTTCTTGAGTTTTTCTTCGAACCTAGCAATGAAGGACAAGATTTCGGTGCGATTTTAGTATTTTATGTATTCGTACCAAACTCACTAGAATATGTGCTACAACTATGGGTAAAGTCTTCACACTCAGCCGCCTTGTGGTTATTCATATCCTTCAAGTATTAAAAACTTATAATGATCTCTTAGACAAATATCTTGCTCATTTTCTTCATTTTGATAACAGTATATCAACAAAACCGAAAAGTAATATCGACATTCTAAACAAAATTTTACTTTATATAACAACTCCATACATGATTATTCAGAGATTGTGTGGGGGAAGAAGAGTTGTCACGATAGGATAGGAAAAAAAGAATTGACTATAAGCAACCAACGATTCTCCCTTCTTAAACAACCTATATCCTCCACACTTAATCAACATTTGATTGGTTATCCAACCCCGAGAAATCTTAGTTATTGGTGGGGGTTCGGTTCGTTAGCTGGTATTTGTTCCCCGAACGGCACACTAGTAGGTTTTTGTATGATATTTTACATCTGTCTACTTTTGGCGTCAATGATGATTACGACTTTAAAACCGTGGTTTATGCATAGTTTATAGTTTATAGAGAATCTACCCCATCCTAACCAATTATCCTTATCAATTATCTTTCTATAGTTTGTAAGGAAAGAATTAGAGAGAGAATGTCATTCCCGTTCAAATTTAATGTGCATGGATATTAAGATTGTTACAATGCTTGCATTCTTTATAATACATTATATTTTTTATATTTATGTGTACACAATATATGTATTGTTTTTATATAAGAGTGGTATATATTTGTTTATAATTAGATACTATTTAAAGAATTCGCATATAAGAGTGATGTATGTTTATTTATAATTAGGTATTATTTTTTCATAATTGTGAAATAATATTAATTAAAGAAAGAAAGGTAGTTTACAGCAAGAGGAAAAAGACGGGAAAAACTGCAGCAACAGAGGAAGAAGAAAGCTAAACAACAAGGAAAGACAACCTCACAAAACCAAGACAGAACAAGGAAATCACAGAGATGCAGAGGTTCAACAACCAACAAAGAAAAGCCCCAGCCACCAATCACAGTAACAATTGTTAATAGACACTAATCATGTAAAAAAGAAGCCATTTATCACAGGAGGTAATCATCATTCATCAAAGCAACCCACCCATGATACACAGAGGTCACAAAAAAAAAATCAAGAAACATCTACTCGCTAACAGAAACTGCAATTTTATTTGTTACAAGGTTTCCTACACTGAAACATACCAGCACTAGGCCAGCTTTCCAAGTTTACCTTTACCATCATCATCCTACAAGACTGTATCTTAATTCAACTTCCAGACAGCTGCAGAGACCGAACCCTTAATATTCATCACCTAGGAGAGATAGTGACATTGCCATTCAAGGACCGAATCACACTTGCACCAAGCGAAGGCAAGTAACACTATAGACGGAACCCCCCTCAAAAATCACAGTTGGTCCTCATGTTGCGAGATGTTCTTCGCCCACCCTGGAATAAACCTGGACCAATGTGCTGTGTAAAAAATGGCGGCATGCCCAGCCCAGGACCAACACGTGGGAAAGGAAGCGGGATTCCCAGCCCAGGTATGCGGTCGTAATCTCCACCCAAGATTCCACCAGCAGGATACCCAAGTGGATTAGGATCCCTTCTAATTCCAGGCACAGACCACCTTATAGCTGCCATCTCTTCCTCCTCCCTTTTTCGTTTCCTACTCCACTCAAGTTCAGAAACAAACCTCTGTTTCCAATTGATCATTGGGTAGGTCGCAAGCTGCTCACTTCCAAACTCCTCTGCAAACTTCTGATTCCAAAGCTCATTGTTTGATGATAGATAACGCATCTCCAAAGAAACACATTCCATCCTAGCAACGTCAACTCCAGGAAGCAGCTTCAGAATGCTGAGCTTAAGATCAGTAGGGAGGCTCAGAAAACATGATGGCAAAGGCAAACCGGCCTTGTCACAAAGATCAATCAACAATGGCAGACATAGCCCATCTTTGACATCTTTCCAGAACTTAAAGACCTGGCTTTCATGAGAATAATCCATGGCCTCGAGAGATCCATCACTATCAGTCTGCCTCTTCTGGGAATTCGCCCAAAGCAGGTGCAGAGTCGGGACCAAATTCTTTCCATTCAAGCAGAGGCGGTACGTATTTGCTCCACTTGTAACCAAAGAACCAAAGACATTCAAGAAATTGCCCAAAGTTCGGAACTTCAAAGCGATTGATATAACATCCTTTCCCTGAAGTTGGGGGAGAGTATACGAGACTGAAAGTGCTGACCACATCGAAGGCCAGTCCTTGTCAAAGTGAAACTGCTCCATTCTACTCCCAGACACTGAATCGTAGCCCACAAAACCTGACTCCAGAAAAACTGCGTGAACTGCTGCAAACAGGAGCTTGTGATAACTACTATCACAAGCACCCAGTTCTGCCCTCAACACCCACCGCAGGAAGTACGGCTGAGAAAACCTTTCGCTGATCCCAATAGCATTTACAGACGATGCCCCATCAATATCCATACAATCATCTTCATCTGACTTCACTGTTCCAGATGATTTTCCGCCAAGAGTTATAGACCTGTGTTCATCTACACCGAAATTAACATTCGAACTTTCCCCTTCCGTATTACTCACAACCATCAGGCCAGAATCCCTAGAAATCTCGGAGCTAAGCCCACAATTCACATCACAAGCACTACCCTTCGAATCAAAGGCATCAGATGCTCGGAAATTACCCGAATTAGAAGGTGCCGGTAGGTTTTTACACCCTTCCTTGGCGGACAACTGTCCTCGTGAGGAGGCCATGGAACTCGAACAGGAGCCGGCGCCTAGGGTTTCTGTTGGAACTGGGGAGAAATCGTTTGCGTCAAAAGAGAAATAAATCAGATCGCCAGAGGTAATCCCTAAAGAACGTAATGGATTGAGCGGGGAAGATCCTAGGAGCTCGTCTTTCCGGTTGAGAGAGAAACGGGGAGGAGATGGCGAAGGCGAAGAGAAGGACTCAGAGAGAATCCCTATAAGCTGTTGGAGATTGCATGTCTCCGGAACTTCGAGCTTCAGAGTTTGATTGGTAAGAAGAGACCTAAGTCGCAGTTTCATTGCTGTGGCAGGATAGTGGAAATCTGAGACAGAACCAACGAAAAGGTCGACGGGAGGGGAAAGAGAGAAGGGGAACAAAGGCACAAAAAGCTTGCTTCGTTCGTTCGGTGGGAAAGGGTCAGAATCTTCCGGTTCCGTCTAGGGATGACAATAGTTCGGGTTGGGTCGGGGCGGATAGTGCATATCCGTTACTCTACCCTAAATATTTTAGGCAAGGTTGTTAAATCCCTATCGAACCCCCCGGTTGGACCCGGTTCAACCCGAGTCGGGTTTCAAAACGGCCTCCAGAAAACCCCCCGGTCTGACCCCTAAACAGGGAGAAGTAGAGAGGCAGAAGAGAGGAAAAGGAACGAAGGAAGGGAAATGGTAGGTGGATCATGGAGGTTAGGTAGATTTATTTTGTTGAAAATAAGTTTTTAATAGATATATGTAAGATAAATTTTATTTCACTCATTAAATTTTTAATTACTACTTTATTTGTATATATATTTAGAAAACGTCTAAAACGGCTCAAACCGGCCGGACCCCGATCAGACCATTAAACCTCAAACCCCTTGCTTGACCAGCTCAATGACTTAAACCGGTTTGACAACCTTGATTTTAGGTTTTATTGTTTTTATCAATATTCATATCCACATGTGAAATGGGTAAAAAATCAAAATCATGCTCATACATGTTTGGGTTTCGGGTATACACGGTTATGCATGGGTAATTATTTCTCTTCACAACTCCAACCAATATGTTAAGATTCACACGTATTCTTACATTATGTAAGAGGAAAAGTATGATAATAATTCACTAGAATGAGGAAAATTAATTAAAACAACACAATTTCATAAAAATATTATATTTATATGCTAAATATAAAATTTGTTAGAGAAATATAATGATTACATCTAGACAAAATACATATGCATGTGTATAATCGAGCGGGTTCGGGTTGGATAGTGAGAAACTCATGCCAACCCATTACCCGCAATATTCGGGTTCGGGTTTTATACATACCCACTAAATGTCCTTCGGGTTCGGATTTTACACTACCAAATTAGACCGGATTCGGGCGGATATCCACGGTTACGGATATTTTTGTCATCCCTAGTTCCGTCAAATTCAGGGGAAGTCGATCCAATGATCAGGCGAGGAACGGGTTGGGCTGACTTAAGTGAGGGAGAAGTTTGGCTTGTGGTTGGCTAAGTTGGTCGACTTACTCTTCTCTTCTTCACGTGCGGAGAATTTTGCACCTCACTTTTCTCAAAAGTCAAAATATAATCAAAATTTTGAATTTCAATATGTAACTCATCGACTGAAAAGAACGGGGGAGATCAAAAGTTCGTGGCCTAATATCAACTAGGGGTGGCTATACGGTCCGGGTCGGTTAAACTGTCAAGATTGATCCGGTTTCGGTCCGGTCTTTTTGAAAATGTGGGAATCAAATATTGGATTAGGTATAGTCCGGGTTTGATCAGGTCCGGTTTTGATTCAGTGTGGTCCCCATCCGGTTTTGACCTAGTCTGACCCTGAAAAAAATCAGCAGCATAAACCCCATTTTTTTAGAATACACACACCCTGTTTGTACATAATTTGTAGAAAAAACAAACCGAAAATGGTTCTATACAATATTACATCTCAAAATTACATCTCCCTGGACGCCACAAAGTCGTAAAAGAAAGATGGAAAAACTAAATCTCATTCAACATCCACCGCACAAGCATCAAATTTATTCAACGTCAAATTCAGAAAATGGAAACGAATAGTACAATACTCACAGCTGTTGCTCCCATCCAATTAGCTGATTCCGGCGGCTGCTACCTACTGGTCGCCGGGAATGGGAAGGATCGGTTTTGGACTTCTGTTCCAAAGGGTAGAGGTGGCGGCCGGTGTGGCGACAGGAGGTGTGGACCGCCGACGAGGCTGAGGTGTGTAACGACGAGGCTGAGGTGTGTAACGACGGCAAGGAGGTGAGGCGGCGGGTCGAGGACAGATGAAATCAGAGTCTTCTCTCCGATCTCGCGTCGTGCGGCTCAAAGGGATGGATGGACCTGCTCGCCGTCTACTGACCTGGAGCGGACTGCGGGGACTGGATCCCGAGACGACGAAAGAGCAGACTAGGAGAGACGATGGCCGACAGCGACGAGCCTGGAGCAGATTGCGGGGCCGACGGCGACGAGCCTGGTGGAGGCGCCGAGGAGGAGCTAGTTTGTGTCTTCGTTCGAGTGCGGATTGTTACGCGTAAGATTCTAGAGCATTCTAGAAGGATGTAGGTACATGTATGCATCTTATGATTCATGCACCAATGTACATACATCTCTCTTATCCATCTTTATTCATGCACCTTATTTATTACATTCATGTATGGGGGGACTTCTAGGTTCGTTCATTTATGACGGCCATATACATTGTACTTAGTGGAGAGGATACCTATATAAGCAGCCCTCTCCATCACTTTTCATTCATCCAGAAATTAAGAGGTTTCATCTCTAGAGCTTTTCTCCATACTTGTGAGTTTGAGTGAATACGAGTAAGGCTGACTTAGCGCTCTAACGAGACTTGAGTGCTAAGTGCCGCACGGCCAAGAGTTGGTCCGTGACAAGTGGTATCAGAGCCAAGGTCGTAGCTCATCAAGTGAGGAAAAAAACTTCGAAGAGATGGCTGGATCCGAAAGCGAAGTTCTCAACAATGAGCAACAACCCGGTCGTGAGGAGAAGAAGGATCCAAACAACAAGAAACATCGAGATAGATCAACTCGAGAGCCTTTGGTGCCAATCGAGGAGAGGCTCAAAAGAGCGGAGACGAAGATTGCCAAGCATACAACCATGTTCGAGGACGTGGAGTCGAAATTCGACCAAGTCAGCACAGAGGTGCAGACTTCGAAGGATGACATGCAAGGCATGGGCACTCGAATGGCAGGCTTGGAGGTGGGGTTAGAAGCTTTCAAAGACGAGTTTGTGACCATCATCACCAACGCCATCGACTCCTTGAGGGAGACCGTTCGAGGCCAGGTGGACGAAGTGAGGGAAGAATTTGACGAGCTTAGAGGAGAGCTCAATCTCGTCAAATGAGCCGTGGCTAACGGACCTGCCGCGACTCAATCTACACCACGAGTAGATGTTCCAAGGCCGAAGAACTTCGGTGGGTCGAGGAACGCGAGGGAATTAGATAATTTCCTCTGGAGCCTTGAACAGTATTTCAAGGCCTCGGGCATCGATGACAATGAAGTCATGGTGCGCACCACCTCCCTTTACTTGGTCGACACGGCCATGGTTTGGTGGAGGAGAAGGCAAGGTGATATAGAGAGAGGTACATGTGTGATTGACACATGGGAGGATTTCCGCCGGGAAATCAAGAGGCATTTCTACCCGGAGAATGTGGAAAGGGAAGCCCGTGCAAAGCTTCGACGACTCACCCACACCGGCGGAATTCGTGACAATGTCAAGGAGTTCTCGGAATTGCTACTCGAGATCCCCGATCTGCCGGACAATGAGGCTTTGTTTGTCTTCCTTTTCGGATTGCAACCTCTGGCAAAGTTGGAGCTCGAGAGACGGGGAGTGCAAGATCTTGCTACTGCCTTGGCAACGGCAGAGGCTCCCATGGAGTACAAGAAGAGTGAGAGGCCCAACGATTCGAAGAACTCGAAGAGCAAAGGAGGAGGAGATCATCGGCAGCACTCCAAAGAAGGGAAAGGCTCGTACCAACGTGGAGGCTCGAGCAAGGGAGCAAGATCAGGTAACTTTGATAAACCCATGTCTTGTTTCCTTTGCAACGGTCCACATAAGGTGCGAGATTGCCCAAAGAAGAGCAAGCTAGCAGCCTTGGAGAAACAAGAAGGGGAGACCAAGGAGAATGCTAGGGAAGACGAAGGGAAGATAGGCTCCATGCGGAGGCTAGGCGCGGCGAAGTCCGGCGCCAACGAAGTTAGCAAGTGGAGATTCTTTGTGATCACCCAATTCGAAGGAGGCGAGTCAAAGGCATTGGTTGACACCGGTGCGACCGACAAGATGTTGCACGAAGAAGGGCCGAAGAGAGCTTTATCGGCCATGCAATTGGTGAAGGGAATGAAGAGGATGGAACCCACGTTCCTTGTCACTTTGCGAGCGAAGGAAGAAGGAGGCTCGGTGACGCCAACACCTCTCATCGAAGGCGTGTTGGAGGAGTTCGTGGATGTGATGCCAAAGGAACTACCAAAGAAGCTCCCGCAAAGAAGAGAAGTCGATCACAAGATCGAGCTTGAGCAAGGGGCGACGCCACCAGCAAGAGCACCTTATCGCATGGCCCTGCCCGAGTTGGAGGAATTAAGGAAGCAACTCAAAGAGTTGATGGATGCTGGCTTCATCCAATCCTCGAAATCCCCCTATGGAGCATCCGTGTTGTTCCAGAAGAAGAAAGATGGTTCGTTGCGGATGTGCATCGATTATCAAGCTATTAAGAAGCTCACGGTGAAGAACAAGTGGCCAATCCCCAATATTGGCGACTTGTTTGATCAACTTGGAGAAGCAAAGTGGTTCACGAAGCTTGATCTTCGCTCGGGGTACTATCAAGTGAGGATAGCCGAGGGGACGAGGCAAAGACGGCATGCGTGACGAGACGAGGTAAGGGTGGGAAACGGTGCGGTCCGGTCCAGACCAAACCATAGATACGGTCTGTGGTCCAGACCGAGAGGTTGGAACACAGACCATGGACCAGACCATATACTATACGGTCCAGACCAGACCACACCTGTGCGGTGCGGTCCGGTATGGTCTGGACCAGACATACCATGTTAAAAAAACCTTTACTCTTGTTCGCCCTCCAACCCTTCACCGGTATCTATAAAAAAATCTAGTGACCAATATGCTAGTGAAACAAAAAAATTGTGATCGTATTAAATGAGAAGAAATATGAGGATAGAAGTGGGTTTTTTCAATTTTCAAATAGCCTTATTTCCCTATTCCTCTTTGTGCTACCGCTTCTCTCATCTCTCGAGTGATCCTAAGGTTCTCCCAGTTGATAACTTTTTTGATGACGTCGAGGTAATTTCGAACCACTAAGATGGTCGCATATCTCTCAATAATTTTCCTTATCTCATCAAGGTGAACGAATTTTTTTGTAGTGTTTAATTTTTATCGACTCCATAGTCTAGACATTATCTGTGAATATTATTTATGAGTCTTTCTAATTTTTGTGTGGTACTTTGATAAGGAGATAACATATAAGCGATCATTTTGCAATTTGTTGGCTCTCAACTAGATGAGGAATCAACTAACTTTGTTCTTCAAATACACATATGGAGGTTCAATTTAGTGTTATTTTTGTCCAAGGTAGTAGGTAGTGTGTCGCAGTCTGTTACGGTTTACTGCGGTAGACCGCGGTCCAGACCACTTTAGACCACACACTAAAGGAGGAGACCGCAAACTAGACCAGACCATAGTTCTGGTCTCACGGTCCAGATCAAACCATACGATACGGTCTAGACCGCGGTTTCCCATACGGTTTGGTCTGAATTCCCAGCCCTATGACGAGGTATGGCTCATATGAGTTCTTAGTTATGCCTTTTGGTCTAACCAACGCTCCGGCTACTTTTTGCACCTTGATGAACCAAGTATTCGATCCGTTCTTGGATCGTTTCGTGGTGGTGTATTTGGATGACATCGTGGTGTACAGCAACACACTCGATGAACATGCCGAGCACTTACGACAAGTGTTCCAAGTCCTTCGAGACAACGAGCTCTACGTCAAGAAGGAGAAGTACACGTTTGCAGCCGCGGAGGTTCCTTTCCTCGGCCACATCATTGGCGGAGGCAAGCTAAAGATGGACGAAGCCAAGGTGGAGGCGATACAAGGATGGGAGCCACCAACGAGGGTCCCCGAGTTGCGATCATTCCTCAGCCTGGCCAACTATTATAGGGAATTCATCAAGGGATACTCCGCTCTTGCAGCACCCTTGACGGATCTTCTAAATAAGAACAAGGCTTGGGAATGGTCGGATCGGTGCCGCAAAGCATTTGAAGCCTTGAAGGATGCGGTGACGAAGGAGCCAGTGCTAGCACTTCCCGATCCAACCAAGGGGTATGAAGTGCAAACGGATGCTTCCGATTTTGCAATCGGTGGAGTGTTGATGCAAGAGGGACACGCAATTGCATTTGAGAGCCGCAAGCTCAATGAGGCCGAGAGGAGATATGCGGTGCAAGAGAAAGAGATGACGACGGTGGTCCATTGTTTGAGAACATGGAGACATTACTTGCTTGGGTCAAAGTTCGTTGTAAAGACGGACAATGTGGCGACGAGTTACTTCCTCACACAGAAGAAGCTCACGTCCAAGCAAGCAAGGTGGCAAGATTTCCTCGCGAGTTCGACTTTGTGCTGGATTACAAGCCGGGGAAAGCCAACTTTGTTGCCGATTCTCTTAGCCAAAAGACCACACTTGCCGCCATCAGCCAGCCGCAATTCCCCTTGAAGGAACGGATTGAAGAAGGCCTCGGGCACGACCCCTTCGCCCAAAACGTGGTCGAGTACATCAAGCAAGGGAAGACTCGACGGTTTTGGATGAAAGGCGGACTCATCGTGACCAAGGGCGAGCGAGTGTTTGTGCCGCGGTAGGACTACCTACAAAGGGAGATCATGAAGGAGTGCCACGACTCCAAGTGGGCTGGTCATCCCGGCATTGAGCGCACACAAGTTGTCATCGAGGAGGCTTACTATTGGCCTCGAATGAAGGATGACGTGGAACTCTACATCAAGACTTGTCTTGTTTGCCAGCAAGACAAGATGGAGCAGCGGAGTCCGGCGGGCTTGTTGGATCCATTACCCACTCCACAACGGCCTTGGGAAAGCGTTAGCATGGATTTCATCATCGGCCTTCCCAAAGTCGAAGGGTGTGGTTCCATCATGGTCGTCGTCGACCGATTTTCGAAGTATGGCGTCTTCATCGCAGGGCCCAAAGACATGATGGCCGAGAATACAGCTCGCTTGTTTTTCAAGCACGTCGTGAAGTATTGGGGCATCCCGGTTAGCATCGTCAGCGATAGATATGGCCGCTTCACCGGCAAGTTTTGGAGGAGTTGTTCAAGATGATGGACTCCGATCTAAACTTCTCCACGAGCTTTCATCCTCAAACGGATGGGCAAACCGAGCGGGTCAATGCTTTGGTGGAGGTCTACTTGAGGCATTACGTGAGTGCCAACCAGAAGAATTGGGTGAAGCTATTGGATGTAGCCCAATTCTCCTACAACTTACACCGAAGTGATGCCACGAGCATGAGCCCGTTCGAGTTGGCTACCGGGCAACAGCCGTTGACACCTAATACAGTGACGACGGGGTACAAGGGCAACATACCATCTCCCTACAAGTTTTCACGAGGATGGCACGAGAAGATGGAGTTGGCTAAGTCTTATCTCGCTCATGCAAAGAAGAAGATGAAGAAGTGGGCGGATAAGAAGCGGCGTCACTTGGAATTCGAGGAGGGAGACTTGGTGATGGTGAAGTTCTTCCCTCATCGATTCAAGCACCTCAAAAATGTGCACAAGGGGCTGCTGCAACGATATGAAGGGCCATATCCGATTGTGAAGCGGATTGGCACGGTGGCGTACAAAGTCGAGTTGCCATCGCACTTGGAGATTCACCTCGTCTTCCATGTGAGTCAATTGAAGGCATATCATGAAGAAAAGGAAGATGGAGCACGGAAGGAGTCGACGAGGGCACCAAATCTCGTCACCACAACACATGAGCACGAAATGGAGGAGATCTTGGCTCATCGTGTTGTGCCTAGGCGTGGTGTTCACCCAAGCTACGCGGAATATCTTGTCAAGTGTAAGGGGCGGCCAGAAAGCGACATCACTTGGGAGAAGGAGCTTTCGCTATGGCGTCACAAAAACTTGATCGAGACATTTCATGCGGAGTCCGCGAGATTGAGTGGGGGAGAATGTTACGCGGAAGATTCTTGAGCATTCTAGAAGGATGTAGGTACATGCATGCATCTTGCGATTCATGCACCAATGTACATACATCCCCCTTATCTATATTTATTCATGCACCTTATTTATTACATTCATGTATGGGGCAAGTTCATGTATGGGGGGACTTCTAGGTTCGTTCATTTATGATGGCCATATACATTGTACTTAGTGGAGAGGATGCCTATATAAGCAGCCCTCTCCATCACTTTTCATTCATCCAGAAAATGAGAGGTTCCATCTCTAGAGCTTTTCTCCATACTTGTGAGTTTGAGTGAATACGAGCAAGACTGACTTAGCGCTCTAACGAGACTTGAGTGCTAAGTGCCGCACGGCCAAGATTAGGTCCGTGACAGGAAGCAGAGATTAGGCCATTAGGGTAATTCCAATTTTAAGATAAGGGCGATGGACGCTGGTGGTGGTGGGTGGTGGCCAGGGCATACGGACCGGGCTAGGCTCATTGCCCAATCAGTTAATGGGCTGGGTTGTAGTCTCTAGGGCCTATTTTATTTGTTAATCGGTCTTTCGGGTTTTATACAATTTTAACACGGATTGGATTGGTCCGGGTTTTTGGCTATTTCAAGGACCAAAGACGGGATTGGATTGTTTTACATCCAGTCCCGGTCTTAAACGATCCGGGTTTATACAGTCCGGTTTCGGGTGAAACTGGAAAACCCGGACCAAATAGTCAGCCCTAATATCACCGATAATGAATGCATTCTGGAGGAGGTAGTACACTATAACGAGGGCACGAAAGGGGCGTCGAGGTTGCATGGTCATGAAAATTTATCTTGTGAAAGCATATGACCGGATTTGTAGGGGGTTTATGCGTGGTACTCTGGAGGTTGCAGGCACGCCAAAAAACTTCATCAATCTTATTATGGGATGCATTTCAATGGCGTCAATGCAGACCCAATGGAATGGGAGACTTACCGAGAGCTTTCAACCAACGAGAGGGCTTCGTTAGGGATGTCCTCTTTCACATTGCATGTTTACTTTGTGTATGGAACGAACTTGACATTTAATTAACGATTCAGTTAGAAATGGTCAGTGGCAGTGATGCTCTAAAACACAACACCAATCTGCGACCAAGTGTAATCGCAGACTGGGAATGCAGTAAAGTGACAAGTGATATTATCAACCTGGGGTCTAGATCTACTGCTTACTCAGTGATTATCTATTATCTAGCCAACTAAAGTAAGTGATTGTTGTTTTAAAAGCAAAAGCAGAAAGAAAGCAGGAATTGGTACGGTTTTCTCAATCAGGTAAGAGTCACTCGAGAATGAGTCCCCCTAGCTCCTTAGTTAGGTTTCAATTGTATTTCCCTGGGTTGATTTACTGTTGATTAGACTGCGGAAGATCCGACAGTAGCTTGGAATCTCTTAAGCTGACCAAGCCCTCTCAGTCTGACTACCCGGCAGACGACTAGTCTTCACCAGGATAGAAAGCTGAAGCAATAAGAACAGAACTCCACTACTGGAATTGGATTCCAGTACAAAGCAGTAAACTGACTAACTCTCGTATAGCCAATCTCCTACTACCGAATGATGAGACTCTAGCAACCTAATCAGATTCTATCTATCTCAGATTGCAGCAGGAATCAGGAAAAGTTGATCAGACTTCAATTGACTCAATACACATGCATCATTCGATTAAAATCAAACAATAATATCATCCCAAGTCATTACAATCAATCCTTAACACATAGAACTAGGGTTCTTCATCCCCAAGTGAGAGAGGGGTTCTACTCTAGAGAGAGAGAGGAAAACAAGGTACAAAGCAGTCATACTCATTACAATGGGAGGAATCTGCTATGGGATGATGATTTCCACTCCTATGACGATCTCCAAGCTTGATTTGATGAAACCCAGCTCCAAGATAGCTTATAGGATGTGTTCTTCGCACTTTCTCTCTCTAGGGCTCTGTTTTTGCTCAAAAAGTCTGATTTTCTCTTGCAGCCCGAAATTGGGTTAAAACCAGGAATTCCCGACTCACACGGGCAGGGCCACACGGCCGTGTGGCATACCCAGTTGCCCGTGTGAGTCAAAACGCGGCGTATCAATTAGTTCGATCTTCGGGCTTCCCACACGGCCAGGGTCGCACGGCCGTGTGGGATTTCCATCCTGCCCGTGTTTGCTCTCGCATAATTCCACACGGACAAACCACTCCTTCACACGGCCGTGTGGATGTCAGGGCAAGCCGTGTGAAGGCTCGCACAATCTAACGGCTCCACAATCAAACGGCTCCTTCACAAACAAACACAACCTAGCGTGAAATCGGCCTAAAACACGAGAATTACCATCTCAAACGGCTCCAGAATAGGGGTAAAAACTTGTGCAATTAACGGCTTATCAGGCAGCCTATTAGGCTGACCCTAGATAGACCAGCACTGCCTCGTCTTTTCTTTCCAGACGATCTTATCCTCTTTGTTGAAGCCACACGAGTGTGCAGGTTTAGGAGATCATAACATGCTTCAATAGCTTTGGTGTGTCCTCAAGCCAGCAGGCTAGTAAACCCAAGTCACTGATAGACAGTTATGCAAACACTACCACCGCCCAGAGGCAAATGCTGAGCGAAGAGCTTGGGATCTTGGAGACCACTAACTTTGGGCACTATTTATGAGTGCAAGTCATTCATGACCGGGTGTCCAAAGCCACCTTTAGTGACCTTATTGATCGTATTCATTCTTGTCTTGCAGGCATGGTCCATGAAACTGTACCGTACCGACGGTTCAACCACAAAATACCAGTATCGGAGGCTAAATCGGTAGGTGGTATTTAACGATCTAACGGTTAAACCACGGTTTTATCATAAAATATCATACCGCTGACTTTTTCGGTAGGATATCCGTACGGTTTCATGGACCATGCTTGCAGGGTGGAAAGTTGGGGAATGGATCCCATGCATAACCTTGTGGTGAGTAACCATGCATAACCCAATCACTATCCGCCACATTAGTACACATTCTCTCTCCTGAAAGTCTTTGATTCCCCTTAATCTTTAAGAGATGATTTCTCGCTCATTTTAAGTCGGAATTTAATTATTATTATTTTTTTGCATAGTTAGATCAGATTGTGTTCTTCAAAATGATATCCACTTTGATATATTTTGGAAATAAAAAAAATTTGAGTCATTTTTTACTAGCATATACCAAATGGTATCGACTGATATTAAATAAGAGCATACCATATGGTTAGGACTGGAGGTTCGGTTTTTTCGGTTATAACCGGTAACTAGGGATGGCAATTTTGACCTGACCCATTGTACCCGACCTGTTTGGCCTGTTTTGAGGCGGGTCCGACCCGTCCCGTAGGCAGGACGGGGCGGGCATGGGTACCTCTCAACGACCCGACCTGACCCGCCCCATTCTCGACTCGTTATTGCCTAAATTACATGGAATCTTAGTTAAATTACATAGGATTTTCCTTTTATTATCTCATATTTTAGCTATAAAAAGTTGTAAATAAGTGAAAACCTCAATTTCTCTAATAATTTAACTACATTTTATCATATTATGGTTTGTTACTTGGTCTTTTAATGAAAATAACGAATATTTCTAACATTTTAACATAAATTACATACCCATTGGGTCGACCTGCCCCGACCCGCGCCCCGTGATAAATTACCCGACCTGCCATGGGGCGGGTATGGGTATCGAGATACCTGACCCGGACCTGCCCCATTGCCATTCCTACCGGTAACCGAACGGTCGGTTACCGGTTAACCGAGATACAAGGCAAAGCTACCGCAACCGACAGCCTTCCTCAGTTATCCGACAACCGACCGGTCGGTTACCGGTTAGTTGCTCGGTTAACCGAGCTAACCGCACAACACAGGCGGTGGTTACTGGTGATTGCTCGTGGACTGGTCGGCGGAGGAAATGCGGCGGGGGAAAAACGGCGGGGACTGGTGCTGGTGGCGGAGGAACAATGGCGGCCGGCGGGGGACTGTGTGGTTGGCGGCGAGTTGGGAAGCTGGTCGGGGAGGAGATGGCGGAGCACCCGAGCAGGGGCGCGGGTCGATGAGGGAGATGGCGGAGCAGGAGACACTCTGGTCGCTGCGTCGCTCTGGTCGCGGCTTCGTCTGAAGCCACTTCTGTGGCCTGGGAAGAAGAGATGGAGGCTGAGGGACGAGATTGATTCGATGTAACCATTCGCAAATCGGGAGGGAGGAACTGGGCGGCGACGGTCGCGATGCAGAGAAAGGAAGGGGAATTGCGAATTGGGAATTGGGGAAGAAGAGATGGAGGCCGAGGGACGAGATTGATTCGCGGTAAGTCGGTAACCATTCGCAAATCAGGAGAGAGGAACTGGGCGGCGACGGTCGCGATGCAGAGAAGGGAAGGGGAATTGCGAATTGGCAATTGGGGAAGGAAGGACGAAGGGGAATTAGGGTTAGGCTGAACCGTGAAGAGTGGGAGGGGGCGGCGACGTTTTGTGAAGGGGTTGGTTGTGTCGGTTAACCGGCGGTTAGACTCGTCGGTTAGCCGGTTAACCGCCACAACCAATTCCCCTACCGAACACCGCCCGCGTAAGCTTTTTTTGGTTAGTCGGTTAACCGGTAACCGCCGGTTATCGGTTTAACCGACCGGTTAATCGGCAACCAATAACCGAACCTCCAGCCCTACATATGGTATGAAAAAGCTTGCCATGGCGATATGAACATACCAAGATTTTAGGATAATTGAATACATGATAGTAGGAGTATACTAACTGTCATTTACAATTTTCAACATTGTGTACCACAAGATACCACTTACCACCCCTATACCAGGTTGGTATTGGGTGGTATTGTGTGGTGTTTTTTGGTCTAGTATTTTGTTTACCCAGAAATTTGTAGCTCCAATAGATCATGATGAACTCGTTTATTCTGTGCAAAAAAATTCAAAAATGACTTTAAAATGAAGAATCTACCATATGGTATGCAGTTGGTAGTGAGAGGCAATAAAAAAATTCTCAAAAAATATTGAAAATGGATCTCATTTTGTAGAGCACAATGAACTCGTTACATCTGTGAAATTTTTTTTTTGAAATCCAAGTTAAAACGAAGAAGATATAAGTCGATTAAGAAAACAATGAAAAATAAAAATGTCTTTAATTCTCCACCCTTAGATCTGGATTTCTGGGCCCACTTAAATATGATGATTGAGATTTGGTTACTGACCGTATCTGGAGCCGGGAAGTTGAGACGCTATCGATGGTTGCGCGAATTACATTTGCGCAGTCGGTCCTTTCTTCTCTTCCGAGTTACAACATGCAGACAACTTTCCTACGACATCAAACCCGAACGAGCAAAATGTTGAATTGAATCTTTCCAGTTCTCGGTCCATTGAACAAAAAAGAAAAAAGAAGATGTGGGCTTTCGTTTGGGGTAGCACGTAGCAGGGATGAAAATCCACTAGGTTAACTCCGAAACAGTACGCAAGCCAAAGAAGGAGGGCGATTTGGGCTTAATGGATTCGACAAGATCATGACATGCTTCAAGAGCTTTGGAGCATCCTCGGGCTAGCAGGATAGTAAACCCAAGTCATTGGCATACAGTTATGCAAACACTACCACCGCAGAGGCAAATGCTGAGCGAAGAGCTTGGGATCATGGAGACCACTAACTTGGGGCGCTATTTAGGAGTGCAAGTCATCCATGACCAGGAATCCAAACCCACCTTTAGTGACCTGATTGATCGTATTCATACTCGTCTTGCAAGGTGGAAAGTTGAGACGCTATCGCTGGCTACACGAATTACATTTTCGCAGTCGGTCCTTTCTTCTCTTCCGGGTTACAACTGCAGACAAATTTCCTACCAACCAGCGTTCAGTAGTATAATGACAATCAAACCCGAATGAGCAAAATATTGGATTGAATCTTTTCGGTTCTCGGTCCATCGAACAAAAAATAAAAGATTTGGGCTTTCGTTTGGGGTAGCACGGAGCAGGGATGAAAATCCACTAGGTTGACTCCGAAACAGTATGCAGGCCAAAGAAGACGAGCGGTTTGGGCTCAATGGATTCGACGAGAATGAACGAAGCTTATATGTTCAAGATAGCATGGCGACCTCTTGTCAAACTGGACGAGCTCTGGCAAGGGCTATGTGGGCAAAGTATGGCCAGCAACTAAATGGAGGTTGGGGGATACAAGACTCGAGGTTCTTATCAAACCTCTGGAGAGGTGTCTTGAGATCTAACCACCGCCTTGATAATACATCGCATGGAATATGCAAAATGGAAGAGTGGTTCGACCTTTTATATATCTTTAAGTAGTAATTCCACGTACTATTGCACTACAACAATTTTGGTCAGTTTTGACAAGCAAAGTTTGTCAATATTATGTATAATATTTTTCATATCATGTATACTGTGGAAAAAAACAATTCATAACGTTTGTCGTGACTACCTTGTCAAAATATGTTTATTACCATAAAGCAAAACGATTTGTCATAACTTCGTGAGAGATATTATGACGATTATACTTTAGCTAAAACATATTGTGCATTATGATAAAGTATTTTTCAAATCATCATAAGGGGGTCATGAACGATGGTGATTGGTTTATTTACGCCTTTCTGAGTCATCGCCTGAGGGAGTGGATTCAGTTGCCCTAATTGCCTAATCCAGTAGTTCGGTATGACTCTCCGATTAGGGAAATTAGGCGGGCTAGGACAACTCGAATAGGGAACTCCTAGCTAGCTTTGCTCTCCTAACAGTATATATAATATGCAAATCATGCTAAAGTATCACATTGTTGAATCAGCACGGGACTAGGGGGTAATCATCCGAGTGAAGCTTTCTCCCTTGAATTCAACCTTGTTTTAGTTTCTTGTTTATTTAGTTCAATAGTTTAAAACAACGTTTCTATTGCTAGATAAATTGTGGTTTGCTGAAGTAAGTATACATAGACCGCCCAGGTTTGATAATTCGACAAATACTTGCTCTATACCTCCCCGATTGAAGGGTCCACTTGACCTTCAACTGAGAGTGTAGCTAGAACCGAGTCAATCGTTGGTCAATTAGCCTAACGGTTAGATCGATTAACGAGGCACGCACAACCTAGCATCCCACATTACCTATAAATATCATACCCCAACCCTTATGTAGGTAACAAATATTCAAACTTCTATAAGTATGTCTCTCTAGCTTTCTAGGTTTTGCCCAACTAATTTAATCATTAAAGGGCAAAACCAGGCTTCCAAATGTGATCTTTTAAGCTTTTCTGAAGGTTGGAAGACTGACGATCATCGGAAAAAATCTCAACTCACCCATCTTTTCCTAAGGATTTGCTTATTTGGCACTGAACCTAAATTCATTACTCTATCTCTGAGTCGCAAATCTCGTCCAATCCAAAGATCTTGCGCGAAATCGTGACAACACAAGTATGTATATTTCATTTTCATGTGCTATAATAAATACATTCGGTATATTGTATAAATGTTTCAACTATGTTATGTGAATGTTGTGATCCTGCATAGAAAATATCTCGGAAAGCGGCCCAAAAATATACAGAATTTTGTCAGTTAGATTGAAAATGGTTTAGGAATTTGTTGACAAAAAAAAAAATTAAAATTACTAGATGGAAATAAAGAGGAAAAAGAAAAGAACTTGATAGAAGGTGCTCAAAGAAAGGCTACGAACGAATACAAGCAACGTAGCCAAATTCAGGAGCCAACCTGGTTTCGGAATCAAAATGTTGCTTTCAGAAATGACAAAATATTGTTTTCACCTGTTTTCAACATCTGTTTTCTAAAAAAAGTAAACAGAAATGAAAGTAAACAAGTAGTAATTCTTTTCCAATTTTGATGGAGACTTTCAAAAGATAATTCTGGTTCTGGCTGGTCAAACTCTGTCGAAAAGTCACAAACAAAATACTCCACTGCCGTATCGTTTATTATTACTGTTTCATAGTGAAAGCAGTGGCGTATAGGTTTATTGTTTATGCTGAATTCCCTTTATTTCTTAGCCAACTAAATATGAATACGACCAACGATATGGTATCTTGGAACTTTAATTAGCAGCACCATTGACCTCGCCTCGCGCGCTGCATCGCATTCCGGTCCGTCCCCCACTGGCCACTGCGGTATTAAAGTCCAACGCTCACAACTATATTTAACACCAAAAACAAAAGTCCAATATTGAAACTTAAATTTCCCAACCCCAAAATTCAATCAACTGAAAAGGAAGTCTAATGCTATGAATTGATGTGATGCGCTGCTGCCGGCAGGACGTTTCTCAACCAAAGACTCTATCTAATTCTATACTATATGTGTTGGTTAATTACATGTGTAGATCAGGACCTTCTAATGAATTGCAGAGCTCTTGTTAATTGGGATATAGTTCAAATTATTTTGTAATTTTTGGAATATGACTAATCCGTTGAGACTTTTTGTGCTATTGTTTTTAACACAAATATGACTTCTAGCACATAGACTCTATCTATACTATATGAGGCCGGAAACCCTCACTCAGGAAGAGGAAAAGCCCGACCGGTAGTGATGCCAATGGGACGGGGCGGGGCGGGTACCTCAATTCCCATGCCCTGTCCAACGCTACTACGGGTCGGGGCGGGTAAAACCCGCGCAGGTACGAGGCGGGGCGGGTCGACCCACTCTTACATGTTGTTCAAAAAAAAATACAAGTAAATTTTACTTTTTATAATAAAACGTAGGAGAAAACACTTTAAGATGAAAAATATTGATAATAGAATGGATAATTGAGTCTAACAAGTTGAAAGATCGACTCTAACTAGTTGAAGAAAAGTCAAAATTGGAGAAATATGTATAGATATTGTAAGAAATTGAGATAAATGAGTCTAGAACGGGGCGAGGCGGGACAGGGCGGGTCGGAAGTAGATACCCATGCCCCGCCCCACGCTACTGCGGGCCGGATAATACCCGCCCCATCGCGGGTCAGGTCGGGTAATACCCGCGGGGCGGGTTGAAATTGCCATCATTACCGACCGGGGAACTCAACACCGGACCGGGGAACGGGAACATACGTACCCCCAGGCGATTTATCACTGGGGAAATTGAGCAGGCGGTCGGGGAAAAAGGAACAGAAGTCCCCCCAATAGGCGGGTTAAACCTGACCGCGTGATTGCAGGGGTCCGACCGATATTTGGACCTGGGTGACGGAATTTTATGTTTTAACGTTAGTTTTTGGCGAAATATTGATTTTTCTCTTGGTCTTGAGCTTTAGGCTTGAATTTTTTTCCGTATCAATAAAGTTTTCGCCTTGATTGTGGTCGAGATTCTATCTACTATATTGATAGAGCCTTCTCCCGATTTCGTATTAAGATTGCACTTTCAATTCATCCTATTCAAAACAAAAATCCTAAAAAGCTATTTTTCTCTTCGTTCTTGAGGTTACTACGCGACTTTGATAACTACGGGTACAAGATCTGTGCTTGTATCATCGGGCCTCGATTTTCTAAACCCAAAATCAAAATTTCGATTTAATTTAATAGAAAACAATAACTTATTGTCGAGATCACTCAGAACTCGTTGAGGATCTTTAAAATGAATCCTTAGTTTCGAAGTGTGATCCAACAATACATCTTTGGCTCAAGTCCTCATTTGGTTTGGGAAGGAGTGATAATGAAAAGGTATTTTGTGAAGAGGGTATAGAACAAAATCAGGCATACGGAAGTGGAGATCAGTCGGTATAAACTGGTATGGAGTAAGAAAATTTTCCTTAAACATGGTTTCTTTCTCACGATGGCCATTCAGAATTGACTCACCACACAAGACAAGTTGAAGATGCAGGGAAAACTTTATCTGGAATGTGGGTGTAAGTTTGACCCTAAAAACCCACTAACCCGTCTCATTCTTCAGGGACGGGACTGGTCAATTTGTCTATAGGATCAGTTTAGGGGTTGATCAGCTTTTGACCATATAAGGATCGGGATGAGTCGGGACAACCTAGGGATGGGTCACTTTTTGACCCTGTGACCCTTAGCAACAACAAATATCCCATACCACATTGGAACTCTTTGTAAAAGTTTTAAAAGTTTAGGTACTAAATTGCAAAAATAAAAAAAATTGGGTACCAAAATGTAATTTTACCATCAAAATTTAAAGACTTATTTGTAAAAAAAAATTTAGATACTAAATTGAAAGAAAAAATAATTTTGGGACCAAAACGTAATTTGTAAAAAAAGTAGTGTGTAGATTAGTGTCGACTCACTGTCCCGCCCGATCCCGATTCGTCCCATCCTTTGAGGGTCAGACAGAGTCAAGAAGGAGACAGGTACGGGTCAGTTATACTGCCTATACATCTTGACTCTTCAATGACGGATCAGACTGGGCCAGGGATGGGTCTGGGCAATTTTCAATACTAAATTGTGCTATATGTGTCTGACACGCCTCTACCGTCACACTAGAAAGTGGTCAAGTGTAACAACCTACTAATGCGTAGTATAGTGGGTTTAGTTCTAAATGTCAACTCGGGTCCTAGGTGTGATGACTACTCCGTGAAGATCTTATTATTTAGCGGTTCAAGTGTAGTGAAGGTCTAACTAAACTAGCAAGCAATAGCAGTGAAAGTTGTGTTCAAAACTGAGAGAGGTCACCTAGATATGGTTCCCCCTAGACTGCAGTTAAGCCAAGTTGTAATTCGCCAAGTTCAAGTTCAATGATAGTTATACTGCGGGAGGTTCTTAGACAGTCTGCAATCTCGACTAAAGGTCTCCAGACCCTCTCAATCTTAGTCCCCAGCGGGCGACTATCCTCCACCGGAGTAAACAGATTGAGGCCCTAACAAACCAAACCTCCTCTACCGGAGTAAATCCAGTACAAAATAGAGAATTGACTTCTCGACTAAAGTTGTCAATTTACTACCTTCAATCAAGGGTGCTCTATCAACCTAGGCAGATATTCTCTTTCTAGGTCAAAGCAGGAATAATAGGAATTTGATCAGGATTCATGCAATTCAGAAAATCAAACCTCAATTGAATATAATCCATATCAATGAATTTGTACTTGGGTTCATACAATCAGACCTAACATACAATCTAGGGTTCTTCATACCCAGGTGAGTGAGAGAGTTTACTCCATAGAGAGAGAAGGAAAATCTAGCTCAGATGCATAAAACATGTTGTGAAGGATGAGATTTTGCTTCTGGTAATCAATCGGCACTTCTCCAAGCTTACGCCGAGCTCCAATGGTGATGAAGATCGATATAGGGTGCTTGGAGACTCTGGTTCGTCGCTCTCTCTCTCTCTAGGTATCTGCTTTCTTTCTCTAAAACTCGGAACCCTTGTAAAATTGGCCTTCTTTCCCTCAAAAGGGAGCAGATCGCGATCCCCCGTCATAATACCCGGTCAGGTATTTCAAGTGCCCGGCCGGATATATTGAAACGCTACGCATCAAAAAGGGCTTAATACCCGATCGGGTACTTTTGCTATCCGGCCGGGATCCCTTCTGGAATTATGGCGTCTAAAACAACTTTACTCGGCCTCCTCGTGCATTTTACCCGGTCGGGTATTTCAACTCCTGACCGGGTATTTTCTTCTTCCATCGCCCCTTCACTCCAACGTCCTTCTTTTTGACCCGAAACTCGTTTCCTCACCTCCACGTCAACGCCAAGTCCTGAAATATGACATAAACGCACAACCTAGCGTGAAATCGACTTAAAACACGAAAATTGACTCTCAAACGGCTCAAGAATGGTGGTATAAACATGTGCAATTAATGCTCTATGCCTCTATCAGTGTCCTGGAGGTATTGAACGTTGTGCCCATATGTTTATTCAATGTTCCTTTACTCATAATATACTGTTGTTGTGTCTGTAGTCTCTTGCCCCCTATCTTACTTGAATGGGATGATGTGGTAAACTGGTGTGTTAGGAACTTGGATAAGAACACAATCGAAGCCAAAATTTGCAGGTTGATCTGGTGTGTATCATTGAGTACGATTGTGCGCGAAAAGGTGGAGTAGGATGTATATGTAGAGTAGTAGTCGATTAGGTATTCCAGATGGGGGAAAGTTAATCTGCTAACTTGAAAGATTCGTTAGCAGATACTAACTTATATAAAAAATACATGAACTAATATCCAAGTACTAAAGTATCTAGAGAGCACATACTAGTATTCAAAGTTTGCTAACTGATAACCACCATGAATCAACTATTATCCCAAATTCACAAATTAATATCTAGACAACACATAATATTATCCAAACAGAACATAATTATTATCCAGATAACACAGAAGAGTATCTAGATAACACATAAGAGTATCCATATTGAATACTAGTTGGTTGATTGTGGATATTAGTTGGTATATGTTATTTGGATACTAGTTTGTGATGTTTTGAATAGGGGTGGTAAACGGTAATCCGGTAAACGGTTTACCGTTTTACCGAACTGGTAACCGGCGGTAAACGGTAAACCGTTTATCGACGGTATCGGCAGCCGAGCGAGAAGTTGGGGGAGTCAGTTTACCGGACACGGTATCGGTAAATACCGACGGTAAACCGGTATTACCGATACCGAATCCCACCTCCCTACTCCTTAGTGCTACGCTACGTTTTGTTGCTTTACCCCCAAAAATATAAAATATTACATACATGAATGTAAGTATAGGCCTAAAAAATATTGTAAATAAGAGTTAATAATAAATTATTAATTACAAAAATGATGAAAAAAACTCAAAAAAATCAAAATATTACAACATCACCCCACTTCCAGAAATTCGGTTCGGTAAACCGACCGAAAAACCGCCCAAAATCGCTTCTCACGGTATTTCGGTAATACCGGTTTGTAACCGTTTACCGGTAATTCGGTAATCGGTAAACCGTTTACAAATCGGTATCGGTAATCGGTAACCAGTTTGGCCAACTTCGGTATACCGAAACCGGTAAATTCGATAAACGGTAAATTGTTTACCGACCGAATCCCACCCCTAGTTTTGAATACTAGTCTGTGCTATCTAGATACTCAGCAGACTTGGATATTAGTTCATACATTTTGGATATTAGTTAGTATATACTAACGAATTTTCAAGTTAGCAGAATAACTAGGCTGCTCCATATGGGTCTAGAAGCATTAGGATCAGACTGGTAGTTTGTATCCTTGGTATAAATTATCTCTGATATATAGTTATTTTACATCACACCGTGATAGTTGTATTTGGAAGTTTGAGAGACTCAATCGCTTCTAGGGGTGGGCAACGGGACGGGACGGGATACTCATCCCGTTTGAAACGGGTACCCGTCCCGTTTGAAACGGGTACCCAATCCCATTTAGAGAGCAATTTCCATCCAATTCCCATTCCCAAACCCGTAAATACCCGTTCTATTGGTGGAAGAACTACAAAAGTTTTAACACACAATTAAACAAACCCACCTAAAATGAGAAGCTGGCACCATCACTATCATGAACACACAAATCACACAATTAAGGAGAGTTTTTTTTTTTTTTTGACAAGGACAATTAAGGAGAGTTAAAAGGCTAATATGAGAAACCTACAAACAATTACACAATAAAACAAACCTACAAAACCACATAATATGAACACTAAAAGAGTGAAAGAGAAGCCGCCAAAACAGCAACAAATTCTTTAGTTCTTTGGCTCCAAAACGGGAGTATCACCTTCTTTGTTCTTTGACTCCAAAATTCCAGTCGAATCCCTTCTTTGCACTAATGAGTTTTGGGCTTTTTGGACTAATGGGTATAACGGGTACTCGTAATACCCAAACGGGTATTAATGGGTAACCCACGGATACCCAAAGTAGTGATTGTTGATCTCAAATCTCATCCCGTTAAAAAAATACGGGTATTTGGGTACTCGTAACCCTTAAAAAACGGGACGGGTAAGGGTATACCCAAATACTCGTTTCCCATTGCCCTTCCCTAATCGCTTCCACAATATGAGATTTCCTCATTGGCGTCCATTTCTCTAGAATATATATCCTCAAAATGCAAATGAAAGAGATTCAACAAAATCCGGTGAAATGAAAGCCCTCCGTCTCTACTAGCGACTCCTTTCACTCCAATTTATCCTACACCATCGCTTAGTGATTCAATCATAGCATCTATTGTAACATTGGCTACGAGAGCAGTAAGAGCTTCTCATAGGGAGAATCAAATTCTAGTGTTAGTTTAAGATTCCTCTCTTTGATGGTGAATGTCGAATAAACTTAATGACGTGTACGCTTATTCTATTTTGTTGTTTTAATACCCACTATTTTGAGTTCGTTTGCCTACCTGAATTCAACTTCATCTTAAGAAGCTATGAGGGATCTTTCGGAATAAGAATAATAATAGAAAGAAAAAAATCAAAAAATAATTTGGAGCTCAATTGTCATACAATAGTAATAAAAAGAAATGATAAAAAATGAAATAGAAAAATGAAATGATTTGTTTTAAAAACAAATTCAAAAAAGAAGAAAAAAGATTTATTGGATTGTGATGTGCACTATTTCAATGACAAGGTTGTCAACTTGCAGGTCGACCTCCTAGTTGATCCAGATTGATTCTTGATTCGGTGAGAAAAACGGATGCCACACACCTGCGGGTTGACCTGTTATAAGGTTTTTGGGGTTGAATGTTACACGACGTCGTTTTTCTCTTTGGTATGCGAATTACGCCTTTTTCATCCTTTTCTTTCTTCTAACCCTACTTTTATGCGAATTGGGATGGCACTAGTGTCACATCACCCACCCAAAATTATAGCTTAGTTTGGCCCTGTTGTAGCTTTTGCAGAAGCAGCTTCTAGCTGGAGCTTTTAGATAAGTACTTTTAAAAAAAAAGCAGTTGAGTGTTTGGCTGTAAAACAATTAGAAGTGTTTTTTAATATAAGAGGTTGTGTAAAATGACTATAAAGGACTTATAATATAAAATATGAATAAAAATTCTAAACAAGAAAAAGTAGTAAAAAAAGATCTTGTTAGATTTCTTTTATATTAAATAATATGATTTTATAATTTATTTTATTTTTAAAATGATATAAATGAAGGAAAATTATATTTTCTGAAATAAAATTAAAAGATGGTAAGGATAATCTTGTATTTTCAAAACAGCTTTTCGCCGAAGCTCCAAATCGGAGCTTCTGCTTTTATGTTATACAAAAGAAAAGCCGAGCTTTTACAGGTGTTTGGGGGAGCGGATATGGTGACAACGCCATATTTGTTGTTATTGTAACAACACTAGTCTCCAACCAATAGGAACCTAGGGTTATGATGACTTTTTATTAGCTTAGTTGACCTAGTGTAAAATCAAAACAGGGGTATAATTGTCATTATGAAAATATATTCAAATAATAAAAAAATAAAACATATTCTTTTATTTTCTGCCCAAAATTGTGGTCGCCGAAATTCTGCCACCGATCGCCGGAAACAGGTTGTCGATCACCGGAATATGCTTTTAGTCACCGGAATATACTATTTGTCGCCGGAATATGCTGTCCGGCGTCGGAATATGCTTACAGGCGTCGGAATATGCTTACCGGGGTCGGAATCTAATCATCGGGGCCGGAATATACTTATCGGCGTCAGAATCTGCTCACTGACGGTCATCGGAGTTTGGTCAACTGTTTTCGTTGACCGGTCAACGGTTTTCATTGACCGGTCAACGATCACCGGATGTTATGGTTAGCATTGTGAGATTTATGGTTTGGTTTCTCATATTTTTTTATGCCTTTTGTGGTTTGCTTTATTGTGTTTGTGGTTTGCATTGAGAAGTTTCTGGTTTGCTTTCAAAACCTTTGTGGTTTGCATTGTGAGGTTTTTTGTTTGTTTTATTGTATTTGTGGTTTGCATTAGGACGTTTATGGTTTTCTTTTTTTTGTGGTTTGATTTACTGTGTTTGTGGTTTGCATTAGGAGGTTTCTGGTGTGTTTTCGCAAATGTTGTGGTTTGTTTTAGGAGATTTGTGGTATGCATTAGGAGGTTTCTGGTTTGCATTAAGAAGTTGCTGGTATGCTTTCAAAATATTTGTGGTTTGGTTTGTGAAGTTTGTGGTTTGTTTTAATATATTTGTGGTCTGCATTATGACGTGTTTGGTTTGTTTTATCGTGTTTGTGGTTTGTATTAGGGAGTTTCTGGTGTGCTTTAGAAATATTTCTGGTTTGCTTTACCGTGTTTCTGGTATGTTTTAGACAATTTATGGTCTGCATTAGGAGGTTTCTAGTATGTTTTTGAAATAATTGTGGTATGCTTTGTGAGGTTTGTTATTATATCCGACGTTCTTACTAGATGAATGGAATTAGTAACAATAATTAGTAATGTGTATACTTACCAGGTTCGTATATATAATTACATAGTTCTCTCTTAATTAATTATGTTTTACCACATAATTAATTCCTGTCTCTCTAATTCGTTTTAAAATAACCCGTTCGCAAGGGAGAATGGAATCAGAAATCGATGATGAAGGGAAAGGTGTCCTTTCGAGTGAACTTCTGCACGATCAGTTTCAGCCTGCAGCTCCACATTGGTCCCTGTCACAGACCCATCAAAAATGGCAACCTCGCCTCCAACTTCCTTACTAATCTTCGCATTGCTCAGCGTAAAACCTTTCCACTTGTTTTCATCCATCAGTATCTCGTACAAATCCGTTGCCCTGCAGCTGAAGTCACCCCATCTACAAAAATTTTATATATATATATATATATATATGGGTCAGACTGGTGTGCTCCAGGCGTATACTATACTCCAGCCTCCCCACACCGTTGATATAATCTGACGGTCATTATAAATATTAATTAAATGAATTATTAATTTGTAATTAAAGTTTCTATTTAGGTCCCTTAAAAATATATACGTTCCGCTTAGTCCTAAAAAAAAAGTTTGCCACTACTTTGAATATTTAAGTACCCTAATTCAACTATTTATACATTTAAATACCCTAATATTATAATATTATAAAACTTTAAAACTACTAAACCAGAAGCCATTTATATTTATACATTTACCCAAAACCAGAAGCCATTTATTCCCCAAGAAGAACCCTTCCGACACGCCATTGCTACAGAGAAACTCCACAGGAAGAAAGACCTCTCTGGTTGCCGACGGTATCCCAAATTCCACCTTCCTCTAACAATCAAAAAGCCCGACCCAAAAACAAAAATATCAAAGCGTAAACGGTAAACATAGAAAAAATAAATCCACAGGCTAGAGGAAAAGAGAGCTCAATCTCCTGGGAGGGATGAACGAGACCCCCCTCGTTGTTCGACACGATTGCTAAGCAATCTCCATCCGTTTCTCCTCTTCGGCGCTTCGAAAGAGTCAAAGACCAACAAGCATCGTTGTGTTCAAAGAATGTAAGATATTCTCCTTACCGAAAACTCTGGTGGCAAGAAACAAAGTTCCACATTCTCCTTCATCAATTGTTGATGACTTAGATAGCTGCAAACCATTGTCACCACCTAAGACACACAGTTCAAAGAGATTACATTCGTATTAGTTAAAATTGTCAAACATGTAAATGAAGCTTACATCATCTTTTAACGCCTTCCTCGGACAAAGGCTAATGAAATCCTTTCGTTGTCCTTCAATTCCAGCAGTGTGGAGTAATACTTCATCTTCGTAGAGTCCTTTCCCAAAAGTGTAACACGCTACCACAAGTTCTTCAAATTTCAGGTCAATATCTACTGGAATGTGAAATTCCATGGAAGTGATAGCCTGGTTTAGAAGTTTAGATATCAAAACTTGATCATTCTATGGTGGAAATTGAATTATATACAGACCAAAAGGGAACATAGTATACGCATTTTGCACTTTGAAAATTTCAGTACCACATTGATCTATGAGAGACAAAGAAAATACCATGGCAAGAAATAAAAGCAAACCATACAAGAATATTATACCTGAGTAGCCCCTTGATTTTCATTAAGCACTGAGAAATCTGATTTCTGTGAACTCCTTAGAGGAGTACCTGGACCGCCATGTTGAACAGGTGAATTTTTCCGGGTCCTTTTGGTCGGGGTAATGGGTTTGGCGCCGAGACATATTACATCATCATCTCGTCTTGTTTGTTGGTCAGGATTAGCAGATTTGTTCGTCTTGGATTGATTCTTCCTATAATTAGATGAGGAGAAATGTCATTAGATACATGACAGGGAGAGGCCATGACAACAGCTCGTTGTATATATATATACTCATATGGGAAAGTGGCCCATCAAACGATACACATTATGAAAATAGATATATATATACACACACAACGCTGAAGAATGAAGAATAAATAACATGCTGCATAGTGGGGATGAATAGTGGAAATTTCCACATTTTAAAGCAGGTAGGGTCTGTTCATTTAAGGATCATGTTGGTTCTCATACAATTTCAGGATAAGGTAACTAAAAGTGTACCAAAGTTGGAAAGATATTGCTTAATACTCATGGCCGTAGATGTTGTTTATCCATTTAACATGACATGAAGGGAAGGTAACAACTAACAATGATGGGGACCAGACAGAGAAACATGCCACATCCAGAAGAAAGGAATCAAACTACAGTGGGAGGAAAAAGAATGAAGACAAACCTGTCGGTCAATTTCTGGACGTTTTCCATTGGAATGAACAAAATTGTACTAGAGCAGAAAAAACAGAGAGAAACAACGATATTCCTATACCTCTAAATCTGCCCCACTTATATAAGGGTGTAAATAATTTAAATTAAGAACTTCAGTAAGTTGTTGCGGCTTGGATGCAAAAGATATTCTGTGAGGAACAACGGCTAGAAAGATTTCAAATACTTAAGCCTGTCAAATGGAATCAGCGCTTCACGAAAAGTATGAAAATATTTTATAGAAACTAAAATATCCTTTTCGGTTGAACTGAAAATGGTGATTAGGAGAAAAATAGAATTGAAACTCTTGCAGCCAATAGGGATTTAATAAGTAAAGTTTATAACTAAACATCTCTTGACAAATAGGAGGGAGATCCTTAAGCTGCCACTAAGCAACAAACTTTGCCGAAGTTGACCTGGCTATGGAAAAGATCCATTAGCGAATCCCATGGGAGGCGTAATCTTCAGCCCCCGCATTCTCCTTGAAGGCCTCAATTTTGTAACTGAAATATTGGAGACAAAAAGTAAAAGATCTATAATAATTAAAATTAAAACAATTAAATCTAAACTCATATGGAAACGGTTACCTGGAAAAAAGAGAACACTCGCTCAGAACTCCTCAACATCTTCTTTTCGGCCATCTGAGATAAACTTACTCCATTGAAACAATGGCAGAACAGGAAAACTGGTCAGGGGAAAATAACCCCGAGAATGTAGATGAGCCTCTTCCCACTACCAGTGGTGGGTTAAATGGAGAGAAGGGTATTGGAACAGAGGATCTTCACAGTGCAGTAACTCCCCTTAACGATGATGCGTTTAATGGAGATAAGGAGGGTGAATCGCTACACAACCAGATAGATGAAGATGATAATGACATTGAAATCTTACAAAGAACGGGTGCCTCTAACATTGTTGGTTCTAATGTAAAGGAGAATGGTACGGAAGTTGTTATTCAGAATCCTCCTTTCATCGGTCAGGTATTCAATGCTCATGAGGAAGCATATACATTCTACAACAACTATGCAAAGGTTTGGGGGTTTTCTGTCAGGCGCGAGAAGAAGGCTCGGAACAGTAAGGGAGAGATCACAGGTGCAGCATTCGTTTGTTCCTGCCAAGGACATAGACAACCACATAAAGGTGAACAAAAGAGAGAGTCTCCTATGGTGACCAGATTTGAATGCAAAGCTAAACTTCGCGTGGTGCTAAACAAGACAGATTCAAAGTGGGTTGTGGATAAATTTAACGAACAACACACGCATGAACCAGTTAAGCAGAGGTTGGCACATCACTTGAGGTCGCATCGAGGACTAACAGAAGCAGACAAGGCAGACTTCCGATTTAAAAAGGATGCGGGCATGAAACCTTCTCAGGTGATGAAGCTTGCTGTGCATACTGCTGGAGGGCATAGCAAACTTGGGTACACAATAAAAGATGGGTTCAATTTCAGTACCACAGACCGCAATGAAAGGATCAGCGAGGGTGATGCAGCAACAGCACTTGCCTATCTAGAATCAAAGAAAAGCACGGATGCGCACTTCATCCTCCGATACACTACTGACGAGGAAAAGAAGCTACATAGTTTATTTTGGGCAGACAGCATTTGCGTAGCAGACATTGCATGCTTTGGGGAGTTGCTTGCATTTGATACAACGTACAAAAAAAATTGTTACAATATGCCTCTCGTTATTTTCACAGGTACGAACCTTATATATCATGCTTTCTTTTAATTATAGGGACCGAACATTGCACTCTCCTAATATAAGGTTCTGATGAAGTTAACATTGGTCGTGTAATCTTAAGGTTTCAGTACTGCTCATTTAATGCTTATTTTGAAAAGGAATTTAACATACAATTTGTGATATACTAACTAAAGTTCATATGTTGTTGACAAATTGGTTAAAATGTGGAAGTTCTGTTCGTTTGGAGTTCACGATAATTATCTCGAGTCCTGGGAAAAGAAGGAAACGTAGAGGGAGGCAGGAGAGATCACAATCGTGACTTTTGAGTGATTTAGCATAGTGAGAGGGGTTGGTTTAAAACTTTATAAGAGAACCAATAGGTACTTTATTACAATACATGAGCATCATGAGATGCAAAGTTTCTCGGTTATGCACTTACTCTAGAGAGTAAAGTAGATCAACAAATAATATATTTAGAGTCCCAGAGTCATTTATTTGCTACAACCACCTTACATTTATATTGCTTCAACATTCTGCCACTCGTTTCCCCTTCATCTTATTACATTTTGCTACTTTTGTTTCCATTTTTTTGCTTCTGTGATAGCTTCTAAAGTCTGCATTACTAGTTGTCTCACAACAGTAGTAATTCTAATGTCTAAATTCAATGAAGGTATCAATCATCACTTTCAATCTTGTTTATTCGGAAGTGCACTACTGAGTGATGAGACTGAAGGAAGCTATACCTGGGCATTGAATATATTGAATGAACTCTTGGGTGAAAAGCAGCTACGTACGGTTGTAACAGATGGGGATAAAGCAATGAGGAAGGCAATTGCTAATGTGTTTCCAGATGCAACACATCGGCTGTGTGCATGGCATCTATCCAATAATATTACAGCCAGGGTGAAAAATAGACCAGATTTTGAACCTCGATGGAGCCAATTTGTAACAGCTGATTATGAGCCAAATGAATGGGAAGAGAAATGGAAGGCATTGGTAGAAGATTGCAACCTACAGAACAACCAATGGGTGTCGAAGAAACTGTTTGAGAGACGAAGTGAATGGGCAAACACATATTTGCGCAGCCACTTCTTTGCTGGGTTGAAAACCACATCAAGATGTGAAAGCGTGAATGCATTTGTTGCTAGATACTTGGAACAGAGGTTCGGTTTGCTTGACTTTTTCATTCATTATGATCGGTGGGTCAGAGATATGAGAGAATCTGAGGTCAAATTAGATTTTGAATCTAATTATGGTGTACCTCCGCTAAAGAGTACCATCCTAATGCCTATTGAAAAAAGTGCAGCTAAGTTGTTCTCAAAAGCTGCATTTCTTGAATTTAGAAGTGAACTCCATCAGGTTATTGGATGCATAAAGATCAAGCAAACTGAAGAGGGTAACTTACACACCTACAGTGTAACCATGTTCAACAAAGAGAAGGTCGTGGAGATGAGATACAACACTGAAACGAAGGATATGGAGTGCAGTTGTGAAAAGTATAAGAGTATTGGAATACCCTGCTGCCATATGATCTTTGTTCTGAAGGAAGAAAAGGTGAAGAGTCTTCCTGAAAAACTGGTCCTCAAACGTTGGTCTAAGATCCCAAAGTCATTTGACAATATGCCACAACCATCAACGTTGGGAGTTGATCTTTCTTACAACATTCGGTATGGGACACTACAGTTTTTGACCTTGCGGTTTTGCTTGTTGGGGGCAGAAACTCCTCTCTCTTTTGAGGTTGCTCGAGGTGAGATGGCAGCAGCGTGTGACAAGTTAGAAATGATGAAAAAAACTCCCGATGAGAGAGAAAAATTTGTCCTGCCTACAGAGTTTGAAGGTATACTGAACCCGAATAAAGTGTTGTTTAAGGGTTGCAGGAAACGAAAAGGGGAAAAACAACTCAAGAAAAAAAAGAGGAAGTGTGGGAGATGCGGTAGAAGGGACGGACATTATATTAGTACTTGTCCTGAATCCGAAGACTACGTGCGGCCAGCTACTGAATCTTCATCTGATGAAGAGAATGGGAGTGATGATATGGATGATGCAAGCGATGATAGAGAAGATGGAGACGAGTATGGAGACGACGATGATGACCAAAGTGGTCAACTCCCAAAGGTAATTATAAACACAAATTAAGAGTTCTTAGTACAATTAATTTTATCCAAGATTAAACTGTTGTTCTTGTTGTAACAGAAGAAGGGAACCATGGGACATCCGCCTAGTGTACAACAAGTACAAGGCAGGCAACCACAACAAAAGGTTATATATATATTTTTAGCTTGACCAAGATTTTATAATTGAGGAAACCTAACACTATCTTTGTGCAGGAGGGGCCACGTACTAGGAGTACTAGTACAATCAACAAACGACATGGAGAATCTAGTCAGGATGCAGAAACTAGTCGTCATGGTCCAAGTCGGTATAAGGATCATCCAGGCGATGAACATCATCTGGTACTTAATCAATGATACTAATGATTTAACTAGTAAGATTAGATGATTCTTTATGTTGGAAGTTACATCTTTAATATAATTTTTTCTTATTTCATTCTCTTACAGAAACGACATCATACTAGAACCAGTGGTGGAAAGAACAGAAGCATCAAGAAAAACAAATGAAGTTCTGCCATATTTTTTTTTATAATGGAAGTTCTGCCATATTATCTTTGTTCATTGTCATTATCGTTTTTCGTTTGTTTGAGATTTTAAATCAAGGCATTCGTGCATCACATATGCAACATTAATTTAAGAATGGACCATACCTGGTTTTGGAGCATTCTTCTTTCTTAAACAGATTGTTTTCACCGTCATTTGCTCGATGTCCCTGAGATGAAGACATGTTGCTAAGTCGTATCTTCAACCGACCTGAAGATATAAATTACAACAACAGAAGTGAACCACAGATAGTTAAACAAAAATTTTGACATAGAAGCTTGGAACAAGCAGATTAGATATAAGCAAATATCTAAGAACAACAATTCTCTTAATAAGTTTCACCTAATTACATCATATCTTCATGCTGAGTGTAGGCAAATAGAAGCCAAGATCGAAGTTTTCTGTTGAGAGTTATGTCCTGTAATTCGAACCTCTTTGTGTTTGCCTTGACTAGAAGATATCGTAGCATCTCTCAGCTTCTGACAAAATGACATGCTCCTCTAGAGAATCCAGCTCGAAGTTCTGCCTCATTACAAAACCGGAGAGTTAAATGAGTTCAAGTATAATTGCCAACTACAGAATATGGATGCATCATCAAGTGAGTCCTTGTCCCCAACTATAGAATATGACAGATGTTTTGATATAAAAGTAACACAATTGAAACAAACATAATTAAGAGATATATCATGATTTATTTCCTTCTTTCTACTCGACATTAGCCACCTGTTCAGTCCCTCGTCCCAATGATTCATGATCGGGTTTTACAGGTACCAGTAATCTAGTCATCCATATTGCAATTAAGGAACTGCCACTATAAGAAAAAACAACCAAATTAGGGTAATGCCTGGAATCTGCTGAGTGTTAAATGTGGTAACCCTGAACAAAATCCTAGACAGACGGATCTAAAGCCTACTACTTTCAAAGGCACATCCTGGAATGGGAATTCATACCCTTTCAAGATGCTATTATTGCGCGCAGTCCACCCACCCGATTTGATATGCTCCTCATGCATCCAATGTTGTACCCGTATTTGCACCTAATAGGAATCGCAAAACCGATCCGAAACAGCTACACACGGGCATCCATCCAAACACCGACGCAACATTCACAGAATCAACAATGAATCGTGCTAAGTCTTTCAAGGTCCCATACCCAGCAGTTCATTACATCGGGACAAAAAGACAGCAAACCAGAGGAACGGAATCATAAACCCATAAATCTGGGCAGAAAAACAAAAATAAAGAGCGAGTGTGACCTACTCTGTCACACCTTCCAGTGGGAGAAAAGGCGAAACGTCATCGTCGAGTAGACGACATCCACTGTCACTTCCATGGACAGTAGCAGCAACACCCATGTTCGCCGAGTAAGTGGAACCGTCGTGACAAACCAGATGAAAGCATGAACTCTCTTACTGAGATTTGACAAATACGCTGCACTGGTGGATCGCAAGGCTATTGGGGAATGAGAAACCAAGCTCCCACTATGCTCTGTACTGTTTAATTACGCCATCTATATTTGTTTCCGACTTTGTTGGTTAAAATCAATGGCTCTAGGATTTAGGCCTGCTTCCATGGCTAAGAGGTTTCCACAAGATGAAAAGGAGATAATGTTTGAGAGGTGGGAGAAGTGGCTCCATTACAAGAGAGAGGCAAACTTTTGGCGGATACAAAAAGTGGGAAGATGAAAAAGAGAGGGAAATTTTAACTTTTTCAATTTTTATCCCCATTTGGCATCTGCTCGATTTGTTCAAGTATGTGGACAGATGTTTAATTTTGAATATTTGGTTTCTAATAAAAAATTAATAAAAGTTTGGACAAGCTATAAACTATCATAGACCAGGAAATCGGATCTTACCGGCCGGTTCAACCGGTTCAATCAGAAATTGGACCAAAAGCGGTACGATGGGCTGATTGTGCTGATTTTACCATGCCGGCCGGTTTTTTCGGTTTGACCGGTTGAACCGGCCGGTACGATCCGGTTTCCTGGTCTATGATTCAGCTTCATTTCTACGTATTCTCGTCCAATATGTGGAAAATAATTAAAAAAAAATATTATTTTGCTATTTTTCTATGTTGAAAATGGGTCACCGTGGTTGTATAATGCTCTATTTGGTTCTTTTTTTTATGGATTATATTTTTTATACTATCGCATTTCATTTCTCTATCAATAGTGAAAAACGGTATTTACCGGTACAAAACGGTTGAACCACGGTCGTAGCACAAAATACCATACCAGAAAGGAATCCGGTATGATGTCCGGTACGGTTTCCTTTACCATGTAAACTATCTCTTTCATTATTTGAGATTTGAAATGATAAAAAGTTAAAAACTATCTCTATTGCATGGTTGTCATGCCGCCCGGCGTGCCACCGGTTGTACCGGGTTCAACCGGTACCGGTCATAAAATCGGTGTGACATGACCGGCATGATCGATATACGAATCTCTAAGTAAAATGACTTTATTTTAGAGAATTTAATTAATAAAATTTATTTTATTATTTATTTTATGAGTATAAAAGTTAAATATTGATGTTATTTGTTGGATTCAAGTATAAATGCTTAGGTATTGACATTAAATGTCATGTTTAAATATGAGTATTTATAATTTTATTTGTAATATTGACCGGCATGAACCGGCACAAACCGGTATGTGCCACCGGTTGAACCATTCCACTTGCTAAACCAGCACACTGGCATAAACCGGTTTGACAACCTTGCTCTATTGTTACATTTTAAAATATAAGATTTGCAACTAAGAACATATATATTCACAAGGAGTCCAGGACTGCATATGAGATATGAGCCAACCCGCTAGCGAGAAACTCGGTGTTCGAAAAAATAAAAAACTAGTTTGGTACTCACCTCGTTATTTAACAAGTCAACTCGTTAGTAAACCAGCCAAACTTGAGCTAGACCATGTTCAGCTTGATAAGCTCGCGGGCTAGCTGATTCGGTGGATTGTTAAACTAAGTTCGTGAGTTGGCTTGTATTGAGCTTGTGGAATGATTAATTACTATTTTGAACATGAACATGATCTTGTTAATGAGCAGAAATAGATGCAAAGTTTTTTCAAGCCAAGCATAAGTTCGAGCTAGATTATCAAAATTTGAGTTCAACTCAACTCGAGCCGACAAATCTATAAACGAGCAAGCGTCAGCTAAACAAAAACTCAACTACACTCGACTGGTTTGCATCCCTAGTTAGGACAAAATATGCAATGAGGCATACTGTAACATGTAGAATGCCCAATATCAAACCCTCACACGCATCGATCTTCCGACGTAGACATAAGCCTCATCATGTTTTTTTACTACAAGAACCTTATACATGGGTTAGCGACCGATATAGACGCATACATCTCCAATACTCCTACCTATAAATAAATTGGCTCAATAAGATATTGTCCGTACCATCTAACTCAGGATACGAACAATGATTATTTGTTGTTGTGGGGCTTCACTCACGAAACCAATCGTCTGTGGAAAGACGAGGATGGCCTCTGAATTATACTCCGACAATCAAGTTAGCAGATGGTAGAGAGAGTGTTGAGAGAATATGTAAAGAGATAAAGTCTAGAGGGAGGACCAAGGTGTGAAGTGAGGGGGGAGAAGTTGAGTTCCTTCCATCACACTTATAAAAAAGGAAGTTGAGTCCCTTCCTTTGAGGACTTGGAAGCTCTTATATAGCCATAAAGGTTGTTAAGCGTTATGCGGCAACGATTAGGAGTCATGTTAGGCGTCATCGCGGTTGGCGTGTCACTAGTTAAGCGTCGGGGTTCATAGTTTCAGTTGCATTCACAAAGTAATAGAAAATCATCAAGTCCAAGTGAGACATATCCATCCACTCAAGAAGTCAACTATTGGTACCCCACGAGTTGTGCAAATTAATGTATACTAACTAGCGAAGGCTTGAGGTTTTTCCTAGAGAACGATGCATAAGACTGCTAATCAGGGGCGGAGCCAGGATTTGGCCTTTGGGAAAACGATATTCTTTTACTTTATTGTCACAGAACAGCGTTAAAAATAATTCAAACTAATAAATAAAATTACTTTTGATATTACGTTAACTATACTTTTAGAGATGGGTAAGTCATTTAAAATTGGATTTCAACTAAAATTTGTTAGCATGATACAGTTCAATTTAAAATAAGGTCTAAACTAACAATTTACTCATTATCTACTAAAAACGTCATTAGTTTCTAGTTGAAAAAACTTAATTGATCAACCATAAAATAAAATAAAAAACATTATTGGTCTATAGAGCTTGAGTAAAATATACGAAAATATAATTCTGAAACCAAAATTGTCAACATCAGGTTTTGAGCGCATGACCTGCAGGTGATAGAATATATTAGCATCTGCTGGACTATGAGGCTTTTTTGTCTCAATTACGCACATTAATAAAACTTATACTTTATCGCAAATCCGATTTCCGATAGCCGAAATAGAGCTCGGTACCGTGTAATCCGTACTCTCCAGCCATCCTGCCCCTCATAGTAAACTAAACTCAATCCCCTTTGCATTCTCACCCGTTTAATCATCCTTCGTCCACCCAATTAATATCCGAGCTGTGAACACCACCACCATATATGCATCATAATCGAATCCATTAGGAAACCTAGAAGAGATCAATTCAATTTTTTCATTTCGAACGACAAGCAGTGAATGAAAAGGCAGCACACAACCATGCATCCATCCCTTTCTTGGATGAGAGATCGGTTGAATTCAAACTTCCCAAGGCCTTCATCTCCAACTAATTATTCGCCCCTATATTTTGGAGAGAGACGACCGGGAAGTAGGAACGACGGCCAGATGCAGTTGGAGAAGGATGCCGATGAAGGGATTTTGAAGACGCGGCGGCGAGCGATGTTGGAGGATTAGCAATTGAAGAGTTATTTTCGTTGAATTTAAATTGATTAAATAAATCATAAAAAAATTAAATAAAGGACAAGTTAGTAATATTTTTTATTTTTTGTTAGGGCGATAAACAAAACTAGGGCGACGTTTAGCCATCTAGTTCCATAATACTAGGACTGAGATTAGGATTACAATAGAGATACGTTGAAGATTATCTTCACTGGTTTCTTTGCAATACCATGGTACACTAACTTAGAAGGACATACATGTTTTCAGAGCAGGAAGGCTATGAAACAAAAGAGGTCACTTGGTTCTGATTATGGCAACTGCAGAAGAGACGAAAGAAAATGAGAATCTTTATATGCCATCTCTACGTTGTGGTCACTCACTGTTGCTGCGGCATGGCCTCTATATTCTGGAGTCTAAGAGCAAAGGCCCTCTTCTAGGCATCAAGCCCTTCCACTGCAGTCAGGTTCGTCACACACGAAAGAAAATTATTCAGGCCTTCTTTCGTTATACACTACATTGTCACATACTTCATATGCAGCCATACCTATGCGCGTAGTCGGAAGCACAAGGTTGTCCTACTCGCACAATCCCCTACGCTCTACGACATCCATCGACCCACGAACACAACACCTGCTCTGAAGCAACAAATCATTCATCACAAAGAGGCAGTCTCCTATATAGAGGTCTTGACAATGCCTACCCATTTCCTGTTCACACAATAACCTCACTGTCAAGGAAATTTTAGTCTGAACATCACACCACAGTAAAAAAAAATTATCATGTTCATTCCTCATACGATAATAGTACCAATTCCATTATTCTTAGCAATTAACAGTGGAAGATCATCAGGGAACACAACGCAAATGAGATAGTTATCTACAGCTATATGTACAAGGCTGCCATATCTGTCATTCACTAGAAACTTCTAAAGATCCATTTTCTCTATGAAAGTTAATTAGGCAGCTAGCATGCCAATTCCATTTTCCAATACTTAACCAGAAAGAGCAAGAAGAATAACACATACTCCAGAACCACACAACACAACAAGAACAAGATAACCTAAGTTAAAATGATCAGGTTTACATAGGCTTTAGAATCAGTAACCAAGGTGGGATGCAATTCCCTTGCAAACAATTTTGTAGCCAGTAGATGCCCCTAGTAAGAAAGATGACAGACATCAGAAGCAACTACAATGAATTTAAACTCTCTGAAGCATTACAACATTAATACTAAAACGATATGAAGATTGTTTAATTTGATATATTGTATCAACCGGGATCCATGCATTCAAGTGCTAGAATAGTAGAGTATGGGTTAAACTCTGTAGCACTAATGAAAACCAACAAATTCCTTAGTGATAATATAAAACACAAGTCTTACATCTTTTGAAGTCATTTCTCCTCAAAAAGGTCCCAACTATTACTAACACGGTGGGGAGACAAACTTTGTTTCCAACTCATCCAAATCCTAGAATCAAGCATCCAAAACGATAGTTATGCAAATTCGACACTAACAGGACAGAACGGAATATGAAACTGAACTGGACATACGTATGTGATTTAGCAATAACATTTAGCTTGAGTGCTTACAGATTTTTGTATATTCTTTAAACCATGATTCATCCCTTTTGAAATACAAATACTCCTATGCGTTCATTAACTCAGAAATCATCTCATATGCAACATAAATTTAAAATTTATTCTTCAACTGGAAACTCACCCCTGTCCCTAGCCAGTCCAGTTTACCAGTTTCCTTCCGGTTTGGACCGTCCCCTGCCGTCCTCTGCCTCTGATTCACCTTTTGCAAGGGAATTAGAAGACTAGGTGCACAAAATAGGTTATAAGCTAGCATTCATATGGTCGAAACTGAGATTACAAAATAGAAACCCACCAATACCGTGTTTGATTCATCGAAGGTCGTGCTTCATCGATCCAGGTTTGCCCTATTATCCATGGGTAGAGGCCGTTGTCTCATCGTCATTAATCTAGGCCTCCTTTCCGTCCGTTCGCTGCCGAAAAGAAAAGGGAGGAGGATGGACAGGGTGATTAGCTAGCATTCATATGGCCAAAACTCAGATTTCAAAATAGAAACCCACCATTAGCGTGTTTGATTAATAGAAGGGTGTCGCTTCGTCGATACGGGTCTTTACCTATTATACCCTGGTTGAGGCCACTGTTTCGTCGTCCTCAATCTAGGCCTCCTTTACCTCCGTTTGCCGCCGAGAAGAAGAAAAACGGAGGATGGAAAGACTGAGGGCGGAGGCGGCGGCCGTGATTAAGCCACCACTGTCCATCTCCCCTTCCCCAGCTACGTTTAGTTCTCTGCTTCAAATACAAAGAAGATGGAAAAGATAGCCGGGCGCTAGGAACCGATGGCGGCAGCTAGGGCTGCCATTTGTGAGAACGAACGACAGAAGGACGGGAAGGATTAGAGCTTGAGAGAGATGGGCAGACGATTTCTAGTGGAGATTCTTCGTCGGAGATAGATCTACGAAGCAGAAACGAGAGGGGAGGGGAAGGGTCGGGAGGATAGAAATCTGGGTTCATAATAATGAATGAGTTAATTTCATCTGCGTAACTCAAAGGAATGTATTTGATACTAATGACGATTGCAAAAATGACATTGAATTTAACTTGAGACGCCAATCAACCAAATATCGACATGATATAAATTGTGGATCTTAGAAAGAATTATCGAAAGAAAAGGTATTGGAATATAAAAACATTGATAAAAATTGTTGAAGGACTATATAGTACGTATAAAATTTTAATGAGTGTCATTAGTAATTATAATTATTAATAAACAAATAATTTATCTAAATAAATATGGATCGTCTGATTAGATCTATGGTGATGGAGTCTGGAGTATAGTATATGCCTGGAGCATACGAGTCGTTCCCATATATATATATATATATATATATATATATATATATATATATATATATACATACCTATCTAATAATCCAATCCTGAAAACCCAGTTTCAATTCCAAAAGCACTCTCCTCTCCCTCTTCCTTCTCTCCACCATTACAGCCCAGCAATGGAGAAACAGAGCAAGGCCAAGAAACAGGTGACGCAAGCCGGGTCGCCCTGGATCTGGAACATATTCGGATACGAGTCGTTTAAATTGGGCTCGTCGTCGGCCCTATGGAGAAAGAGGAGATCGAACAACACTTCCACCGCCGACAATTTATTTGTCTCCAACGATTTGGGCGGGGAAAGGGGACGACGGCGAAAGAATCGCCGCAGCCGCTGAAGAATAGGGCGCCGTGTTTGACCCAGATGAGGCGCCGCCGTGACGAGATCTACAAAGGAGGACGCCATCGATGGGGGAGAAATGGCTTGGGAGTAGGGATGGCAATGGGGCGGGTTTGGGGCGGGTTTGTTTATAATTCCTTACTCGTGCGGGGGAATGTTTTGCAAACCCATCCCCATACTCGTGGATTTCGGGTACCCCATGCGTAATATCCATACCCGTACATCCAACATTATTATACCTAAAACTTACAAGAAAAGTTCTAATTATAATTCTAAACGAACATATTATATCATGAAGTCAATAAAACACGGTCATTTTTTTAATATGGTTCAAAGATTATGATCCTAAAATATCCACTAATACATAATATAGAGTATAATCTTTTACAAATTATTATGTTCTAACTCTGATACATCTACTAAATAATAATTAACTAACATAATCTTGTTGACAATGGGAAAAGTGAAAGAGTGAAATGATAATTGAGAGAAATGAATTAGATTTTGATTAAGGTGGTCAATCAATTGCATTTCTACTATTTATTTTCTCAAGTTATCCTCATCGTCATTGATAGATTATAATTTGATGCACATATTTTTTTAATATATGAAGAAATTATCTTGGTGGGGCGGGTATGAGGATGGGTATGGGGCGGGGGAGGCTAAAACCATACCCGCCCCATACCCATCAAACTTTTTGCGGGTTTTACCCATACCCGCCCCATACCCGGTCAAAACGGGGATTCTCCGCGTTGACTGGATCGGGGGCGGTCGAATACCCACGGCCATGGGTTTGATTGTCATCCCTATTTGGGAGAGGCGCAACGGCAGTGTGGAGAAGGTGAGTTTCGACCGGGAAGAAGAAGGAGAGCCCTGCCTGCGAGTGGCGACCCGGAAGAAGCAGAGCGTCGCCTGCGAGTTTCGACTGGGAAGAAGGAAACCAGTGCAGCCTCTGGTCCGAGTCCGACTACAATTTTGATGTCATCATCGGCGATGACCTTCGTACTTCGATCTCTCTCGTGTGTGGTGGTGAAGCAGAGATCGACAATGGCAGAGGCGATGCGTGGCTAGCTTTGGACGAGGGAGAACAATCGCGGCAGAAAACCAACGATTATCCTTGTCGTCGTCACTTGCTCAAACGTTGATGTCGGCGCCAGAGGAAGGTGAGATCTGAGTGGGAATTAGCGTAGGTGAGGGTTTGCGATAATTGATTTAAAGTTTTAATTTTTTTTTATGTCTGTTTACCGTTTTGTCCTTGTTGTTATAGTAACAACAAATAAGTTGTTGTTATACTAACCTGACTCGGTGTTTGACCCTGCTTCAGCTTTTAATCCGAAAAGTATTTATAAAAGCCGGCCCAAACATAAGGGATGTATGTTCAATAATTCATTAATGATAAAGAAAAGAATGGCAGGCAGGCAAAAAGTCAGAGGAAAGCAGCCGGAGTAGATGCCGTAATAATCTGAAAGACCAAATCCATATTTACCCTCAACCACACATCAATATATACTCTACACACTCGGCACAGTCGGTTCCGAATCAAAAAAAACAACCCCATCACCAACCCCGAGACAGAGTTTTGAGGGAAATAATAAGGCAGAGAGCAGCAGCCCCCAATCCCATCATTCTAGATTCGCAGAGCCCCGCAAACAGTCAAAATTGGTGAGCCAGCGAGCGATTCAAGATTTGTGAGCAACGAAAAAAACAATCAGGGCAGCCGAATCGGAGAGATCGGCGAATCCATAGAATCAATATCGCGTTAGGCGGGGGGCAGAGGGGGGAATGGGGATCCAGCTGGAGACTCTGGTGGAGTCGATTAAGTCGAAGGTGAAGGGAGCACTACTGCGGAAGTCGAAGAAGAAGAAGCCGTACGTTAAGATGGACAAGAGCGCCAGCGTCAGGGTCGAGATTCGCAGCCGTAAGGCCAGGCAGCTCATCGACAAGACCCTCAAGGTCGCCGATCGCCCCGGCAAGCGCACCCTCTCTTGATTTTCATGGTCGGACTACTACTCCGACCCTCCGCCGGGCGGGCGATTCCCATTTCTCCTCCTCCTTTGCTCCTGTATAGGTGAACTGATTTCAGGATTTTCTGCAACCTTCTCTCTCTCGCTTTCATAAACTCTCTTCTTCTGCGCTTGCCTTTTTTTCTATTTCCGCCGACAATTCTGCCCTTCTTCAGAGGAAGACGGTGATAGAAACGTTTCGAAGCAAACGGGCAATGAGATAGTATCTTGTTTAGATTTGCCTTTCCTTCTAAAATCATCAAAATCGTAAATCTGGATGGTACCGAGTCTCTTTTTTGTTGTGTCGGTTCCTTTTTGTCATTATTATTCATAATTTATTTTTGCTAAAAAATGGAAGTAAATTGAAGCAAAATTCAGGGTGCTTATTTTTCTGATAATGTGAATTATGATATATATTATTCTTAATTTATTTTTGCTCAAAACTGGAAGTAAATTAAAGCAAAATTCAGGTTAATTATGATATATATATATACTACGAGAGTGATGGCCGCCCTCTTTGACAAAAAAAAAAAAAGATGGCCGGCGACGGGCTGAGATTGGTGTTGAGTTCTTTTTCACAAGCAGGGTTTATTTTTTTAAAGTCTTGAGATTGCAGGTTGTTGCAGCCAGAATAGTGAAGAAAATTATCATTAGGTTAGATGTCAACGGCCGTAGATCCGTTCAATAACCCAATTTTCATAACAATTGATAAACTTATTAATAATTTACAGTAAACAAATACTTTTCTCACTATATCTCTTTGGATTCATGTTGTAATTCAATTTTTTTCTTAGAAAAATCTTGTTCCTAAAAATGAAATCAATTTTAATATATTTTAGAACAAAAAATTGAGACATATAAATATAATACTAGTCTATACCTTAGTAATAATACTTGGTATTACATAGGATTATACCATGATGATATGAAAGTGTACTATGATAGTGTTGCATACTATTAAACACTTAGAATTGGGAGAAAGGTACCACTAAACATAGTTAGTAAATTATGGTACGGGAAAGTTACGTAAAAAAATACGTACGGGTATTATACTTGGTCTTTAAGCTAAAGTTACGTTTAATAGTACGTTAATAGTCATAAATATATAAAATTAATCATTTTAAAAATAAATAAATATATAAATAATACTAAAGTTAACAATTTAATTCGTAAAATACGGATAATAAACGTGTCATACGGGGTTTATACGTGTTTAGTACAGGCGTCATCAAATGAACGGGGGAAATGAAACGGCTTGACAATAATACGGATACAGAAGTTTTAAACGAATAAAATACGTACGGGTATATGGTACATATACGTGTATTAAACTGAGTATTTACTAACTATGCCACTAAAGTCAATTTAAAATATTACAATGCCAGACAGTCAATTAAATATGGATCATTCCATTCCGTCTATTCCACTTATGGAGTTAAATAAAGCCAACTAAGTATTGACCACATGCCACAAAGGCCGCTGAATCACACTTGTTTTCGCCATCATCCACGAAATTCTCTCATCCATTCGGACAAAAAAAAAAAAAACTCAAACCCCTATCGACATTTGAACCCTTCGAACTACAATTTTTCCGGGGGAGATGAAAAGGTCGATTTGTGGGAAAGGATTCGCACCAAGCGCCCTCGTTGTGTTTTGTGCTCCGTGAATAAGGCTTGACGGATTTGCGAGGAAGACGAAGATGGCCGGCTGGGGGTGCAACTGATTGACGATCGAGGAACCGATGGTATAGGAGACAGATTTAGGTAACTAGTTCGTAGAGCAAGAGCGAGAGCAGATGTGATAGTGCAAGAACGTCTATTTCTCAAAGAACTTATAATAAGAGCATGATAAGATATTCATTATTATATTAATATTATTAATTTTATGTAATAAAATATTTGCATAATTACTAACTATATCAAAATTATCATATAGGTGGATCCCTAATTGAGCTATTAACTCACGTTGCTAGTTCAAAAGGTTTGAATGTGGAGATGGTTTGGGAATTGGGCCATACCCAATCCTTATGAATTTTATGGCCTTTCGTAAAGAAAATTGAATAATTTAATTTTAAATTGTTTTTACCCCGTAAAGTTTCTTGCCTATCATTAATGGATGAGGTTACAGAAGCGGTTATAAGGTTGAGCTTGAAATGAGATCGAGAAATGTTAACCATTCACTGGGGAGATTAGACTGAGCATGGGATCTAGTAATCCAATCATCTCTAAAGTTGTCCTTTCGAGTGTGAAACTCTAAATTGATGAGGGGCTCGTTCTTGAGGATTTCCACTATGTTTTCAATCATTGCTAAGCATGTCCATGGCCAGTTCGAAGGTGGCTTGATCAAGGAGTTAATGATGGTGTGACAATCCAACTTAATCGTGCAAGGTTGGTTAAGGCTTTGGGCAAGCTTGATTCCTTTCGAAACCGCTTTAGCTTTCACATCCATAATAGAGTTGCAAAGAAACGAGTCAGCCTTCCCATCACAAACTTGTCCATAGCTATTGATCACTCTGCTTGTGATGAGTGACTTGTGACGAGTGTTGATGCATATACATAAGTGATTAATAGTTGTGGCAGCAGAGCTGGATCTGGAGGAGGTTTCCAAATCTTCCCTTTCTTAAAATGCTTATTCCAACCCTAGGGTGATGCTATAGTGTAGGGACAGAGTAATAAATTGGACGTCTTTGGGATTTTGTTTTGGGGTGGTTAGGTTGTTTCTGGTTAGCCTTTCATTAAATTTGTTTGTGGTTGGGGATGTATGAAATTGTTTCTATGGGGATTGTTTCCGGGTTGCTCCAAGGTTGCTACATTGAGAGCGTTTTAGTTTTAGATATAGAAAGAGAAGCATAGTGAAAGTGTTTTGGCCATTAATTTGAAATAGTTAATGTTGTATTTAGATAAGAACTCGTCGAGTTGAAATATTATACTATTTTATTCATTAAAAAATATTATAGTAGCACGTGGTAGTCTCTAATGAAACACACCCGCAAAACGCCTCCAATTACGTATGCCTCAACGGTGAACTCCTTTTGGCCTTCATCTTCTCGACCGTGAACTTTGTCCGTTGGTCGGATCTTCTTTTTTAATCCTTTTTGCACACTTTCCCTACACTTAAGCCCGGAGACTACGATGAAAAACACTTAGAACCTGAAATGACACATAAAACACGACCAAAACATAAGAGCAAGCAAGCGTAGAGTATAACATAAAGCATACCAGAAAACCACAAGTATTATAAAGCATACCACAAAACTCATACAAGAAACACAACAAATCACATAGAGAATAACATAAAGTATACCAGAACCTCACCACAAAACAAAACTCCAAAAGCTCACAAAACTCAAAGCTAACAACAGGATTTCAAAAGCATATCAAGGGAAACTCATAAAAATTACCACAACTCTCATGAAGCAGACAAGAAAAATCATACTACACCTAAAATCATACAAACCACACCACAAAACTCATAAAGTATACTAGAAACCACATAGAGCATAATAGAAAATGTAGAAAGCACACCACAAAGCAGATCAAAAGTTTCATAAGCAAACCAGAGATCTCATAAAGCTGACCACGAGTTCTCTGAAGCTTACCGTAAAATATAGAAAGCACACCACAACATTTGAGTTCCCTGGGAACTTTTAACTTAAAACGCATTTCGGGGAGAACCAGCTAGCTCTGGGTTCGAAGCTGGCCACAAGTTTCATGAAGAAAACTAAAAGCCTCATAAAACTAATTTCACGTTCTCTGAAGCATACGAGAAACCTCATAAAGGTGACCACAAGATTTCTGAAACAGACTAAATACATCATAAAGCTTACCGCAAATTTCCTTAAGCATACTAGAGATCTCATAAAACTTATCGCAAGTTTCCTTAATCATACCAGAGATCTCATAAAACTTACCACAAGTTCTCTGAAGTAGACGAAAAAACTTCGTACCACAAATTTTCAAAAGCAAATGAATATATGTACACCCACACACCAGCTGAAACCTCACAAAATAATCGTTCTCATTGCAGCCAACTTAAGGGCTCGTTTGGAAGTTGGGATTTCAGATGATGTATTTAGCCAATACATGTAATCAGAAGAATTCATCGTTTTTTTGGCTTAAAATGAAACAGAATGCTTGTATTTGAACAGCAGATGGGCCCACCAGAATCATTCATTATGAATGATTGTAAATCTCAACTTTTAGTAGAGATTATGTTTGAGGGATTGTTGTCTTACTTTTTGTTCCTTATTCTTTGAGGGATCACCAAAATCATTCAATCTCCAAACAATGTATTTTTCAAATTCATACATTGAAACAATACATCTAATTATAATACATACATTGATTAAATACATCAATTTAGAGAATCCTAACTTTCAAACATGCCCTTAGAGAAGCAGAATCATATGATTGCACATTCATGTCGGATATATACATATCTCTATTATTGATGATTACCAAGTGCTTCGGCATCCCTCGCCATTACATAATCAATCAACCAATTGCGATGTAAACGTTGCTTGGCAAGATTAGAGTTGCCAAAAAAGAAATCATCTTCCCTGAAAGAACAAGGCTCCTCCTCATCAATCCTGCCGATCTTGCCTATGTCAAAACTGTAGCATTTGTCCACAACAATGCTAGATCTGATCCTCCCAAGCTTCTTCTCTCTTTTAGATCTCTTCCTCGCCGCTGTGATTGGCTTACCAAGAGTGTAGGGAGGACGGCCGCTGTTCACTGCCATGGTATAGCCGCCGACCATTCCCTGGCAATCATTCATAGCCTTCACGTAAAAGTCCGCCGCACTGCAGAGAGCTTTGAAAGGGGCGAGCAACACATGTATAATTATCAACCTGGCTTTCTTCCTTCCCTTGCTGCCACCCAACTTCATATCCACAATAATATTTTGCAAGAAGGAAGAAGGAGAAGAATGGATGTCCTCGGGGGAATTTTGGTATGGATATATATATATATATATATGTACATGGTTTGGTTTATTGTGTGACATATATTGCTGATGCTCGAGTCACACATAGTGAATATCGAGGAGCTAATAATTAAGAAGAAGAAGAAGAAAAAAATAATATTTTGAAAGCCAGATTATGATCTGCCGGAAAGAGCAAGAAGGCGGCGACCATTTCAGTGCCGTTTGCAGGACAAATGAAAGAACCACGGGGATGGACTTCTAAGGGAGGAGTATCCATTTTTTGCTTTCTTTCTTTTTTGCTTCTTTCCGGTGACTATCAATGTGGAAACAATGGGAAAACTATGGAGAGAGCCGGCTGTCTCTCAAATGAAATGAGTAAGCTAAAATCCAAAACGAATTGTTTGTTTCTGAATCGCATGCTACGCGTCGGCGTGGTTCTCAACATTTGTCACTGTCAAAGTGACTGTCAAAGTGACTGTTAAATAACAAACTAGTGGAAACCCAAAAGCATTATTGGCGGGTAAATGACAAGTTTTACTATAAAATGAGCTAAATTGCAAGTAGTTGAATAGTCCAAGTTCGGTCACTCTCCATTAACCTCCATTAGACTTCATTAGTGTCGTCAGTTAACTGCTGACGTGGCTAACAAAGATGCCTAGTCATCTAATTTTAACACGAGAAAAAACAAAAATTGACTCGCCGCGTCAGAAAGACTTGTCACCTCATATAAACACAACTCAATCCACCCAACCTAAAAAAACCATTAACCCACCCATAAAAATCTGCATCCTCTGCCTTCTGCTTATCCTCTGCCCTCTCTCTCTGCCCTCTCTCTCTCTCTCTCTCTCTCTCTCTCTGTTTCCTCCATCTCCTTCCCTCATCTTCTCTCAAGCGAACTCCGACCTGAGATTGATTCATGGAAGAAGCTAAACAAGTTGAATCTCGTGGACGACATCAACGTCCATTTCAATTTGTCGATTGAACAGTAGCAGCCGCCAAGGGACTTGATTTTACTATACTTGAAGTAGAACCACACGACTCCAACAAGGAAGACGACTATGGCAAGGATGAACATAGACCCGGGAAATCGAGCTTGTTGAGCTTCAAGTTCTGGAGATTGGATGGGATTTCGCCGGACTTAGGGTTTGTGCGTCTAGGCAGCGTTCCGCTCAAGGTCGAGCCGCAGGCGGGGACGGTCGACGAAAGCACTCAGAGAGTGTCTTTTGGTTCGAAGAAAGGCTTTCCTCTGCATAATGGGTCGTGGAAGAAGAGAAAGCAGATCTGCAGGTTGGGGCTTGACGCCACCCGCCTCTTTCCGTCGACATATCCTCTAACAGATTGTCGGGAAGCTTTGATTCTTCGATTTCGTGTCCAGGTCTAGGGAATGATTGTGGCTGGCAAGATCGCCAAGCTAGAAACGACCCCAGCCTACTTCTCTACTACCTTCGACGGGTCGATTTGGAGCAGATGAAAACTGGCGACGACGAAGTAGGAAGAAATTGATTCCTTGTCTTGCCGCAATAATATGGAGGTTCGATCCTAGTGCCGTTGGCGGAGCTAGGATTGGAAGGAGAAAGAAGCTTTGCCTGCTCTGTTGTAGCTAAGACTTTCAATGTCAATTTGTTTGGGAGAAAGAAAGAGAGAAAGAGCTATGGGGAAGATGAATGAGGGTAGCGGGTATTATGTCTTAGATTGAGAATTGCGGTGGTGGCCGCCGGTGGAAGATGAGGAAGAGACGGAACGAATAGAGGAAGAAGAAGAAGGGTGGATGGGTCACGGGTTCGATTCGGGTATCTTATGTGTCTGGTTTATAATAAAGTGACAGATGGATTTTTTTTTTGTTTAAATTGGGTGACTAGGCATCTCTGTTAGCCACGTCAGCAGTTAACTGACGGTACTAACGGAGTCTGACGAAGGTTAACGGAGAGTGACCGAACTTGGACTATTCAACTAATTTAAGTGACTACGAATGGAAAAACCCAATTCAAGTGACCAAACGTGAAATTTTGTAGCAATTACAGTGACCAAACTTGCAATTTAGCCCTATAAAATGTGTCATGATTAGTCACTGAAAAAATTAATATCAATTTTGGTCACTCGAATTAGGAAAATGATCCATGTGTAGTCACTCTCCGTTAACTTTATCTGATGTAACAGTCAACAGTAACAATTAACTGTTAAATGTATGACGTGGCAATTAAAAATTAATAAAAAATTTAATTTATTTTTTTTAATATTTCTACATCATTAAAGTAATAACAAAAATAAATTAAATCTGTTCTAATCCGAGTTCCCCCGCAGCTCTCCTCGCTCCAGCAGTCTTCCTGAATTGGGAGGCCGCATCCTTCATGTCGCCCATGGAGAAGGGGAACGGAGAATCGATTGATCAGTTGCGGGTGGCGGTGGTGGAAACCCTAGGTTAGAGATTGGGAACATTGGGGAATTGAACGAAGAGGGAAAATGGTGGGGGAGAGAGAATAGGTTAAAGGAGAGAAGGGATGAAATTGGGTTGGTTTATGGGTCGACTTTGGTTGAATCTGATGATGTGGCAGGTTTGATGACGTGGAAGGTAGGGTTTGATGATGCGGCGGATTAAAATAGTACACGTTAGCACTTTTGTTAGCCATGTCAGCAAATGACTGACGGTGTTTACGAAGACTGACGGAGAGTGACCAAACATGGACCATTTTACTAATTTGAGTGACCAATGTTGAAATTAAATATTTCTAGTGACTAAATATGACACTTTTTAGTAAACTCAGTGAACAAACATGAAATTTACCCCTTTACTTTATGGTGAAAAATTGGACTTCTTTCTACCCAAAAAAAATGGACATCTTCCACGATTTGGGCTTTTTATGAATCGCTTTCTGTGCACAGGCCAGTCCAGAGGCCCTTTAGTCCTTTCAACCAAAGCCGAGTCCATCCACGAACCAAAAAAAACGTCCATGTTTTGGACACAAGTGCCAAGGGTGAAAAGAAGGGAGACTGGGAGAGGATAAGCTTAAGCTCCCACCATCTCTACACATTCTCTCTACTCCTCACAACAGCAAAGAGAAACGAAGGAGAGGTGGGCGAGCTTACCGTCGGACGGATGTGCAATTAGCCATGACTGGTTCCTCGTCGTTAGTTTCCCAGAGCGTTCTGATGGCGTTGACTGCCACAGTCAACAAATTTACCTCATCAAACGTCCACGCACTTCCCAGACCACAGCACAAGAAAGATACCTCTTCTTCTTCTTCTTCATCGTCTGGCGCAGCAGCTGCTATTCCATTTCAAGGAAGAAGAAGCGTCCTCTTATCCGCCATTATTGGGGCTTACCCCATTGCTACCGACTCCGGAACTGAGCTTCTCAACAGTAAGTTTGTTATGGAGACTTATTAATTAATTAACTACTTCATGATTTATTGTGTTGTTCGGGTTTTGAAAATGTAAACCCCAATTCGCTGATTACTGAATTCTCTATTTCATCTTTTTGTCCAAAATTATTATCAGAATATTTGAAGAAGTCAGAGGAAAACAAGGCCAAAAATGACAAGGAGGTATGCTGCATTATTTAATTACCTGTTTTCTGTACAAGATTTTTCATAATTAACGTAACATAGTATGAGTAAGTGTGGAATTTTTATTTGAATGGAAGCTAGAGATTGGATAGCTATTACAAGAGGAACTACAAGGATTACTTCGATTACGTGGAAGGTTCTGTGCGAGGTAAAAAGGAGGAGGAGCTTTCCGATTCCGAGAAAAGAATTCTTGAGTGGCTCAAGTCCAACAAGTAGAAAAATATTGTGTGTCGTACGTAGTGGGGGAACAAAAACACATAATGTACATTTGAGGTGTTTCAGTTCAGGAATTGGGTGGGTAAAACCCCTAGGTTGATGGAGTTTGATTCTGTTCCGGTGAGCAAAATGGGCGTCACACATATGTTCGTCGACCCGCAGTAAGGTTTATGGGTTGGAGGTTATACGCGTCATTGTGTTTTTATTTTGTTTGTAATCAGATCAACGACGTAATACTTGAAGTCGTCATCGATCTTATTTGAAGTGGATCGAACACTCTTTCTATTTTTAATTTTTAGGTAACTAAATTTTTTTGCCCAAATATATTGCATATTGTATCATAATATAGTTAGGTTTTTATTACATTTGAAATGTAAAACATAACATAGTTAGGTAACTAAACCATCAAGAGCAATTATACAAACACTCCTACATTAGGTGGTAATACATCACCCGGTGTTTTTAAACTTATATACTTGATCCTGCTATTTTTTATCAATATATTATGGTCCATGAAACCGTACTAGATATCGTATCGAAAAAGTCAGCGGTATGATATTTTATGATAAAACCATGGTTTAATCATAGTTCAACTGTTATACCGTTAAATAACGCCTACCGATTTAGCCTCCAATACTTATATTTCGTGGTTGAACCGCCGGTACGATACAGTTTCATAGACCATGCAATATACACAATTTAATAAGGAAAACAAGCTGGAGTAAAACAAAAACAAAAACATTTTGCTGTATTTTTACTTTCTACAGACTAACCAACCACCAACTGCGTTCATTTTAAAATGGAGTATAGTCCAGAATTCATTATCAAGTGAATTACTATCTTTATAATAACATATACAAATCTTTAGAATTTCTAAATTGAATTGAATATTAAGTAATATTCAATTGATCTTGGGGAATGGGAGATCTAATTAATCTTCCCCTTAAGAGCTTCAAATTCTCTCTCTCTCTCTTGTCTGATCACGAAGGGGTTCGATTCAGAAAGAAGGGAAGTAGTTGCTGAGGTTGTAAGGAAGGCAATAGAATTCTTCAGTCCTGGTGTCCTGGCAGAAATATATGAATTTCTCGGACCAATGCCTTCCGCTGTCTCTCCTTGTCGATTTGTGGCCGCGAGTGTGTGTGCTGTCCAGGAAGAAAGCAACCAGGAAGGCCACGGTCCCTTGGGATGTGAATATCACTTGCATCATGTCATTGAACTGCAGTCGGGGAAAAGCAACGAAAACAAAATTAATGCTGCTTGCTATTTCGTCTGTTGAATTCATAATAAGCAAATTCTATGAAATGGAAACCCATGATTGATTTTTTTTTCAGTACTAGCTAGAGTAGTGTAACAGACCCAGGTGGAGCTGGTGTGGAAAGGGCCGTGACCAGTGACTATGACAACTTCACTGAAATATTGCGGGATGGAAAGACCCAGGAAGAGGGAGAACCCGAGAATGAACTTCGACCGGAAGCTGTTGAGGTGGCAAAACTGCAGAAGTCCTACGCCAGCTGAAGCTGCTCATTTCATGAAGATTTATGTTACAGAGTTTCAGGCTTGGTTGAATTTGCAAATATGAGTTTGATTTGTAGACAAACTATTTTTTTTAATTGTTATTGCGCATATGTAAAGTAGCTAGCTGTAGAGATACAGTAGCGCTGCAGGATTAAGACGACATACCCATGTAGCCATAAAGGACACAGTAAACAGCTCCGAAAATTGGCAAGGGAATGGACGCAACAACAGCCCCGAATTTTCCTGGATCAAGAGAGAGGGAAACAAAGATTATTAGCCTAATCCAGAATTCTAGGATTAAGGAAGTAGGCAAGAAGAAATTATATGCCGACCTAAGATGGAGAAGAAAAGCATAAAGCCTGCTGATACTTGAACAACTCTCCTGCTTCCAACTCGCGTTAATCCCAGAAGACCAACATTCTCGCTGCAGATCATGTGACATAAGCATTTATTAGATCATCATTTGCACTCAACTATTAAATATGTGCAAGCAATTTAGGAAAATACCACCTTCTCCTAGCTAAATCTTTGGTTTGAAATGTTTATCACTCTCGTTTAATCAGATAAAAGTTATATGGGATGCTTCATAATTAAATATGTGCTTACACTGAAGCTGTAGATCCGGTTGGAGCCCCACACAAGCCATTCAATAAAGTTCCTACACCCTGTGTTGATTCATAACTGTTAAACAAGGCTACATACTCGATGAAGAGCTACTTGAAAGGAGGTGTTAAGACGTGGACGACATGGTAACAACCTGCCAACCAATGCCGCGACTGAGTACTGAAGGCGGAACTGGTGTGCAACTAGCATACCTTGATGCTGCAACAAATGTACCTGTAGACTACAAGAGATTGGATATGTATGTATGAGCAGTCAATATTTCATTGACAAGCTGAGTATGCATGCATCTCTAAGACTGGACTCTCCGTTCTTCAAATGGCATTATGCTTCTCTTAGAACTTACAATGAGTGCAATCATACCTCAATAGCAGCAACTAGACAAGCAGCCATCATAGCAAACACAAAGCCCGCATCAAAAGTGGGCTTTCCCCATTGATATGGATATGGGAACTTTATCCTGCATAGAAGAGAGCGAATGCAGTTTTAGGGACATTAATAGTAATGCATTTCGACCACTTCACGTAAGAGTAGAAGAAGCAGAAGGTGTTGTAAAGCAAACCCAAATGGAGCTCACCAGGGAGCTGCACTAATAAGCCCAGAGCGATCAGTCCGGCAGCTTGTTTGTGTCTTGGGCGAGCTTTTATCATAGGCACCCGATGCTGTTAATATTTCTGCCAGCAACCATGCCACTGCAACCGTGATAAGGACACCAAATCTATCTGATATCGTTCTTTTTGAGTTCAACATGTGAGGAAGATACTGCAAGAGAGATGATCACCCGGTGAGCAGACGACGTCTATATGGTAGATTTCAACTGGGCCAAAATATGTAAAGGTTCATTCAAGTTTCAACTTTCTGCAACATAGACAGTGCAGACTCTTCTTTAAGAGAGCAGCATAAGGTGTACAATCATAACAATCATTGTATCTAGAAGAAGTTTGGATATATATCGCAGATTCCCGCCTAGAGGTTAATAAGAATATTTTGATTGCCTATAAGGATATAATTTTCTTGATATATGATCCACTTCGCACTAGTTTAGAAACACATACATTGTCTCTACCTACCCGATCAATATGAGCTTAACATTACGCATAAAAGATTGCACTGCAAAAAATTACTCACTTGAGACAAGAAAACCAACAAAACTAGTGCTGGAAGTGCAACTTCAGCGCATCTCGCCACCTACAGTATCAAAGTGAACAGAGGTCGATTGTTCAAAATCACAATAAATTTTTATTCAGAGGAAATGGTACCACCCAAAGCTTTGGCTTGGTAGAGACCTCCTTGCAACATTAACTACCCTTGAAATAGCAATCGCTTCTCCAGGCAATAAAATTCCACATATAGACATCATTGTTGTGTGGTAAGTGTAGGCTGCTTAAATGATATGCCATTGCTCAAATCAAAACAAGATATTTCTCAGATGATTAAGTCTTACACCATATCCCTAAAGTTCAATCATGTAACGGTTTGTTAACGAGAATATCAGCAGATCTGAACTCAGAAGGAGAATGCAAAGCCTACTTAATGTTCATTTGTTGTTCTCTGTCTTAAAAAAGAAAAGTTAAAAAGGGCTAAAAGAAATGAAAGAGTTGGCACCTGTGGGAAGCCATGCACAAAGAGGCCAAGACCAGTGAGTATCACAAGTGGTGCGGCAGCTAGAGGGCTTAGAAATCTGCTTCGCGTACAATCAAAAATCAAATCCTTGGAGTCACGGACATATACAAAGAATGCCCAATTGTTAGTTGCGCCACATACAGCAATCTTACCTAGAACAAACTCTAGCAAGACCAAAATAACCAATCGCCACTTGAAACAATGATGCAATCGTAATTGCCCCTTGTATGGCCGCCATCGATTTTTTGAACCTCTGAGCAAACACAAAAGCACGAAAGCATGAGCAGCAAAGTAGAAGGGAAGTGCATGGTGGGGAATGGGGAAGAGCTATTGAGCATGGCAATGAACAGGCACTAACATCATGGTCGCTTAGCTTGGCGCTGCTGTTGCTACTGTTCACCGATAGAGCGATGGACATTGCTGGGATCACGAATGCATAGGATCCTCCCATCACGACGGGAAGCCGAGTGCCAAACCAAGTTTGTAAGAGTGTGCTTAGCGCCGACAGGAAGAGCAATGTATTGATCATCTCGGCCTTCTCCACCTAATGTGAATTCCAAAAGGTGTCCAGTTTAGTTGAAATCCGATAGAGCCCGGAGAAGAGGAAAAATGGCAAACAAAACAGAAGCACGGCTGTGTGTGTCGTTAGTCCTTACATCACCACCGCCCATCAGAGGAACAAGAAGGGTGGGAATGGTGACGGTGGTGCCAAGCATCACCACATACTGCTGAAATCCTAAAACTAATGCTTCATCTGCATTCGAAATTGGTGAAATATGATCAGTGGAATCCAAATATCTCTCTCAAACATCCATGAAACACACATTCCGCTACTGACCGCATGGTTTTCGAGAAAATGCCAACGAGAAGAAGAGGAAGAGAAAACTGCACAGACGTGCGGAGCAAGAACGCTAAGGATGACTAAGAAGAGAAGAAGAAAAAGGCGCGGGAAAATCGACCAACAGGCAGGAAGTTGAACATCACAGAACACCAAAATCTTCAACCAACAGAGAGCAGAGCAGAGAATTGATCATACGAGTTGGTATGTGGAACAGAGGAAAATTTTGGGGGAGGGAAGAAAACGTACACCAGCACGGATTGCTATTGGCGCAATACTCAACGCCGGGGAGCTGATCCTTGATAGGGAATGGCTGGAAGTCATCGTCCTTGGTAGAAGCTGCTGCCACCATTGCTCCCTATCGAAAGAGTGATTTTGTTTCCTTGGTTGGGCGCTGTTGTACACACGGAGGAAACCCTGACGACGAAGACCCAAAAGTTTATAGCCGCAGACGAAAACCGGAAAGAGGAGGAGGAGAGGAGAGGAGTAGTGGTGTACGTCACGAGTGACTCCATAAAGGGAGCAAGAAGGTAATTGGAGTGTGGGAGAAGCCAAGCCAGGATCAGGGACGCTGGGAAAAGCGTCGAGTAGGCGGGAAAAAGAGTTGGACGCTCTGACTTTTCTAACGGGGAGTTGCAGACGGTAAGGAAAATTAGGAGACGGAGAGGGAGCGGCGGCGTGTTTGTTTGTTTGTTCGTTCGTCCCAGGAAAGCTTACCAACTCGATTAGGAATGACAATCATGCCTAGTGCTGGAAGTTTGATATCGGTATTTGGGATGTACCGAATACCATACCAAATTTGTCTATATTTGGTAATATCGAATACAACTATTATTTTTTGGGTTTGGAATTGAATTTCATTTGTAATTCGATATTAGGAATTACGGGATTGTGATCGGTATATGCCGAAATACTGATCAATACCGAAATATAAACTAGTGTATATTTTATCCTCTCAACCAGACTCTCTCATTCACTACTACACAACCCTCAAACATCAATTTTCTCATACAAATTATTCATACATAAAACACCACTCTAGAAAATTCAAACAAATCACAAATACACTAAATAAAAGCACACGGAATAAGTGTAGTGAGAGTTAGATTGAGCGAAATTAGAATTAGGGTAGGGTTTGGGGAGAGTAGGACGGCAAAATAAGTGTGAACGGGTATCCAACAGTCGGGTATCCCGAAACCCAAACTCAACCCAACCCGATGAATAGTATACAAGTTTAAACTCGAACCCGGCCTAAAACCCGTCAATATGGGTTTTATCCACGTTGACCGGGTTGGGTTGGGTCGGGTAGGGTACCCGTTGGTTCGGGTTTAGTTGCCATCCCTAGTGGCCACCCAAAATCAAAAACTAATTTCTTCTCCCAATATTCCCCTCACACTTTTCCCCCTTGCGAGCAAGATTATGTTAGTTAATTATTGCTTAATAGATATATCAGAGTAGAGAATAATGATTTGGATTACATTGTACTGTACTCTGATATAGTAGAGCACATTGTACTCTACTCTGATATGGATTAATGGATGTTTTAGGATAAGATGTTTTGAACCGTATTAAAAATGATTGTCTCTTTGTCGACTTCATGATATAATAGGTGCGTTTAATGTTATAATTTAACGGGTAATGTCTATTTTGTATCCAAACCTTTTTCATATTCTTTTATATTATCCAAATCTATCGAAATACTAAGAATTAACCAAATGTTAACTTTCAGCTAGCAATTTTGTTAGTAATATTGACTTGACAACATGATACTGACTTGAAAGAGACACATGAAGGTCAACATTTCAAAATTTTAGTATTTTAACTAAGAAAAGAGTTACAAAATAATTAACGATAACGTAAAAATGGCTAGTATTTTGATTCATTACAAAAATATTTGCCTAATTAATAGAATTTTAATAGGTTTGGATAATATGAAAGAATCTGAAAAATGTTTGGATAAAAATAGACATTACCCTAATTTAAAATCTACATGTAAAATTTTAGGGTGTGCCTACGGTGACATGCGTGTCACGGTGACTTGTACTTTCCGGTCGACCTCAGTTAGGATTAGGTCGACCCCATTTAGAATTCGTTCGACCTCATATAGGATCTGGTCGACCTCATTTAGGATTCGGTCGACCTCATATAGGATCAGGTCGACATAATCTGTTGTTTCAGTGTAAAAACAGTTCATGGTGCCTACTTTGGATATTCATATCATACAATTGGCTAGATGGAAATTGAAGACTAATGACTTGTTTTGAATCTGAAGTGTCCCTCTACATATTGAAGTGATTGAGAGCTCGATAGGAAGTCCAGAAGACCATTTTTGAACCTCATCAAAAGGCTATGCCAAAACTGGGAAATTGCCTGGAAATGGCTAAGTCTGGAAACGTGTTTGTGAAGCCTATTTTGGAGCTCGATTCGAGAAGCATGACTGCGAGTCGAGTCCAGGAGCCTCTACCACGTTAAATTAGGTATGTTTTTATACAAATTCAAGGCATTGGATGAAAGATTGGATATATGTAAGGCTTCAAACAAAAGGGTCGAAGTTGCTACGAAGGCTGTTTTCTGGCAGACTTCGAGCACAAGTAAGCTGCCAGAAAAACAGCCTTCGTAGCAACTTCGAGCCTTTTGTTTGAAGCCTTAAAGATATTCAATCTTTCATCCAATGCCTTGCCTTTGTATAAAAAATACTTAATTTAACGTGGTAGAGGCCCTTGGACTTGACTCGCATCCATGCTTCTCAAATTGAGCTCCAAAATAGGCTTCACAAACACGTTGCCTGAAAAGTGCATGTCACCTAATCCTATATGAGGTCGACTGAAAAGTGCATGTCACCGTAGCAAAGTCCTAACCTCTATATATCTCTTCCAAGTTAGTATCATGTTGCCAAATCCATATTACTAACAAAATTGCTAATTAAAAGTTAACATTTAGCTTATTATTAGTAATTCAATTGATTTGGTTAATATATATTGATTGTTTTTAACCAGCCTGCCCAAAGTGCAGGGTCCAAGCTACTTCGTCTTAATGGACAGTTGTTAAGCCTTAATTACATCGGCCACTTACGGCGGGTACTGTTAAGGCTCTCGTTAAGCCTTTTCAACGTCTCTTATTTGAAGTAAATGGGCAGACTTATGAGTTTCACATACTCAATATACGATGCATAACTCATGGTTATCTCCTATAAATAATTAAATATGGACCCTTCATTCAGTAAATTCAGATTTAAGGGTGGAAAATTAAATACATTTTTATTTTCTCTTGTTTTCTTAATCGGCTCATATCTTCTTCGTTTTAATTTGGATTTCAATTTTTTTTTTTTGCACAGATGGAATGAGTTCGTTGTACTCTACAAAATGAGATCCATTTTCAATATATTTTTGAGAAAAAACTATTCTTGGCTCTTGTTACCAACTGCATACCATATGATATCTTCTTCGTTTTGAAGTCGTTTTTGAAAAATTTTGCACAGGAAAGAACGAGTTCATCAAGATCTATTGGATCTACAAATTTCTGGGTGAACAAAATACAAGACAAAAAAATACTACACAATACCACCCTGGTACAGGGTGGTATCTTGTGGTACACAATGTTGTAAGGAGGCGATGACGATTGAAGAGGATTTGAAGTAGGGATTGAAGAAGAGGATTGGCCACAACGATTTGGACCCTACACTGCTTGCTTCTCCATCTCCGCTTCTTGATTGTTGCTGATGATGTGGTGATTGAGGACGGTGACTTGCAGAAGGGTCTGCAATTGATTTTCCGTCGACATAGAGAGTATCGACGTGGTGGAGAGATTTGACCTTTGGGTGAGATTTAATTAGGGGTTAGATAGGGACGACGATGACCATGGATTTTCAGAAGGTGAGAAGCATGGTATGACTTTGAAAGAGGAAAGAAGAGTACTTGGGAGTTTGAGAAGGATTTGGGGTTCTTGGAGTTGGACGATGCTGGGGCACAATGGAGAATGGGGACGGCGGAGGAGGGTAGGTGGAGGGGTTTTGGAAGTCTTTTGTTAAATGGATTTTCATTTTTTTCATTAAATTAAATTTTTATTTATTTTACATTAACCTATGTGGCAGTGTTGTTGATGAAACGTTGCCAAGTCAGCAATTCCATTAGTCCACTCAGCTTGTTAGATGACACCGTTAAAGTATTGGACGGAAGTGGCTATATTTGGTATTTCTCCAAATGTGGCTATTGTTATCACAAACACGAAAGTAATGGCTATGGAAGTGTATTTTGCCTTTCAAATAAAATCTTACCTCATTATGAGAATATCATTATAATTTTCATTATACTATTCTTCTCATTATTTTTTTTTTTTTTGGTGTTTTAACGATAATTGATTAAGTCATTCGTTATGATCCTAAAATGGTATACACTATACATTGTCTTGCATAGTTAATTTTGTTTGTATATAATTTGCTCATTTGTTATGATCATGAAATTGTAGAAACTTTAGATTGATTCCAATGATTTTTTCAAATAAAATCTTACCTCATTATGAGAATATCATTATAATTTTCATTATACTATTCTTCTTTTTTTTTTTTTTTTGTGTTTTAACGATAATTCATTAAGCCATTCGGCCCCCCAAACCTAAAATCCTGGCTCCGCCCCTGATGGCGACTTCGATCTTTGAGCTAGGGAGGATTCCTGTATGAACTTTCCCGAACCCGCCAGACCGGAGAACCTGCTTCTCCTTGAACCAGTGGGTCGCTCGCTCTATATAGATCCTTATAACAGAGCCGTTGCGGGTTGTATTCCTTCTCCCAATCTTCCGTCAGCTCTCTGTACCTTCTCAATCGGACTAGGTAAGCTCCGACAGTGACTGCGACGAGAGAGATGGAATAAATTACGAGGAGAAGGCGGAGATCCAGCGGGTTTCTTCTTCCCCTATTTTACCGAAGCTCCACTACGAGAATGTACTGCGCGCTAGAGGACGAGAAATTCAATAAATTATTTATAATTTTATTTTTATGAAATGAGGTGTTAAATGTGAAAACTAAATTTTATTTATTTTATTATTTTTAAATTGTCATGTCACGGTCAACTATAAGAATAGACTGTCACATAAGCAAAAATTAACGAAATTGTATGGAGAGTGACCAAACTTGAATTGTTTAACATATTTTAGTGACAACGAATAAAATTAAATATTTTTAATGATAACACATGAACTTTTTTATTTTTGTAATGATAGTGACCAATGCTTTTTTCATTTTTGTAATGATAGTGACCAATGCTTTTTTCATTTTTGTAATGATAGTGACCAACCATGCAATTTACCCCTTATTTTTACACAACAAAAGTTTGACTATTACACCTCATGCATATAGGTTCCATATGCTCATCTTTGACCTCATTCCCGTTTTGTCACTTGCACAAACCATACTAAAATGCCAAAAAAATATTGCAACAAGTTTCAAATAAATTAACCTCTTTTCAGTTTCAGTACACGTTTCTTCTGCTTGCTCAACGTTTCAAATAAATTAGCATCTTTTCAGTTTCAGTACACATTTCTTCTGCTTGCTCAACATAGGAGATTCATACATTGTAAGCTTCGGAAATCTTCTATTAACTTGCAGCATTTTCCTTCGGTTTCCTAGTTTCTCTTCTTCATTGCTCCCTTCTACAGGGAACCAGGGAGTAACAACACCTGTCAAGTTGCGGTTTACACAAAGAACACCCGACAAAGTAACTCAACCCTAAATACGGCTCATGCAAAGCAAAAGTCAACATAGGATGGTTAACCAAGGATGAACAATTTCTGGATGATTTCTGGATGATTATTAATGAATCTACCCAAATCAACTAGCTGGATCCCTTTGCTTCCTCATCTCCATATTTACAGGATTCAGCAAAGAACTAGTCCTTTACTACATGTATGGTTCCCGATTCTTGCATCTCCATCAGACTCTCATCTGCAACAATAAACATCATCAATACACACAAAGAGGGAAGAAACTCGCGTGGGAGATTAACAATGATTGAGTTCAGACGAAGAGGGGACCAAAAGAGTGTACTACCTTAGAATTGGTCCTTCCTTTCATTGTCTTCGTCGCCGCTTCAGAAAATGCTACTGCCTTTTCAGCAAGAGCTTCGGCGGCCTCTGCCTCTCTAACGGCCTCTTCTGCTTCCGCAATGGCAGCCTCTGCCTCGGAAACTGCTTGATCAGCAACAGCTGCCGCCTCGCTGGCACTCATTTTTCTCATCCTAGATAGTTCCCGGTCAATCTGTGGTTTTCTAGCCACGTTGAAATCCTCCAGTTGCTCAGCTCTTTGGAATAATCTCTCTCTTCCTTCCAGCAGTAACATGGAAGCACTCCTCCTGTTGGAAAATGAAGCTGGTGCTTCCCTGTATTTGCGTTTGACCTGCAATACAGCAATCAAGAATCAAAATTAAAAGAACCAAGGTTAAGAAAATGAGGTGGAATTTGATTTTCTGCTGAATTATTTTTTCCCATCTAATTTGACAACAATATGACACAGCTGCAGCAGGCCAAAAAGACTGTTCTCTGCCATCAACTATTCTCTATCCTACTGGAATGCATGATAAACAAAGAAGCACCAGCTAGCTAAGCTTGATCAGAAGAAGCTATCAAACACGGCTGGAAAAGCAGATTGCTCAAATGATAGGCCCTAAACTTCTCCTATGCGAGAAATTACAAACAAATTTCTGTGTATCCCTGCAGTCTGCAGATTTATCGCAAGATATGCCCTCTTTGAGAATGGACTGACTGAATTGCTAATCGCATCAATATGAAGTAGAACAACTATTGCTGTCACAAAATATGGACAACTTCTTTCCTGCCGGTTAGAGTTTTATTCAAGTATGAAGTATATATTATCGAATGTGATCAAATAATTACCTTGATCAGTTTGCCAGACGAAGTCAAATGCTTCAGTTTTGCTGACAATATCCTCTTAAAATCTTGAGGTGGCCAATATTGCTCCTACATAAATGAACCGGACAATCAAATATGATACCAATATCAGCTGCATCCTCAAATAGAAAGAGGGAAGTTGAATAAGTTATAGAATCTTATAAGCGGATATGTGCTAACGTCATTCATACTGAAATTAAGAGTCAAAACCAAGCTCAGGCAACAAACCATACAAATAATCAGACCACTCTGATGATATTACCAGATTTTAAAAGGGAAAACACATGACAAGGTCATAAACCTAGAAATTAGGAACCACACCAAGGATGAACAGATTCAACCAAATGGTAACCAAACTAAACAAGACACCTGCGGTGTTTTCACATATGAAATGAATCCAGTACAACTAGTTATTCAAGCCAGTACCACTAGTATATGTCTTCTCCCAGCATATTTACCTTAATGTATGAAGCAATCGCTGTCTTATTTGAACCATCAGGCTCCTTCAAGTGGGCAATAGCCTCCATAATTAGATTATCCAGCCTAGAACAATGAAGACAAATCTTCTTATATAAACATTTGAATGATATGATGACTGGATAACTATATAAACCCTAATATATAGGAACCACTTTGCTCGAGTATGCATCAGATTCAGGCAACATTTTGACGCTTGACATGTCCCTATAACAGTTGAACTCAAAGGTGAGAACATCTTGTTTTTGTGTGCCAACTAAGTACCGAACCTCATGCTAAATTTTCTAGCACTCCTTAGTTTCAAACTACTATGTTATGAAAAGCCCTGTGGTGAATACCATGACCATAGTGAGCTGGCAAAGGCTTCAGAGGAAACTTATTGTGAACTGAATGGTCCTCATTCAGTTGATCTCATCTGCAATGTACCACCAGATTATTTTGATTTCGCAAGGGCCCTGAGATATACGACCAGCTAGAGCCTTCATTTTCTGGCTTCTTTCTGATCAGCTAAATTTCCTCTTACATAGTTCCTGAAACAACTGATATCCCCACTTCAGCATGATCGTGACAATTGCTACTGGAATGTCCAACCAGCTAATGTTGGAAATTCTTAGTATATACATTTAACAAATATGTTCTGATGCACATATCATATTTATTCCAAAACAATCTCCTTGCAAATAGCTTAGTAAACCAAATTGGCACTCATCCGTCTCTATCCCAAGTCAGTTTCTTCAATTACAAGCATCCCAGTTTGCAACCGAGATCACCAATAATCAGAGCAAGAACATGAGCCTTGTTTAAAATAATGGAATCGGTTGCGGTCTCTGACAGTAATTTCTCGTTGGTATACATCTGAAGCAATCTTGATCGCAGAATGGCAATCATGACACATACGTAGATTTTTGAATATATACAAGGATGTACCAGGACTCGTGCTTATAAGCCCAAAACAAAAGGCAAGCTTCTCACTGTGTGATAGCAATGCCTGCTCCTTCTCCTCCTCATCTCCACTATACCCACCATCAGCCCCCGCAGAAATCTGGGAGGCAGTATGTGGGACATAACCAGCTAGCTTTAACCTAATTATCATATCATCTAGGGTATGATAGATCTCTGGAGTTCGAGGGTGTGACTTATCACCAGCAGTGAACTGATGAACACGGCATCCTATATGAATGGAACTCATTCCAGGAACCTTTCTAATCCCCCTACGATACAGAGCATCCCGCAGGGAGTTTGCCTGCTTCCGGTTTCCTGATGAAGCATATATATTTGAAAGTAGTATGTGATATTCAGTGTTCTGAGGATCCATCTGAACCAGATCATGTAAAATCCTCTCACCAATCTGTAACTTTCCATGAAGGCTGCAAGAACCCAATAATGATCCTAGAACCACCTCATTGGGAGGCATTGGCATATTATGTATTAATCTTTCAGCTTCCTCTAAGCGACCAGCTCGTCCAAGCAGATCAACCATACAAGCATAATGATCTATTTTGGGTGTTATTCCATACACTGGTTCCAGATTATGAAAATACTCCCAACCTTGATCAACCAGACCAGCATGACTACAAGCACTTAGCACAGCTATAAAGGTTAAATCATCAGGATTAGCTTCTTCAAACATCTTAGAGAACATATGCAACACAGCTTTGCCCTTTCCATGCATTGCTAGCCCACCAAGCATAGCATTCCATGTCACTACGTTCCTCCTGGGCAAATACTCAAAAACTCTAACTGCTACGTTTATTCGACCACATTTGGCATACATATCAACCAGAGCTGTCCCAACCATGATGTCCAACCCCACTTCCTTCAAAGCAAGAACATGAACCAATCTCCCAAACGCTACATCACCAGATTGTGCGGAAGCTGATAAAATAGAACAAAGGGAAACATGATTCAACCTGAGGCCTGACTGCAAAACCATTTCATTCAAAAGTAAACACCCTTCCTTGATCAATCCACTCCCAACATAACCTGCAATCATTAAAGTCCAAGCAACCTCATTCCTCTCAGGCATTTTATCAAACAACTCCCTGGCCTTATCTGGCCCTTCCAACTTCACCACACCTTCCAAAAGTATACTCCACGACACAACATTCTGTTCCTTCATTTCACTGAAAACACCTCTTACTTTGGATAGTAACCCACATTTCACATACATATTCATTATCGCATTGCACGCCTTAAGACTATACTTGAAACCCATCTTCATCACACAACCATGCAGTTGAGTTCCCATCTCCAAATTTCCCACTCTAGCGCACAAACCGAGCATGGAAAGCAGCACAACATCATCAACAAGAATACCCCTTCTCCTCAATTCATTGAACAACCAATAAGCTTCACAAGGATCGTTCTTATGCTTTGAAAGACAATTCAAGAAAGAGGTCCAATCTGCTAAGTCTTTGTGTGATGAGGGGATTTGGAAGAACAAGTGGCGGGCATAACTAACAACTCCACAGGACGAGTAAAGGTGAAGAAGGGCATTCGGAAGGAAGGAATTGTGTGATGCTGGTAGGCTAGCGGTGAGTATGACCGCATGGAGCTGCTTCCCAGCAGAGAGAGAAGACTGATGTGCACATGAGCGAAGAAAAGAGCGTAGATGGCTGGGGAGAAAGAGCTGACTGAGGCATTTCATACGGAGGGACCGACCAAGAATGGAACTTCTGCCCGAAGATCATCGTTCCAAAAGCAACAACCCCCATTATTAATTTGATTTCTCTTACACCAGAAAAACAAATTGCACATGGATTTCTATGTTTAATCGCCAAGAAATGATTTAATGTCATTACTTCTATATTTCTAGAGGCCCTGAAATGTACCATAACTGTAGCAGAAGGTTGCACATAAGCAATTCATGAAAGGCTATATTGATTGTAGGAATCATGCCATAAGAGATCGACTCACCTTATGGTAGATCTTATCGGAGCAGGAATAGGCATCAGAGGAACTTCGTGAGCCTTAATATCCACGGCATCTTCATCACTTTTGACATCATTATCAGCAGGCAGAGGACTCTCTTCTCGTTTTGAAACATGGTGCATCCGCTTAACAGCAAACTTGGACTTCTCCCTAGAGCTCCATCCATTTGCCATGACACTCATGTTTCTCCATTTGTCCTGGCCAATCATGAAAGAAAATTAAAGGAACATGAACAACACTGGACTGCACTTCTATAAATGTTAGCATAAGGCATTTGAATGTCATTTGAAACAAAACCCAACATATTAGTCACTCAGTTCACTATAAAATGGTTTCCAGATACATGAGCAAAAAATTGACAACTGCTAACCTTGAGGTCCACATTCGATCGGAGGTACAAAACACTACTATATTCAGGATCCTTTAGTATTGTCCTCCATTTACCAGCACCATGCTTGATAACTCCAGCTTTCAAGGCAGCTTCTTCATCGGCTGTCCACTTTTGTTTGGGCGCACCCATAAGGTACTACAACAAAGCTCCAGTGGACCTACACTGCAGCCACCCAATAGATGCAGAAGCAGCACTCGTAACACAACCTCCTAATAAATGAATTACGCTGTTTAGTTGGATGTGTTGGGAGGGTAGAACTTGCAATAACATGCAATTAAACAAATGTGTTGTTTTCTTTTAACAGTTTTGATGCAAATGAGCACATTCAAAACTGCACATGCACATCAAACCAAACCCATCCAAACGTAAAACAATTAGGAAAGCTAGGAGTTATGGCCTAAAGAGAAGAGATAAAGAATCTGGCAAGTGTAACTAGTAACCAACAAACAAAACACTACTACTCTCTTGACATTTCACAATCTGAATCACGCCCCGCAAAGAAAACTTTACAGAAAGAACTCCCAAAATGAATTCAATAATGAATCCGACCCAAAACTATCATTTAGAAACCATAAGAGCATAAGGGAGAATTATTACCGTCAAAAGCTGCAATTCCTCCGAAAGACCCGACAGGTATACGCAAAACAACAGATATTGAACGTTGTCGCTGACTACGAAAGCCTAGAGCAGATTTGGAGCTGGTGGGCGACGAAAATGAGCCGCTTCTGCTTGAGATATACTTATTGCTGCGAAGGAGGAGATAGTTTAAGGACGTTGCGATGTCGGAGATTCCATTAAGGAACTAGGGGGACGACGCAGCGGGTTCACTCAAAGTCTGTTGCTGAAACCCTAATTCATAATTCTTTCGTCAATTTCCTTTCTTTTTTTTTTCTTACCTACTTGGGTTTTCGGATGTTACACGTGTTTTGTAGGGTAAAATGGCTCAGCTAGCACTATCAAATGGTTACCATGGAACCATGAAATACAATATCATAATTAAACTATCCAAATTAATACAACAATCAAATTAACCAAATTAAAGTTTAATCGGTTTGGTTAATTGGTTACCCAGATTAACCAATATAAAATCACGTTATCATTGACGATGAAAATTTTCCGGTTAATGCAACAATTCGCAATTTATATAATGAATAAAACATAACAATCAACACGTAGTTATAGTTGACCCTTAACAAAAATACATACAACTAAGACAATTATCTTACGATTAGTATAGAAGTATTCACCTAACAAAAAATTATGACAATGGTATGGGTTAATGAATTGTTGTGTTTGTGTAAATTGACTTAGTCTCTTAGCAATTATCATAGGCTGGAAATGGCCTTCTTTTCAAGTTTTCATTCATCATAATGTATGAAATTTATATATATTAGGCGTCCATATGTTATGGTCTAGACTTTACATATACAAATATACATTATATGAGCAATATTGAGCATTATATTTTATGAGTCTAAAATAGATGAACCTTAACTCTTGAGTGGTTATGCAAAGTATTATGTGTATATAATATATGTTAGATATATGACTAATTACTTAACTGGTTAATTAGGTTTGACTGGTTAGGAGTGTCTGAAACTAAACCAAACCACCTAAACCAAACAAGCTAAAAACTTTAACCAAACCAAACCAATTATCCAAATTAACCAAACCAAATTATCCAAATAGTACCGGTTAAAATGGTTACCACGGTAACCAAACCGTTTGAACACCCCTACTAAAGTTAGGGAAATCGGGCAGATGTACCACTCAAATCGAAATTGTGCATCGGATATCACTAATTATCATCTTACATACTGTTTGGTATAAATAAACTCCATAAGTTTTGAGAAATTCATTTTGAAATGAAATATTTTTGTGTTTGGTATTAAAAAAAATTTATTTTCAATTCTAAATTTTGAATTCTACGGAATTGGAACTAGTTATAGCAATTCCGAGGAATTGAGATAGAATTTCCAAATGAATTCCTCAAGTATTTACTAATTATAATAGAATAACATGATTATCCTCTTTTATTAACCAAATTACTTATACATATGACCTACCAAACACAGAAATTCATTTGACAATGAATTCTACACGACACTTCAATGATTTGAATATAACATACCAAACATAATTTCATTTGACAATGAATTCTACACGGTAATTCATTTTACAATGAAATGAATTCTCGATTCATTTGGTACCAAACTGTCTGTTAGGGTCGTTTGGTTTTGGTGATAGTTTGGCGAGGGTAGTTACAATACATGCATTGTCCACAATGCATCATTTTTTTGAATTTTTTGCACAAACAATACATGCATTGTTTGTTTGATTTGACACAAACTATCACTCATTAGTTAAATCTCAAGTTTTGGTTGAGATTGTTGAGTTTTCTTTTGTTCCATCTAAGTCTCTACCTTTTTATGTGTGTTGTTTCTTAAATATTAAAACAAAGGGTAAAAAATTACATTTCACCCAAAAAGTAATATAACTTATTTAAATATTCCAATAACTATCACACAAACCAAACAATGTAAACTACAATGCACCAATTTTCTTATATACATATATATTATTATACATGTATTAATTACAATATATCAATTTAACGACCATTGTTGTCTTATCTTTCCGTCACATCTAATAACGGTGCTAGTTAAAAGCGTTTTTCCTGCCAACTGATATTTGCCACGTTGGTTGGGCCTTGCTGAGTCACTAAGCCCACACTCTCATTCTCATCCCTAGAAATAAACAAAATAAAGAAAATGGAGAAACAATTGAATTTCCTTCTCAGAAATACTACCGCCATGGTCAGTTCATGAATGCTAAGGTGGAACCCGATCCATCGTGGGGGTTGGAGAGGTGTTCTATATGGTAGAGAGGCGTTGAAAAGAGGACTGAAATGGCAAATAGGGAAGGCAGACGGTGCGGTGAAGGACATGGGATGGATTCCAGGTGTAGATGATCAGGTAATGGAGCAAGTGTTAGCTGCGTCGCCGATTGAGATGCGAGAAAGAAAGGTTGCAGCCTTTATTCATTGTGAAAGAGGGCCGGGATAGCTGATCTTGTGCGTCAAGTATTTCCGGCACTGGTCTGTACCGGTTAATATAGATAACAGGTGGAATCTGGTGTGGGGATTAGAATGCCCTCCAAAGTTGATTCGCCATTTTCACCAATCGGAGAAGCCTTGTTGCAAAGAAAGGTGTGTGTCTAGGCTGCTTAGAGGAGACAGAGAGTGTAACTCACTTGTTCCTAGAGTGTCCTGTTGCAATAGGAATTTGGGCAGAGGTTGGCCTCCTGGGTGTGTTTAGAAAACATATATGCTCTACTAATATTGTTGTTTTGTGGCGCAGGGTGTTAGAAGATAAACAACTGGAACATGAGGTTAAGTTTAAAATCCTATATGGTTTTTGGAGGTTGTGGAAGTCTAGGAACAACGTTCTGTTTGATGGGTCGCACGCTGCGATCTTGGTGTTGGGGCGGCAATGGTTTCTGCAGACGCCACAGTTCCTACTTCCTAGAGTTGGTTCCTAAGCGACGAGCTCTGGCCAATGTTACTCACCAGCAGATTGCAACCGAGTCTCCGTCGATAGCATTTTTTATGGTGCTACAAAGCGGTTATCTCATGGAGCGATAGGGTTTGTTCTAAGTTATGTATCAGGCTCTGTCGTCGCTGTGGGTGGTCGTTGTATGCCAGGATTGTTTGATCCTTTCCTAATCGAATTAATTGCCTTAGGACACTTTGCTTTGGTGTCCACTATTGGGTTGGCGTAGGTTGATGTACTTGGGGAAGTTCAAGTGGTGATTTAGAAGGTCAATTTCGAACATGTATGGGATTTCCACGGTTGAGCCATTTTACAAGAGATTCGAAGCATTTACAGAACCTGATAGGATATAAAATCTTTTTTGTGCGGCGTAGTCAAAATAGAGTTGCCCATTTTGTGACAAGAAAGACCCTGTCTTTATACCCGGTAGGGTGCGTTATATTTGACTTTTGTTCTTGGGTTCGCTCTTCGTAAACCTAGTGTTCTTATCGTTGTTTCGTTGAATATGAGTTCCTATTGGCAAAAAAAAAGGAGCCTAAAACCAGTTGCGCTCCATCCACGTCAATCTTTTTCTTTGAGTTTTATCCATATCCAGTCACCACGGAAAAAGTCACGAACAGTCGAGGGTTCGAGGCCAAACACCCAAAATTGTGGGTCCCTAGTGGATAACGTAACAATCAGAAGGTGGGAATAGTATTGAGAGTTGTTGGATCTAGACATGTAATTTGGGGATTGATCGCCCCGAGTCTAAAGAGGTTAGCCTAATGGTAATTTGAGGATTAGATATTCGCTAATCCTAGGATCCAACCTTGAGCCAACAACCAACAGAAGAAAAAAAACCGATTGGCCTGTCTCAACTCATACCCACAAAGATATTACTCAACTTGACTCAACTCATGCTTCATGCCAGACATTTAACAAAATCATGCTTGATGCGAGACATTTATGCGTATTGAGGTACCCATATGTGAGGCAGAGGCACATTAACTGACATTAACTCTCATTCTAATACTTTTCTCAAGGAACTCTGATTATGATTTTTCTAGGGAAACTAATAATAATCTATTATCACAGCAAAAAAAAAAAATTGAAATATTGTTATCAATTACCTACAACTCTCCCCCTAACAGATAATGAATGCCCAACAAAATATCAGATTAGGGAAGGTGAGAATGTGCATGAAATAGCTAATTGGAAAACCAGGGGCGAAAAGATTCGGTAGAAGGGTGCTGAACCCAGAAATGACTTGTCTGCAAACACGATAGGATAGAAAGGACATAGACTGAACAGAGGCCACTGCGCAAAATGCAACAATTAAGAACCAAATTTCTTCACAAACCGAAAATAAATCCAAAGCTTAATCTCAATCAAATTTCAAGTGCACAATATAACTCTCCCATCTGCACCATTATGTCCAATTGCTCATCCCATTTCTTCACTCAGAAGCAGGCATCCAGTAGGCAGCAACAGCACAGAGCGGCCAAACTGAACAAAGAAGAATCAAGTACAACCAAGCCATCAGAAAGGGTGGTAGCAAAGAAGTTGAGTTAAACAACAAATTGGTAACAAATATTACAACCAGCCAGGCCTCACGATTTAGTTAAATCAACAAATTCATCCATGACCCAAATCAACAGCATCGTTTCATAATGACTGAAACAACTTCCTAGTTTAGTTTAATATGCCACGAAGAGGAACATGATCAAATATAATAAACTCCTTAAGATAGATAGCTTGTAGGTGTTGCGGAGGGAGATTTAGAGGGTCGCTTTCAATTGAACTGAGGGTCTATTTCCAGAGACCTCCAATCAAGGAGAATGAGCCGAGTAAAATACAAGAAAGGAACTTGGGAAAGCAGAGGAAAAGGAACCAGAAGATGCTTCCCCCCCGACCAAAAACGTGGCGGGTAAGGCAACTGGACCCCGCACACCAACGAATCGGAAGAAGAACGAATCACGCAAGACCGATCTTAGCGGGTTGACTCGCTCCTCCCACAGCATCGAATTTACCCTAGATCTGATTTTACGAACCCCGATCCGAATGACAGGCTCGGTCTTTCGATATTCTAATTCAACAATCCAAACAAGGTGGAGGAGAAAACGTACCAGCCTTCCAAGCAACCGGCGTTGCTGTTCTGCTGTTGCTGTGGCGGTGGCTGGGCGTATTGAGGGGCATAAGGCGGCGGAGGAGCTGGGTAACCGGGCTGCGGAGGATATCCAGGAGGAGGATACGCCTGCGGAGGATAGCCGGGCGGCGGATAAGCGTCTTTCGGATAACCTTCCGGCGGATAACCTATTCCAGGAGAAGGATCGGAATTCCAGATATTCAAAATCATTAGATCTAAGAGATCCTTGGATCAAGAAACTATCGGGCAAGAACGTAGCGAAAAAATTCAAGAAGAGGAAACCGGTGAGCCGGTAAGGAGAAGTACCTTGAGGGGGTGGAACGCCGACTGGAGGTTGCTGCTGGTTGTAATAGCTCATGCTTCTTCTTCTATCGGATCAGTGAGTTGCGGAGAGGAGAGGCGAGACGGAGAGCACAAGCTTGGCTTGAAATTGGCAAATTGCAGTTGCCGGAGATATTTGTATTGTGTATCCCAACGCGAGATAGGGAGGGAGAGAGAGAGAGAGAGCAACTTTAGTCTTTTAGTTTTATTGGGTTTCAGACTCTTTAATGGTATTTCTTTTCTCTTCCTTTTTCTTGCGCTATTTGTTTTTTCCGTTTTCAGATTCCAGTGCGCTGTGAATTGCGAAACTCGTTTAATTTAATTTAATTTAATTTCATTGTTTGAAAAAAAGGCCATATATGAGGGGAGGGGATAGCGTCTTTTAGTGGTTTAATTTTAGGATAAGCGGAATATTGTTATATTACCAGTCGTTAATCTAGGGGAGGAAACAACACTCCGCTTAACACCCGCTTCACCTCTTAAGAGATTTCCTCTTACCTTTGACTGTGTAAAACTAAAACTGTAAAATGATTCTCTCCCCTATATTACAGGCAACCCATCAATCATCATATTTCATCGTTAATCATGCAAAACATTAAAAATTACTCATTCATATCAACATTATAGTAAGCATTCTTGTCCAAATGTGTTAAAATTTTCCTAAGCTATATCTAGCTATATGACACCCTACTTATTAAAATCACATTTATTAAAAAAGCTAAATCTCCTGGTGATATAGGGGTCGTTTGGAAGTTGCGATAGTTTTGTTGAGATTGTCATTATGCATGTATTGTTTACAATGCATCGTTTTTTTTTGTTTTTTTAGCAGAAACAATACATGGATTGTTTCTGTGATGTGACAGAAACTATCACTCATTTTGAGTGATTGTTATATCTCAACTTTTAGTTGTGATTGTTGAGATAGTTGAGTTGAGATTGTTTTGTCTCAGCTTTTAGCTTATGCGACATACACAATCACACATACCAAACGTTGTATTCTACAATGCATCAAATTCGACAATACATCTAAAATATTATACATGCATTCTCAACAATACATCTATTTAACAATCGCAACTTCCAAACGACCCAATAGAGTAGTACAAGCTTACAAATTACTTTGATCAAGACCAAAACCAAAACCAGCAATGAGACATCCACAACCACAAGGACTTGCAGCAATTCAGTTCAGTAACAATCAACATGATTCATCCAACAATCCAAAAATGATGCAAAGCTTGGGGATTGTGAAGACTGTAAGCCAAAGAGACCGAAACTTGCAATTTAATTGGTCGATGGTGTTAAACAGAATACCAAATCAACTTTACACCCAAAATGTGCCTTCATTCTTTGTGAGAAATTTAATTGGTTTCATTTTATCTCGGTGCTCTAATGAAGGAGATAAAAATTCACCTTCATCCATCCATCGATGTTGTGGGAGAACAATCGACCGAAGAATCCATTATCGATACCACAACTGCGAGTGGCCATGTACAAACACGAGATGGAAGCCTTGATGATGGTGTTTGTACGCCACTCAAGAGGAACTTAAGTGACGAGGATAGGTACAATAGTTGTTTGGCTTCAGTAACTTATAGGTATATTAGGTTTCTTTATTTTAAGTGGTACGTTGGAGATGATCGGTCTTTGGTACAAAAATATTTGAACTTGGTTTTGGTGAAACTTTGTCGATCGGTCTTTCGTGTACTCCACATGATTTAGCAGTTAGATGTACTTTGTCGAGTTCCTATCAATCTCAATAATCAATTATAATTTTTCATTAAATTGAACTTCGGGTTTGAGTTTAGATAACCGGGGTCTGGAGTTTATCCATTAGAGATTAGGGTATAATATCATACCCCAAACTCGGTTAAAATCAATGTCGAGATAGAGATATCTCACTAAGAGTACTAGGAGTACACCAGGTGTCATTATTGTCCATTATACACTCACTTCACAAATGAATTGTGTTTCCTTGAATCTAAGTCTTCGATATGAATTTCCTATAAGATTAGTATTATTTTTTTCCTTTTCAAGTTGACATAACGCTATTGAGAATGACTTTTTTCATACCATCTTCAAGTTAGAGTTGTGAACGAAATACTCATATTTATCCATTATATCGTATTCTTTAGATTATGCAAAAAATAAGGACCCAATTTTTTATTTTCTTCGGCCAACAGGCCGAGCATCAAGCTAGTTCAAAAATGGGATCGAGTTTAGGGATGGCAATGGGGTGGGTTTGAGGCGGATTTTCCTAAACCATCCACATCCCCACTTTCAAATATCCATACTCATACCCGCCCTATACCCATGTGGGAAAAGATTTTACAAACCCATCATCATACCAGTGGATTTCAGGTACCAATCGGTAATTGATATTCGGCTTTAATATATCGGATTCTTGGACTTTATGTGATATTCCGTGGTATGTTTTAGTCAATTGGTGCTATTTTAGGGCTCACTAACCCGGAAATGGTTGAAAAACCATTACTGCCTAGTGCCATGAGTTTGATATAATGCAGGTGGAGAAAACACGAAAAAGAAGTTGCACCGGCAAACATTTCTCGAAAGCTGGGCTTAAAGCCCAGTTGGATGGGGATTAATGACATGGACCGCATGGAATTGGATTTGGGCTTGGGCTGAGAAGCAGAAGATGAGAGGCGGCCTCTCTTTTGGTTTTTGGCGAGGGCGGACTTAATAGGGGGAACCAGGCCGGCTCTTCCATTTTCTGGGGAAATTAGCTCGTGGCCAAAAGAATGGGCCAAAGCCCATTTTCATGCCCTTTCTCCAGAACTGGCGGAACAGGAAGGGAATTAGTGGGCTGAACTCTCTTGGAAGGGAAATTCGTTGGAGGAAAGGATTGATATGGAGGGCGAACGAAACTCTGGGGGAAAATAGAGAAAGCAGAGGGCGAACAGGAAATTTTGGGACGGGAATATCTGGGCGATTTCTTTGGGCGAGAAGGCAATTCTGGACGGAAGTTTTATTTGGAGTTGAGGGGCGAGTTCTTTTGGAAAAAGGATAGAAAGGAGACGCAGCGCAAGGCAGCAAAAAAAAAACAACAGGCGATTGGGAATTTGACGATCGATTCATCCAAGGCTTGAGCTGAGTTCAACGAGAGCGATTAGTTGGTTGGATTTTCTAAACCTAATTAGTTGTTTCTTGTTGTTTTAGAACATGATGAACAAAACCCTATCGATTTATCTTAATTTCGTCATGAACTAAACCCCAATTTCTGGGGGAAACACCATAGGATATAGCTATTTCTTGATTTGATGGATGGATTGATTTATGATTCTTTTCTTCCAATCTCTATTGCATGAAATTATTTAATGCTTTGTGTTGGCTGGCCACCAATACGATGATTTGTAGTTAATTAGGTTATTAGCGACAGTGAAACCCTATTAACCGAACCTATTTCATGTGACATATTAACTTATCGAAGCGACAGTGGATTAAATAAGGTGCTATGCGGTCTTAAATAGGATATCGGTCTTCAGGCTAAATAATTAAGTCATTGAGCTACGATAGTAGGATTTGATTTAATTGTTTAGTACGTAGTCATTCCCAACAGGGATAGCTAGCACATTCGTGATATCCTGGCTGTAGAGAGTTGGATTAAATTGATTGGACTATGTGAATCAATCTGGATATGATAGGTAGTGAATTTCGGTGTTTCTCCCAGAGCTTTCTCCCATTGATTTTCTCCCGACAGTTTTCATTTAGTTAATTTGTTTATTTTATTTTGCTTTTAGAAATTAGTCTCATTAAACTATTTTCACTTATAGTTTGCTCATAAATTTGATAGAATCTAAGGTTGTACCAGTCCCTGAGAGACGATACCCGGACTTTCCAGTTTTACTACAAGATAGGAATTGAAGCATTACGCTTTTGCCCTATCAAGTTTTTGGCGCCGTTGCCGGGGACTGCCATACCTTATTTTTGTTGATTTTTGGTGAGTGAACTATTTTGATCTGGGTGTTAGTGTGCAGGTGAATTTTTCAGGTTAATCCTCCTCGTGCATGCCAAGGAGGACGACTGGCAATTTACTGCCACTAGATCCCGAGATCGAGAGGACCTGCCGACAGAACAGGAAGAAGGTCAAGTTAGGGAAGCAGCCTACCACTTCCACAACTCCTAGGCCTTCCCTAACTCAGAATCGTCAACCGAGAAGGCAGGTGACGCCACCTGTCATCCCTACACCACCTACACCACCGTCGCGCATCATCGAGCCTGTCATCATGGCTGAACAAGATCGTTCGATCAGGGCTCGTCTGAATCGGAGGACTGGAGCCCGAGCTTCATGTGTTGTCATTCTGGCTGGGGATGCAAACATGGAGATTGCCCCAGCCTTCATCAATATGATCACGAATGGGTACACCTTCTCAGGGCCCAGCACCGAGGATCCTCATGAACATCTCTGCCGGTTTGCAAACATTTGTGACACAATGAAGAGCCCGGCTGTGTCTGATGATGCCATCCGTCTTCGGATGTTCTCATTTTCTCTGCTAGGGAATGCATCACACTGGTTCCAGAACTTGACACCCCGTTCCATCACAACATGGGGTCAGCTTGAGAAGACCTTTTTGGATAAGTACTTTCCTCCTGCCAAGGCTATGAAGAGGCAAGAGGAAATTGTAACTTTTAAACAAGCTGAAGACGAAAGTCTGACCGAGGCATGGGAGCGCTATAAGGAGCTTCTAATTAGATGCCCAAGCCATGGTCTTGAAGATTGGAACGTGATCATTATTTTCTTCAATGGAATCAGAAGGGAGTTTCGGGATGCCCTAAATAATGCTTCTCGAAATGGTTTCACAAGGATGGAGGCTCCAGCAGCATATGAACTGGTAGAGAAGATCTGTTCAGAAGCCACTAAATGGGGTAGTGAGACCAGTATTCGAAGAAGAGGAGGCTTGCATGAGATAAACAGAGTTGCAAGTTTAGAAGCAAAGATTGATGCTAAGCTGGATTCCAAGTTCGATGCACTCGAACGAAGGCTGGCCAAGATTGCTTTGGGTAGACAAGAGGAGGTTGCTTCATGTGAACTTTGCGAGGGTCCTTATAGGTGTCAAAACATAGCCCGACCCGATTAACCCGCCCGATCAACCCGACCCGCAACCCGACCGCAACCCGAATTGACTAAAAGTCAACAACTCGTAACCCGCCCGACCCGCAACCCAATTGACCCGCAACCCAACTAACCCGCAACCCGACTAACCCGCAACCCGATTAACCCGAACCCGATTGACCCACAACCCGACTGACCCGCAACCCTATTAACCCGAACCCGATTGACCCAAACCCGACTAACCCGTAACCCGACCGACTCAACCCGAATTTCTTCTAATCCACTTGAATAATTATAAAAATATACAATACATAGTTTTTCAAAATAAAGTTTTTCATTCTAAACTTAAGTAAAATTATTTTTTCATTTCGTATAAGAAATTTAAAAAATACGAAACTCACTTGATATTACGTATTTTAAGAAAATTACAAAAAATTGAAACATGAAGGTCACTTGAGATAATGACAATATTAATATAATATATAAATTAAAATTTTGGATAATTTAACTATTCAATAAAATTATCAATTAAATATAAATAAAGTAATGTATTTGGTAATTTGATGTTTTTAAAAGAAGAGGGAAATTTTGGTGTATTCAAGTTTTTGGGAAGAGAAAGAAGAGGGAAATTTGGTTCTTTGAATTTTTTAGAAAAGAAACAAGTGGGAATTTTGGTGGTTTTGATATGTGGGAAGAGAAAGAAGTGGGAAAATTTGATTATTTTGATTATGAAAGAGAAATAAGGAGGGAAACTTTTGACTTTTCAACTTTTTATAGAAGGAAGAGAAAGAGGAGGGAAAATTGAGTTTTTCTAATGTATGGAAGGAGAAAAAATGAGGAAAATTTTAGTATTTTTGTGAAAAGAAAGAAGGAAATAAATTTGGTGTTTTCAATTTTTTGGTTTTTCATAATTTTAACTTTTGAAATATGAATCTTTAACTTTTATATGGAGGGCATGACTAGTTAAAATTATTCTTATATGCTTTGAAGGCTAATATGTATATATGTATGTAATTTTTTATGGGCTAATAAATAAATTAACCATTAGTTACAACAATTTATACTAAACTTGATAAGTAATCTTTGACGGTTCGTTGTTTAGGATATAAAGTATATGGTTAGGGTATAAGGTATAACCGTATAAGGTACATATGGTTTAGGGTGTATATGGTTAGGGTACAAGATATTGATGGTTTTGACGGTTCTAAGTTTTTATTAACATATGTTCACTTGAAGTCATTTGAAGTCTTTAACGGCAGGAGATCCCTTTTTAATTTATGTTTATGGTACGTGGTTAGGGTACAAGGTATGTGGTGTAAAGTAAAGGATATATGGTTAGGGTATAACAATCAGCAAATATCACTTTTTATCTATGTTTTGAAAATCAAAGTATGAATTTCACTTTTAAATTAACTATACTAGCAAAATCACAACTCAAGGACATATGATTAGGGTATAGGTTATGTGGTTAGTGTATAATGTATTGATGGTTTAGGGTATACAATCAACAACATATACTAACTTAATATTGTTGATTGAGGGTAAGTGTATAGGATATATGTTATTGAGTAAGTTATGATTGAAGTCACAATAATTTTACTAAATTTGATAGCTAATCTTTAATGGTTCAATTTGTAGGATAATTCGAACAATTTTACAAATAACTCGTTTGGCAACAGTTTACTAAAGTTATTTGGGCAATGAGTTATTTTGAAATAACTCCTTTTATCACAATGCTTTTGCCAAATACCACACGCCAAATACCAGATTTGCATGGTTATACTAAACGAGATACTTTAATCCAATTGCTAATGAATTAATACTAAAATATCAAATAAACAATTAACGGTGTCTTTCGGTTGCAAATATTGATATCACCATTACTATTAGCTATAATACTTTACCAATTATGATTAATTACATAACAAGTTTGCAAGTCATACAAATTGATTTAACATTTTGACTAGTTTTTTTCAAAAAAATAAAGTATATATATACGAGGTAGAAATAAACTGGTTAAAAAGTTGAGAAAATATTTTAAATTAGTGTAATAAAATGTGTAAGTTGGTAATGAGTAATGAGTTAAGTTACTTGATGCGATGGCCCGAACAACCCGAAACCCGACCCGCCCGCAACCCACCCGACCCAAAACCCGATGAACCCGCAACCCGATTTGCCCGCAACCCGACTGAATCCGAACCCGATGAACCCGCAACCCGACTAACCCTCAACCCGTTTGAACCCGAACCCGATGAACCCGAACCCGATGAACCCGAACCCGATGAACCCGCAACCCGACTAACCCGCAACCCGTTTGAACCCGAACCCGATTGAACCCAGCCCGAACCCGCCCGAACCCGCCCGATTGACACTCCTCATCATAGGGATATGTGTCCGCTGGGAGCTGCTCAGTTGGAAGATGTTCAGTATATCAATAATCCGCGAAGTCAAGGTCAGGGTGGTATGTATTCAAATACATATAACCCTCAATGGAGACATCACCCCAATATGTCATGGTCAAACAATAATCCAGTTGGTGTTCGAAACATCCCATCTCCTGGTTTTCAACAGGAGCAGCCTCAACCAGAGAAGAAGCCCTAGCTGGAGGAGTTGATTTTGGCTCATATGCAGAAAACAGACAATAATTTCAAGGGTCTGGATCAATTTGTCACTCAACAGCTAGCCATCAACAATAATTTACAATCGTCTATGCTAGCTATGGAGAGGCAGATGGGACAGATGGCTCAAACTTTGGCAGATATGCAAGGCAGGATTCCTTGGACATTACCAGCAAATACTGAGAGGAATCCGAAGGATGCCATGGTTGTAGCAGTGACATTGAGGAGTGGAAAGGCCTTGGAAGACCCTAGCAGCTCGAAAAAGGCACCAGAGACAGAGGAGGAAGCACCGGGAGAAAGATCTTGTGCAGAAAATGAAGAATCAGCCTTGCACAGGCAAAATGAAAGCAGTTTGCCTGTGCAAAAGCATGTTGCCCGTGTACCTCAAAAAGTGGAAAAATTGAAGAATGAAGAGGTAAAGCCTTATGAACCTCCCGCACCATTCCCTCAAAGGTTAATGAAGCCCATGGAAGACCCAAACTTCAAGAAATTTGTGAATATCTTCAAGCAACTTCAGATTAACATACCCTTGGCGGAGGCACTTGAATAAGGTGCTATGCGGTCTTAAATAGGATATCGGTCTTCAGGCTAAATAATTAAGTCATTGAGCTACGACAGTAGGATTTGATTTAATTGTTTAGTACGTAGTAAATCCCGACAAGGATAGCTAGCACATTCGTGATATCCTGGCTGTAGAGAGTTGGATTAAATTGATTGGAATATGTGAATCAATCTGGATATGATAGGTAGTGAATTTCGGTGTTTCTCCCAGAGCTTTCTCCCATTGATTTTCTCCCGACAGTTTTCATTTAGTTAATTTTATTTTGTACCAGTAATACACACCCCGCACATCCAACATTATAATACCTAAAATTTTGGGTATGCCTACTATTACATGCATGTCACCGTGACATGGACTTTTCGGTCGACCTAATCCTGAAGGCGGTCGACCGAATTGACTAATTTGGGCAGCCCGAGAAAGCATTGCGGTCGACCTCAAAGACCACTTGGTCGACCGTTCTTAGCTTAAGTTGTTATTTTTGGTTGACCAGAATAAACCTCGGTCGGCCATTTCGTTGGCGTCAGAAACAACATGGTCGACCAGATAAAGAAAGAGGTCGACCAGATAGACGATAAGTGTTCTATCAATTTATCCAATCATTTAACGTAAAATGAAGATCAAGTGTTGGTGTCGAGGTCGACCTAATCCGGTACGACGTCGACCGAATACAAAAAGGTCAACCTATGCCCCATGTCTTTTTCGCTTATGTATGTCCATTTGTGTGGTTCTTTTGCTCGTATAAATTACGCTTTAAACCATCATAACTAGTCATAAATAATGATAACAAGGACTCATCAATTATGCTATGAATTGAGGTCGACCGCCTTTACGATTAGGTCGACCGCAATGCTTTCTCGTGCTGCCCAAATTAATCAATTCGGTCGACCGCCTTTAGGATTAGGTCGACCGAAAAGTCCATGTCACGGTGACATGCATGTCACCGTAGCAAAATCCAATAATTATTTCTGTGTATATTTATATAAAAATTTGTTTCAATGATATAATATTTTATTTAATTATTAAAAATTTGTTCATTAATCCCTCTCCGCTCTGTGTTATCTTTCCACGACTAAAAGCCAAAATAAATAAAAGACCCTAGGCAAAGGATATTGGGGCGGTTATAAAAGAGAGAGAAAATAAGGTTTAAGTAAAAAATTAACGGAAGATTATTAAAAAAAAGTAACGGAAGAGTCGAATGAAACCGTTGTAGAGAAGAAAAATAAAGAAAAAAAAACTGAAAAAATCCGCTAAATGCGGAGAGGCCTTGGAGGCTGACGTGGAGGGGATGATGGCAGTCGGAATTGATTACCGCCGGCCATTTTGGATCTTGTCCATAATCAGGGTAAAATACCATGGGTATCACTTAAGTTTGAGAATTGGTGCGGACATACTGTAGAGGATTGATGACTTGATTATTATTGAATAGGAAGGTGGGTTTTATACCCATAATTACAACAGAACTAGCTTAACCCTAGCAGCACGTTACAGAGGAGAGGGAGTAGTGTTGTAGTGGTGCGGCTGAATAGTAGGAGATAATTAACAGAAATAGAATAAATAAAAAACAATAATTATCTATCCTTATCACGCCCCCGCAAGATGGTGGCGGGTACGACACCAATCTTGGCACGAAGTAGATTAAAACGAGTGATCGGTAGTGGCTTGGTGAGAGAGTTAGCCAGCTGGTGTGCAGTAGGAATGTGATGAACATGAAGAGCACTGGTGTGAACAAGCTCGCGTACAAAATGGAAATCAAGGGCCAAATGCTTCATTCGTGAGTGGAAGACCGGATTGGTGGAGAAGTGTACAGCACCAAGATTGTCGTTGTGAAGAGCCGGGGATTGTCTCAATGGTTGATGAAGCTCGGTAAGCAGGTTTTGTATCCAGAGTATCTCGGCGGTGGCATGGGCCACCGCTCGGTATTCAGCCTCAGTACTAGAACGAGCAACCGAACGCTGCTTCTTCGACTTCCAAGATATGAGATTGCCACCATAATAGATAAGATAGCCCATAGTAGAGGTACGATCATCCGGGTCACCCGCCCAATCAGAGTCAGCAAAGGCAACTAGTGATGGTGAGACAGCAGGAGATAAGCGAAGACCATACGATGCAGTACCTTTGAGATAACGGAGGATACGCTTAACGGATTGCCAATGCAGCTGAGTCGGAGCATGCATGAACTGGGATAATTTGTTGACAGCAAATGCAATATCCGGGCGAGTGCAGAGGAGATATTGGAGAGATCCGAGCACCTGTTTGAAGAGAGAGGGATCGGCGGGAGGCGAGCCATCATGGAGGGTAAGACGAGCCGTCGAACATAGTGGCGTTGGAGCAGGCTGGCTGTCGGCCATGCCAAAGCGATCGAGGATGTCGACAACAAATTTGTGCTGGGAGAGTATCATGCCGGAGGAGGACGGAAGCACTTCAATTCCAAGGAAGTAGTGAACCGGCCCGAGGTGCTTAAGGGAGAATCGAGCGGCCAGACGGGACTGAAATTTGTGGAGAAGAGATGGGTCGTTGCCGGTGAACAAAAGGTCGTCTACATACACCAGAAAATATAGGAGAGAGCCATTATGGTGGTAGACAAATAAGGAAGCGTCACTAGTGGTCTTGACGAAGCCCTCGTGTTCGAGAAAAGTGCATAGCTCCATATACCAGGACCGAGGAGCTTGGCGAAGGCCATAGATAGGGCGAGAGAGATGACATACATAATTCGGATGAGCGGGATCCTGAAACCCGGGTGGCTGAGCCATGTAGATAGTCTCCTGTAAAGAGCCTTGAAGAAAGGCGTTATTCACATCAAATTGATAAATAGGCCAGCGATGAGTCAAAGCAATAGTAAACACAGTCCGAATCGTGACAGGCTTCAGAACAGGGTTGTATGTTTCATGAAAATCAATCTTGGGTCGTTGAGTAAAGCCTTTGGCCACGAGGCGGGCTTTGAATCGATCGACCGACCCGTCCGGGTTGCGTTTGATGCGAAAAACCCACCGACAGCCGACAACGTGCTGGTCGGGAGGACAAGGAACCAGCGACCAGGAGTTATTGCGAAGCAAGGCATTGAACTCATCAAGCATAGCAGATTTCCAACGAGGATCAACAAGGGCCCGCCTAATGGAAGAAGGTTCAATGTCAACATATGATACCTGAGCCGAGAAGAGTTTCTTCGGCTTAAAAATGCCATGCTAGCTGCGGGTGGCCATCGTATGAGAACGAGGAGGCAGAACCTTGGCCGGTGGCGGTGGAGGTCGATTGTGTTGGGAGGACGTAGCCGCTGGGGAAGAGGGGACGCTGGCGGCATGGGGACGTGCATGAACAGCAGCAGGCGCAGGCGAGGGTATGGGGTTGGGTGTTGAAGGTAGTGTGTAATGTTGTATAGGAGGAGAAGTGAGAGTAACCCAATCGATGGGAGTGATAGGATGGGACGAGGAGGAGGAAAGGCCAGGAAAGGAGTCCTCAACAAAGAGAACATGACGTGAAACAAAAACACGTTGAGCGACGGGGTCGTACACTTGTAAGCACTTTGATTGAGGGAGTAGCCAAGGAAAATGCACGAGCGGGAGCGAGGGGCCAACTTGTGCGGGGAGTAGGGACGAAGCCACGGATAGCACAGACAGCCGAAAGAACGGAGTTTAAGATAGTTGGGATTTTTGTTGAAAAGAGAAAAGTAGGGAGTGGCACCACGAAGGGAAGAGGAGGGAAGGCGATTGATGAGGTAGGTAGCGGTTTGAAACGCATGAGACCAAAAAGTAAGGGGAAGGCGAGCTGTGTGGAGGAGAGAGAGGCCGGTTTCGACCACATGGCGGTGTTTGCGTTCGGCAAGGCCGTTGTGTTGCGGAGTGTGAGGTGGGGTTAGGAGATGGGTAATACCGTTGGTTTGGAAAAAGTAACAAAGTTTTTGGAACTCCCCGCCCCCGTCACTAAACACACGACGAATAGTTGTATGAAAATAATTATTAATCATCGCGGTGAAAGTGGTAAAAACATGAGAAACATCGGATTTGCGGGATAATGGATAAAGCCATGTGTAGCGGGTAAAATGATCGACAATGACCAAGTAATAAGAATATGCATCAAGAGAAAGTACAGGGGAAGGCCCCAGAACATCCATGAACAACAAATCGAAAGGACGAGTACTAGTCAAACTCGAAACAGAAAAGGGGAGTTTGTGACTTTTATGAAGCGAACACGAAGCACAAGAGGAACAGGAAGAGTGAGAGGCAGGGAGGGACTGTGTACGAAGTAAGCGAGACAACAGCTTGGTGTTTGGGTGACCGAGGCGATGATGCCAAGTGGAGGCAGTGGGGGTTGTGGCGGACAAGGCAAGACGAACGGGTGGGGAATCCACTGGCAGCTCATACACGTCGTCTTTATTCTGGCCGCGTAGCAGAGGCGCCCCTGTGGCTAGGTCCTTCACAACAAAACAATCAGAGAAAAAGTCCACCAAAACCGGGTTAGTTTTGCATAATTGAGCAACAGACAGCAATCGACGTTTAATGGCCAGAACACAAAGGACATTCTGAAGAGCCAAACACGAGGAGGAAGTAGAGAGATGAGACTGCCCAATGTGGGAAATTTTCAGACCTGCCCCGTCGCCGACAATAACCTCGTCGGGACCATGGTAATCTGTGTAGAGGGAGAGACCACCGAGATCAGGGGTGATGTGGTTGGTGGCGGCGGAGTCAAGGAGCCAGCCGGAGGAGGTAGAGCCTGCAGTCATGGTGTGGTGAGCTTGAGGGCGACCACGAAGCTGGTAGCAATCTTTGGCAGTGTGACCCGTCTTGTCACAAAATTGGCACAGGGGTGGAGGGCGACCGAGAAGGGATTGAGCAGAAGAGGGAGCTGCCGAGCTGGAATAGCGACGGGCGGGAGAGTGACCACGGAACATGGCATCGGGGTAGACCGAGGAAGCCACCTGTCGGGATCGACGAGGACTGCCACGGCCACGAGCAGCGGGAAAAGAGTGTCCACGAGTAGATGAGAAGGCTGTGGTAGGAGCCAGCGCAGAAGAGGACCGATTGGCATCAAAATCAGCTTCAAAATCAACTAGGCGATCATGAAGATCTTCAAGACCAATGGTGGTGTCACGAGCACGGAGGGCAGCAGCGAGAGGACCATACTCCTCGCGTAGACCTCGGAGAATATGAAGAATCATGTCCTCGTGCGACACCGGAGCCTGAACAAGAGCCAATTCAGCGGCCATGGATGGCATAGCTTGGAGATATACAGCAACAGGGCGAGAACCCTGAGTCTCTCGGCCGAGTTTGGTTTTAAGGTGCATGACGCGTTGCCGCGACTGAGAAGCGAACATGCGTTCCAAGATAAGCCACGCATCACGGGAGGAGGTGGCCGAGGTGACATAGGGAGCAACGCTGGGGGAGACAGAGGCCAGTATAGAATGGAGAAGAAGCGAATCTTGACGGAACCAGTGAGTACGTGTGGTTTCCGGAGCATCAGAGGCAGGTTGGGGAAGAGAACCATCAAGGTATTTGAGCAGGTCGAGCCCCCGGAGAAGAGTCACGAGTTGAGCTCGCCAGGTAGGGAAGTTTTCGCCGATGAGTTTGTTGGGCAGCTGCGTAGCAGGATTAAGAGTGATAATGGTAGAGGAATTGTCAAGATTGATAACGGATTCACCAGACATGATGATGATCGGAGAAGAAGGGAGTTTAGCAAGAAAAGATGGGGTTAAGGAGATCGGAGCGCAGCTCTGATACAATGTAGAGGATTGATGACTTGATTATTATTGAATAGGAAGGTGGGTTTTATACCCAGAATTACAACAGAACTAGCTTAACCCTAGCAGCACGTTACAGAGGAGAGGGAGTAGTGCTGTAGTGGTGCGGCTGAATAGTAGGAGGTAATTAACAGAAATAGAATAAATAAAAAACAATAATTATCTATCCTTATCACATACCACTTAAATTTGAATAGGACGTCAGGTACCACTGAACTCTATTATTTGTGCACCCGGTACCACTTAAGTTTAATGTTAAGTGCATTTCGTTAAAGTTAACAGAATATTCTTGGAATATTCCATTTTCTAAATTTCTTAATTGGTCCTTCTACTTTTCTTATTGTAAAAAATCATTTTGACGTATGAAAAAACATCAATTTTTATTATTTAGTTGGTATCCTCTTTTGAAGACTTGATACCAAATTAATTTTTGAATAAAAAATTTATGGTCAATTATCATTATAAGTATTTTCAATTATCATTATGTTTTCTAATAATTGAATTATTTACTGAAGCAAATATATCCTATTAATTCTGTTTAGTTGGAATGCTCTTTTGAAGACTCTGATACGAAATCGATTTTTGAATAGGAATGTAGAATCAATTATCATTATAAGTATTTTCAATTATCATTATGTGTTATAATAATTGAAAATTTTGCTCAAGCAAATATATCCTATGAATCCTATATTGATATAAATAATTTGAGAAAGTTATATTTAATTCTCGTACATCATGTCGATGTTGTATAATTTTCTATGTTAAATATTCTTACAATTTTCTAATATTATATTGTAGATGTTCCATATTAATTAAATTCACTACTTCTAATTCTCTTCCTATAGTCGTATTTTCTTTTCTAGATTTGCTACGAAATATTGTAGCTTTTATAGTTTATTTATTATTTGGATACTTTTCATTCTAAATTTTCTTCAATTACTGGAATATGTTTAATTCTTTCTGAATGTGTTCCATTTATCCTTCTTTGGTCTTGATGTATTGATGATCGATTATATTCATTTTAACTCTTTTTAATGGTACTTCTAATTAGATTAGGGGTTTAAATAGATCTTCTAATATTGATTTTAAATATTTATTATTATATGCTATATATTTATTATTATTCTTGATATTTATTATTTTTACTAATTTATCTATTTTATTGACAATTTTGATTAGCCATTTTAGTAAAATTATGTTTAGAAGGTTTTTAATTTATATATTAGATAAAAACTTGTTTAAATATAGTTTTTGATATTTTTAAAAGTTTTGCGTCCCAAAAAGTAATTAAAATTTTGGGTTTTATGGAAAACTGGACGAATGCACATTTTGGCGACTTTAATGATATCCGACGCTCTATTCAAACTTAAGTGGTATGTCTGCTCCAATTCTCAAATTTAAATGGTATCCGAGATATTTACCCTCGACAATCACCTAACACTCGAGGGGTAATCATTGGGCATCTTTGCATCATGGCCAACTTCTGAAGATGCGCGAAAGAATCCAATCGCCATCTGGTAACAAGCCCGTCGCCGGAAGGAGACACTAGGAGCCCTAAATAACTTAGTCGGTTACTCCCGCCGGAAGGGAACGTTCCCACCTGCCAGAAATTTCGCAACCACCGCTTCACGGTTCCAAGTACGGAACTTATCCAACGACTTTACCATCATTTTCATATGCCATAAGCGATTATGAGCCGCATGAAGAATAACTGGTAGTGCCAAATGGACAAGAAAAAAATGAGATACAACCATAAGCAGCAGGGAATGAACTTGGCGGCTCTCAATTGTTGGACGCACTAGTTTCATGGAAGCGTACAACCAATTCGACAATCCCTCCCACTCCTTTCCTTGCCCTCAATTTTTGGGTACCACCAAACCAAACAGGGTAGAGAAGCACATAATTTACATGAAATTCTACAACTCGAAACACCAACCTTAACTTAAAACACACAAAAAGAGCAGCTGGCTTATGCTTCAACTAGAAGGGGGAACATAGGGTTGAAACAGTGTTCCACACGGATTCGAATCATGCTGCATGATATCAGCAGCTCTTTCGAATTCTTCCCTCAGCACTCGAATGCTAAACTTATCCACCACCCTTCCAAGGTCGTGAGACACCTCAAATGGATCCTCTATGCATATCAGATGCCTATCGTTCCCGACCCTCCTCGTCCAGTCTTTCTCCCGTTTGCTGCCAACATAAGAAGAAAATCATATTCATCATTCGTCCCATCACATTCTTAGCTTTCAAGCTTTGACCCAGATCAAAAGAAGTGTTGGACAGTAGAAGAGTTCACCTGATGGTCCTCCCCATTCGCACAGATGCAACTGTATTAGCATAATCATGACAATAAGCCCAGTAATAGAAGAAACCCCACACCAGCTCAGCAATTGTCTCCCTATTCCTCGATCCCCACCCTTGGAGTTTCTCCACTTGGTCAAAGTAAGCACACTGGACACCGTCTACTGTGACGGAGTATGTTGCCTCCATTCTCTGCAAAATACCGCCTCTTCAACCCACAGGTTACATAAGACAAATAGTCAACTGTCCATGTAAATAGTGATAGCAAACCTGCAAGCATGGCAATATTGCAGGTCTTCGCTGCTGTAGGAAGTGAATGCACATGAGAACATACCTGAAAATAAACCAAACAATTATGCAAAGATGTATTTGCCTAACAACTGATATCAGTTACCTCAATTACTGAGTTTTTTATGAAAAATAAGGAAAACTCACGCATAGCTGGAAAGAGTTCCATGGTAAGTTTCATTAACTGCTCTTGATTTGGCCCAGTGTTTTACAATGTAAGCCAACTGCCGTAGTCTGACATCTATCTGCGCATAGTCCCGTAGAAGCTTTGTATTTACCACAGCAAGAACATTGTTTATGCATATGTCACATGATATCCCACTCGCTGGATCCATAAGTTTCACTATGGGCACCCTGGCTCGGATTAGTGCCTGCAGAACAACTTAGATACCTCAAGACAGCTGGAAACTAGCAAATGAATAAATTTCCAAGGTGTTACAATCAAAACATGAAGGTCATGCATGGTACTAACTTCAATGCAACCATACGAATATCTGAACTACTGGGTAGTTTTCCCTGAAAAACCGGTGCTAAATCCAGCTCTAATGGCTCAAGATCACTCGTACTGGCAAACATAACCGATACCTATGTAATAGTAAATAAAAATATATGTTCTCAACCAACTCAAGATTAATCTCATCTTGCTTGCCACTTCATGAGTTGAATGAAAGTCCAATACCACATTCAATACTGTGATAGATGGTAGCACATCCCAATAGAGCATTAGTTCTAAAAATCAACAGGAAATCATTCGAACACAGTTCCCACGGCAGAGTGGCACCGAGCATTGCTCCATACTTCCCCAATATACAGGAGGTTCCAGTGTGGTGGTGATATTCGGCAAATAGCACGGAAACCCAGAATGGAATACAGTCTAACAGTAGGCTATACAAATAATTAAATACTCTGCACCATTTAATCACATCCCTATTTTGTTAATCCAGTTAAATTTGCATATACCCTAAGGACCTAGGAAATGAAAGTTCTATATTAGTTGTGCACAAATAGAAAGCTATCTATATTACACGTGTGTTTTATCAAAAGAAAATGAATGATGTTCACCTGCACATTTTGGAGGTTGTCAGATTGCAATATGTCTGCCAACCTTAACAAGATCTCCGACTTTCTCGTATCACCATCTTCGATTGCAAGGCAGACATCAACATCACTCTTTGAAACTCCAAAAGAATTAGCACAGGAACCGTAAAGGAATAACCGAGCTTCTGGCCATTCCTTGTTAACTAGTTTCTCCAACATTGTCAGTAACTGCTTCTGCTTTTCTTTCTCTTCCTCAGGTGGTATGAGTGACTCATAAATTGCAAGGAAAGACCTATTGAATCGTTCTATGTCTCTTCGACATACCATCTGCCTCTTAAACATTCTCATCCTTTGACTTAGCATTCGTTGACCTCGGTCATCCGATCTTGCTTCCTGATTATCACAAACAAAAAAGATTTAGAAAAAAAAAAAAAAAAACTGACCAGCTTACTCCAGTTATAATGACTCGTAACCTCCTTGCTACACATATGAACCCTTTCCAAGGGCAACAACTTTCTATTCCTGAGTAAGAAGGTTAACATCAAAACCCTTCAACAGTTAGATTATCAAGCACTACTAAGCATTAATTGCTTCTGGTCCTGGAGGAAGAGTCTTACCTTTTCACGAGAATTTCGACCTTGCTTTTTGTCTTTCCCACCATCATCAGGTTCACCCTCACGCAACAAAGAATCAACAAGTTCTTCACCATGATCATCCAATTCACGACCATCATCATCCTGCTCATCATCAACCAGCTTGGAATGCAAGTGCATCATTGATGCTTCAACCTCGGACCCAGAAACAGAATGCAGATTACTGCCAGAAGGAGGACCAGGCGTGTCTAGCTGTCTAGTGATTCCAGGTTCAAGCGAGCCGCCGTTAGCACGCTTCACCCATTCCCCTCTGCTATTGTGCTCACTAGGATGATTATTCCCTCTTTCTCTGCGTATGTTGCTATCAAACTCTCTTCCTCTGCCCCCATTATCCCAAAGCCCTCCTTTCTGCTGATTAGAAAACCCCGGAGGCGGCTGCTTTCGCTGTCCTATAGCGTTGTGATTCCCTACTTCTTGCTGCTGCTGTTTTCCCCAATTGCCAGCCCTGCTGCGATCCTGCACATTGCAACTTACATCTCTAGGAGCCGACGAGCTTAGATGCCCATCGGATTGAGGATTCTTTTCAAATGATTTGGAGTAGGCATTGCCTAGCGCCTTTTCCAGCTCTTTGGCGGCGTTATCCACGATCTGTGGTTCGCTCTGGAACGAACCGAACTGTAAATGGTGCTGTACTTGCTGCTGCTGTTGCTTATGCAGCAGCAAACCCTGGATGGCATTGTTGACGCTGGCGTCAATGCTCGTAAACCCTAATCTCTGGAGATCATCGATTAGGGTTTGGGGCTGGCTAGTTGGGGCTTGAAACTGATTCGGCGAAGGCCAATAGTTGGGTGGAAATCCAAGCTGCTCGGGAGGCAGAGAGCCGTGAGGCGGCAATGACGGGGAGACGAGATCCCGGGCGTTGGCTCCCCAGGAAGGTTGGGGGAAAGAGAAACTCGGGCCAACGGCTGCAACCGCCGGGTCAAGAGGCAGCGGTTGATGTGGTTGAATTCGCTGGGCAAAGTGTTGATGTTGTTGTTGTTGTTGCGGTTGCGGGGCAAGGAAGGGAGTGTGGCCGGTAGGGGGGAACTGCGACGGCGGCTGCTGTTGTTGGTGGTGGCTGGGCCTCTGTAGCAAAGAGAGAAGAAATTCACCGCCGTTGGATTGCAGGACCGGGCCGAGTGGGGGGCCGGCGTCACCGCCACCGCGACCGGACATCGGGATTGGGGTTCGGGCTTTGGCTTTGGGTGGGAGGTTTCTCAGTTTTCACTCTTTTTGAGTTAAACCACCTTAAGGCAGGCTAAAGGCAAACCTGGAAAACAAGAGCCAGCCAGCGGGCAGCTCATAGTAAAATCAAGTTTTCTTTTTTTTTTCTTTTTTTGCCATTTTCTTAATGCGCCGTTTATTATTTTGCCTAATTCCGTGAAGAATGATGAGAATATAAAAGGGATCTTCTTCGTGGTAATTTCGAAGTTCCGGTGGTACATCGAGCGGATGCTTTGATTGAGACCGTTGGATCTGGAATTCAACGGTGGTGGACAGTGTTGACGGGCTTGACGAATTCGTACTCGTGGCTGCAGCTCGTCACATCCAAGGGCAGTGGAGGGAGGCACTGGCAGTCGCTTGATGCTATGTGACCGGAAAACACTCTCGCACAGTCACACTATGATATCGATGGTTTGTGTTCAATAGTAGGTAACACATGTCACGAGTAAGCAGTTCCTTTGGTCAGTAACTGTTCACAACTTCATATCGGTTAGAGGTGGCAATTTCAATCCAATCCACCAATTCAATCCATTAAAAATATTCACCTAATCCAATCCATTTAAATCCAATCCATTTTATCCAAATCCAATTGGATTGGTGGATTCATGAATTGGATCCATGGATCATTGGCAAATTACGGTTTAGTACCTATAATTTTTATTTTTTACATTTTGGTACCTAAAATTTATTTTTTATGCGAAAAATATCATTGGAAATTACGTTTTGGTACCTAAAATTTTTTATTATGACATTTTAGTACCTAAACTTTTTGCATTTTATATATTGGTCCTTGGTTGAGGATGTCATTTGGATTAATGGATAATTCACCAATCCACTTGATCCAATCCATGAATCCACCAATCCATTAGATCCAATCCATTTGATCCATGGATCCATCAATCCAATCCACCAATCCACCAATCCAATCCATTTGCCACCTCTAATATCGGTAGTCCAATACAATTAACGTGTGATTATTAGATGAGGGGTAATAATTACACGAAGGGGCAAAATGGTAAACTAAGTAAATCTTACACCTTACCATTTATGAAAGGTATTCAATTAGATCCTCATTTAATTTTATTAAATTATCTCTTTTATTTTAAATCGAAATTTAAAAATATTGCACAGAAAAAATATTAATTATGTTTTACAAAATAACATTCACTTTTATATTTTTTTTGGCAAAAAAAAAAGAGACTTTTATAACGAGTCCATACCATGTGGTACCACTTGGTATGTACAGAAGATTATACCACGTGGTTACCAAGTGGTACTAATTAATCATATTGTTTGTGGATGTTTATCTCTAATATTGAATAATTAGTATGAATGATTTGTGAGTTAGTGTATACGTCGTAGATAATAGTAGTGAAAACTAGTGTAATTGCATATTTCTACATGAACCATGGGTACCCATAAACCCGCGGATACCCAGCGGGTTGGGTTGGGTTTGAGTTTTCCAAATCCAGTGGGTTTTACTTCGTATCTCTTTTTGCGGATAACCCATGGATTTGGGTTTAAGTTTGGCATAACCCGCTCCATCCCGATCCAAATGACGAGAAAGGAGAAATAAAGATAACGATAGGAGATACCCAATATGAACAAGACCATCAATATTTAATAGAGATTAAAACTTTGATAGCAATATTCAGTCGCAATACATCCCCGATTGTGGCTCTCTCGGTGGGCCCTGTCATAGCCTTACTCTCGGTAGTGCGGCCTTAACTCTCAATTCTGTTAGAGAACTAAGCACCCTTTTCTCAAACTCACAAGCAAGCAAAGAAAGCAAGAACAAAGACAAAGAAGATGGGAGAACTCTCTAGTGTGTATTACTCTAAAAAATTATGGAATGAGTTACAAGTGAGGGAGATGGCTCCTTATATAGGTCTCTCCTCATACAAGGCATCAATGCCCCTCATAATGTCCTTCTACATCAATACACCCAGTAAGTCCCCCCATTATGCACTCTATAAATGTCACCCATTATGTGACTCATAAGTGCACCATTAAACCCTCATTTAGGTGGAGAATCCTAGGAGTATCTCTATGCTACTAGTCTTCCATACACGCCACATGTGCAGCCGCCATGTTGTCACCTTGTCGGCGTCATGTCATATGTCACATGTGACAATGCACAACAAGGCTCTTATCTAAGCCTTCCTTCTATCCTAGCTAGGTCTAAAAGAGATACAATTCTATTCCTAGAGGATAAATTTTGTCCAAAAACTCAAAGGTTGGAAACAATGAGCATTATTAAAGGCGGTCAAGGATATGCTCATCAGAATATTGGTGAGTGTAACACATTAGGAAAATCGTATATCGACAAAAGTACGAGAAAGATCCATGGTTTATAAGTAATAAACTGAATGGAGGGGTTCTTGTAAGAACTACGAAGTTAAACGTGCTCACTGTGGAGCATTGCAAGATGTGTGACCTCTCGGGAAGTCAACTTGATATGCACCCCAAGATAAAAATAGTTTGGGTCTAGACAAAAAGCGGATAATATCTTGGTTGAGAAAATGTTTGGGATGTTACAAGTGGTATTAGAGCCTCTCCGCGTCACTCTTGGGCGATGGTAGGGCAAACCTCGATGAGGACGTTGAGTCCCTGATAGGGTTGAGTATAACACTTTAAACAAATTCCACATCGACAAAACTTGGGAGTGATACATGGTTCATAAGCAAGAAACATACCTTAACTGACAAGAAACGTTTTGAGATCCAAAGTCAAACGTGCTCACTATGGAGCACTGTAAGGATGAGTGACCTCTCGGAAAGTTATCTTGATATGCACCAAGATGAAACCGTGAGGATCTAGAGTATAGATGCAAAGCGGACAATATATTAATCGGGAAGGTTGGTGGTAGTTGATAGGGCAAAAGCGTATATGCCAATTTCCTATCTCGTAGTAAACCGGAAAGTCTGGGTATCGTCTCTCAGGGACTGGTACAACCTTATGATTTACCGATTCTATGGAGCAAACTATAGGTGAAAAATGGTTTGATTGATAAGATTACTAACTAATAGCAAAATAATTAAACTACTTAAGCAAAGTAAACTTGTCGGGAGAAAATCAATGGGAGAAGGCTCTGGGAGAAACACCGGGATTCACTACCTATCATATCTAGATAAACTCACATATTCCAATCAATTTAATCCATATCTCTACAGCCAGGATATCACTACTGTGCTAGCTATCCCTGTCGGGAATTACTACGTACTAAGCAATTAATTCAAATCCTACTGTCGTAGCTCAATGAGTTAATTATTTAGTCTGAAGACCGATATCCTATTTAAGACCGCATAGCACCTTATTTAATCCACTGTCGCTCCGATAAGTTACTATGTCACATGAAATATGATCAGTTATTAGGGTTTCACTGTCGCTATAACCTAATTAACTACAAATCATTGTATTGGTGGTCAGTCAACACAAAACATTAAGTAGTTTCATGCAATAGAGATTGGAATAAAAGAAATACGAATTAATCCATCAAATCAAGAAATAGCTACATCCTATGGTGTTTCCCCCAGAAATTGGGGTTTAGTTCATGATGAAATTGAAATAAAACATTAGGGTTTTGATCATCATGTTCTAAATCAACAATACACAACTAGTTCGGTTTAGAGAATCCAACCAACTAATCGCTCTCGTTGAATTCAGCTCAAGTAGCCTTGTAAAACTGATCGTCAATTGCCAATCGCCGTTCGCGTCCCAAGCTTGCTGCGCTACTGCTTATCGTCGCTGCGCCTCCCTTTTCTTTCCAAAGAATTTTTGCCTGCTCCCAGAATCAATCTTGCCTCTGTCCCCTTTTCCCTCTTTTTAAGAAATCCGCCCCAAAGAATTCCGAGCCCTAAAATAGCACCAATTGGCTAAAACATACCATGGATAATCACATAAAGTCCAAAAATTTAATATGTTAAAGCCGATTATCACAACCCCACACTCAATTGTTGCTTGTCCCTAAGCAACGACTCAAATAACACAAACACAAAATCAGCCAAAACGATGACACACCACAGACTCACTAATCAAACACTCAAAGCAAAACACAAAATTTCCTTATACTCTTGTTGTAATCAGTAGTTTCTTTCTCAACGGACAAGTTGTGCTTTAATGGTCATACCTTTCACCCCACACTCAAGTTCTTTGCAAACATTACCATTGACTGACTCAAATCCATCAAAAACTCAAATAGCAACACTCAATTTCGATCGTCGGTAGTGGGTGGTTAACAACTCATGGTGCAACAATTATTAGGAGAACCTAACCACATCAGTGAGGTGCATATCTCGTGAGGACAATCTGGCTTACTCACACCAATCATAAGCCATTAATTAAGCGTGAGTCTCAAAAACTAATGGGGGAAGCCTTTCGCAAACATGATTTTACTTTAAGCACGTCACTACCTTTAATGACAAGGAGAGGCTTTCTCTCTTTCTGCTTTTGCTTGCCGAGAGGTCGTATTTAGTACTAGTGGGATTTGTTTCTTACTACCGGTGACCGAGCAAGAGCAATTTCTGTTTCTTAGCACTCGCATAAGGGCTTCTTTCAACTCCTTTTCCTCGGTCCATGTGGAGGGTCATTGCACATCCTCTAATGGCACTTCACTCAACTGGGGATCGTACTTGATAAGCAACATCGTACGGTCGCGAACCGATTCTCAATTGAATCTTTCCTCATCCCCATGTGCAATGAGTGATTACCTCACACGATTTTGGCATTTTTACCCACATTTTAATTGTTATGACAACTTTCTTATATTTTACTTGTCAGGTAGTGTTTTCTTTTATGAAGATACAGTTCACCCCATCATAAAACCATCAAAATAGAGAGACTCGTTGCAAAATCAAAAGCTCACAATTGATGCAAGTAAGCACGGTATCCAAACATGTCGAGTGGTCAATGTTCTCCACCTAACTACTTCACCAAAAGTCATTACACTATCCTCACAAAAGAGAATGTTGCTAAAAGAGTTTGCTCATTCAAAGCATATCAAGTCAGTCAAAACATTCAAGCTCATTGTGAAGAACCATGCAATTCAACACTAGTGGGGTGATTTCGATGATTTCATTCAAGCACAAACTCATTTTCAAGGCATCACGGTCATTTACATCATGTTACCACAAGAGTACAAGGTTTTGTTTTTAATTTTTCTGATTTTTTTTGTGTTTTTTAGCCATTAACTTTGCACAGGCAGCCTGCTTTTTACACAGGCAAACTGCATGCAGTTTGGCTGTGCTCAACCTAATGGCATTTTTTTGACGATATACACATGACGAGACACTGTGGACAACTAAGACTCGACATAAAACAAGACAAGAACACAGACCATCCACCCCACACTCAAGATGGACATTGTCCACAATGTCTACAACTACACCCGACACACCAACAGGTTCACCTAACTAACATTATTACAGATCATTATCAGAAGTATTCACAAAGAAAAGAAAAGAAAAAAGAACCTCGGGACAAGCTCCTATGAAGGAGGAGTCGATGAAGAAGTGCCGAGCCTCTCATCTAGACGCTGGTTTAGCTCCTTGATCTTCTTATCTTTCTCTGCGTCTCTGGCTTCCAAGAGAGCTATTCTGGCTCTGAGCTCGTCTGCAGATGATTGTGAAACTAGTACAACTGGTGGAGTATCTTCTGGATGCGGAACTGGAGGCGGATGTGACTGCTGGCCCTGGCTGACACTCGTGGCAGAGTGCCCCGCTGCTACTGGTGCTGGTGATGATGAATAAGCACCCAGAGGCATGGGTGTAGGAGTTGGAGTTGTTGTCGGAGTGGCTACTGACGGAGCTGGAGATGACTAAAAAACGAGGAGATATCATACGGTACGGAGTTGGTAACGAGAGGTATGAATTTTTTTTTTTTAAAAACACTGAAAATGGATATAATTTTGTAGAGCACAACGAAATCGTTCCATCTGTGTAAAAAAATTGAAATCCTAGTTAGAATGAAGAAGATATGATCCAATCAAGATAATTACTGAAAATATTTTTTTTTAATTCTCCACCCTTATATCTGCAGCCGCTTAAGAGAAGAGTTCAGATTTGGTTACTAATAATTATGCCTCCTAAACTTATGCAATAATTGTTATGCACCCTATATTGAGCCGACATATGCATAAAAAATCAAAGGTAAAAAAATGAGGGAGAGAGAAAGATAACGAGAGGAGACGGACACTCACCCGAATTCCGAAACGACTCAAACGAGGCAACAGATATTAAAATGTTAAATAGAGATGAAAATTAAACAATTAATTCATAAAGTATTATCTTCTCTTTACAGATCGTGACAACAATCATAACTACAAACCAGTAACCGATAGTTTTCTTTCTTTTCGTTTCAATGTCCTTTCCACTTCTCTCCTCCCTTCTGATCCCTCAAAATCTCCCAACGCTCCCTCACTCTATTCTCGCTTCTTGCTTCGTTTGAATTGTTGGGCTCCCTCTGTTGCGCCTTCCTCCAATTTCTGCTGTAAGTGCGCTCTCTCTCTCTCTCTCTTGATTGCTATCTGCCTATCTCTTTCTTGCTCTTACTGCCTCGTTTTTTTTTTTTTATGTTGTCTTAGTTTTTTTCCGGAATCTCGAGGGAGGATGGGGCTTTTGTCTGGGATTTTCCTGGGAATCGCCTTCGGGATTGGGCTCATGGCGGGATGGAACCATATGATGAAATACCGCAGCAACAAGCGAGTTTCAAAGGCACGTTCGTTTTGTCGCTCCTTTGTTTATCATTTTGTCAATTGCGAGTTTGCACTGGCTGTAGTTTCGATTGTCACGAAAATCGTCCTGTGTTTGCTCCGTTTCGGTTCCAAGTGGATTTGCAGCTCACGAGTAGGCTTCGAAAAGCTGCGTTTTGCTGGAAATGAGAATAGCTGAATTCTCAAATTCGTTTGCTTTGTGCCTGAATGCATGTTACTTCGTGAATCACTTGATGTAGCTGATTTTGTGAACTCTCTGCTGCTGCATTTCTGATTGTTGCGATGAAAAGTATGTGTTGGTGTGTATTTCTCCCTTTGATGTGTAGGCTTAATTGACAAATTCGATTATGGTTTTCCAGTTGTTCATACAAGCTAATAGCTGGGGGGAAGTGGAAGTTAAATATGTTCTGATGGCTAGCTCAGTTCATAATCTTCTAGTCCTCTGTTCAGGTCACGATTTGTTGACCATTAACCGGAGCAGGCTGATAAATCTTGATATATTCGCTTCTTATGGACTTGTCTCTGTGTATTTTGGTGGGATTCTTCTTTCATGTGGTGATGTGCTGTGACTAAGTGATCCTTTCAACATTTTTCAGTTCCTTGTTTTTGGTTTGCTTCCACAGTTTTGAGAGATCAATATGAGTGGGGTGAGGGGCTGCCAACTGTTGCACTTCCCTCTGAATTACATCTAACATGTTTTACCTAAAAAAAACTTAATGCTGGCAATTACTTGTGCTCCATTTTTTCCTGCGGATTCCACAAATCACTCTACAAGATTTCCTAGAACTATTTATTAGTGTTTCTCTGTGGTTGTTTAGTTATTTAAGTTGCTTCGCTTTTTTGATAACTAATATTCTCCTTACCTATTCTCCCTTCTCCTGCAGGCAGTTGACATGAAACTGCTTGGAACACTCAATAGAGATGATTTAAAGAAAATTTGTGGAGACAATTTTCCTGAGTGGATATCTTTTCCAGTCTTTGAACAGGTATGCTTCTCTATTCAATTGACAACATGATTTAATTACTTCATGATTTTCTTTCCTAAGAGTTTTTCTGGCTTTTCTTTTATCCCTCTTCAGCAATTGAATTTGCTGTACGGCCGTAGGTTGTGTCTTTATGATGGGAAAAATTAGGGGTTCTGTTTTCAAACGCTGCCACCTCAGCAAACAGCCTCCAGCAATTCAGTTCTGGTCCTTAAGTCTTGCATTGTTAATCTGTGTTAAAAATAAGAAAGACCTGTTAGGTGGTTTTCAAAGCTAGGGATTCAGTTTAGCTCCCAATTGCTCTTGTATTAATGATCTATATTAAATACATGTGGGCATGCCAAAGGTAACTCGATCTTCAATCACACTGGACACTCTGGCACTGAACTTTGCACTATCTACAGAATTGAGATAAGATTTTCTTTTGCATTCATAATCTCGGTCCTGGGATTTGGGTTATCTTGCAGGTGAAATGGATGAACAAGAAACTGGGCAAGCTGTGGCCCTATGTCGCTGATGTAAGTTTCTTGTTCTTTAGTTTTCTACTATACATGCATTTATTGTGCTCTGCTCTATGGCAAGGCCATCTCTTCTGTCCTGGTGTTAACATTATAGTCATCGTTTGTCCTCAATTTTTTTCCGTCTAAACGTGGATGAAAATTGGATGTTTTCAAAGACCTCATGTGTCCTGTATTTCTCAATCTGCTAGTAGAAGAAAGCTAAGTGTTGGTGAATGTGTTTGTTCACAGGCTGCAACTATGGTGGTTAAAGAATCTGTTGAACCATTGCTCGAAGAGTATAGGCCCCCTGGGATAACGTCATTGAAGTTTAATAAGTTTTCCTTGGGAACTGTTCCACCAAAAATCGAAGGTATATGCAAGTAAACTTTCGGCCTTAGTCTGTTATTGAGAAGTGTATTGTTCGTGTGGCATGCCTTGGCGTCGAGTTAGATGTCTAGTAGCATAGGCACCATACATTCGCTTTATACTTAATATGCCACTTCCTAACTATTGCAGGTATTCGCGTTCAAAGTCTCAAGAAAGGTCAAGTTACTATGGATATAGATTTCCGATGGTGTGGTGACCCAAGTATCATTCTTGGGGTTGAAGCTGCACTAGTTGCTTCCATACCGATTCAGGTTTGTTTATTTGAAAGCTATGACTAATTGATAATGCAAGATCTGACAGTGTTATGTGTTCTGTCATTTTTAATAATTCAATTTTACAATGGAAAACTAATGAATAAGATCACGACACAACTTGTTGCAGCTTAAGGATCTCGAAATGTACTCTGTAATTCGTGTCATCTTCCAACTTTCTGAGGAGATACCTTGCATTTCTGCTGTTGTTGTGGCCTTACTTTCTGAGGTATGACTAGATAAGTTCCCATTCTTAACTCTTTTCATTTTATTTACATATGGTCTTTTACCGGGGGCTTCTACCATTTTGTGAGGATGTTTATCTGAGTTTATTAGTTCTTGTTGGAGATTTGCATTTAAAACGAAAATATAAAATTCATGTGTTATTTGAGACTTTTTTTTTGCAACTAATCTTTGACTGTTCTTTATTAGTCTACAGCAATGCAGATGTAATCTAACCAATCTAATATCTAAGGGAAACTTCTTACGTTTGTTGATTTTGTCCATCATCTTAATGCATCTACATTGTAATATCATGTTTTTATGTTAGGGTTGGCCGATTGCCTGATTCATCTGCAGAATCCTCTTCTGTTATTGGAACGACAAGAACCCATTTAAGATGATTGAAGCCCTTTAACTGAAACATAGTTTGCCACTGATACTGAAATTATACTATAATTGACATTCTGCAACGTCGAATGATTAATTTTTGCCACAGGCCTACAGATACTGTTCACACTATTTTTTGTCACAGATGGAAACTAACTCTATTCTTGTCTATTAACCAGCCAAAACCTAAAATTGAATACGTATTAAAAGCTGTTGGTGGAAGCTTGACTGCCATTCCTGGTTTATCAGATATGATTGATGTAAGTAAACGTTGGCTTCATTACTCAGCTTTTATTATTGTTTCCATGGGGTATCTAACTGCTGATTCTGCTGTTACATCATATCTGATATAGGATACAGTCAATTCAATTGTGACCGATATGCTTCAGTGGCCTCACAGAATTGTTGTTCCGATTGGTGGCATACCTGTTGATACCAGGTATTTGATTGACTTTCTAATCGCTGGAGTGGCTAGTTGTTAGTCCCTAAAGGTGCCACTTAAAATTATATTCGAGCAAAATTGATTAAATCGCTGCCATTTCACATTCATCATGTAACATGAATACAGAAGGTGCTCAATATGGCTCAGTTTGGAGTATTATTTTAGATGAATCTCACATCATCAGCTAATTCTGAACTGTGATTTTTCTTCCATATTGTGCAGTGAACTGGAGCTTAAGCCTCAAGGGAAGCTGACGGTGACAGTAGTCAAGGCAAATGATTTGAAGAACATGGAAATGATTGGAAAATCTGATCCTTATGTTGTTCTACATATTCGACCGGTATTCAAGGTCAAGTCAAATGTAGTGGAGAACAATCTTAATCCTGTATGGAATCAGACATTTGATTTGATTGCCGAAGATAAGGAAACTCAATCACTTATTTTCGAGGTGTGGAACCCTTCTTTCTTTCCGTTTCCTTGGTACCCTACTTCATAGTAGCCTGTTATTATATTATGTATGGTCTTCCTTTTACGTCACACTGCACTCTTGCCGTGCGCGACTAAGTGGGAAACAACTTTCTAGCAGTAAGGGTTTAATGTAACTCTTCATCGCAGGTGTTTGATAAAGACATTGGACAAGACAAGAGACTGGGTATTGTGAAGGTACCACTCATTGACCTGGAAGCCGAGACTTGGAAAGATATGGAGCTAAGACTTATGCCGGCGCTTGATATGTTGAAGGTTAAGGACAAGAAGGATCGTGGAACTCTTACGATTAAGGTGCACACTTACTCTCTTGTGTGGGTGTCATTATGTTATCCCAGAAGTCTCGGTATTCTTGTAGTCTTTGTTTGACATCCAAATATGCTTTTCCTGGAAAAAAGGTGCTGTACCATGAATTTAACAAAGAGGAGCAGATGGCTGCTTTGGAAGAGGAGAAGAGGGTCCTGGAAGAAAGAAAGAAGCTGAAAGAAGCTGGAGTGATTGGGAGCACCATGGATGCACTGGATGGAGCAGCGTCGATGGTGGGCACTGGGCTCGTCGGTGGTGTTGGTCTGGTGGGGAGTGGTATTGGTGCTGGAGCCAACCTTGTTGGAAGCGGGGTTGCAGGAGGGGTTGGGATGGTTGGGAGTGGGTTTGGAGCCGTGGGCAGTGGGCTGAGCAAAGCTGGCAAGTTCATGGGGAGGACTATTACAGGGCAATCCAGCAAGAGAAGTGGCTCTTCCACTCCTACCACTCTGGAAAATGGCGGCGGGGCTAAGCCGCTGCAGTAAGGTGTGGGTGCGTCCGTGCTTGCTCTCTTTTGGCTTGTAATTTTTTTCGAGTGAGTTTGCTTTAGAAAATATGCTACACTATCTGCATAGAAGTCCCAACTTCTATTTGATTGATATCTATGTGGGTCGAATGTTAGTTTTCAACTGTATCTTCTTCCCTTTGGCAATTTTTCCCCCCTTCATATTTTCAACAGACTCCGTATATAGAAATAAACTACCTGAATTCTTCCTGTGAATCCATGAAATCTTTATCAATTATTCTCTAATCTCGGTGCAGAACTATAATTCTACATTGGATGCATAGTATTTAAACATGCATAACTCCATACTTACAATTTATGGAAAGCTATGACTTTTCTCAAATAAATTTTGACAGGGTATTTTTTTATTATTTAAATCAAATTAAAAAAATTAAAAAAAAAAAGAATTGCACAGAAAAATTCTATTAATTGTGCAGCCTCTATTTTGAGAGAAATTTTACAATGCTATATAGCATTGATTCTATAGGTTTTTGCTTTTATGTTACAATTTGAAGTTGTACCTTTAACGTTATTGTTGGGCCCATAGTTAAGCAGTATTGGGCCTAAGAGGCTCGTGTAGGCCCACGAGGAGACAGAGGCTAAGCCCAAAGGAAGGGATCGAGTCAAAGAACAGGACCCGAGGAGACATGGGGAGAAGAGACACCACAGGCGGCCGCCCTATGACGTGATGGGAAGTAGGCCGCCTGACACAGGAGACCGTTGGTGTCAGGGAAAGTAGATCTTCCTAGGATTCTTACCTCGTACAAAGCAGGACTGAGCATTTAATGCCCGTCGTGGGCGGTCCAAGTAAAGTCTAATGTGCTTAGGCTGCCTGACAAAGCATTAAATGCCTCATACCTAAGCTGGCTGACTATAAATACACCGGTATCGGCATTAATGGTAACTCAACTACTCTCTCTCTATCTAAACCTAAAACAACATTTCTTATTCTCTCTCTAACTTAAGCATTGGAGAGTGTCCGGGGAACCGCCCACGGACCCTTGTTTTGTAGGAATTGGAGTACACCCTTCACCCGGAACAGACGCCTTGCTTGCCCTGCACTCAACCGCCTAGAACATTCTAGGCCTAAACAGTTATGGTACAACTTCAGATTGTACCTATACTTGTTTGTACAAATTCTTTTATTGTACAATTTGAACTTATACCTTTATTTTATGGTACAACTTGAAAACTTCAAGCTGTATCATAGCATAAGAGTACAAATTCTTTTATAGTACAATTTGAACTTATATATTTAACGTTATGGTACAACTTCAAGTTGTACATTAAAGCACCAATGCTTTATAGTATAGTAGAAGTGCTCCGATTTTTATATTTATGAACAAAAAATAATTATTACCAGTTCGTACTATATGATAGTAATGTAGTCAAAATCGAGGTTTAAAACTTAAAAACTTACGATTTTACGTTTCTAGATCACTAAAACGATTCTACATAAAATCGTAGTTTTTAAAATTTATGTAGTTGGAAACTCCGTTTTAAAACTTAAAAACTTACCATTTTACGCTTCTAAATCACCAAAACGTTTCTACATAGAAACTCGCTTTTGACTACATTGTGTGATACAACTTAGTATGTACATAAAATTATACCACGTGGTATAAAATTGTACTATATTGGTATGAATATATACCATAGTCTAAAATGGTTGTAAAAATATTCTTTCCTTTTTCTAACTTTTCCTTTTCTTTGTCATCTCTCTAGTTTCAAAAGGTGATTTCCTCCATGGGCTCCCGTCGACCTCCTCTGGAACCGACGGTGGCCCTTAAATTTTCTTTTTATTTTCCTTCTCAAAGTTGGTTTCCCCTTGCCATTGCCTCTAGTTTCTGATTTTTCAGCTCATTTTTTCTTAGCTCTTTATTTTTGGTTCAACTATGGTTTGGTCTTTTCTTTCTCTTTGTGGATATGTGTTCTCTCTTTCAGTGGGTGAATTTTTGTCCCTCTGATTTAAGGTTTTCAAATCTAGAGATGTCATCTCTTAGATACAAAGGAGGTTGGGCTTTGTCCAGCTTTTCTCTTATTCCACTTGTCATTCGTCTACCTCCTTTGCTTCACCTTGCTGATTTTGGTGATTCGGAGATGTGACCGCTGGTTTGAACTCGGTTTGAAGATCTTAGAGACATATGGTTTTATCACGGCATCATCACTGGCCGCCCATGCATCTTCTGCTCTTCTTTGGTGCTCTTGGTCGACAAGGAACATAGGGTGTCTTGGTCCCGCGTAGGGGTGGGCAACGGGAAAGGGGTATTTGGGTATACCCGTACCCGTCCCGTTTTTTAAGGGTTACGGGTACCCATATCACCCGTAATATTTTAAATGGATGGGACTTGGGATTGTATAGTCCTAATATGGGTACCCGCGGGTTACCCGCGAATACCCGTTTGGGTAATATGGGTACCCGTTGTACCCATTCAAATTACAAAGACATATAATTCAGCCCATGCGCCCAGGCCCCACCCAATTCAAAATCCATTAAAATTACAAAATCCTTCATTCACCGCCGCCGCCGCCATTTTGTGTTTTGAAATGAATGCTTTGGATGTAATTGACTAATTGTCTTTAGGTAAAATGTCATTTAAACTTTGGGTATTTATGGGTAGTATGGGTACCCGTTATCCGTTTCCCATATGGGTTTGGGATATGGGATGGACTTCGGTCTCCAAATGGGACTGGGTACCCGTTTAAAACGGGACGGGTATCCCGTCCCGTCCCGTTGCCCACCCCTAGTCCCGCGAGGATGGGTGAGAGGTGAATATGGCTCGTCTTCGCTTTCCTCTACTTAGATTGGTGGCTTCTGCTTCATGTCTTGGCTCCATCGCCCTTTTTCCAGCGGTGGGAGTTATCAAAGACACGATTCAGGGGGCTCTAACAGCGGAGGATTTGTGGGAGGCAGGGCATCTAGGTTTTGAGAAGGGGCGCTGGTTTGGGCTCAAATATTAAGTTAAAAATAAAGGTAGTACCAATGTGGTGATGGTGTGGTATGAAAAAGAAATTTCTTGAAGATGGAACTCTTTTTGCATATGATATCACAATGAATTCGTTCCATCTGTGTAAAAAAATTGAAATCTAAGTTAAAACGGTTAAGATAAAAGCGGATTAAAAATAGAAAATTAATAAATTATTTTATTCTCAACTCTTAGATCCGACCTCACTTCAAATCAAAGCCTTAAATTTAATTATGCATGAATTATGCACCCTAGAATTATTGACCCTATAAAATAAACTATCTTAATCAATTATCATCAAATCTCTTTTTTTTTTCTTCCTATTAATCAGATAAATCTATCAATTATTCTCTAATTTTCTTCACTAATCTCGGTGCAGAATTGTCATTGTACATCAATTATTCTCTAATTATCCTTAGCTTAATGGTGGTATAACACTAACTACCATAGTAGTTTGCAGCTGAAACCATTTAAAGTGGTGTATGGTCATCCATCATCCCATTTCGAGGTCAGAAACTCGTTGTCCACTTTTGTAGCGGCAGCTGTGGACAAGCTCCAATACCAGCAGAGGTTGATCAAGATCATTAGGGAAAACCTTGCCATGGATCAGAACAGGCAAAAGAAAATGGCTGATCGTCACAAAACCGAGAGGGAGTTTGCAGTGGGAGACCTCGTGTACTTGAAGCTCAAACCATACAGGCAAGTGTTAGTGGGCACTAGAGTGAACCAGAAGTTAGCTTCCAAATACTACAGACCTTTTCCCATTACTCATAAGATTGGAGCAGTGGCTTATTGACTACAATTGCCTTCTGACTTAGCAATCCACCATGTATTCCATCTCTCACTCCTCAACCATCCTTACCATAGTATGACAACCCTGGCAACCTTAAGGTGGAACCCTTGGTGATCCTTTCAAGGAAGGTTGTAGCTCACGATAGCAAGGAGGCTACTCAAGCGTTGGACCATTGGTTGCATCAAGATGTTGCATATGCTACTTGGGAATTCCTTGATGAGTTCAAGATAAAATACCTAGAATTTAAGACTTAAGGACAAATCTTCAGAGAAAGAGGGAGTCTTTTCAAAAATTGGACTGGAATGTAACAACGTAAAAGTGGTGTGATTAGAAAGGAATGGCTAAAATATAATAGAGTGTGCAATAGAGGATTATGTGGGTAATAACGACCCTCTGTCTCTGTCTCTCGTCCTTTATCATTCTCTTTCTTACAACTGTATTTTCCTCAAATTTCCTCTAACGGCTCCCTGCAATGACCCAAGTAGAGCCTGCCATTGAAATCCCATCGAGATCTAAAGATTCTCCACCCGAGCCGCGACAGTGGAGAACAGTCATTCTACATTAACATGAAACCTAATTAGTTTTGGTTGGCTTAGCAGTATAAGGAATCAAAGGAGAGAGAGAGTACCAAGATCAAACAAGCGACCTTTGGCTAGGTTATATTACCCTACAACCAAACATGCGCCCTTGAGATGATAACATGAAACCTATTTAGTCCTTTTGAAATATGAATTTTTCTTCTTCTCTTGTCAGAAAAATGGATACTTACGAGTTACTACGAATGCGAGACTAATCAGAAAGGGCAGCAAGATGATGTGTGGAAGTCTGCTGTAAAAAGCTAGGTCGACCCATGACCCTAATAGAACCCTTATACATTATATAGGTCATGTCAGAACATTGTTTTTAACCAAACGATTCCTTGGGTAATTTTATCTAATTGTGATGACCCATATAGATATTGGACCGAAGCTAAATACACTTTTAATGATTTTGAGTTTGGGTTGAATTTGAATTGGATCCAACTTGAGCAATTCATTTGCGTCAAACACACCATGAATCTATTTGAGTTCAAATGATTATACACACAAAACGACCAAATCGACAATCTCATTAAATGCATTCAATCCAATTATACTTTTAATGTCGATGTTTTCATTTTCATTTTGTTCTTTAATAATAAATAAGAAATCAGAGGAAAACTACATTAGAACCGAGCTCTTTTTTTTTAGATAAGGCCAAATTCACTTGCATAGCCAAAACTTTGACGGTTGTGACAAATATAGCCAATTTTGGAGAAATACCAGAAATAGCCAGATTTTTGAAAGTTCGATGACAAATATAGCCATTTCCGTTACATAGTTTGACGGCGTCAATGACACCGTTAGTATAATTAACGGACAGTTGATGTGGCTGCCACCTCACCGTGTCTTTCCTTCCCACCTCAGCATCCATTGACAGGTGGGATGCCACGTCATTTTTAATGGGTAAAAAAAATTACCATAAAACAATTAATAAATAAAACAATAAATAAATCACTACCTAATCACCACCATCACTACGACACATCTCCCTGCCGCCGCGATCCCGTCATCATCTTCATCCTACCCAGAAGCCAATTTCAAAACCTACACACTTCTTCTCTCTATTCCTCGCCCAATCCATTTCCATTTCCATCGGACGAGTGGTGAAGATGATGGACAAGGAGATGAACCGGAGCGGCGTTGAATTTGATGGCGGCGATAGGTTTACCCGGGGAGGATGATGCCCTCGGAATCGGAGAGGCGGGCAAGAGTTTCAAGATCTGGAAGAATCTCCAACAGGAGTTACAGCGGCAGTTGGAGCGCCTCTTCTTCTTCTGCCGAAGCGGCAACTCGAAATCAGATGAGAAGAAGAGTTAGGCGACGGCGGCGGGTCGAATTGTGGATTGGGGTAAGTTTGGGAAGATCGAGAGGCTGGGATCGAACACTGTCACGTCAGGTGCGAGCAAGTTCAAGATCTACATTGCCATGGAGCTCGTCCGAGGCGGCGAGCTCTTCTCCAAGTTCGCCAGAGGCCGGCTGAGGGAAGACGACGCTAGGGTTTACTTCCAGCAATTGATCTCCGCCATCGATTTCTGCCACAGCCGCGGCGTCTACCACCTAGATCTGAACCCAGAGAACCTCCTCCTCCTCCCCTTTCAAGACGACAATCTGGTCGCCATGTATAGAAAAATCTACAGGGGAGACTTCAAATGTCCTCCGTGGTTTTCCTCCAAGTCCCGCCGCCTCGTCACCAAGCTCCTCGACCCCAATCCGGCGAGCCGAATCACCATCTCGAAGGTCATGGAGTCGTCCTGGTTCAGAAAATCCATCCCCAAAACCGTACGCAGCAATGAGGAGATCGAATTCGACGCGTTCAATTGCGAAGAAGACGAAGCGAAATCGGAGAATTCGAAGGAGACCCTGAACGCGTTCCACATCATTTCTCTGTCTGAAGGGTTCGATCTCTCGCCGCTGTTCGAGGAGAAGAAGAGGATGGAGAAGGAAGAGCTGAGATTCGCCACGACTCGACCGGCGAGCAGCCTGATTTCTCTCCATCACCAACACCGCCTGTTCACCTCCCCTTCGTCTCGCTCTTCTTCACGCTGAATTCGAGTTTGGCCCTGCTCCGGCTCCAGCAGTGATGCGACGGCAGATAGGGATTTTGAGGGAGAAGAGCAGCTGCTTTGGAGAAGGGTGTGATATTTTGGGGAAGATGAGTTCCAGAAGAAAGATGATGAAAATTTTTGTGGAAAATTTTTTTTCTTTCCTTTTGTTGCCAACGAGAGAAAGGGAAAGTGAGGTGTGGAAGGACAAAAAATCATTTAATTAATTTTATTTTTTATTTTCACTAATTAATTTCTGATGTGTAATCATTTAATTAATTTTTTTATGTATTTTTTTTGGTAATTTTGTTTTATTTAAGCTCATTAAAATAAAAAGGTAAAATTATGATGGTTTTCCACCTGGCATTGTTACTTACGAAATTTTTGCCACATCAGCCTTACCGTTAGCCCAGTCAGCACGTTAACTAACACCGTCAAATAATTGGACGGAAGTGGCTATTTCTGGTATTTCTCCAAAAGTGGCTATATTTGGCAAAACCGTCAAAGTTTTGGCTATATAGGTGAATTTCGCCTTTAGATAACCAAATGACATGACTAGATGAAAACTAAAATCTTGAGTATGAGTATTCTTCAAAATTAAAATTATCTTAGTTGATTTGACCGATGACTAGTTGAATTTGAAAAATACTTAAATATTGGAATTTTTTTTTGTGGGAAACCTTCATGCTCATTGAGCCACGTGACCCTTTGCTCTGTCTCTGAGCATCCCTGCCATCCCTGTCGCCTTCATTAATAAATAAAATAACACATAAATATATATATCTACTGAAGAGGAGAGGAAGAGGTGCGTCATTGTTAGTAAAGTCAAAAGGCGCGTGTTCCATACTCGCCTCCTCTCAGCTTTTGTGTTTTTGTCACTTCCGAACGTCAGAGAACCAGGATTCAACACCAACAGAACGGACAAAATTCATTCACATGGCAGTCACATATCAAACCCTCACCACCCAACAAAACAACGCCACGTACCACCTTCCCCCCTCACGTGTCTCGGTTTGTCACCCTACCCACACCACATCACACTTCCTCTTTCCTTCTCTCTTATCCTCTCTCCATCTTTTCTCAGCAGAAACCAAAAGAAAAAAAAAGGAGCAAAGAGAGAACAGCACAGCAGCAGCCAGCAGCATCAACAAGAGTGAGAATCCAAGCTTTCTCCCTTCCTTCCTTCCTTCCTTCATCAACACAAGTCCATTTCTTCCTCCATGAAGTGATAACATTGTCCCCTCTTATTTACGCAACATGCCATCCCGCCATCTCCTCTCTCTCCCGCCGGGCCACCGCCACCGCCACCGCATTCAGCCCATTCTCCCCGCCGTCCTCGGCGGAGCCTTGAGTTTGGCTCTCCTCTCCCTCATCCTCATTCTATTCCTCTTCCTCTACCGGAAGCTCTCCAGCAACCGCACCGCTCCCACCACTTCGGACCTCAAATCCCCAACCCACATCCAGAGTACCGCCAACCAGTGCCGCCGCTACTCCTACTCCCTCCTCCGCCGCGCCACCGCCTCCTTCTCGCCCTCCAACCGCCTCGGCCACGGCGGCTTCGGCTCCGTCTACAAGGCCATCCTCTCCTCCTCCCTCCTCGCCGCCGTCAAGGTCATGGACCCCAGCGGCTCCCTCCAAGGCGAGCGCGAGTTCCACAACGAGCTCGCCCTCGCCTCCTCCCTCAACTCCCCCTACATTGTCACCCTCCTCGGCTTCTCCACCGACCGCCGCAAGCGGAAGCTCGTCCTCGTCTACGAGCTGATGGAGAACCGAAGCCTGCAGGAGGCTCTCCTGGATCGCAAGTGCGAGGAGCTCATGAATTGGAGCCAGCGGTACAGTGTGGTTACGGATGTCGCGAGAGGCCTCGAGTATCTACACCATTCCTGCAACCCTCCCGTGATTCACGGCGATGTTAAGCCCAGCAATATCTTGCTGGATTCGGATTTCAATGCCAAGATTGGCGATTTCGGACTCTCTAGATTGAAGACGGGGGAGATCGCCGAGTGTGCCGCCGGAGAGGACAACGGATCCATCCTGGAAGAGGCGGAGAGCGTCGCGACCGGCGGCTACGAAGACTCCGGAGCAGCTGTCGATCGCTCGCCGGCGAGTAAGGTATTGGATTCGGATACGTCGCCGGAGGCCGTGGGGGCGGATAAGGCGAGCGTGTCGGAGTTAGGTTTTGACAGGGCGAGCATGGAAAGCGGGCGAGATTTGGGTGGGAAAAAAGGCGGATCCAGAAGGGATTGGTGGTGGAAACAGGATAGCGGAGTGGAATCGGAATCGGGGAGGGTGAAGAAGGATTACGTAATGGAGTGGATTGGCAGCGAGATCAGTAAGGAACGAGCCAAATCCGGCGGATGGAATGTTGCGTCTCCGAGCTCGGCCGATAACAATCTGTTGAGCACACCGAGTTTGAAGGTGGAGCCTATGCAGAAGAAGGAGAAGAAGACGAAGAAGAGATTGGAATGGTGGGCATCTCTGGACGAAGAAAGGTTGAAAAGGAAGGAGAAGAACAGAAAGCCCAGGGAATGGTGGAAGGAAGAGTTTTGTGACGAGTTATCTAAGAAGAACAGGAATAAGAAGAAGAAGAAGAGGGGTCTGAATTCGAGCAATGGCGGAGAAGCTTGGTGGCACAAGGACGAGGAAGATTCGGTTCAAGAGAGGAAGAAGAAGAAGCGGAAAAGCAGAGGAAGCATCGATTGGTGGCTGGACGGTTTCAGCGGCGAGTTGAGAAATGGGCGAAGGAACAGCCAAGATTGGGCCAGTGGAGAGATTCCCAAGAGCGGCGGCATCAGTAGCACGCCCAGCATGAGAGGAACCGTCTGTTACATAGCTCCGGAGTACGGCGGCGGCGGGCAGTTGTCGGAGAAGTGCGATGTTTACAGTTTCGGTGTGTTGCTCCTCGTGGTGGTTTCAGGGCGGAGGCCGCTTCAAGTTACTGCCTCGCCGATGTCGGAATTCGAGAGGGCCAATCTCATCTCCTGGGCTAGGCAGCTTGCTTACAATGGGAAGCTCATGGACCTTGTTGATCCTTCGATACATTCCATGGTCAAAGAGCAAGCGTTGGTTTGTATCACCATCGCGCTGCTGTGTCTCCAGAGGTCACCAAGCAAGCGGCCATCCATGAAGGAAATAGTGGAGATGCTCTCCGGCGAGGCAGAGCCGCCCCACCTGCCGTTCGAGTTTTCGCCATCTCCGCCGTCTAATTTCCCTTTCAAGTCTCGGAAGAAAGCCCGGTGAGTTGCGTGCGCTGTCAGTGTTGTGTATTAGATTTGATTTCACGAACCACGCCATTTTCCCATCAACTGTAGAATATAATGTACTGTTGTAGGAGGCCATTTTGAGAAATTACAGTGTTTGTTTCCTCATCTCTGGTTTGTTGCTGTTGTAGAAGTTAATTGCCAAATTGAAAGAAGTGAATGTAGGTGGATGGAAGGATGCTTTTTTTTTTCCCACGAGAGTTGGAGCATCCATTATTAGCTTAGTACTAGTGAAATGGGGCTGCGGTTGGCTCTGAAAAACTTGGTCTTGCTTCAGCAGAGTGAGCGAGTAATGAGAGCATTTGCTTGTTGTGCAGCACGATTGCACTTTGACCTCATCAAGTCATCCTCCTAGCCTTCTGTTTTTTGGGAATCCAAGGACTAACAGTAGAGACGCAGTAGAGATATTATAGGTGGAATGTCATGATGATATATCCTTACTGTGTGGTAAAGCTACTAGTCAATTTGTTCAGGAGTGCTAAAGCTGCTGCTGCTGGAGGGTCGTCTTTTGCTTTTGGTGGTCTGTCTGTCTGTTGTCTTGCCAAAGTTGTGCCTTTTCTTTCTGTGTTGTTTTGGGTGCTAAAGTTTCAGAGTCCGGCAAAGCAAAGCAATATAGATTAGATAGATTAACAGCACCACATCATGGCTCAGGGCAAGGGCTTCCTTTTCCTTCCCCTTTTTGTGCAATTACTGTTGTTCATTGTTCATTAGTGTTTGTGCCCGGCCGGTCCCATTACTCGTTCATTGTAACAAAAGACATCATCGAGTAATCAAAGTTCCTCATCAGATAATATGCTGTTTTTCTTTTCTCTTTCTCCATTTCTTAGTTGCCAGCCAACCTTTTTCTCTTCAAGGTTGATTTACATGATTACTTGGCAACGCTTCATTCCTAAGAAACTCTCATGCCTACCATTTGGATGAAGAAGCAAGAACTGTGAGTTTATTTACTGTTTGCTTAACTACCAATACCATTGTTAGTGGTGTCTAATCTATGCTACTAGCTCATCCTGTTGAAAGTAGGGTAAGTGGGTAACCCATATTTGGTTTTATCTACGCAGCGTGAGCATTTTGCTTTAGGACGAGTTCATGAATGTTGATAGAAACCCGTACTAGTGGGTCGGGTAGGGGCACACGGGTTAGGGATGACAATTTTAACCTGTCGGTTGGGTATTACTCGACTTGACTTGTAATGGGAGATATTACTCAACTTATAGTAGCGTGGAATGGGGAAAGAGTATCTACTTTTGACTTGTTCTGTCCCGTCTCATTCTTGGCACATTCTATCTTAATTTCTTATATCTATTCATTTTTCTTCTATTTTTGCTTTCATTCAACTAGTTAGACGTGATCTTTCAAGTAGTTGGAATCAATTTTTCTATTTTATTGCAAAAAGTAAAGTTTCGAGTGCGTTTTTTTTTTCAAATAACATGTAAGAGTGGGTTGACCCTCCTCGTCCCTTACCCGCATGTAGGGATGGCAATGGGTCGAGTTGGGTCGGGTTTTGCCAAACCCAAACTCAAACCCATGGGTTTAACCTTGAAAAAAACCCGGGGTAAAACCCACTGGGTTTGAAAAACTCAAACCCAACCCGCTGGGTATCCGCGGATTCATGGGTACCCACGGGTTTTTGTCGTAAAAAAATTACAATAACAAGTTTCTATCAAAAGTTAAAGTCAAATATCAATCTCTCAATACAAATTATCCATATATAAAACACCATTATAGAAAATTCAAGCAAATCACAAATTAACTATACAAATTGTTCAGCACCAATCTAGAAAACTCAAGAAAATTGAAGCAAATCACAAATTATTCATAAATAACATGATTAATTGAAAGCTTCTTCCTCCTTGTCAATTAAGTTTCTTCACTCTCCACTCGATAACATCAACTTCATTCTACACAATTAGAAAGAAAAAATTAGACATGTCTCCACAAACATAAATAAGATTAGTTGTTTAGAATATTAAATATACCGAAAAAATTAATTATATGGGTATGGGCGGGTACCCATGGGGCGGGTTTATCTAAACCCAAACCAATTCAGTGAATGTTGATCGGGTTTAAATTCGAACCTGGCCAAAAACCCGTCAACACGGGGGGTTTACCTGCATTGACTGGATTGTGTCGGATGGGTACCCATGGGTTCGGATTTTGTTGCCATCCCTACCCGCATGGGTTTATTCGCCTCTGCCTATAGTTGCATTTGGCTGGATATGGATATTGAGGTATCAGCTTTGTCCCATTGTCATCAATAATTATTGCTCAAACACTATTTATGCTATTTGGCAACTGTGGGAGCGAATTCGAGTGATGCAAGTTGAAAAGGGAAATTGTGGGTATAAATTGGCGAGGTGTAAATGAAAGGAGAAATTGTTGTTTGGAAAGAAAAATTAGAGAGTGTGAGTAAATTATATTATTATAAAATAAATTAAGTAACTAATTATCCTAATATATTATAATAAAATTAAAATTTATGTTTATTAATCATAATTACTAGGGTACACCTATGGTGACATGGAAGGCACCGTAACTTGCACAATACGGTCGACCGATTACACCATCGTGGTCATTGTGATGGAAAATCACGGCCGACCATTAACCTATAGTGAGCGACCGTTTTAAGGTAGTCATTACCAAAATGGTCGACCACAATAGAAATGAGGTCGACCGTTTTGAGGCAGTCTTATGCAAAATGGTGGACCATAAAAGAAAATAGGTCGTTCATTTCAGGGTAGTCATTACCAAAATGGTCGACCATAACGGAGATATGGTGGACCATATCTGCAATGAGGCCGACCATTTCCAACAATAGGTCGACCAGATAGAAGAAGTCTCGACAGCATATCCATCCCTCCCTCCCTCCCTCCCTCTTGAAGTGAAATGTAGTGGAAAATGTTGGTTTTTGGTCGATCGCTTATAGTAAAAGGTCTATCGCTTACAGTAAAATAAGCCTGCGACCTTTGAATTTTTTGCTTATGTATGTCGATGTTTGTACTTTGTTTGGTCTAACAAATTACAAATGAAACCAACAAATTCAATCCAAAATCATAATATCAAGAAACGCATAAGTAGTACCTTAATTACAAATAAGAAACCTATATCACCCTTATAATAATAAAAAATGCATAACTTCTTAATAACTTAATCACTAAGACCAAATAACATAAAACACACCTCACAATAGTTCACACATATTTGAAATCGAAAACCACAACGACTTAATATCAATCCACGATTATAGTTGCTTTAAACCAAATTGTCTTTAAGACTCAACAAATTTCACAACAAAAAACACAATGTAGTTCATGGAGTTCGTAATCCTCTCTCCTCTCACTCATCGTCATTTTCCTCATTGGTGTTGCTAGCATTATGGTAGTCGGATGTGGTGGGATGCATGTATCTTCCACTGAAATTTTGGAATTCATCTCGCATCTCTGTTACACTCACCAGTAGTGTGCTCTTGTGGATGGACAAATGCCCATGTAATCGTTCATTTCATTCATGCGGTTCCATATAGCATCGAGGGTGACTGGTGTAGTTGAACCCTCTAGTTGTGCCATTGGCTTGTCTCCGGCTCTTCATCTTCATCATCATCATCATCCACTCTACATTAGGATTGTATGCTCAGACATACACACCAACATGCAACTCAAATCCCATCTTCTTCGATGAAGTAACTGAATATGACTCCTGCGTTGTAACTCTTAAACCAAACTCATCACTTAAATCCACACCAAAATGCTCAAATAGCGAAGTCAAGATCATCTCATTAGGAAGATTCATGTTTGAACTCTTTGCAGTAGCAAACATATGTTTAAACATAAAATATGGCAAGTTAACCTGTTGATGTGAAAGTAGGTAGGTGAGGAGCTCCATGTCAAAGTAGGTGATTGATGTCCACCTTTAAGAATGTTGAAGGAGAGCATATGGTGAAAAACCCTGGTTGTAACCTTCGTATGATGAATAGCAATCCTCGACATCTTCCTCTTCAGCAAGACAGCATACAACCTGTATTTGTTTGGGCCTCGAGAAATGAGTTTTGATTCCAAGCATTGAAAGCATTGATTCTCTTCCCCCGGTTGGGAGTCTCCAATACTTCTGCAAATACCTTTTGGGTGATACGCATATCTACCCCATTCACATAGTTTTTAGAAGAATGAACAGATCCATCTTGGGAATGATGATAGATGATATTGTTGTAGAAGTAATGTATCATTTCTGGTAGTACGGTACATCTAGGGATCTGACATTTAGCCAATCTTATTCCACTAATGTTGCAAGGAACGTGTAATCTTCAAAATGAGTATAAGCATCAGGCATCAATGGCCTTCATGTGCCACCCTGTGGTTGTGCATTTTCCTCTCTTCATATTTGTCGCTTTGTGATTTGTTCTGTGGCAAAGTTGGATCAAACTTTTCCCATTCACTTCTTGAGGTACCCACTTTGTCCGACTTTCTTTTTTTCTTTCCTCGAAACATCATGAGATCAAAGAAAAGATAACTCATATTAGCCAAACGGCAAGTGGAACACACATATACAAAATTATAGGCAACCTAGAACAATCATATGCAAGTGGAACATGCATATACAAATGGTCGACCGATTCATAGATATAGTTCAACCAAGTAACTTAACTGGAAACAGACAATATATGAATTTTGTTAACGAAATAATAATGGTCAAACCTCACAAGAACTAGGTCAACCTGTTTTTGCAATCAGAAGCAAAAAAATAAATAAAATGTAGAACCAATCAAGGAATGCAAAGTCGACAACACCAAACAGACACGGTGACCACGTTACAATAAGGTCGACTGATTTTGGCTAACAATAGCAAGAATTAACCGGAATTTGGGGCATGATTGTTCGCCAAAATCATATAAATACTCGACGTACACTAGTCTGAACTATAAATACTCGATCGTAAAACTCGACGAGCATACAATGTACGCCTGACATACGCTAGCCTGAACCATATATACTAGAGTACGCCCGGACGTACGCTAGCCTTTGCCTAGATTAATCGTATCTATTGAGACGAGAGTAGGGTTGGGAAACGGTGCGGTCTGGTCCAGACTAGACCATATATACGGTCTATGGTCCAGACCAAGAGGCTGAAGCATAGACCACAGACTAAACGGTCCGGTCCAGACCATGCCAATGCGGTCTGGTCCGGTCTGATCCAGATAGACCACACTCAATGAAAAATGAATAATTTGTTTAGTCAACCACACAAAAAATTGAACCAATACCCAAGAAAAATAATTTTTATTTGCCTTAAACATTAATCCTAACATGTATGAATAATTTTGATACCCTAAATCTTAGTACATAACAAATATACAAAGTAAAAACATCCCAACTTGCACCATAACGTCATAAACATTAACATAATGTGACATGGAGACACAATTATCTCTACTCTCGGATTAAATGTGGTTGTGAATGAAGGAGGGACGAGATTCACGAAACTAAGGTTGAGACTTGGGTGTCGTTGTGGGAGTTGGGAGATTGGTCGAATGGGCTGTTAACACGTATTGACAAGTCGGTTGGGTCCATGGTTTGATCCGGTAAACCGCGGTCTAGATCATCAGACCAGACCAAGAGATCAAAACATAAAATAATAGGGACCATGGACCAGACAGACTAGACTTTACTTGACAGTCTACGGTCCGGAAAAAACTGTACGGTACAGTTTGGACCACGGTTTTTCTAACGGTCTGGTCTATTTTCCGAGCCCTAGTCGAGAGTTGCAGCCCGAGTCCAACTCTTCCCCATCTCTAGTAAAGCCAACGTCAACCCATGTAGTTGTTGACTTGTTGTGGGATGCCCATCGACCTCATGGCATATAAGTTGTAGGTTTACTTATGAAACCCTAGATGGTTGTAACATAAGTAGATCTCATTACGTTGACGTAGGTCTCAAACAACCCTCTCTAACTAATAAGGGATTTGAAGTCATTGTCAATATTAGGTTAGAATGGAAGAAGCATGTCATGTAGTTTCATGTGCTAATTCTGGTTCTTACATACAAAGAAATTATTGTTCAGTAATGATTTTAAGTTTAATTCAGAACTGCACTGCGGGATAGGTTATGCTACTTGGAGCCAGTGTGCCGGTTCTTATGAGGTGTTTGGTTGGGTGGTTCTTTCTATCAGGGCCGACACATAATATTCGGAGGCCCTGTTCGAAAATAAAAATGTGGCCCTAAATTTTTTTTCATGCACAACTCGACAATCAACTAAGCCAAATTTCCAAGCAAAATCTCTTGTAAAAACATAAAATTGGTTAGAAATCACTCAGCCCAAAACAAAATTAGGCAACCCATTCCAATTTAGGCCAGCCCATTCCAATTTCGACCCTGCCTGGCGCCCCCATTGCTTCTCCAACTCCATGGCTCCATTCGGCCATCTCCAATCAGCAACAGAAGCAGAGTATGAAGAACAGAAGAACAGAGTCTCCAAAATCCAGTAGACAGCATACAAGGAATAAACAAAAGACAAGACATGTCAACAAAATTCTTATCTATTACCGAACCACGACGGAGAGACGAAAGTCGCCAAGTCGGAAACAGGGGAAGAAGGCGAGCGCCTAGCGAGACCGCGGAGTGCCGGAGCGGTAAAGTCGGAGTAAGAGATTGATTTCGTTGGTGGAATGAAAATCGAAGGAAGAATCTACCAATTTGGGCGGATGCTTTGCTTCACCTTCTTGGCTGAGTATTTTAGGGGGAAGGATTGAGTTGATTATGAAGAATTAAAGACAAACATCGATTTAGAGATCGTTGTTTACTTTTGGGAAGGTGAGAAATCTGGGGAAGGGAAATTTGGGAAGGTGAGCAATTTGGGGAAAGGAAATTTGGGGAAGGGGAGATTACGATTTATGAGATTTGAGAAAGAGAAGGGAATAAGGAGGCTGGAGGAGCAGGCTGGGTGAGGGCCTCTGCCGATTCGTTTTCTCAGGTTAATTTTTTTTTTAATATATATGTATTAGTGTATGGGCCAAGCTGAGGCCCCAAACATTTTGAGGCCCTGTGCTGTGGATCAGACCAGCACAGGGTCTGGGCCGGGCCTGCTTTCTATCCACTCTTTACTATGCCTATAGATTGACTGCAACTTTCGAACTTTCTTCCCTCATTCTGATCTATCTAAAGCATGAATTACTAAACCAGATCATATCGGCCGGTTCAACCAGAAAAACTGGGAACCGGACCATGGCCGAAACGGTATAGCAAAGCCAAACGGCACAGGTTTGGGTACCGCCCGGTATTACGTTTCAGACGGTGTGCCGCGAGATACCACTTACCAGCCAGTTTTGAAAGTGCCAGCGGTTCTTGGGAGACGGCGAAACGTGGTCGTTTCATTGCAGACGAAGCAAAACAAAATTCCCTGAAGGAAAACACTAGGTCTTCGTCGCTGTTCGTTCGCCGCTCGTTGTTCATCTTCATCTTCTCCCGTTCGAGAACGCCAAGCTCATCGTTTGTGCTCTCTGGTCCGAGAACGCCAAGCCCCAAGGTCGCCGAGTTCGCTACCCGTCATTCTCCTCTGCCGTTCGTGCTATCATTCTCCGAGAAGTCGAGTCAGCCACCAGAGAAGCCGAAACAAGCTCGTCGTTTGTGCTCTCTGTTCTCCTCTGTCGTTCGCCCTGCCATTCACCGACCCAGCAACCAGAGACCATCGTCGTGACGTCTTCCCAGGGACCTGAGACCAGTGATCACCACCGCAGCTTCAAATTAGGTAAAGCTGCCTCGATTTTCCTTTTACTGCCTAGGGTTTTGATTTTTGAATTCTGATTAGAAATCGATTGTTCATTCTCTGGTTAGGATTGAATAGTGTACGTAGCTTCCATTGTGGATTGGAAATGATTCTTTGATTAGGGAAGGGCTACTATTGTTCATCCTTCGATTGTTCATTCTTCATTCTATGTTTACGCTGCTGCCGACACTATGAGTTCAATTTGATTGGCTTTTTGTCAAATGATTTATGGGTTCAGTTGTGAGAGAAATGGCAGGGTGCTGCTATGAGTTCATTTTAAATTGTTATTTGTCAAATATTTATGGCTTTTAGTTGTGAAAGAAAGAAGCAGCAATGGGAGGCAAAGGAGTTAGGCGGCGAGAGAAGAACTACAGAGCTGCACATGGAGGCGACAGCCGGCTCCCTCCCCCGCCTGATGCATCCAATCACGACGCAGTTCCTTCGAAGCTCCGTCAATTGATGAACTTTGCTTCCACTCTTCACAAAGGTTCCCCTTCAATTCCTTCCTCTGTCTTTTGTCCAGCCTAAAATTTTTCCTCTGCTATTATTCCAAATTTTTCTCAAACTTCTGCTGATGTCTCCTTCTTCTAGGCCCCCATAATCTTCCGAGTCCGACTGAAGATTTGCAGGGAAGGAGTAAGCGGAGGAAAGGAAGTGGAGCTGTGGAAGCTCACCAAGTAAAAACCCTAATTCAGTTCTCTTTTCTTCGTTCGTTGTGAGAAACTGTTGTGTAAGTGTGTGTGTTTTTGTTATAATTCTTGAGAGGGGAATGTAATCTTCCACAGGTCGCAACCACGTCAAGGAATGAGCAGGGAAACTTGGACAGTGATGGCGTGGAAGCTGGTAAAGGTAAAAAGAAGAGCAAGAAGAGAAAGAGAAATCAGGTGAAGGACCTCCGTTTCGAGACGCTGGTTGGGAACACCAAAACGAAAGAGAAACGAAAGGAGCGGACGAAGAAGTAAGCTTTTATTGTTGCTGTTATTGATTTTTCAAAATTAGCTTTGCCATTTAAATTTTAAGAAAGAAATCTTGTGTCGCTCTTGTTCAGATACTTGGAAGCAAAGAAGAAGAAGCACCGCAGATCTGGTACTGAAGAAGAGACTGCGGATTTTCCTGGCAAGGAAAATGTGAAATTTGGGGATGTGGTTCAAGCCCCACCAAAGCTCAGTGTCCTGCCTAAGGTAATAATACTCTTTAAAGCTCAGAATCATTGTGCAAGGAGTAAGGAAGGAGCAGTTGCACATGAAAGTGAATATCTCTGTGTTTGCAGGGTGCAAAGAAGGTCATTGAAGCTTCCCAAGAGAGGATCAGGTTGCAGGCTATTGAAGCTTATAGGAAGCGCAAAGCTTGGATATCCAGACCAGGGCTTCAACTTCCTTCTGCAGCCCCAACAACCATGCCATAAGTCAGCAGGCCCCCTAGTGAGAAATGTGAATGATTATCACATTTCACTCATTTTGCCGTAGCTTGTTCATCCATTGACTCTGTCCTCCTTTGCTGTATGATGGTAATTACTAGACTGGAGCTTACCTCAGTTTCAGGATCGATAGTTGGTGTTTATCTGGAGTCTTCGAGCCCATTGAAGCTGTTATTTCTCTGTATTTTGCAGTCCTTTAGTAACCAAGTTACTAAAGTAAGATTTACAGAAATCCGAAAGTGCATTTTGAGTGATGAAGATGTTCTGGATATCCTGCTCATTGCAATTTGGGCACCAAATGGATGGCAAATTTGATGAGTAAGTGAACTGTCATACAGTAGGAACTCGATCCACGTGTGGGATCGATCTGGCTATCCTACTCATAAGCAATTCCATGAGTTATGTTTTTGAAGGTTTGGGATTGGGCCAATATGGGCTGGAGTTGGGGATTAATGGCTCAGACTATTTGGCCAAGTAAAAGGCTTGCGAGAGGAATTAAGAGATTGACTTGAGCTTAAGTTGTCAAAACGGTTTAGAGCATCCACATCAATGTAATTGCAAAGTCAATTGTATATGTATTTTTTTATGACACCTCATAATTTTTGCAATCCAACTAATTTAAATTTTATTGTTGCTACATCAATGTTATTTCTTTGCAATTGCATGTAAAATAAATAATGGTTTTTCTCCAATATATTTTCGGATATTTAAATAACATTAAGAAAAAGAAAACAAGAAAAACTCTGCCATTAATCTACGTGTCATTGCATTTAGGCTTTCATAATATGAAAGCTTGCAAAATTGAATAACTTCCCACATCAGTGAAATTGCGTTTGCAATTGCAAAGCTCCCATCCACGTCATGATGCAATTGGAAAAAACTATGCGATGGAGATGCTCTTATACTATTGTGATTTGACTATTGGAGTTGATACACCGGTTTGTATTGGTTTATACCATTTAACATCAAATGAATTTAAATATATGTAAAGAAGACAAATTTTTTTGCAATCTATATTAAAATTGAAATAAAACACAACATTCTAGTTAGTCAATGTCATGCAAATTACAATACTCCGCCCCAATTCGCAACGCAGATTCCTTATTCACCGATAAACATAAATTTCATGTACTAATTATTCATCGTTCATAAACATAAAAGAATTTGATGCTATATATATTTTTTTTTTTGGTAAAAATCTGATGCTATAATATTGTTGATAAGGACAAACTACAACTACTAATGAATCAGTTATCAAAAATGGAATTTAAAAATTTAGCAATTGCCACAACAAAACTCCACCTAGGCATCAACAGTTTCTTTCATAAAGATAAACTTCACGTTCCAATAAGTTAAGTTCCCATTTTTCCTCCCTACAGGTTAGGAAATAGAATAAGCAGTATCATTTGGCTATTTTTTTGACAGATTTGCTACCAAAAAGAGGTCTCCACTTACTTATCCCAAACCTACTAACCTCTCAACATCTTTCATTATTTCATGGTTCTGTGCCTAGTCTACTACTATATATCCAGTTCTCACTCCCCTCGATCTTCCCCACTTCCCTAGCATCTCTCCCTCTCGATCTCGATCTCGATCTCGATTAGCGCGCAATGGCAGCCTATTCCTTCTTTCTCCTCCTCCTTATCGCCCCGGGAATTCTGGCAGCCCCGACGTCAGCCCTCAACGTCACAGAGCTGCTCGAGAATGCCGGTTGCAGTACCGTTGCAAGTCTGCTGCAGAGCACTGGTGTGCTCGAAACGTTTCTGTCGTCCGCTCACAAAGGACTGACCGTCTTCGCCCCGAACGACGAGGCGTTTAAGGCACCAGAAGTAGTTTGGCTTCTCGGGAAGCTCAGCAGTGCCGAAAAAGTGTCGCTGCTACTCTATCACGCAGTGCCGAGCTACAAGCCGTACAGGAGCTTGAAGGTTAGCAAAGGCCCAATCCCCACGCTGGCTAGCAACGGCACCAGAAAATTTGAGCTGACGACGACCGCTACTGGCGACGAGGTCACCATCCAAACCGGCGCCGTCGCGTCCAGAATTACCAGCACGATTCTCGATGCCTCTCCGCTCGTGATTTTCTCGGTCGACGCTGTGCTTGTTCCGAAGGAGTACTCTGGGCCAACTGGGCCGGCTCCCCAGTCTCCCAGTCCAGGGCCAGCCGGAGATTCTCAGGCAGGTGGTTCTTCTGGCCGTGGATCGGGAATAATGTTGGCTGCAGTACTCGCTGTCATGGCTTCCGTTTTTGGTTGATTCTGTTATGATACCGTGAATCGCAATTACTTGTTACATGTTGTTAAAAGGCTAGTGTTCGATCGCCTTACTTTCCGGTTTCGCTTATTAATTATTTGTTTCATCTTATTTTGTGGAAAGAATGTCTGCATTTTAGCAGCAATTTGGGTTTGTCTCGAGGAATTATTTATTTCTATAAAGTGATAAGGTTGGTCTCTTTTAAAAAAAAAATTCTTCCCATAATAGGATATCCCAATATCAATGTTAAAAAAGTTGCATTTTGACGCAACGCTTTCATGCAAATTTAGTTATATTCAGCATCGATTCTTAATGTAATATATAAGAGAGCGTGAAAAAATTGATTACTGTTTGAGACTTGATACCCTTTGCCTGACTCCCCTGAACCCTCCTTCGTCAGGCGCCTATCTGCACACACTAACAAAGAGGGGGCGCCTTGGCCCGTTAATCCTCCGACGCCCAAGTTAGTTTCCAGGTAGAGAGTGGAGTTTCAAAGCTAGAATTTATGTGAGAGTGTCCAACCTGCGTAAATGCTACCAACTGCCTCTATTTATACTTACTTGAGTTCGAGGTTGATCCTCTCTGCCTCCCTGCCCTTATTCAATGCTCTTGTCTCTTTCTGGCCAGGCATCCTAACCGCCTTGTCAGACTCCTGACACGTGACAGGCGCCCACAGGCGCTGGACCACATGACAGCCTGGCCTCCCTTGGCCTCTTGTGCCTTGTCTTCATGTGACATCCCCTTTACTTGGGCCTTGCCCCTCACTTGGGCTGCTTGGGAGCCCAAGTTTGCCTAGGCTTTGCCCCCCACTTGGGCCTTGCTCATTATACCCCCAACAATTGCCCCCCCAGCTAGGTGCTCATTGCTCTGCTGCTGAGCGCCTAGCTGACCCGGTGGTTGTTTTGCCCCTACTTAGGCGTCTGACCTAGCTGTAGTCCTTTTCGGGGCGCCTCGACCTTCCTGTAGTCCTTTTCGGGCGCCGGTTTTGGGGCGCCTCAACCCCTTATGCCCCCCTCAAGGGGGGGCGTTTGATATTGACCCCACGTTTTCCTTCTTCGAATTTTGGCCTTTTTTTTTTTTTTTTTTTTTGTGGCCAAAATTCCAATCAGAAAAGGAAAAGGTGGGGGGAAACTCAAAGGCCCGCCCTTGACGATGACACGTGGCACGCTACACGCATCTACCCTCCTGCTCTTCCTTTCCTTTAAATACCCCCCTTCCCCATCAGTCCTTGTCACTTTCCACATTCTCGCCTCTCTCTAAGATTATTGCTCTGACTTCTCTCTAGATTCTCTCTGACATCTCTCTAGATTCTTCTGCTTTCGTCAGCTTTTCCGTCTATACATCCAAGCATGACTTCGCAAGGAGACAAAGTTGTCGGCCAGGGCGCCTCCCCTGTTGGTGAAGAGACTAGGCCAGGCGCCTCTAACGCTGGCGGCGAGGCAAGGCGCCCCGCTCGAAGTGGTAAGGAATTTTCTTGCTCTACTAGTTGCGTTCCTTACTTTTGTTCTAGTTCTCTAGGGTAGGGCGTCACTTACTCTGCGGCCATATTGCGCCTGGGTCGTTTATTGGTTTAGAGAGGGCGCCTGGGTCGACGTCCGCAGGTCCGTCAATCGCCTCCACCCCAGGCTTCATGCCTGCCGATGGATCGTACAAGATATCCGTGTGGGAGAACTCGTTTCCGCCTGATCACCTCCCGACGGAGACCGAGTCGTTGCCTTTCGACGTTGCGGGTCCACAGCACACCTCTACCGTCACCTTGGCTCGTGTTCATGAGCTAGTGACCAGCCTCCAGCTGCCCCGTGATTGGTGGTATGCGCCTCCCTCCCCTATCGCACGAGTGGGCGTCTGTGGGCCCAAGTGGATAGGAGTGTATCAAGAGTACTTCCGCTTTGGGCTGCGGTTCCCCCTTGACCACATCATGGAGGGGATAATGACGACCTGTGGCTGCCCATTGGGGCGCCTGTCTCCTTCGGTGATCATGGTGGTCATCTTCTTCAAGCTGCGCTGCCGCGAGCATAACGTGGAGCCTACTTTCAATCTTTTCCGATATTTTTTCAAGATGGCGGCTCATGACAATTGCTTGTCTCTTCAGAAGAGGAAAGGGCGCCCTTATCATTTTGTAGAGAAGTGCCCGAAGTTGGGGCGCAGCTGGTTCAACGGATTTTTCTTCATGAAGGCATATCGGGACTCATTTTTTGAGAGTGGGGGCGCCTTCATGAGAGAGTGGGCGCTGGGGAGTGTGGAGGAGTTCAACGAAGACGTAAGGTTGTCTCCGACAGAAAAGGCAGGCGCCCCGCTGATTTGCGAGACGCGCGTAAATTTGCGCAAGACCGTGAATCGTCCTCCTATTTTGGAGGCGTATTATGATGATGGTCCGTAGGCGCCCATATGTTGTGCTAACGTTTTTCTTGCCTTGCTCTGTTGTCGATGAATGTTTGCTGTGGTGCTAACTCATTTAACGATGTGCAGGATCAGACTTCACCAGCATCGCGAAGCTCATGAAGAGCCGCCTTGCTGCCATGGCTGGGGGAGCGCCCCCACCACCAAGGCCCAAGGCGCCCGTTCCGGCTGCGCCGGAACCACAGGCGCCTTCTGCTGCCCCGAAGAAAAAGAAGAAGAGGGCAGTGAAGGGGGGTACCACGAAGACGGCCAGCGTGGCCTCTTCAGCACCGGAGGAGGAGGAGGAGGCGCTGCACACAGAGGCGCCCGCTACAGAGCCTGCGGAGCAGGAGGGGAACTCTGGGGAAGAGGAGCCCGAGCCCCTAGTCAGGCGGGGGAAGCGGGCTGGGTCTCCCTTGGGCAATGTCAGCAAGAAGGCTGACAAGGGGAAGGAGAAGATGAGCGCTGGCGCCCGAAGTGGGGGAGGGGGCGCCTTCGAGTATCATCTTACCGAGGAGGGGCAGTGGGTGGGCCCCGACGGGCGCCCCCCCCATTTTCCAGCCCACACGCGCCGATGTTGGGCGCATTGAGCTGCCATGCTCCCCGCTGGTGGCTGTTGACCGCGGCTGTGCCATGGGCATGGCAATTACGGCTGCCAAAATGTGGCAAGTGCCGTCGGAGGTGAACGGGGATCACCTATTTGCTGAACTGGCGAAAGTGGGCGCCAAGGTACGTTCACCGTTGTTTGTGTTGTTGGTTGTTGGGTTTTGTTAAATTTTGCACAAGTACTAACTCTTTGTGTTTCGTGTGTGTTAGATTCTTCTTTTTGCTGAAAGAGGCGCCCGGCGCCTAAATGAAACAAAAAGAGAGGCGCTCGAAGCCTCCTCTTCGGCCTCCCAGTTGCAGCGCGACCTTGATAACGCGACGGAGCGTCGTGAACAACTTGTGAAGGAGTGCGACGAGGCGCAAATGAATGCGGCCTTGCAAGTGTCGCAACTTCAGGGCGCCCTCGACGAGGAGCGCAATAAGTCGGCCACCCTTGCAGCTGAGAAGGAGGCGCTGGCGCAGGGGGCGGGCGCCCAGGCCAGCGAGATTGCCGCTCTCAAAGAGGAGAAGAAGAAATGGCAAGACGCCTACAAGGAGTGCAAGAAGGAGCTGAAGGAGGCGCGGAAGGAGATTACCAATTTGCGCCACTCGCTGGACACCTTCGAGGAGTCCGAGACTGGGAGGAACATGAGTGCCAGTGCTATCTTGTCTGGATTGCAGATCTTCCACGGCAAACTGGTGAAGGATCACCCTGACCTTACTTGGGATTTCACTGAAATCGCCGAGTATGTGATTGGGGAGTTGGAGACTCCACCGGACACGGGGAATGCGCCCCAATCAGCCGATGTGGAGGAGCCTAAAGGTGACTCTGTTCCTGTCTCTCCTTCTCCGAAGGCGCCTAGCGCAGGTGATGCCAACTCAGGCGCTGAGTGAGTGCAGCTGGGCGTTTTGACTTCCTCTGTATTTTTATTTTTATTTTTATTTTTTTATTTATTTTTATTTTTATTTTTTTAATAATAATAATAAAAATGTTCTTCTTGGATGTTGCGGCCATACTTGTGTTTATTTTAGCGTTGAGTTTGGGCGCGAATAGTGCGGGCGCTTTTACACTTCGGGGGCCAATTTCCTTTATCACAGATCGCTATGTCCCGAGGGCGCAAATGTGGGCGCATTGATTATTCTGATGTTGGGCGCAGAGTAGAGGGCGCTTTGGTTTTGACGGGCGCAAAATTGGGCGCTTTACTTACTCACATGCCAACTGACAATCTTACGATAGGGCGCAATTTATAGGGCGCTTTGTACTTCATCAAATTTCCGGGCGCGAAATTAGGGCGCTTTTACTGATTAAGAAATAGGAATTGAAAACATAATTCTTCAAACGAGCGCTGCAACAAGGGGCGCTTTTGGACACAACACGGCGCTACTTTTACGAGCGCTTTTGAACACAACACGGCGCCTTACACAACTGCCTCTAACACTTACAATGCTCTTGCCCACGGCCATCCTTTTCCTTCTTGGCCCTTATCGAACGGAGGCGCCCTCGTGGTAAACCCGCAGGTTCTGCGCATTCCAAGTTCGTTTCACGCTTTTGCCGCTGGTATGCTCTAGCTTAAACGTACTTGGTCCCACCACCTCTCGAACTCGGTATGTCCCTTTCCATTTTGGTGCTAACTTCCCCTCGCGGGCGTCTGGGCGGAAGTCACGCTTGAGAACTAGGGCGCCCTCGGTGATTCCATGCGCCCGCATCTTCTTGTTGTAGTACCGAGCCACTTGGCGCTTCATTTTCTCCAGCCGGATGGCCGCTACTTCCCTCACCTCATCTGTCATGTCTAGCTCATCAATTCTTGTTTCGCCATTGCTGCTTGGGTCGTACTGGCCAACGCGATAGCTTGGGGTGTTGACTTCCACAGGGATTACCGCCTCACTTCCGTAAGTTAGGGCGAAGGGTGTTTCTCCCGTGGCAGTTTTGTAGGTTGTGCGATGCGCCCACAGTACACTTGGTAGTTCCTCCACCCACCTGCCCTTGGCGCCTGCTAATCGGGTGTGCAACCCGTGAAGGATACTCTTGTTGGCTGCTTCCGCTTGGCCATTTGCCTGCGGGTATGCCACTGAGGAGAACCGCAGGACGACCCCGTTGTCATCGCAAAACTCAACAAATTTCTTGCAATCGAATTGCTTCCCATGGTCTGCGACAATGGACTCGGGTAGGCCGAACCGGGTGAATATGTTTTTCTTGGTGAACTTCCGCACTTGCGCTTCTGTAACAGTGGC